GCGGCCTGCTTGCCAAGGACTCCCTTAAGACTCCCAATGGTTTCTTTGCCTCAGTGTCTTTACCTGCCCCACACATATAACATCATGTGTAGGGATAGATGAGCATGGTTGGTGGGGGAATGTCTGATGGGCTCGATTTGGTTTGTGGTCTGGAGGTTGCCCACCACTGCTTTAATGGGAATGTTTGCTATGTACTTACAGGCAGTGAAAATTTTGCGTGGGGGTTTCGTTCCTGGCCTTCACATGTATTGGCAAAGTGCACATAAGTGCCCTCTGCCCTATTATGCCCCACTCCACCCTTGTGCTGCCTTCTTCCAGGTCCAAAAGGGCCCACACATTGGCAATTGCACATGAATTGGGCGCACCTAAAATGGTCACCGCCTGTATTTAGAAAATTTATATACAGTGGTACCTCGGGATGTGAATGGGATCCGTTCCGGAGCCCTGTTCGCATTCTGAAGTGAACGTAACAAACGACGGTGCATCTGCGCGTGCGCAGGTTGCATTTTGCCCCTTCTGCGCATGCGCGTGATGTCATTTTGAGCATCTGTGCATGCGCAAGCGGCGAAGCCCGGAAGTAATGTGCTCCATTACTTCTGGGTTGCCGCTGAGCGCAACTCGAATGCGCTCAACCCGAAGCACATTCAACCCAAGGCATGACTGTACTGTGTAACGTTTTTGGCAGGGACGTGGGTGGTGCTGTGGTCTAAACCACAGAGCCTAGGGCTTGCCAATCAGAAGGTCGGCGGTTCGAATCCCCACGACGGGGTGAGCTCCCATTGCTCGGTCTCTGCTCCTGCCAACCTAGCAGTTCGAAAGCATGTCAAAGTGCAAGTAGATAAATAGATACTGCTCCAGCGGGAAGGTAAAGGGTGTTTCCATGTGCTGCTCTGGTTAGCCAGAAGCAGCTTAGTCATGCTGGCCACATGATCCGGAAGCTGTACGCTGGCTCCCTCGGCCAGTAAAGCGAGATGAGCGCCGCAAACCCAGAGTCGTCCATGACTGGACTTAATGGTCAGGGGTTCCTTTACTTTTAACATTTTTGGCAAAAATCCCTAGGCGATTCAAGCCCCTAAATAATTGATGTTTGAAAAGTTGTTTGATATTTCTTTTAAAAAGCAACTTATGCTTGATTTATTTTTACAAAAATATGGTTAAAAGAAAAGAATGTTGCTTGTTTTACTAGAAAATCATTATTTTTCCTTGTCTGCATCCCATGCTCCTCATTTCCCCTGATGTCCTGGGCTGGCAGAGCCTTCCAGGGGGTTTGGTACAGTCACAATATCAGAGCACAGATCACGGAGCCACAGTTGCTACTGTAATTCAAGCAATTGCCACATAGGCATCTAATATTTCAGTCCCTTGATACAGGCCTCACTCAGGTGCAGCAAGGCTTTATATTCCTGGTTTTCGAATCTACAAAAGGGTTGTTAAGGGCTGGTTACCATTTCAATTTCTTCTGGTAGGTCAAATGTAAATCTGTACCTTTTGAGACTCCAGGTATGTGAAATTCAGCTTGTTTGTTGTCAGGTGGAAAGGGCTACTGCTGCCTAGCAAATTAAAATCAATATGTAATAAATTTTGTTTGCAAGTGAACTTTAATCCCGAATGGCTGTGTTCCTACACCTCATTATTCTCCCCCTGCCACACTTTCTGAGTTCCAGTCTGTCAATATGTATCATCCTCTTTGACTGCAATATGAAGGCTAAGTAAGGATGCATTCAAGTTCAGCTCATTTAACAGCACAATCCTCACCTCTTTGGCTCCGAAATAAGTCCTAAGGGGGCTTACTTCCCGGTAAACAAGGTTAGGACTACAGCCATAGTCTCATAGATTTTGGTGGGAGAACACACAGGTGTGTTTTTTTATTAACCCAGCTATCAAAATTAATGAGAGTTGTTCAAACTGCTTACATTTGGGTGCATTTAGCCCCATATGTTCACTGTGATCTCGTTCTCTCAATAAAGTTCATTACCATGTCTATGTGCATTCCTAAATGCCATCACAAGAGCCAACAACAGTGGCGTTTTGGCATGGAAATAGAAACATGAAACATCATCTGATTTTATTTTTGCTCACTTGACAGTTTAGATTTTCTTTTGATGGATCAAACTCGTTCCCGAGCCATGAATGCTACGCTGTGGCCATTTGTCTGGATGATTAGGTCCTTTCTTCTGCTTGGATACTTTCCTTGGTACCATTACTGTTGGTCACTGGTTCTGCCTTTTCTCTAGTACAGTGTGTTGATACTGCTGTTAGTGTCAGCATAAACGATGCGGTAGGGCACACACATGTGCTTGGTTATTCTCAAATGCCGCCAAATTTTGCAGAGAAATGCGGGAGAGTAAAAGGCAAATGAGTGCACTTGGCTGCAGTCCATAATCTAATTGTTGCAGAGTAGTCCTATTAAGGCAAATATAATGAATAACACAGTGAGTGCATAACAACAACAACAACAAAACAACAAAAGTCCTTGAGTCTCGGTTCTTTCTAAAAACTTCATTGGGCATTTTGGTATCTCAAAACATTTTGCTAAAATATTACAGTGGTACCTCGGGTTACATACGCTTCAGGTTACAGACTCTGCTAACCCAGAAATAATACCTTGGGTTAAGAACTTTGCTTCAGGATGAGAACAGAAATTGTGCTCCGGTGGCGTGGCAGCAGCAGGAGGCCCCATTAGCTAAAGTGGTGCTTCAGGTTAAGAACAGTTTCAGGTTAAGAACGGACCTCCAGAATGAATTAAGTACTTAACCCGAGGTACCACTGTATATAATAGAAATGACTCTCAGTATGGCCATTCCCAAAGGCAAAAATAGGGAAGATCGGTTTTGTTAATTTCAGCAAAGATCAGTGTCATCCTAACTAACTTGTGCCCACTGGGTAGGATTAAGACTCCAAATCTCTGTGTCAGGAAGGCACAGCACTAAACCAGGTAAAAAAAGGTAAAAGGTAAAGGACCCCTGGACAGTTGAGTCCAGTCAAAGGTGACTATGGGGTTGTGGTGCTCATCTCGCTTTCAGGCCGAGGGAGCCGGCGTTTGTCCACAGACAGCTTTCCGGGTCATGTGGCCAGCATGACTAAACCGCTTCTGGAGCAATGGGACACCGTGATGGAAACCAGAGTGCACAGAAACACTGTTTACTTTCCCGCCGCAGCAGTACCTATTTATCTACTTATACCGTTGATTGAGGTGTGGCTAGGCGGGTCTCAAGTTGCTACACCTTCTCTTCCAGCAAGACAACCATCTTGCACTTGCTACAAGTGTACTGTTGCTTGTTCTCTGACAGAATGGCAAACATGGCAACAGTGTTACAGGTCACTGCAGCAGGTCACTGTTACAAGGAACATTTTGTTTTTGTCTTTTATTGTTGTTTGGGAATTACCGTGTATTGTATTTTTAACATTGCCTTGCTCATAAGTTGCTATGGGGATATTTATTGATGAGATGGTTACATGCATTTTGTAAATAAATAAATTCTGTTTCTTGAATGAGCCTTATGCCATACACACACTCAGGAATGAGCCTTATGCCATGCACACACTCAGGAAAAAGCCACATTGAAATCAGTTGTACTAGGCTGTCAAATCCTTTCTTCAGTACACAGAAATGCACAGAGGCTCACAGCACAAGAGCTTTTCATTAAATTTCCCTCTAAGCCCTTAACTTTGTTTCCCTCAAGATTTCTGTTGAGGTTATCAGGTTAAGATATGCACTAAAACACACATATTGGGCCTCCAAAGGACTGCAGATCAATAACTAAGCACACCTGTCTGCCATTTTAGTAGAAGTGTCAGCCTGAGATTGGCACACAGGCCTGGGGCGTGGACCTCACTGAACAAGAAAAAAGGGGGAGAACAATGCATTTGTGACTGTTCAGTCAGAAAACATGTTGAAGCCAGTCTGTAGTATACAATGATATAGGAACAGGAAGTATAGCTATACTGTACTAAAACAGAAAAAGGACTCTGCTATCTCATGGTTGTTTCCTGATTTTAAGAACGGCCTCTTTCCCTGCTTTTAATACCATTTCCATAGATTATGAAAATCCTCCTGGATCTTTAAACGTGGGAAACAAAGCCTCATATTTGTTATTCATAATTCATGTAGCCTAGGGTTTTCCATTTGGATTTTGTTTGTTATACAGTAACATTATAACACATTGTTATTATCATGGCTATTAATGCTAATATTGCTATTATTAATTATTCTTATTATTATTAAACAAACAGGCTGTATTGCAAGATCATCCACACAAACTATGAACAAGTGATAATCCATTTGAAGGTCAACTGTATGGAAATCAATAGCGCTTATTGTCAAGAGTATATGTTTGGTCTTGGGAGTAAAAAAAAGTACTGCATGAGCAACAGGAGCACATTCTCACTTAGCTCAGATAAAAAGAAGAAACAATCATTTTAATTTTTCATTTTATTTTTAGTATTACACCATTTATGTCCTAACAACAGGTTCAAGGTGGTTCCCTCTTCCTCCTTTTATTCTCACAGCAACTCTGTGAGGGAGGTTAGGCTGCATATGCACCACGCATTTAAAGCACAGTCTCTCCCTTTAGCATCCTGGGAACTGTAGTTTAAAGGTGTTGGGAATTGTAGTTCTGTGAAGGGGAGGCACAAACTACGATCCCCAGCATTCCTTGGGAGAAGCCATGCGCTTTAAATGCACGGTGTGCCCGCAGCCTACATAAACCCCAGCTACCTTTCCCCCACATCGCGCCCTGCAGTGGGGGTGGGGGGAGCCTCTGATAAGAAGGCATATTTACAGTGAAATTCTTGCGACGTTTACTTAGATATTAAAACCTGCAGCGCTTTATTTCTTCAATCAGGCAACCCTTTGCTCCCAAGCGAAGCGAGGCTGGATCCAACCAACACCAAGACGAGTTGTTAAAATTCTTTTAAGGGGTTAAAAGGGGGAGGAGCCTTCGAAGAAAAGGGGTGGGGTTTCCCCGTCCTTCCCGCGCGCTAGCTCGCTCGCTTCCAGCAAAATCAATTGGCGAGGCAAACGGGAGGGAAAACTTTCGCGCGCGCGTCTCCATCGGGACGCGCGCGAGGGGGGGGGGGGAGAGCGCGGCGGCTTCCCGCTTTCTCCTCTGTGCGTGTATTGTGGGAGTGCGCGCGCTCTCGCGCTCTCACAGAGCCACACACGCTACAGATACGGTGCCTCTCTCAAGAGGCAGGGAGCGCTCTACGCGCGCGCGTGCGCCCTGCTGCTGCTGCTGCTGCTGCCGGCGGTAGTGGCGGTGGCGGTTTCGCGGGCTCCTGGCTGGAGACTTCCAGAGCGTTAGATGGGGCTGAGGCAGAGCGGCGCCCACTGAGGAGGAGGAGGAGGCGGAGGGTGTGCGCGCGCGGGCGCGAGCGAGACGAGGCCAAGGCAGCCGACCGACCAACGTTCCAACCAACGAACCAACCAACGGCCGCCTCGCCGGTAACTGCCCCAGCAGCAACTGCCTCCTCAACAGTCCGGCGCGAGCTGTGCCGGGGGCCGGGCGGGGGCGCCTGCGCCTCTCCACGCGGAGGGGCGGCGCGGCGGTCCTGTTGCTCTCTCCCCCCCCCCCCGGGTGTGTGTGGGTGTTTGTGTGTGGAGCCGGGAGTTTCTCTACTGTTCGCGTTGAGGAAAGAGAGGCTCGTGTGGGACGACGAGGAGGCGGCAGCTGCCCCGTGACTCTCCTCTCAGCGCGAAGGGAGCCATGGGGCGGCCTCCTCGCCTCGCCTGCCTTGGCCTGAGAGGGGCTCCCTCAGGTAGAGAGACGACCCTTCCCCCCTCCTCCCCGTTTTGCCATAGGGGCTCCTGGCGCCTCTCTTCTGCCCCCCCCCGCCCTTTTTGTCGGGCCTCGTATGGCCCCTTCCTCTCTTAGCGCTCCCCTGGATTATCCCCGGTGGTGGTGGTGGAGGAGGAGGAGGAGAAAATACTTGCCGGGGGAGGGAGGGGAGATAATCTTTTCCCTCCCGCCCGGGATTATCTCCCCGCCCTCTGCGGGATTATCCTGTCCGCCCTCCCTCGCTCACCCCGCCTCCTCCAGCAAATCCTCAGGGCGGCGTGGGGACAAATCCCACCCACCCAGAGTCGCTCCCGCGCGCTCTTTTCCCTTCCCCAAAAACCTTGGGCTTCCTCCACCAGGTGAAAGGCACGTATTTTGTTGGGCTGTTTATTATTAATTTATTTTTTGGTTGGTGCTGCTGGTGGTGGGGAAACCGGTGGCTGCGATCCGCATTGAAATTGAAGGCGGAAAGGGAGGAAAAAAGGGTGGTGGGTGGGCTGCGATTGCCACGGCGGTGCTGTCACCTCGCTGGATTTGGAGCTCAGGAGGGCGGGAGGCAGGGCGAGCGCGTGGATTGGCCGCGGGGGAAGGGAGGCTGGGGGGGGGGGGAAGAAGGTAGGTAAGTGTTGCAATCCGCCACAAATGCAGCGAGGTGGGGGGTTGCGGGTGGCAACGTGCCGGCGGCCCCCCCCCCCCCACGGTAGCAATTCTTGAGTGCCCAGGGTGTTGCAATACTGGGGGGGGGGGGGAGAGAGCCAGTCGGTTCTTTGGCTTGATCATGCTTTCTTGGTGTGATCGGCTTCGTCCTTACGAAATTGTAGAGCGTAGCTTTCTCCCACCTACTAAAACACCCCCCCCCCCAATTTTTTGGATTTTAACTCTTCGAAATGCCTTGGGTGCCTCTCACGCCACAGCAGTTGAAATAGTTTTACTTAAGGCACAAAATGTGAATGGGAGGAAAAACCCTGCATGGATGTCATTTGTTGTAAGTTGGGCTGGGCTCTGAATGGAGTGGACTTGCTTCTGGCTTTCCGCCAATTGGTTGTGGCTATTGCTGACAGAAGGAAGGGCGGGCGTCATTTAAATTAATGCTCTGACGACACAGCAGTACTGTATAAGATAATCACGTTTGGCTCGTGGTAGAACCAGTGGTGGTGATCTGGTTATGTGGTTCCTTTTCACCTGTTTGAGCTAGGTGCAGCGATCTGGATGACTGGTGCTGCAGAGCTTCTTTCCAATTCTGCTGCACAGAGCTCAGGATTACATCCATCCATTAAACTTCATTTTATTGGCTTTGGGAAGAGGAGGGGCCTTTGGAAACTGAACAGAGGCAGGGTAACTATAAATAGACCTTTGGACTAGAGGAAGCTTTGAGCAAATTCTGGTATATTGTATTTGAACCACTAGTATCTGTTTATTGGATGACTGTCATAATGTTCTTATTATGGCTGATGGCTTCTATCATGTCAGTGGGGGGTTGTTTCGAAAAGGCTAGCTACTGTTCTCTGTCATTCTAATAATCTTGTACTTGAGATATAAGCTGATAAAATGGTAGATGGTTCAACCATCTCCTTTTTGCTGTTTGTGGACTACTTGGAAATTATTAATTAGAGCTAGATGTTTATTGCAGCAGGACATTGTGCCCTGAATGATAATAGAGTTTGTTTTTGGATATATAGGCCACTTTATTTTGTTAAATGTTCTTTTTAGTAGCTGTCTTTTGTATATTAATATTACAGTGACATCTCAGTATTTCACTGTATGTACACCGTCTCATCTGAGCCTTGATCATATCTAGAGTTTTACTCCTGGATCGTTATTCTGACCATATTTATGTTGTCAATAATTTAATATGGAGACTGACAGAACCTTGAAGAAGTGACTGTCTGCTGTACTGGGACAAATTTTGCAAGCCAAAAATCGTTATGAAAAGCCTGAATAGCTCTTGTAAAATTGGTACAATAGTGTTTCTTCTAAATGAAGCAGCTGTATTTACAAATGGCAATAAATTAGTATCATGTATTAATTAACTTCCTATTCCCTTTCATTAAAGGGAATGGCTGTGTGGAAGAAAAAATGATGTCTCGCGTATTAGCCTAAAATCCTGATGAAGACGTGTCTAAGCAGGTGTGTTGCAAGCTTTATTAATGAATTGCAGTGTTAGATATGTATTCATACATAATTTTTTGATATTATTTAACAGCTCATTGAAAATAATTCCTTGTCAGAAAACATTGATAAGAGGAAATCATTTTATGCAAACCGCTTAGAGGGTTTTAAAAAAATTATGCTTTATATAAATACTGTTGGAATAAATAAATGACATATGTGGAAAGCTGTGCATCTAGGGATGAATTTTATTTTCACAATGATTTCCAGGTTTCAGTGCATGCTCAGGTACATTTGGATAAGATTTAAATTATCGAAGCAACTTGTAGATCATAGCACATTATTAGTATGCAGCTGTTGATGGCTGCAAAAAGGACAAGTGAAAATTATGTTTGGAGAGAAAGTATTTTCAGACAGCATGAATATGGAATTTGAAGTATCTAGGGGGCTGTTGGATAAGCCGATTTTAGACCTTAGACTTCCTCTTGTGTCTTGTTCACTTTCTCAATCATTTTTAGCCTACTTGGGGAGGGTGCACTGTGTATGTATGATAAGTAAAAACATGTAAATATGGAATATGATATCCGTTCGGTGTCATAGTTTAGAGTTTTGAGAAAAAGGCATAGTGGGATCTAGTGGGGGGTCTCAAGGGTATGAACACTTTTTAATGTTGTAAACTGACAAATGATATATTGACTTGTGTGGTAATAGTGTGTTGGGGGGATTGAAATGCTACCAGAACATGTTGCAGTCCTTAGAATCATTGCCTTATGATGGTGTTCCTTTCTTAAACTTGAAAGCTGGAGCCATAGTGCAATATGCTGCTTATGAAAGTGGATGTTAGTAAAGACTAGTAGTTCTGCAAATTGACACTGCATTGATACAATGCCCTGTGGTGTGTTTGCCAATCTTATATCTTTGTCAAATGTGTGATGTGTTTGTCTGATTCTTTTGTCACACAAAATCCAGTTGAATAAGTCATTCTCTTATGTCACTGGCCTGTGAGTTTTGTACACACATGGTAATACAGTGGCCTGAATCTATACATAGTAGACAATCAATAGGGCTCTTGAAAAACATTTCATTGGAATGTTGATGTTAATAAATGAAATGGGATAGATAAAATAATAAAGTCACAAAATCTCATCAAATGTTTTGTATCAATTTAAAAAATATTAACTTTAAATAGTGTTCTTGAAATAAGTGTGTTTCACTGGAACTTCTTATGTGTACTTTGGTGCATATCCTGAAATTAAATCTTAAGTTGACATTCTCTCTGTGTTAATCATCAGTTTAAAGCAAGGATTGGGAACTGGGTGACTTCCAGATGTTGCTGAACTATAACTCACATCATTTCCACCCAGCACCAACAATGATGGGAGTTACAGTCCAACTATCTGGCAGTTAACAGGGTCCCCTTCCCTTCTTTAAGGCAGTGAAATACTTTTGGAGGATTAGAAAAGGCAGTTGTAACTTGACATTGCCCACCTGGATTGGGTTAGACCAGAAGTTTTCACGGCCATGCTAAGTGACTATACATCTAAAGCAGGGTTTCCCAAATTTGGGTCTCCAGTTGTTGTTGGACTACAATTCCCATCAGCCCTAGCTAGCAGGAACAGTGGTCAGGGATGATGGAAATTGTAGTCCCAAAGCAGCTGGAGACCCAAGTTTGGGAAGTCCTGATGTAAAGATATTCTGAATGGCAATAATTAGCTTGACAGTCTTTCCTATTACAGTAGCAAGTAGTGTAGCATTGAAGCAGTTTCAGCATTGCAAATAATAAAGGAAACTAAAAACTGACTTTAGCTAATTCAGTAGGACTCTTATAAACCCACCTTACTTGCCAGGCACTGTGAACCTGTGTTCCTCCAGATGTTGCTGGACTACATGGAGAAGGCTGGGCTACATGTTACTCTGGGGTTATCCAAACACTAGTTACTGACAACCCTTACAAATGTTCAGTCAGCCAAGATTCTGCTAATTTAAGGCACTCCATACACCCAGTCAGTCCAAATGATGAAAGTAACAGCAGTTAACAAACCTACTTAGGACGTGCCTTTAATTGTTAGACAGATCTTATATAGATATGGCTGACTCAGATAATTATATATATATATATATATATATATATATATATATCAATCAGATGGCTGCTGGTTCTTTGGTGAGAGGCTTTTCATGAATGAATACATCAGATGATATCAAGGCGCAGTGTACATAAGAGAGCCTTTGATGTAAGAGCTGGCAATATAGCTTGCATAGAATACCAACCTTATTCAGTGGTTGGTACCACAGATCAGTCTTGTACTGCAAAGGGAAGTTTGGTGAAAATGTATCTCAGAGAAACAAATGTACTGAGTTGTCTTACAGAAGATCTTGATTACTAGGAGCTGACTTATTGCCTAGCACAATGACCTAGAAACTACTATTAGAAGCAGGAGTGATGACCTTTGCTCTGCATTGTTTTGGTTGAAAGAACTTTATTACACTTGGCATGGGGGATATCAGTTTTTCCTATCACCATGTTAAATCTTGCTGTGGAGGATGCAAAACCTTCAGGAACAGCTTTCAGGGGTGGACTATATGTCATTGGAAGATAAGGTGCTGGAAGAGTCTGGCTCTTGGCCTCTGTTTTAGTTTTCTCTTCCTCTTAATTATTTTGCATACCAAGCAGAGTCAGCAGTATCAAATGGGGCTCACATATTCCCCAAATGCAAATAATAATTCAGTCAAACTTAGAGGAGTTATTCATGTATTGTGAACAAAGGAACTGTACAAAGCCTCCAAAACATGCAGAAAAAACAGTGTTGGAGTAAAATGTTGAGGGTTGTGATTAAAATGCTTTTGGCTACACCCAAATTGCACTGGAAATCGTTTGTTGGACGGACTTTTCATAAAAAAATATTCTGAAAAACCCAGTATATGGAGTTCATTTTGCTGAAACCCTTGGAGGATTCAGATAGTTTGGTGGCATGTTACTTACTTTGCTGAAGCTGTGCTGACACTTCTATGCATGGCATGTACATCTATTTTTAACAATTCTAGCCTTGGTGGTTTCCACCCATAATGCTTGTCAAATGTTTGGTTGATGTCCTGTGTACTGATAGCTCCCTGGGTCCTTTTTGAAAGTTTTATGCTGGCTACCTTCTATTGTCTGATAGGGACTAACATTTTGTTAAAAGTTAAATTGCCTTGCCATTTCAGATTTTAAGTGACACCTGATTCTTATGCTTTCTTACTATTTAATTGATTTTCCTTTCTTTTCCCTTTATTCCCTCTACATGAATGTATGATTCTGTTGTATTGACGAAGTTGTAGCTTAGGTGGTTAATTTTCTTCAGTAGTGTCTGTGATGAAACAAATAGAATTTTTAAATTAAGGTTTCTCAGGGTTGCTTTTATGACCTTCATCTAATCTTTTCTGTGTCCTGAGTTAGTGCTGCTACTGAGTGTTCTTAAACAGACATCTTGGTGCCCTTTAAACTATAGTTACCTTGCTAGAGTTGTGTTCTTCCGTTTCATCAATTTGGAGAAGGTTTTTCCTTCTTTAAAGTCTTCCTTTGCTTTGTAGCTCTTCCTTGGCTCTGTTTAATTACCGGTATATTGGTATTTTCTGGCATTTGTCCTTCGTCAACTGGGGTCTTGATTTTCCAAAATGCATGATATTTGCACCAGTGATACAGATGCAGGTTTGCCTAGGTTACCTGGTCTAGCAAGTGAATATGGATCTTCATAATTTGATTGGATACGTGTATTTCTTTTCCTTTGCATCAATCTTCACATTTTTTATTATTTATTTATTAAATATGTATACCACCCTTCATCTGTAGATCTCGAGGCGGTTCACAGCATAAAAATACAAGATAAAATATATAATACATAATAACAAGAACAAAACAAACCAGTAATCCCCCTCCCGCAAACTCATTTAAAAGGGCATAAGATGCTAATCATCTTCTGGTTGAAGAGCTGTATAATGAAGGTACCAGCTGAACCTCCCTGGGGAGAGCATTCCACAAATGGAAAGCCACTGCAGAAAAGGCCTTTTTTTGCATTGCCACCTCCACACCTCTCATGGAGAAGACACATGAAGAAGGGCCTCCTATTTAATTCTTTAGTAATTCCCGTGCTCTCTGTAGTAATCTGATTCTCAACTGTGTGTATTTAGGTTGTTTTTTTATCCAATTCTCTTTCTTTCAGGTGCTGTTCTCCTTGAAATTGAATGACTGATACCCTGCCCACATACATGTTGAACTAAATAGTATTATTGTTGTTGCTAGGAGACTTAAGCTGCAATCCTAAACTTACTTGCTTCTTTTGAAGTAAGTACCATTGAAATATTTCTGAGCAAACATTATTAGGATTGGACTGTTAGCAGATTCTCGTTACTATTTGAGTTATTTCTGATTTGGTTGACTTTCTATTTGTGCCTATCATGAGTTGCCATATGAATGTGTTAAGTTATTCTATTGTCTCCTTCTCCTGTTCCAAATGACCCAGCCTCTGAAGTTCCCTTAACTTTCTTCTTCTACACTAGCATACTTCCCTTTTGAAATATGACCATAATATCATATTCTCTGAACCCTTGGCATGATCCCCTTAACCCCCTTTTCTCAGTTCATTCACATAATTTTCTTGGTTAATGGGGTCTGGGCAGCCATGTATTTTACTTCTGCCTGGTTCTGGAAATGAGAGCCCAAACCATTTGAAGGTACAATAAATGTTTGCATTTGTGTGGTGTGTGCTCATTGTTCAGACCTCAACTACATCAGGTACTCTTGTCAAAAAATTGGTCTAGGTTACAAGCTGCCCCACAAGTATGAGTGAGCAAGACACCAGTTTCTAGAAGATGCTTGAAAAGCAAGTGATTTAAGCAAGCAGACTTAACTGCTAGAGTGAAGGCAGAAAGCCTGGAACAGAACTAGGAAATCAACCAAGTGCTCCTACTTATTTAATGGCTTTGTATGAATGACATTGTTTACTCGGAAGTCCTATTGAGTTAATGAGGCTACCAGGTAATTGGGGTTAGGAATGCAGCTTTAGATTGTTTGGAATGTAATTAGACAAGAAATATGAAAATATTTAAGACTGAACTAACACAAAACAGGATGCTGCTAATCAGTCTTACATAGTAGCTCAGTCAACAGTTGCCACATGACACACTTTCATCAACCTGTGTAGGCAGGGTTTGGCAGAAAAGTCATCCTATGTTGGATGACACAAGCTTCAGCTATAGCTCTTGCTGGATTCTTTCCTCTGAGGAGCTTACAACAGTATTTAAGCCAGACTTGTCCAGAGTATTAATTGAGCTTCTTAGCTGAACAGTGGTTCATTTTTGGGATTCCTACAGTTAAACTGATGACTATGCCAGCTATACAAGGCTGACTGTTTCCCACCACCTGAGAAATCTGAGTTTGATACAAATTAAATGTACAAATTGTCTGACACACTCTAATCTGCCTTTCAGATAATTGTTTTAACAAACTAAATGTGGATATCTGTTTTCCAGCACAGGGAAGCTTTACAGTGGATGCTCGGGTTGCAAACATGATCCATGCGGGATGCACGTTCAACCCACAGCATTCGTAACCCACAGCAGCGTATCTGCGCACACACAGGTTGTGATTCGGCGCTTCTGTGCATGCGCAAAGTGTGATTTAGCGCTTCTGTGCATGCATGACTGCCGAAACCAGGAAGTAACCCATTCCGGTACTTCCAGGTTTTGGTGAGTCTGTAACCCAAAAAAACGCAACCTGAAGCCTCTGTAACCCAGGGTATGACTGTAATCACATTTTAATACTGAAAAAACCCAGTTTGATTTATAGAGTAAACTTTAGACCACTTCCCTCATCAGCAGTTTTTGATGATTGTAAGTTAATTGATGTGGCTAAATACAAGAAATAGCATGTTTTGTTTTGTTTTTAAATACTCATGTCTGGTGTCCCATTATGTATGATACTGAGACAACAAAAGACACGAACCCCACTACTTACAGTGGTAGATTGAGATGAGAAAATTAATTTTAAAGGAATGTGGATTCATTGAAAAATTGTCAAAATGTCTTCCTTTTCAGAAGCACTTCAACTTTCTTTAGTATGTTCACTTCCTCAGTTGTCAGTCTCTTGGAAGCAAGCACTGCTATTGTTCTTTCCAATAAAATTTCTTTAATAATAATCAAAATAGCACATGCATTTGCAGCTCTCAGTTTGAAATTTGGAAGGAAAAAAGTTTTGCCCCTGAAAAAGGATGGAGATAGCCAAGTTTTTAGACATCCAAGTTTAGCCACTGATGATGACATACCACTTACATCTGTACAGATTGAAAATCTGTTGTGCTGCTCATCTGAAAGATTGTAGTCACATTTTTGGTTGGACCCATCTTTTCCTTCAGACATTAGCAGTTACTTAGTCACACACAACATAAGCAGGAATATTGTTAAAGGTTTGGCTGTTAAATTAGAAAGCCTGGCCATTAATATATATATATATATATATATATATATATATACACACACACACACACACACACACACACACACACAGAATTGTTTCCTGCATAGGTACTTTTGTACCTAAGATTAGAATAAATTTGTCTTCTTGTACAGTCTTCTGACTATGCAACTATAATAAGTGTGGTTAGAAAGTATCAATTAAAAACAATACAGTGTTCAAAGGTTTTTTGGCAGGGTGCTGAAATTAGACTTGAATACATTGATGCAATCTTTCTTATACCTTGATTTATTCTTGATGAGCTGCATAATTTTTGGCAAAAGATTCACTATCATTCCTAACAAAGGGTTTACAATCTTCTGGATAATATTCAAATGGATTTTAGAACATTATTGGTTTTCAACAAGAACCAATTTGGCATGTGGGTCTTGGAAGTGGCATACAATTCACTAGTAAAGCAATTAGCATGATAAGTAACTGAGTAACTGAATGTTAATACAGGATCAGGTGAATTGAACAAGGGTGATTCTTAGTAATAGATGACGCATTTCCTCTGCCCTAATAGGAAGCTTTATTGTTCAGTGTTTTAGGTTTAGCATTGGAAGAGTGTATTTTAAGTGGTGAAAAGCCCGCTCCAGGTTTTGTGAGGAAACTAATTTAGATCTTGAAATCTGGTTTTTGGACTTACTTTGAAACTGAAATTGCCTTAGTTGCCCTTGCAGATTATCAGTGCTAGGAGATGGGCAGGAGGAACATGACCCTATTATCTTTTTTCTTTTTTAACCTATCAGTATCTTATCTTTCTGGACTACCTAACTGGGATATTAGTGGCACAGGTCACAATGTCCCTGCATCTTGGCTACCACTGAGTCTTATGTTTGCTTTAGGGAGGAAAGACTTCTTTGTGAACTGCATCATGGTTTGTAAAGCTTCTGGGAGGAATCAGTCAAGTGTCAATCTGTCAGTGCTCTTATTACTAGAATTGAAACTCTTGAGGCTGATGCTCCTTTTCAGGCATTGTAATATTTCATTTCCTTTATTTTCCACTGTAACTATAGGCTTTTTGCAGCTCAGATCTTCTCTCTGTTTATCAGCATGGATTTTCAATAGGTCTGAATCTTACTGCATAATCAGTGACTCCACCAACTTAACCAGCATAATTAAAGTCAGAAACAGGACATGGCTTCCGTTGTCATTGTGTGTTCCCTTCCTTCTCCTTATTTTCCATCCATAATAAGCTTCTTTATATGCTGTATCCTTGGGATTCTCAATCTTTGTTATTTAGGCTCTTTATCATGAGAGCAAAATCACTCAAGATGCCCAGATGTAGCTTTATTTCCTCTCCTGTCACTGTAGTTGTGCGCTCCATATCAGTTGCTAATAAGGCACACGTGCAACCAGAGTGCAAACTAATATTTTTCTAGTAATGTTTATTGAATTATTTAGAACTTACTGAACTTGGTGCCGTGTTAGATTTCTTTTGGGATAGTGGTACAGCTTTGATATCTTTTTAGCAACTTTCAGTAGATTTGGCTTCAAGTGACTAAAGGTAGAGTTCTGGTAGCAGTGCAGCCTACTTCTGCGGTCCTTTCATCTTATACATGCAGCTATATAGCGATAGAAATCGCCTATGGCCCTTTGGTTACTCCTATTGCTGTGATCATGCCCCTTCCATTTCACAAGCCATAGAAAAACTTTTACAGCTTCAGGCAGTTTTTAACACTTTAATGTATTATTGGAGCATGCATTAAATCAATAGTCTTAGAAGCAGAAGGAAAGAAAAACTATGGCAGTAGGTGATGGCAAAGCAGATGCTGAAAGTTAAATTGTAAAAGTAGCCATTTAAACACTGAAAGCAAGGCTTAAATTTTTCCTTGGAGGACAATTCAGAAAACTTTAAAATGTTGCATGAAATTTTAGCAATTGCTCAGCTTGTGAATGTGTCAAATAAGGAATACACACAGTTAGTTGGACATACACACTTCATTCCAGAGCCTTTCATAATGATAGCATGGATAAGGGGTTCCCTAGACAGTAAGCAGTTTGCTTGGGGAGGGCCCCAGTTTGCATTCTGTATAAGCTGATCATTTCTGTCTCCGACAATTATTTTTCTTGCACGACAGGTCCTTTTGGCTCTGCTCTTTGCACACACACCCCTTTGTACCCATGTGTGCACATACATCTGCGTCCTGAGAACACTTCATGGCATGCATCTGACAAAGTCGGCTCTAATCCATGAAACCTTATGCTACCACAAATCTGTTGCTCTTGAAGGTGCCAGAAGACTCATTAAATGTTCGCAGGAGTCATCTAAAACACTTGAGGCAATCACTTAACATTTTTGTAACCCCCAAAAGGCATCAGCTAGTATCAGCTTTGCATCTTTCATGGAAAAAGACCCCTGTGGTGGTTGTTTGTATCCATATATTCATCCCTAGGATCTCCACATAGCTGCTATATATTCTTCAAAATTACTAGAGGCTCTAACCACGATGAAACATTATCTGAAATATAGGGAACTAAACCTTAACTCACCCAGTCCTCTTGGGTACAATTGCAAAATAGAGAAATAGTTGTGGGGTAACACATAACCTATGTTGGCTACAATAGGATGCTGCTTTCAAGCTTATGTGGGGAGAGGACCCTGCAGGCACTGTGTTGGTAATCCCTGCTTTAGGAGAATCAATATAGCTGAGTCGTAGAACACATTCTTGGCATGAAATGGTCCTAGGTGCAACCTGGCATCTCAAGACTAAGAACATAGTCAGACCAAAGGTCCAGTATTCTGTTCCCACATTGGCCAACCAAATGCCTATGGGAAGCCCACAAACAGAAAATGAATGCAGTAGCACTCATGTACTATACAGAGGGCTGGAAAAGGCTGACCTATAGGAAAGCAAAGTCTGAAACCCTGGAGAGCTGATGCCAGTCAGTGCAAACACTGAACTAGATTGGCCTGTGGCAACTTGGTATAAGGCAACTTCCTGTGTTCTTTCTTAAATGAATCAAACTATAATACTTGAGTTGATGCCACTTAGACCGAAGCCCTGGTTTTGAATGATCAATAAACTGTGACTCTTGCATGAAGATCAAGGGTCAGCTTGCACTCTGGCGCAGCATGTGTTCTATGTTCATAGTAGGGTGCCAGGAGCAAGTCAGATGTGCCCTACTCTCCAAGTTTGGCAGTGGATTTATTCTGTGTATACATATGCTCAGTCAACTTATTTGCCCGCTTTTCTGCCTGTCAAACCTGATGTGGCACATTAACATGTTTGCATGCCACACTAATGTGTGAACTGCTGTGAAACAGCGTGGCGGGTGGGAACAAGCCTGGAAGACCATTTTAACATTTGTGACATTTTCAGACTGAGGGCTTGTATTTGTATGGTAGAGCTGTTGTAACCCAGTTAGGGACCCATTTGGAAATCTAGCAGATAACAAATAATGGTACCGCATCTGTGTCACTTTCTGATGGGAGTCACTGTTTGTATTGAATTATAAGATTGTTTTCTGTCCTTCAGATGTTCAGTTTTCTCCAGTAGCCTACAAAAGCCATAGATGTCACAGTTGATGTAGAATTGTGGCTGTGATAACAACTGTTCAGCTTGGGAGAACTATATATGTGATAAATAGTACTGGCAGATTACTAATGGCAAGCATATTCTAAATATCATGGAGTCCTAATCTATATAGAACATAGTTTTGTAGCTAGGGTGGGAAAATAGAAAGATGTAATCTGTTTAAAGCTTCATTCCTAAGTGCACTTACTTAGAAGCAAGTCTCATTATACTCAGCGGGATTTTGGAGTAAGCATGCCTGGAATTGCACTGGGAATTTTGACACTACATAGCTGCTGTGGATTATGAATAGGTAACTATGCAAGCCTGGAATAAGCAAGGGAGTGGCCTAATTTTGGAAAGCTTTTTTTTTTTTTAAAAAATGGCATTGGCCATACTTGTATTAATGCGTAAGAAACGATATTTAAGACTTGAATATATCCACCATTCTTTACACGATTCTGCTGGAAGCATTGAATTGAAGCTACTCTTGATGGAAAAAACGTATCATTTCTTTCAAAATTATAGAGTAATAGTGTGTGTGTGTGTGTGTGTGTGTGTGTGTGTGGGAGAGAGAGAGAGAGAGAGAGAGAGAGAGAGAGAGACCCTGAAATGAGAAACAGTTGCCTTCAACCTTTTACATTGTACCTTAAGATGAAGAATGTTTGAAATATCCTATGTTTTGCTGTGCCTCTAAAATATGTGGGGAAGGGCCATACCTCAGTGGTACCACGTCTGCTTTGAATGCTGTAAGTTCCAGGTTCAATTCCTGGCATATCCAGGTAGGAATGGGAAAAACTCCTCTCTGAAATCCTGGCGAGCTGCTGCCAGTCAGTATTGAGATAGATAGACCAGGGCTGTTTTCCTAAGACGTGTGTAGCTTTCAGATTAGACATTATAGTATCACATGCAATCACATGTAAAGGTTTAGGGTTTATAACCTTGATAAATATGAATTGGTGTTCATGTGGAATATGATGGGCATAATTCATGATGATAAGTAATTGGATTCTTTAAGGATAACTTGTTTCAAGAGAATTGTATAATTTGTATGTTTACTTTAAAGAAAAGGCCTTCATGCATGGTACAGTGGTGCCCCACAAGACGAATGCCTCGCAAGACGGAAAAACCGCTAGACGAAAGGGTTTTCCGTTTTGAAGTTGCTTCGCAGGACGAATTCCCCTATGGGCTTGCTTCGCAAGACGAAAATACCTTGCGAGTCTTGAGGGTTTTTTTTCGCTTTTCCCCCCCTTTATCTAATCTGCTAAGCCTTTAATAGCCTTTAATAGCCTTTTAGCAGCTAATCCCCTAAGCCTTTAAGCCTTTAATAGCCGCTAAACCGCTAATAGCGCTAATAGCGCTAATCCGTCAATGGGCTTGCTTCGCAAGACGAAAAAACCGCTAGACGAAGACTCTCGCGGAACGGATTAATTTCGTCTTGCGAGGCACCACTGTACTAAGGAGCTATTGATTAATTGCTGAAGGATATTATCACGGCCAACAGCACAACTGGGTTCAGAAAAAGATTAGATATACCTAAACTGGTAGTCCTGACTTATAGCTATTAACCAGTATGATGAAGCTCATTTGTAAGATGCCATTAAAACATTGTCTTCCTTAAGCTTAGAGTGAATTACAGTTCCATATAACTTTTCTTGTAATACATGCCCTTAGAAAGAAATTATACTGGCCACCACAGTTGAATATTACATTCTGGGCTGGACGGACATTAACCTAACCTGTTAGGATCATTTATATCCTGCTGAGGAAGTATGTGCTTCCTCACAAAGATAAATGTCGGCCACTGCATTTTAATAGTATAGATTAATATAATTTATACAAGACTGATATTATTGTTGGATACACCGCCACTGCTTGAAAATGGTTGAGATTAGTCTTAATTGCTTGTATGTGGAGCTTTATATGAACAACTGTTGATAGAAGTCTGATGTGAAGTTGTTTTTTAGAATGGTGGACATGAACATAATGGATTGGGCTGGTTGCCATCTATCTCTGGATTTTGAATAAAGGGAATCAACATTCATTAAAATTGCAGACCTATCCACACACTAAATTATTCTTTTATATAATCCAAAGGACAGTGTGTTAAAATAAAGGACAAATGTCTGTTGAGCAAATGAGTTTTGAAGAGCCAGCCAATCTACACACAACAGAGAAAGTCAAAATAACTCTAGAGATACCATGGTGTCCTTCCTTGTTCCAGCTATAGCAACTGGACAGAGCCGAAATGAGAAGCTGTTGCTCCTCAGACTTCCAGTGGAGTGGCGAGGATATGAGGCAAGATATGAGCAAGTCTGGTGGTAGTGGTATGAATGTGCAAAATTTGTGGATCTGTCCCTGAGATGGGATGGGATAGGATGTTGGGAAAAGAAGCCGTGGTGATTCACTGCCAGTCATACTGTAATAGGTTATGTTCTAGCCATTGAATTAATTGGGTCATCTTGGGCCAATCTCATTGCTCAGAATAGCCTCTACCTTACAGGGTTGTTTGGATCAAATAATTGGAATAGAGAGGCGGTGTCATGCACATGCTCCCAAATTTATTAGAGGGAAGTTGTCCCAGCCCACTTTCAGACATCTTCTAAAAACTGAACTGTTTAGATAGGCTTTCACAATATGAGTTTTTCTTTAAACCAACCAGTATCTACTGCTGCTTTATTCAGTCTGTAGGTATCTATTAAATGTAATTAAAGACTGATTTTATTGCTACTATTATGTTGTAAGCAGCCTTGTTACATTTTATGAAAGAGCATATTATTCATTTTCTAATAATAATTCATTTGCTTTTATAACGTGGGCTCATAGTGCAAGATGTGTACCTGAAATGGGCCATATCAAATAAATTACAACAGCAAGACTGATTGTGTTTTGTACAATTGGCACAATATAAATTTTCAAGAGCTACTATATATATTGATTAGGATGTGAGCCTTGGGTTTAGTGAAGTAGAATTTTTTAGTCCCCCCCCCCATATATTCTCAATTATTATACAAATTGGTTCCAGTAATAGGTATTATACAAACATCATTTGTCCCTACCACATTACTCCCTAAGACAATGGCAACTTCAGTTACTTGGTGAAATATAGCCATTGAGAGACAATTTTAGCTGTGTGCCCTGTGAAGAAGTACTTTCTTTTGTCTGTCCTGAACTGTCCTTGCAATATTCAGCTTCACTGGATGGCCCCTGTTCTAGTATGTCTGTTTTTGTTCACACTATGCATAATTTTACACACGTCTGTCATGTCCTGCCCCCTTCCTTTTTCTTGTTTTCTAAACTAAAAAGCTCCCGATATTGTAACCTTTCATCATAGGGGAGTGGATCATTTGGTTGTCCTTTTCCAGATGTATAATACCTTTTTCTGAGGTGTAGAGACTGGAACTGAACACTGTGTAGCTTATACATTTGTCTCAAGCATGTAGAAAACCTGTGGGTGTACACAGACATATTAGATGTGAGAAAAATTTCTGTGCATCTTTCAAGATCTTTGAGTTTAAACATGGTGGCAGCTTACACTAGTTGTCTTGGTTTCTTTAGGCAGAACTGGAAAAATATTTTAGATGGCTGGGTGCTAGTATCTGTTTCTTCAAGTTCCAGAACAGCCTGGATTATTAACTTGAATTTTCTGCTATGCCTGCGTTGCTCCCCCTAATCTTTATGTTAACTAGCACAACTGCATTATGTTTCAGAAACCTTAAGAGTGATTGGCAACAACCTTGGTTTATCCACTAAAGAAAAAAATTCCCGTTGCTGTCAGAATTTCTGAAAGCATAATGTGACTGTCATTAGCCTCCTACACATGCTTTCAGTGAGAACTTGTTTGCTAGGAAGAAATGGGATGCATTTATTAGAAAGTGTGGGTATAGCAGCTATTCCTTAAAACCCAACTCCATTTCACTTTGAGAATGGTACTATATGGCTGAAAAATTGTACTAAGTACAACTGGCTAGAAAAAGAAATAGATTTTTGAAGAAGGGGCTATTAAGAGTGTCTTCTGTTCATCTTATACAATAAAGGCAACTAGATTACAACAGTGCAGAATCTACTGGAATTTTCTCAAATGAGATTTGTGTTCTTAACAGACTTGTTGCTTGTGTTTTTGTGGTTTTGAAAGGGGTAGTTGCTTTTTCTTCTCAGCTTATTTCTGAATATCGCCATACCTCCTTTTCTCAATATTATGCACTTAAGATGTTATGTTTAATGGTGGTGGGATTATTTTGATCAGCTAAAATTTAATGCAACTGTGAGTGTATACTTGTGCCTTCAAATACAATTGTGGGCCATTAATTACATCCATTTAGGTTCAGCACTATTGACCATGTCTTTTATATCTCTATTCTAAGCATACAGATCGGTCCACTTACAACAACATACACAGTAACTGGGTTTGAACTGTGCCGTAAGCACTAATGATGACTTAGTTTTTTACACACTTATATGTAAACTGTTCAAATGCTTCTTTAAAAAATAGATAATCAGATGACATGAAAACAGTGTGCTTGGGCCTTAAATAGTTTAATGACAGTTTTAAAGGAAAAATCGGCATGCTAAATTTATTTGATTAAGCCTAACTTTTTAAAAAATGAGCTCTTGCTCAACTTCTCCCTTTTCATCTTTTCAGCAGCAATGCAGCAAGTTTTGGACAACCTTACGGACTTGCCTCCATCAGCAGGAGCTGAAGAAATAGACCTTATTTTCTTGAAAGGAATTATGGAGAATCCTATTGTAAGATCGCTTGCTAAGGTGACAGTGTTGTTTAAATATATATATATAAATATATATATATATTAATATTAACTTCAAAATTTAGCATGAAGGTGGGGCTGGAAAGAGCTCAGTATATGGAGAGTTGCTGGACTTTATCATGTGTGCAGTGGGGCCTAGATTTCTGTGTCTATAACCCTCTTGGTATGAACTAGCAAGATTCTGCAGGACAATGAGTGTGAAGAACTTGCCCCACACACTCACAGCTGAATATGCTTCAAGTCCCTGTGTACAAAGTGATGTCATCCAGCATGGAAAGAGGAGTGTAATGTTTTAGAACTGGATTGTTGTATTTGATGTTTTAATGTGTTGAAAACTGATTTCAGATTATTTTTCCTTAATAATACAAAGTGATATAGAAACGAAATGAATTATAATTATAAGCCTTTTGAGAGACTGAGTATTTCGGGGGGATTTTGTCTGCTCCTTTCAACCCAATGTTCTACTCTTCCCACAGACACTCTAGTTAGGTTTCTGGTGACTGAGTTCACTGGCAACTATTACTTAAGGCAGTTTCCCATATTATAGACAGTTAGGATCACAAAATTGTATACATAATTTCAGTAAAGGAACGCTGATCTGTTTTTCTAAAACTTACAATAGTTGAGGATAAATCTATACTTGTGCCAAAAAAACGAATGGAGTAGAGAATCTGATGGCTGCTTAAAGAGAGAAACTAAATATATGAGTTTAAAGTTTCCATATCAGAATTCTTGAATGTGCTGTTAACAGACTTTTAAAGATAAAATGTTTATATGCTGGAAATCTGGATATCCAGATTACACTTTGCTAGCAACACTTTCCTTGAATCAAGATCTCAAGGATTGTGATTACAATTTATTTGTATGCTGGTTTTTTAGCTCAAAGGTACTCATAGCAGTGAAGAGCAGACTAAAGTAATAAAGTGCCATAAATAGATCAGTGAGCAAAACAGTATACAAGACAGCAACATCACAATTCAGGAAGGCCAGAGAAAAGCCTTCCCAATGAGGATTTATGATAGCTCAGTAGCTCAGTTGGGTAGAGCATGGTGCTGATAACACCAAGGTCTCAGGTTCGATCCCCAGATGAGACAGCTGCATATTCCTGCATTGCAGAGGGTTAAACTAGATGATCCTCAGGGTCCCTTCCACCTCTACAATTCTGTGATTCCGGGTAAAAGGTGCTTTCACTAACCATATATCACCCACAGCTGCCAACTTTGTTGGCCTATTTATGCTTTAAGAAATCAGTTTCGCATGTATGGTGATGGTGCACAGGATTAAGTGAACACTAGTCCCCATAACAGTTGCGAAGGTGAGGAAAAAACCTGCTAACCTTGTTTCTGTGGCTAGATACATTTTATTGCTCCCACAGAGCTGTATGCTAGCCATGGTATCTTGCTTGTTTTGCTAGAGGTAGGGGAACCAAATAACTATTCAGAAGATAGAGTTGTATGCTAGACTATCTGAACAAGCAACCAGAGGCAATACAGTTGGAGAAGCAGAGTTGTTAATCAAAAATTTTCCAGTCAATCTAAGGTCTGTTTTCCAATCTTCACAGGCTCATGAACGACTGGAAGATTCTAAGCTTGAGGCTGTCAGTGACAACAATCTGGAATTGGTAAATGAGATTCTTGAAGACATCAGTCCATTAATGAACAAAGATGAAAACATTGCAGAGTTGGTTTGTATACTGAAGGAGCCACACTTTTTGGTAAGATTACTTCATTCTTAACAATAAAAAATACTTTTGTTAACTTACTATAATGTATCAAAATCAATTTTCATCTAATTAAAGATAAAACACTGTGTCCTTTATCCAGAGAGTTAGTTATGCTTTGCGTCTTGCTGAAGTGGAAGAAACCTCTGTTAATCTTAAACAATTTGTTGCTCTAGTTTAAATGAGATTTAAGCACCACTTTCTAAACTGCAGAACATGCATAGGAACAATTACCTTAAAATGAAAACTAGTAAAAAAGAAGTAACTAGAAGCTTACTGTCTTGCACTTTTGACATGCGAATTGAGCTTATGAAATTTTGCAGTGTCCACTTGTACACAGAAATGTTAAGGAGTTATCACATTTCTCCTTTTCTGACTGTTGGGGCAATTATCACTAAGATAGAAACAAATGTAACATTAGTGACTACACTGCTATACTCCATTACATATGTATGTATGTTTGTTTTGTTTTTTGCAGTCACTCTTGGAAGCCCATGATATTGTGGCATCAAAGTGTTATGAATCTCCTCCCTCTAGCCCAGAAATCAATAATTCTTCAGTGAACAATCAGATAGTGCCCGTGGATGCCATCCGTATACTTGGCATTCACAAAAGAGCAGGGGAGCCGCTGGTAAGTAAATTGTGAAAGAACATTCAGTTTTCCCACCTTCCCTACATACAGAGGGGAGGAATATTTAACATGTCTGTGTATATTGACTTTCTTGCTTCTCTTAACCTATGTTGTAAGAAGATAAATGCATTCTCAACTGAAGCTATAGCCTAAGGTGGAACAGAAGTAGGGAAGGGAAAACTTCTTAAGTGCATCTGAGTAGTTCAGAGTTTTCAAGAGCTGTTCAAACCTTTAGCTGTGTTGGGTAAAATAATGCCATTTACCAGAAGCTCCTCAGGGGCCTCGGTAACTGTAAGCTTGATTTTATATATGTTAACTGGGTAGCATACATTCTTGCTACCTACACCGTGGAATAAACCTTAATGAATTGTCTGGAATCATTGCTGTCAGTTAGCTGAAAGCCTGACAAATAGATTTTTGTTAGTCAGTTCCTTATTTGAAGTACTTTTTGTTTTTGGATTTCAGGAACATAAAAGTTTTAACAACTCCCATGTGATATGCAATCACAGTAGTAAGAGTCTAGTTTTAAAATGTGGATATATGTTGTAGAGATAAACTCTGATACCCTTCCACTGTTCATTTAGGGTGTGACATTTAGGGTGGAAAATAACGATCTGGTAATTGCAAGAATCCTTCATGGAGGAATGATAGATCGACAAGGTCTTCTACATGTGGGTGATATTATTAAAGAGGTTAACGGTCATGAAGTTGGAAACAATCCAAAAGAGTTGCAAGAACTTCTGAAAAGTATTAGTGGAAGTGTCACTCTGAAGATCCTTCCTAGCTACAGAGATAATATTATTCCCCAACAGGTGAGTAGTACTATGTTTCACTTGAAGGCACTTCATTTGTTTCCTTTCGTTTACTCTATTGCAAGGGATAAATTTGGTTATATGTTTTATTTTTTCTTTATATTTGTGTTTGTGTGTGTGTGTATATATATTCTCATAACTATAGTAATCAGTTGTCTACAGTCAGTGGATCACCAATGGCCACTTGATGGAATATAAAATCCTTATGTAGAGTGTATACTATGCAGGATTAATATGACTCTCGTTAGATTATACTATAACATAATTGCACAAGGTTTTCTTTCACTTAGAATACAAACGTTGCCACAACTCGTCAGTGTATCAACAGAGCAGGAGATCACCTCTGAAGCTGCTCTTTACTGTCTACAAAAGGGCTTTACATTACTTTCCTGAAGGAGTTCTGTTTTTGTGAATTCCTCTTAAATGAGAAAAAGTGTATCATTTACTTTGATACCTTTGTGTCCAACATATGCTTAAACTATATACAGTTTTTAGTTAAAACAAAAAATGAGCTACATTTAGTCTTCTTTTATAAATTCTTAGGTTAGCATTTTGTTTTTGTTGCTCAAGATTACAACTTTCTATATTTAAAAAGTTTATGAAAAATATTAAGTCTACACAGTACTAACATGTTGTGAAGCTACATTTGGCTGGCTGGGCTCTGATCCAGTTCTCAAATATTCAGAGTAGAAAAGAAAACCTCATTGCATAAGAAGTGAGCCCATCTTTACAGAAGAAGGATTTGCTGGATCAATTTGTTATGTCAAAAGGGATATTTTTCTTTGAAAAGCACAGAACTATACTGATTAAATGTTTGGAAAGTATTAGTTTTGTCATCAAATGTAAGTTGTTGGTAGACATTCAAAGTGTTTTCAATTCTTCGGTAATGTGTATCTGACTAGTGTTTACATTTTGGTTTTGATTTTTCCCTAGTATTTTCTCTCAAAAAGGCTCTTGGCAGTTTGCATTTTATTAAAAAAATAAAAATAGAGCAATATGCGGCAGAAACTATAGAACCACCCATATATGCTTTGCTAACCTGCAGAAAAACTGGAATAAAGCACACCACATAAATTTAAACTTTAAATGCATTCAAAAAGAAGTCTCTTAAGGCTTACTATTCCATTGATAATTGAGGTGGTTGTAGTAGGAGGAGCAAGGAAACCATATTAGCTGAGCATGTAAAGAGTACATTCCCTCATTCCATTGGTCAACTGCAGCCTTTCTGCACTTGGAACTAAGGAGCAGGTTTCTTTTCATGGTAGATAGCAGGGATTGCCACACAAGTTTCAGTCGTGCACCCTTCTTAATTAAAAATTAAGCATTGCTCTCACCTCCTATGATTATTGTTAGCTAATGTTTGGGAAATATTTTAAACACTTAAAACATGGTTTATGCAGCCACTAAGTTTAATGGCCTCATTCATACATCACATAAGTCAAATGTGCATGAGTGAATGTGTGGGCACTCAGAGGGGAAATTGTAGCTGCTGTGCTGCTCTCCAGTTTCATTAATGTGCTTTGCTAAGACAAGTTCATGGTTTGGCTTAGTGTGTTTGAGCCCAGGCTTGTGCGTCAGCTCTCTCTAGACAAGCCACAATCTTTAACCACTGTTTACCCTATGGTGTACAGCTTGTGATTTGCCTGGAGTGAGCTAAAGCGCAAGTCTGGGTTCAGACAACAAGTTCAGCAAAACAATGGCTTAGCAAAGCACAACAACAAAACAACCAGGGAAGACCAAGCTGGCTGTGTTCTGCTCTCTGGGAGCCCACACGCTTACTCATTTGGGCTAAGCCATGATTAGCCATGGTCGGGGTAAGTGTGATGTGAAAAGCAGACCAATGTCAGTAATTTGTGCCCATTTGTGCGAACTGCTTTTATACTTGTCTTCTTAAAAACGTGCATTGTCTGGAGTTAAGTAGTAAGCATCATGTGAACTTGCTAAGCCCTTTCATTATTCGTTACAGGTATTTGTTAAGTGTCACTTCGATTATAATCCATATAACGACAACCTGATTCCATGCAAAGAAGCAGGGCTCAAGTTTTCTAAAGGAGAAATTCTTCAAATTGTGAATCGTGAAGACCCAAACTGGTGGCAGGTTAGAAGACAATAAGTTTAATACAATCTTCTCTAGACTTGTCATTTCCTCATCTTTATTCATTTATTTGTTGCATATTTTATTGTTGTGCAAAGTCTTCCTATTCAAATGCACATTGCAGTATTTTTAAAGACTGATCAGTCTATGATTCAGTGTCATAAGGGATTGCTTTCAAACTTCAATTGTAGACAGCTATTTTTAACGTACATCCCCTCGTGGTCAGAATTAGTTCATTCCAAATGGTTGCAATGAATTTTTATATCAAGAAAAATAATGGAATGAGAGAGACAGGAATGTTTTAAATTGGTCCACTGCTGATTACTAGGGAGCCAGGTTACCTGAGGCTGCTTTATTCAATCGGAATATAGCATGAATGTTTTATAGAAAACCTAGTGAGGAACAATGTGTGAGGTGGTAGGTTTCTTATATAACTTTAGGCTAGCGAGGTTGGCAGATTTTGTGTATTTATTGAGCAAAAAAGGATGTGATCAAACTTTGATATTACCTTGGCTCTGTGATTCAGAGCATCTCATTTCACTAGGCTCACTGCTCTAGCAGCTGTGGTTTATCCTAGCATTCTGCCCACTGCATTCTAGTTTTTTTCTAGCTTTCTTTCCAGAGCATGACTGGGGATCCTGCTGTGTAAGTGGAGATCAGCCCAGATATTTCAAGAGAAATGGAGGTGGAAGAAACACTTCCTATGGAATTATTTGCCTTATTTTCATATAGTTTAGTACTATAAGCAGCTTTGCTCTGTTTCTGTTCCATTTTTCCTCACTCTCCCACCCCTTGCCAGAATATGAATTTCATGTGAATATTGTGATTTTATTCAAGTTGATTGGATTAGATTGGTTTGCATTTTCTTACATTATTTACGGGCTGTTGGCAACATATGCAATTTTTTGAATTTGAACTGGATTTAAGTTTATACACCAGTATTAGGAATAAGTAAAAGGAGAAAGAACGACACCTGCTATCTTCAACACTTATGGTTGGGTTACAAAAGTCAAGCTTGTGTATCTTTCTAAGAACACAATCTACTGAAATTAGAGGTAATAGTTGTGGTTTGTGTTGCTTTCTGTTCCAAATAAATTGGTAGAAAGCTTTATTAAATATGATTTTGTCAATCGTATAGAAGAACTACGTATATAGAAGAATCAGCATGGGTTCTGCAAAGGGAGTCATCCACTTATCTTTTATAGTTCTTAGTGTCAAGCATGTGGATAGGGGTGATCACGTAGACAGTGCTGTACATGGATTTCCAAAAGGCCTTTGATTTAGTCTTCATCAGTGTCTCCTGAGTAAACTTTAGCACTCATGGAATAAGAGATTCATAACTGGTTAAACACAGAAAGCGAAGAGTAGAAATAAATTGAATGTTTACCATAGAGAGAGAATAAGAAGGATTCTCGAGGGATCATTGTTGGAACTGATGCTTCTTAAGTTGCTGGTAAGTGATCTCAAGTTAGGGGTGGGCAGTGAAGTGAGAAATGACACAAAATTACTTAGCATTATATTTAAAAAAGCAGAATGAAGAGCTTTAAATGGAACTCTCCACACTAGATGAATGGGAAACACATGCCATTGGAAGTTACAGCATTCCAAAGAACATTGGGAGTTTCTGGTTGGCATATTTAGTGCTTCTGTCAATACCTTGGTCACTTTGTGGAGTTATTAGGCAGTTGGCACAATTGTTCCTAAGCACCATTTTTTTTTCTACTAAGAATTACTTCAGTTCCTTAGTATTCAGGGGAGCTGACGACAGTGAAGCAATTATGAAGACTTGTGGAGGGGGTGGAAGACTTCCAGTGAATCTGATCACTGGTTGGAGCTCTTTATAGATTATACCCCATGGCTGGAATGTCAGTAAAGAAGCAGTTCTTTTTCAACAATGTTTTATCTTCAAGGTGTTTTCCAATGGAACTTCTCTGTGTGGTTCAAGGTTTGCAGTTTGGCCCATATGGTGATGATAAGGAATCCAGTGGGACTTGTATGCAAAGCACTCCAAGGATAAAGGCACTTGTGTCTGCTGTCTATCAGATGCAACAATTTTAATGATGTCAGTCTATGAAGTGATTAGAACATTACTTGGTCCTGTGGTCTTGATTCAGTTGGATTCAGTTTTTGAGGTTGAGGAATGTGGACTAGCTGCTTGGACAAGTACAGCCCACTTTTTGTCTTTTCAACCCTTGCCCATCTTGATTCATTACAAACAGCAAGGGAGTCATCAGCTGTGTCCAGGAAGGTGTTAAACATCTGCTTGATAGTCAAAGTGGCCTACTTTTAAAAGCGACAGTGGCGTGACTACTTCTGAATAAGCCTACTCTGGGCCCAGAGGTTCTTAATTATTGCTTGGTTGCTGATATTCCTGTTCCGGGCTGAATATTCAAGCACAAAGTTGCTTTAGAACTCCAGGCACATGGATCAGGCACAGTTTCTAGATTTTCTTCAGTCAGGGTTCAGGTCTGGCTTTTGAAGCATGGGCAGGCTATTGAGACTGCTTTGTCCTTCCTAGGCTGGGAGAAAAACAGAAGGAGAGCAAACCATTCTAGACCTCTCAGTGGCTTTTGATAACTGTTGACCATGGTTTCTTTCTGTATAGGCTTTATGATGTAGGCATAAAGAGGGTTTTGCAGTGAACCCTCTTACAGAAGCCTGCAGTTCACGAAGGGGCTCTAGAAGGGGGCTCTGGCCGTTACTGTCTGACTCCTTGTGGCTAATGCTATCAGATCCTGCAGGCTTCTGTGTTGTCTCTCCTGCGATGCACACGAGGCAGAAAATCATACCTTCACATCGGGGTCTGAACTAGTGGTGGCTAATTGGGAAAGACATCTTTGTTATGGTGGATAGCTCCTAAAGAAGCTGTGATGTGCAGCAGCTGTGAAAAAAGTGAATTCCATGTTACGAATGATTAGGAAAGAGGTCCAAAATAAAACCTCCAGCATTGTAGTGCCTTTATACAAATCTATGGTGTGCTCTGTTGGTCCATCTGTACTTGGAATATTTTGTGTAGTTCTGGATGCTGCATCTCAGAAAAGGATACCCCACAGCTGGAGAAGGTGTAGAAAAAGCCAGTCAAAATGAACAGGGATTGGATGTAACTTTCAAGAAAAAAGCTACATCTGGGGCTTTTTAGTTTAGAAAAGGGGTGAGTAAGGGGAGGGGTGAGATGAACAAAGGAACATTATGTCTAAGGTGGAAAAAATGGTCAAAGGATTCTCTCTCTCTCCCATGATACTTGTACTCTGAAGTAATTTAATGAAGCTGATTCAAAAGAGATAAAGGAGATACAAAAAAAGAAAAAAGGAAGGGCTCCATATAGTGCTCAGTTAAATTGTGAAATTTGCTGCCACAAGTTCTGGAGGTGACCTCTAGATAGATGGCCTATAGCTTCTTAGAGAATAGACAAATTCATGGAGGATAAGTCTAGTATGGAGTACTAGTCATGATGCATTTTACAGGATCAGAGACAATATGCCACAGCAGCTGATTTTGACAGCAGAAGAAGGCTATGGCTTTCATTTCTTGCTTGTGGGCTTTCAAATGCATCTCCTGGGCCACAGCAAAAAGCAGGAATACTGTAATAGATGGATCTTTGATCTGATTCTGCAAAGATCTTCCTTGTGTTGGGATGACATTTTAGTTTGCAAAATAACAACAAATGAAGTTCTTGGGAGATTTCTGAAGAAATTGGAAGATTCATGTAGACCTCAGTCTAAATCTGGCTATAAAATGTTTGAAATTGTTTATGAACCACTTGAGTCAACATTTCATACTAGAAATAAGACTATGAAATGAATGCTTAAACATTTAACTGGTAATAAACCAGCAAAACTACACTCTGGGGATGTTCAATGAAGAGTAAGTTGTAGTTGGGTTTTTTTTGGTGGAGTGCAGGGGAGAAAATTCAAATCACTGTTTCAGAAGACCCATCTATTCTGACACCCACATTGAACTAAATGTTCCAGTTATTACCTAGTAGCAGTATGTGGTATTGCTTTAAATCCAAACATGTTGCTGTAGCTAAACTGCAGCATATTAAATAAGATCTTTGTTACATTAGAAGTAGTAGTTGTTGTCGTTTTACTATGGATTGGTGCCAAAACATGTTTAATTTGATTCCAGGCTAGCCATGTCAAAGAAGGAGGAAGTGCAGGACTTATTCCTAGCCAGTTCTTGGAAGAAAAGAGGAAAGCATTTGTTCGACGGGATTGGGACAATTCAGGTAAGGAGCACAGCAGTGTAGCACTTTGCATCGCTTCTGAATCTGCAAGTTCAAGAAGCTATGAACAATGGAAGTGCATCAGTGATTTTGGCAATTACAAATTATTTGACCTGAGATAAAATAAAAAGCAAGAATTAAAATATTCACTCCCTTGCAAATTTGAGGCCTTTCTGCCACCTGCTGGTACACAGGCAATATTAAGTAGAAAGCAAACTGACTTTATAAACACAGGTATTTGTTTGCTACAGCTGCATAAACCCAATTTACGCAAGGGTAGTATAGTTTTTGCTTGTAAAAGATCATTCCAATCTTTCCTAGCATTGATGAAGGTTTATCCTGAGTTGCCATGGAGTATATTTTTACTTTTCCCCATTTATTTTCAGGTCCTTTTTGTGGAACAATAAGTAGTAAAAAGAAGAAAAAGATGATGTATCTCACAACTAGAAATGCAGGTATATGAACTTTTAGCATTAAATACTGCATCACAACAGAACAAACCCAGCAAGAACATTTTGAATTGTGCTTGATTTATATTTTGTTTCTTAATTTATAATTTTCAACATAAGGAGAATATTAATTTGAAAAAAGCGCTTTTATCTTCATTTCCTCCTGTTACGATACTTATATATTGAGCACCTGTTCTTATCTATACTAGTCCAGAAAATGGCTCCTGGTGAAATTTAGCTTTTCTCTATTTCCATTTGTATATTCTTGCAATCTAACATAATGTTTTCCAAATCATATTTGGAATATTTTATATTATTCTTGAAATTTGCAATATTTATATGCTGCTTTTTATGATAGCTGTCTTCCCAATGGCTTCTATGTAGTATTAAAATACAGGACATAACAAAGTAAATGCAGAACCCATAGTAAAAATAATAAACTCCAAAGTGGTTTCCCCATATTGTTTTGTGGTGTTGTGTGAAAGCATCTCCATGTATATGCAATAAATGTAGGGAATGGGAGTTTACCCACTGGCTCTGCTCTGTGTCTGCATTCAGCACTAGTGAGCAAGGAGTCCTCCATTCTGTTGGGAACCATGGGGTCATTATTATTCCCAATTTGTGTGAAGGAGTGAATCCCTTTCACAATGCATGGGTGTTATGATTCAGTATGTGTATGTACTGAACATCCGTATACCGCCAAAAGCCCAGCAAGGATGTTAGCATCCTTGGGAAAGTTCTGGAGGAAATTGTCTGTATCCTAAGGTATAGCAAGAGCGCTGAACAGTGTTGAAACTGTATAATGTTCCACTGTCTTGTTTTTATTATGTTAAATGTGTCCAGAATTTGACCGCCATGAAATTCAGATATATGAGGAAGTAGCCAAAATGCCTCCATTTCAAAGAAAGACATTGGTGTTAATAGGAGCCCAGGGAGTGGGCCGAAGAAGTCTGAAAAACAGGTTTATTGTACTAAATCCCACAAAGTTTGGAACCACAGTGCCATGTAAGTTGTATGTACTGTCACTCTTGATTCTGACCTTTCCCTTCTTTCTCTCTGATGATGTTAGATTCAGGCTGGTATTATATATTGTGATGCAAGAAGAAAGCTAGAGTAACTGCAGATTAAAACACTAGAAATAAACTTGGCTCATATTTTGTAAGTAAACATTTTTACAGTGCTTTTGGGGTGGTGGTGTAGCTTTGACTAGCAGTAATTGAGTGCCAGCAAACTGCATACCAAAACACACTCACTTGGGGAGAAGAAGCTGCATGGAGCTTGGATTTATTTCTGATTCAACATTGGGCTGTATGTTATGTAAGAATGTCTGCAGTTCCAGTTTAAAAATACCTTGACAATTTTGTTTATAATTTTAAGAGTGACATTTGATGTTTCTGTTCAGGAACTTCTCAGGTTTTTGGTGCCAACATTTGAGAATACAAATTGGTAAAAATTGGGACCCCACCCTTGGAAGAAATGCCATTCCGCTCATGTAGGACACGTTTTGGATCTGAGCCCTGTAAGATCCAATTGCATGAATAGACAAGTGGCGATGTCAGTCTAACTTTTGATGTGTTGTGCATTTGTCAAACTTATCTAGTTACATCACGAAAGCCAAGGGATGATGAAAAAGATGGTCAAGCCTACAGGTTTGTGTCCCGAGTTGAAATGGAGGCAGATGTTAAAGCTGGAAGATACTTGGAACATGGAGAATATGAAGGAAACCTTTATGGCACCAAAATAGATTCTATCCTTGAAGTGGTTCAGACTGGAAGGACGTGCATCTTGGATGTAAATCCACAGGTATGCTGGAGTAATACTATATTCAAATAGAAGCATCAAAAGGAAAGATTGTTTAGCTGACCATATGAAGGCAATTTTAACCTTAAGAGAGCCTCTGCATTACAGATGGTGACTATAATCCCATTAACTAAGCAGTGAAGAGAACATTTGATTTGCAGGTGCCAAAGCATAGCAGAACCCTTCTCATTAAAAGTGCAGCTAAAGATACTTTACTGCAGGGCTGCAGCCTTTGGTAATCATTAGAGAAGCAAGTAACACTCAGTTACAACGTTACATAATTTCTTCTCACTATTTGCTAATTTATTTGAATCGTGCAAGGCTGAATTTTAATATTTTAAATGGGGGAGGTGGAGATTATATATTTTGCACACTGCCATCCTCTTAAAGTTTCCTGCTTTTAGTGTATGAAGTTTTGCAATAATGCTCCTTTCTAATTAATCTCAGAATGTTGTGTGATCTAGCTGATGCTCTCTTTCTCTAGGCACTTAAAATATTGCGGACTTCAGAGTTTATGCCCTACGTAGTGTTCATTGCTGCTCCAGAACTTGAGACATTGCGTGCCATGCACAAAGCCGTGGTAGATGCGGGGATTACAACCAAACTTCTTACAGTAAGGCAAATCTAACTTTTAAAAATGTATATATGAACAAACTTGACCCATTGCATCAACACTAGCATTTCTATGCCTTGTGTACTTGGTGGCCACCTTCAATCCCTAAGTTTCTTACCTTTCTTGGGTTTTTACACCATGAACGCTTCCATACATTGCTGCAGGTGGTACTTTTCCTTCCCCTTGATAACTGCTGCCTTACAGAAGGTCTAGGTAGGCAGATGGCTTTCCTAAGTGATGTTCATAATGGGGTTTGTTTTTTTTAACCTCCCAATACACGAGGATTGGAGTGTGTGGATATGATTAACGCAGCAAGTAAAGTTAATGCGGCATTTCCAAGAAATTTGGCTGTTTGATTGAAAGATGGCCATACACCTTGTTTCTGTGAAAGGGTGTGATCTTAAAGATGCATTATAATTACCGTATTTTTTGCACCATAACGCTCACTTTTTTCCTCCTAGAAAGTAAGGGGAAATGTCTGTGCGTGTTATGGAGGGAATGCCTACGGGTGGCATGCCTACGGATTTTCCTCCTCTAAAAACTACGTGCGTGTTATGGTCGGGTGCGTGTTATAGAGCGAAAAATACGGTATCTACTTATCATAGCATGGCACCTGGTTTTTTTCCTGCCATCCCTCAGTAAAATCACTTGGGGTAGAATGCATTAAAACAATGAACACAGAAAGTATATGAAAGGTCCATAATGAAACATCAGGAGGAACAATGAATGCAACCCATAAATTCACCAGTGTGAGTAAAATCATAATCAGGATGACTTGCTTTACATGTTAAAAACAGCTAGGCAAATTAAAAGGCATTTCCCTGGTGATGAAATTACATAAAAAGAACTTAAAGAGTAAAGTCTCCCTGGGAAGCGTATTTCTCAGGTGAGGTATCTCCCAAGTCACCACTCATATATAACTTCAGATAGAGGAGGGCCTTAGATGATTATCCCAGAATTTGAGCAGATTTGTGTGGTAGAATGCTGTCCTTCAGGTACTTGGGTCTCAGGCTTTTTAGAGCTTTATATATAATCACTAGCTCTTTGAAATGTCTTTGGCAACAAACTGGCATAATTTTTAGGGTTAGGGTTAGTGGTGAGATATGTTGGTACGGATGCAGCTGCTTCACTGTATTACTAAAGTTTTCTAGGGCTTTTTCAAATTCACGTACATTGTATTGCTGTAATCTGATCTGGAGACAATAGTGCTACTTGGAAAAAAATACTTTCAGAGTTGGCTGATGCAGAGCTATAGTCAATTTACTAACATGCAAATATTATTCTAGAGTGTTTATATGTAATTATGGGCATCGAGGATTTTAGACCTTATATAACAAATAGAGTATTTTCATGCATTGAATAAAACTTGTACTCTTTAAGATATCATTGCATTTCTAAGCCTGTCTCTACCACGTTTTGCTAGGAAGCAGTTCCCACTGAGATCCTCAAGAATGTCTTCTGAATAAATTATGTTTAAAATCTGGCTGCCAGTTTTAAAACCTTAACTGAAGTAAAACAAAAGCAGAATATATAGTTTCCTTTGCTTTTCAGATCATGTTTTTATTTGTTTCAATCTTCAAACAGGACACTGATTTGAAGAAAACGGTTGATGAGAGTGCACGGATTCAGAGAGCTTACAGCCACTATTTTGATCTGATCATTGTGAATGACAATCTAGACAAAGCCTTTGAAAAGTTGCAAACCGCTACAGAGAAGCTGAGGACGGAACCACAGTGGGTTCCAATTAGCTGGGTATACTGACAGTTCTTTTTGAAGACTGGTGTAAGCACCAAACTAGGCTTTCTGCACATCATAAACATTATATCGATAACACATTGTACAGAGGTGCCAGTCACTAACAGCACCTGATGCATTTGTATTCTGTGTATATTTAGATAATGGTATGCTATTCCAAGTTTTTATACAATATATTGAAGGGAAAGTGTACTTAATATGTAATTTATTTTAATTTTTCTAACTTTTTACAAATCTTTCTATTCATACCACATGAAGGAAATGCGTTGAAGCATTTTTATAAATGTTTTGATTTACTACTTTGCCTTTTACTCATCTAAGGAACATTCACTTCTACATCTGGTCTTACATTTTCACTGTGATAAGGAGAAAAATACTTGAAAAAAATGTTGTTGTTTTTTGTAAAACTCGGTTTAAATCAAGTGTTTTATCTGGTTGGTTTTTTCTTATTTAGAAGAAGACACTAATCCTTATCCTAATAAACATGTATCTCTCCTTGACGTGATCAGAATTTTCAATACTTAAGCAACCAGCACTGAGCCATGTTACTGACACCTTTTTGCTTAATGTTTATAGACATGTTTTGCAGTTGTCTTGTCTTAGGCAGATGTACTGTAGACTTCCCTGTATATCTTTTTACTGAAAGTAAAAGCAATACCTTGAACTTTCCCTAGGAGGCTGCTCTGGTGAGCCAACATTTCTACCCATTAGAAACAAGTATTACTGTCTGAGTTATGTAATGTGATTCATTGTGTTTGGGATCATGGTGAAATAGCCTAAGAGAGCCTTACAACACAGAACCTTGCAGTGAGGCTCAGCATGTAGGATGTTTGTTCTCACTTGTGAAAAACCATTGCTTTAAAATAACAGAACCTGCTCCTTTACAATGACTTTGCTCTGTATTTCTATATTGTTCTGTGACGCGCTTTTATTTTACGCCAGAATATTATGAGTGATTATGTGTGTTATGAAATATGACGTGATGGGACTTCTGAGCTACATGTTACCTTGTGTTATTCACCAAATAGCTTGTGAACCTAAAATTATTGTCAGTTCCTAAAAATCAATGTTATTTATAAGTGGGTTTATTTATGTTTTACAATCATGTTTCTTTTTCTTCCAGTGTTCATAGTAACTTTTCTCTTTCGGCAAAATTAATTCATCTACTAACTTAGGTTCATATTCACTTAAATACTTTTGCTGATGTATATTCTGTTTAATGAATATAAATGCAGATTGTCACTTAGACAGACTAGTCTGGTGACCATAGTTTACATTATGCTTGCTGTTGTAAATACGCCCATTCATTACTAACATGCTAGGTGCCTGAATTGGTTGTCATCTGCCATTTCATTTATTTTTTCCATGTGAAGGCAGGCACTTGGCTTCAGATTTTATTTTCAACACCAAAGTTCCATACATAGGATGCCAACAAAGGAGAAGCTTGGAAAAGGCTGAGACAGTGCAAACAAGTTCTTAAAATGTTTTATAATTTTTTTTGATTGTGCACAAGAAAACAGGGTTTGGATAGTTTTTACCTTATACAGAGACACGATGAGACACCAAAAAGGTATTATATATTTAAAACCTTTAAGGTATTTTTTTAAATACTTCAGTATATTTTGTAAATGTTATGCAGATTATTGCATACCTTTGTCTTAATTGCTGTTGCTACTTAAGATTTTAGCTTTTAACAATATAACATATTTTTTAAGAACTTCTATTATGTTAAATCTCTAGGCTATGTATTTGAAAAATGTATTCAGCTGAGACTGTGGAAAGATTATATTCCTGTGTGGTACCCAGAATGACACTTTAAAAGTGTATGTCCGCAGTTTTGATGCTGTTGTAGGTTTAAAGGATGAGGCACAATGTGATGATTACTTTTGGTGGACAAAGCTGTGTTTAAATGGAACCTTGCAAGAGGTCAGTGAATCCTAACCTCAGATGTTAACTCCCGCTCCTTTGTTTTCCAGTGCTTCAGTAGATTTGGTGCATCATCTTTGGACCAGCTTGAGCAAAGGTAGCCCGGGCTTTGGGGCTCTTCTTGCTCAGATTCCAAACGTGAACTATTTTTGAGAGAGAGAATCCTAAGACTGAATAGCCACATAATCTGCTCCCTATCCTCTTAGTGTTCTGTTCTGCTTTTAGCACAGTGGATGGGTATGGCTCACTTGGGTTGGAAAGCAGGAAGAGCTACTAGCAAATAGGTCAGAGTTTCATGAAAAATTAACAGGAATTAGATGTTGGTTATAAGTCCCACAAGCTCTGAAAAGGGATAGTGCTGCCCAGGGGCAGTAGACGAAAAGAAAAGTGATAGGAAACACTAATGTTTGTCTTAACTGCTGCCTCTAAAGTCAGGCACATTGAGAGAGAGCTAGCGAGCTCTCTGGACATGCAGTTTTTATACTGCTACTGTGAAGATTTTGGAAGAATTGGTTAAACTGTGTCATTAGGAGCAGCAATAGCCAAGCCATGGGTTGATCCTTTTGAGTCCAACCGTGGTCTGGTGTGTGTTTAAAACATGTGTCATTGCCATTCTCCAGCAGGAAACAGATCTAGGAACAACTGTGTTTAACATGAAATCATGCCTTTTTACAAGATGGCAGAATAAACTGACTTTTTGAACTGTGATGCCAAAGGAGGGTTGAGCTAGCTCCTCCCTAATTAATAATCAAAAAGTGATTTTACTTTCCACACCACAGTGCCACTAAATCAACTTTTGCTGTACTTGTACTTTAAAATGCTGAGCTTGCATTTTCAAATATTGAGCCCGTGTATTGTTATACGTTTGGAGGGGAGAGGCAGATAATAGCAGCCAAAATTCCGGTCCTTCTGCTGAGGACAGTGCCATGGCGATGTGCTCAGTATTGTACTGTTGTTGTATCAAGACTTTTTAAAGAGAAGGGCCACAGCTCATTGGCTGACAATCTGCTTTGCATGCAAATGTACCAGGTTCAGTCTCTGGCACCTCCAGGTAGTCCTGGAAAGACTTTTGTCTGAACTCTCAGAGAACTGTTGCCAGTGTAGCTACAGTCCAAGGCAGATGACCATTTGCCTCTGCAGTTTCCAGTGCATAATGACCCCAAACGATACTGGAAAGAGCACTTGCTACATTATGTGCTTTTAGGGGCTCAAGTTAGGTTTTTAAAAAATTGCTTCCCTCCCTTCTAAAGTGAGAAGAATGTGGGCAACTTCACATGTATTTTCCATTACCTGAGAGTAAGCACCAATGAACTCAACTCATATATATATACATACATACATGGTTGTGCTCTACATTCCAATTACCCAACGAAGCCACTTGTCACTTCTGCCAAAACACAATTGCTTGCCGCTTTTTGTTTCATTTACTGAACTGCACATGATCAGCTGTGTGCCACCTATAGGTAAAGGGACCCCTGACCATTAGGTCCAGTCATGGTCGACTCTGGGGTTGCGGTGCTCATCTCGCTTTATTGGCCGAGGGAGCTGGCGTACAGCTTCCAGGTCATGTGGCCAGCATGACTAAGCCGCTTTCTGGCAAACCAGAGCAGCGCACGGAAATGCCGTTTACCTTCCTGCCGGAGCGGTACCTATTTATCTACTTGCACTTTGATGTGCTTTCGAACTGCTAGGTTGGCAGGAGCAGGGACCGAGCAATTGGAGCTCACCCTGTCGTGGGGATTCGAACCGCCAACCTGATCGGCAAGCCCTAGGCTCTGTGGTTTAACCCACAGCACCAACCCACAGCGCCACAATAAAAATAGCATTGGTTTATCTGACTGCCTTTATTGGACATAGTCTAAAGTCACACAGATCAGCAGGAATTAGAAAGATGGGTGGAAATGTCCTACAGTAGTAAGTAAGTTTGGTAGAAAACAAATGGAACACCTTTAAAAATGCATTGGTCATTTTACTACCCACCTTCAAAGAAATATGTGCTCAGTGTCTCTTGAGATAGCTTTTTATTGAGGGATAAAAATCTGGCAATCTTCTAAAAGTGAACTGTAGATCTTAAGCCAACTTATATGTTGTATTTTTTTAAAAGAAAATGTTTTATTTTGACTTCCTTGGGTACTATGCAGTTCATTGAGCGATACAGAGTTTAATACTTGTACATAAGCTTAGAATGAGAATATTGGAATTCTGCTTGCAGTTTTTTCACTTGAAAAATTCACACCAAACTGTTGAGGATTGCAGACAAGATGAATGAGGCTGATTCAGATCTACTCAAAGTTAAGTTTAGCTTATATATGGCTTATTTGTATGTATCTGGTTACTTGATCTTTTGGACAACAGAGCTGCTATAGTGTTAAAATATTCTCATCAAGTAATTTGTAAATATATTGCCTGGGCCGTTTCCATATTATACTGTAACAAAAGGAGTAGAAGGTATCTAGTGACGGACTATAAGTCTGCAGTGTAAAACTACAAGGGTGGAAGTAGAGCCAGGGCAGGGCAGAAGGCATGGGAAATTGAGACTGGGGTTTTTTGGTGAGCAAGTGTTTCCCTTTCTGCTTCACATCATGCAGTGATGCCTTAGAGATATATGTATCTCTTTGTCATCCATGCAGAACCTGGAAACTTACTGGGTGTGTATGCCAAAAACACAAATCCCTTTGCTTAAGTGTGAGGCCCTGTTTGTCTTGTGCTAACAACTTTGCTACAGTTGTAATGAACTCTCTTTTTAGAAAAATCTATGAATAAACTGAAGCCATTTAACCTTGGAGAAAACTACAGGAAGGTTGCTAAATCTTGCTTTAGGGGTCACAGATTTCCAAGCATGAGTTTTTCCTGGGAACTTTTTTTTTAGAAAAGAAAACCCAGCAACTTAAGGCTTCATAAAATAAAAAAAATCAAGTCTGAGTGAAATGTATGGGCTAGAAATCTCAAAAGGAAGATGCGGTGGTATATCCAGGGTTTCAGTGCTTTGTTTTTATACTGTCTACAGATGCAGAAGAAACTATATGTCGGCTTGGGTACTGTATTTTATATAGGCTGTAGAATCTTTAGGAGGCTAGTGGCAGCTGCTTTCAAGAACTCCAGTGGAGTCTTGTGAGCAAGGGAGAAAGATGATCTTGTTCCGTTCTTCAAATGGCACAGATGTGCACAGAGTTGGGTATCAACTAGGAAGTCCATATTGGTTTTCACCCTGGGAATGATACTAGACACAAACAAAAAAGGCAGGCAAAATTCATTGATGTAATGAAATAGTATGAAACTTGCTGATTTGAGATCTTGAGTATTTTTTTATAACCTCAGAGCAAGGTACAGCATTCCATAAGCCGTAAGGAAGTTGTGTGGTCTAGCTGGGAGACGGTAATCACAGTTTTGGTATCACTGATCCAAATTTTAAATATTTTCCCAAATTTAAATCAGAAGTTTTTGTCTTGGCTGTAAACTACTTTGGCTTACATTTTAAATTACAGTTCAGTGTTATGACTATAGCTGCTAAAGAGGAACTTTGTCATTATAAAAACTAAGTAAATAACAGCTATGAAGAGGATAAAACAGTTGGCCACAATCTAGTTATACCGGTAAGTGCTTTTTTTGTATTTAAAAGATCTATAAAAAAGTATTGAAGGGCTTTGCCTCCTATGGGTTTATTTTGAAGAATGCTATAGTGCAGCTTCTATAGTAGACAAACAGTTTATTGCAGCTAGGAGAGTAATCTCCCCTTAATTTTCCCTACTGAATAGGCATAGGTTGGATCTGTTGTTTTGGCAGCACTGTGGCAGAGAACTTTGATCAGTCTTCCATGAATTAATTTTAACCTGCTTGTTTCAGTTTAAAGACAAGAGAAATGTGTCATTGAGGCTGTCCTAAAATAGCCATTCTTACATGCTACTAGAAAATTGGTAAGCTTTATCAAATGGGCAGTGCACTGATCAGGAAAAACAAACCTTTGTACAGGCATCAGTATTCAAACTAACGTAGCATATCAACTGCCACTAACATGCATTTTTTATATTCAAGTCCTACACAACTGTACATTATTGTTATTATTATTTGTATTTTATAAGGATAGATTCCAAAACTTTGAATTATGTCAAGGTTATACAATTCATAATTTAGATTGCTGGTACTTTTTAGGTTTTTATGAAGCATCTATCACTTATTATTTGGTTTCTGTATGTGCACTGAAGTTGATATGTATTATTTGTGCAATCTGATTAAACCGTGGACTTTAGTCCTCTCCAGGCCTTATTGCCCTAAGAGACAGCATTGGTAGCAGAAGGCTGTGTGTAGTTTAAGTAAACTTCTGTGGTGAGGAGACTTGTACCTACCTGGAGGCTTCCTATACAACTGGGAACCAGGAAAGTCAATGTTTGCAGTATCATGGGGAGCTTCAATGGAACGAACAAGGCTCCTCACTGCAGAAGTTTATTTCAACTGTGCAAAGGGCTGGAAGGATTTGCATAGCCTCGAGAGACAGAGCTAAGTGCACAGCCTTGCGGCTCCATTCTGTTCATATTGTCTCACTGGGCAGTCACACCCGAAGAGGACTTTCGTTGATAAGAATTGTAAGATGTCCCTTGATAGCCTAATCCCAGAAAAATATTGTCTGGTACATTGATCAATTTAGATTATTCTGATGGACCATGGGGAAATTGATTAACTGCTAAAGTAGTTCCATAGAACAAGGCTAAGTGCTACTCAGCTAAAACTACAGTAACTTTTTTTTTAAACCCTCAATGTTTTCACGCTAAAGGCATATGTTGTTCTGTATAATTGTTGAAATGTACAAAGCTGTGAAATCCTGTTAACTCCTAATAAAGTATTTTTGTATATATGAAATAAATTTAATATTGGAAAAAGGGTTGCCTCGCAAGTTTTCCTGGCCCTTTCCTGAATGCCTCTGATGGAATGTTGCTGAACATCATTTTGTAGGGTAAATGTCACCACTGAACATCACTGCTTTGCTGAGAAAATGGGGGAAGCAAAGAGGGGCCAGACAGAAATGTACAGATTATCCATGAGAGTGAATTCCCTCTTTAATTGAGTAAAACATTGAATACGCCATCCTAGTTAACATAGGGCATGTTTCAAAACCTGTTGGTTTAGACTTTTGGAAAAAGCAATCTGTTTCAAAGGAAGGGGTGGAACCCAGATGAGCAGGATGAATACACAATGCTTCCTTATACTTTGCCCACTTAGCAAAGACTTCTCCTTGCACCCCTAGATTTCTGCTAACACTTACATGGTGTTAGAGATTAAACCAAGGGTCTTTTGCACTCAAAGCATGTGTGGCTACAACCTCTTCCTCAAGGAAAGGGAATTGGGTCAGATTTGACATGGCTCCTTCCACAAAGATGTTCTGGATAAGAAAACTCTCTAGTACAGGGATCTTCAACCCTTTCAGGCCTAAGATCCACTTTTAACTGAAACATGCATTTGGAGACTCCTTTCTTAACTCTTTCACCATATATTTGCAATGCCATTAGATCAGGCCGAGACCCACTAGTTGGTCCCAACTCACTGAAGACCTCTGCTCTAGTATATACAAACGCTAACAAAGCAATAAAGCAAAGGCTGCTTATAGAACAAATAAATGCTTCTGAAGTAACCTCTGAGGAGACAAAAACTGTTTTAATATGTGCATTGCAGATGAAGCACCCTTGCATGGCTCTTCAATATTTTCATTTATACACTCCATTTCAACTTCTGCCATGCTCCAGTGGCACAGCCAATTTGCCCATGTTCCCATTGTAATGATGCAAATCAGCCAGGTCCAACTCTATTATGACAGATATTAAATACTGCCGTTAGTTATCCTATTAAACCACCCAGGCCGCTGCTTCAAGCCTGAGCTGTTTTACAGCCTAATGCATGAAGTCCATACAATGCTATATAGAGAATGATTGGGGAAAATCTGGGTTTCTTCATGGTTACAGCTTTTATGCAAGACTCGGTCATCTCAAGGTTAATGTTTGATAAAGCAAACAGCCTTTGTGCTATCTGAAACCTTTGGGTGTCAGCAAGGGGAGCTAGCGCTGGATCTGCAAGTGTTAGCGTGCCGTCCGCTGAGGTCCTGTTAGGCTGTTCAGAGACAGAGAGAAAGAAAGGTTAAGAGGCATTTACAACGAAGTTTCAAGTGAACCTCTTCAGTAGCGAGGGTGAACTTAAAATATTTAGAGAGAGTGCTGAACTAGGACCTGAGTTCAAATCCCCACTCGGGCAGGAAACTCACTAGATGACCTTGTCAGTCAGTATCTCTCAGCCTATACTAGGGCTCATGTGAGGCTATAATGGGAGTGGGGCCATATGTGCCAGGAATGGCAGAGCCTCTGGCAGTCCAAATGCTACTGATGACAATTGTCAACATCCTTGATTACTGGCCATGCCGGCCGTGGATGATGCAAGGGGCAAAGCCACGCTGCTATCGTGACTTCGCACACTTGTGACTGCAGGACTTACCAAGCAACAGAGAGCAGGGACAACCTGGAGTTCACAGCAGGCGCGAAGCAGGACAAGCGCATAATCGGACAGTTCTGCAGCAAGGAAATAAGAGGCAAACCAAAACTTTGAGAAGGATGAAATTGAAAATTTGTACATAGCAGTGAAACAAGCCTATATGGAAACCTTAACAACGTAAACTCATGAAATCTAGAATTGGGGGACAGGGGGGAGGGAATGAGAAAAATAATCCTAAAAAATAATAATCAAGTAGCAGAACAGACATCGCTATTCTTTAGGAACCAGCAATAGCTTAACAAGTTTCCCAGCAGAAGCGAACATCTCTCTTCCCAGCCTCAATTTACCAGCCATCGACTTCACAGAATGTAGCAAACTGGCTTCTTGAACCAGGCAACTGAGCTTTGCACTCGCAATGCTGCTGCTCAAGACTGCATGCTCTCCTGCATCACAGGAGAAAGCAAAATTGCTCAGTCGGCAGAGCATGAGACTTTTAATCTCAGGGTTGAGGGTTCAAGTCCCACGTTGGGCGAAATATGCCTTTATCGCAGGGAGTTGGAATAGAGTAGACAAATGATGTCATGGAAGGGAAGAAATGGCAACTGCTTCACACAAAATTTGGCCATTGACCCAATCTAGCCTACAGCTGTGGTCCGTTTTCCAAAGTCTTTCAGGGTGGGTGTTTCTTTCCCAGTTCTAGAACCACCAAGCAGCTAATTTCTTTTTTCTTACTGTACCTGCTATAGCACTGAGGAGGATGTGAGCCGCTAAGAGGAGCTCCTTGTTGGAAAATGGGTCCTTTTGCAGGAACTGTTTGTTCCGTAAACGGATTCCAACAAGCTGTAAGAAATCCTCTATGTTTTTATGCTCTGGTGGCTTTGACTCCACCATTACAAGGAGTTCTGGTTTGTCTTCTGTACATATATGGTCCAGCTGTAAAGAACAGACAGTGTTGATGAGATGCTGAACATGGGACCAGAAATACATCAGCCCGTGGGGGCGGGGGTCAAAAATCAGCTATTATTGCTTATAAATAAAAAGGAGAAAGTTTGCGTATTTAGAAAGAAAGAAAAAGATTACCACATCCTCCAGCTCAGTCACCATTTCTTCCTGAAGCAGAAAATCACAGAGTAGTTGGTATAAAGTTCCCTGCTTTTCCTCTGTTAGCTTCATGAAGGGCTGGAAATGGGTCTTGAACTGCAAGGCATCTTTTGGAGACAAAAGGGGACACACATTAAGCAAGCTGATAGAAACCACACTGAAAGGGATTTGAAGGGGCAACACTTTCAACAGCATCTCAACCAAAGGTGACCAGTTCAATGAAACATTTTTTAAAAGCAGGGATGCAGCACCAGATGATATTGGACTGCAACTCCCATCATTTCTGACCACTGGCCATGCTGGCTGGGGCTGGGGCTTGCAGTTTTTTTTGGCGGGGGACGACGACAAGATCTCCATTTCTGAATTAGAGCATTACTACTAAATATGTTTTCAAGGCGTAACAATACAATCTTTCCTGGGATAGAAATCACAGCGAGGTGCCAAATTTGCCCTCCATTTGTTAACTACTTTGCATTCCACTTCTGGGTTTTGTTGCAGGAAAGCTTGCACTGCACTAGAGAGGTAAAACTCTGCAAATGGTTTAGGGGTGCGGGGGACCGGTGCCGCTCCAGAGGTTGGACTTCAACTCCCATTGGCCATGCTGGCTGGACCTGATGGGATTTGGAGTTCAACAACATCTGGAGGGCCCCAGGTTCTCACTTTTTTTTAAACAGCATATCTGTTCCTAATTATTGTTGTGCCTCTTCTTCATTAACAGAAACTTTTTTAAAAATGCTGAATTTGCCCTTTTTCACCCAATGCACCACTTATTTCTTGGTTTTTTGTTTCATTTTAATAAATGCTACATCTATATAAATATACTGTACATGTTTTACTCCATTATGATTTATCAGGGTGTTTATGGGGCAACTCTACAAATGCAGCATTTATTTTGAAAACTGATTTCTTTTTTAAAAAACAACCTGCAATTCTAGAAAGAGGAAGCTTTTATGTGCAGAAAATGTATGAAGAGTAGCTAGCAAAGTGAATGCCCGGAACTCAAACATAACTCAAACTGCAACATAAATGCTTTTTCTGGATGCACTCAGCCTGTAAAAGAGAAAAACCCATAGTACATTCACGTACTATTCATTTATAGAGCAGATAATAAAACCTGGGATTGAATGGCAAATGAGGCCTAAATTTGGATCAGTTGCAAATACGTTTAAGGATTGCTTGAACTGGGTAGAGTAAGCCAATGAAATCAAGAAGCAGCCACAAGCCTTTGAAATAGTCACATAGAGCAGCAAACCAAGAAAACAGTCGTGGGGAGACTCAACCAAAAAACACTTCAATTTCAGCAATACAGAGAGATTCCTTTTCTTCAATCAATTTACCTGTTCCAGAGAAAGTCCTATTTTGTTTCATTGATTGAAAAATGGCCGATTTTTATCATAGCTCTGGACCAACTTGGGGAAAAGACCACATTCAGAGGCCTTATGCAAAGGTGTTATGGAAGCTCTTTGCTGAAGCAGAAAAAGCAGCTTCAAAGCTGTAAGGCAAAGCAAGCTGCAACCTGCTCTCCCCTGTCCTGAAAACTAATTCTTTTTCTTCTCACAACTTTGTCTGACTAGACCTTAATTGGGCAAGATACAGCAAGCGCACATCAGCAACCAATTTTCGCTGCCCTAAATCTCAATTTGACCCTCATTTACAGCTTCTGCATCTACCTCTCTCATGACTTTGTCGAGTAAGGCGGCGCTTCCTGAGCAAAAACAAGGTTCTGCAGGGTCAAGGTGCTAAGTAAGCCTCTGCTGGGGAATTTAATTAAGAAAATGTTTCCATGCTGTGCAACAAATGCTCTGCAAAAAATTGCTATTCCATGCGTGCATCCCAAAACATTAATTTGGAACAGTTTGGAAGGGGCACAGTGTAGCCAAAATAGTTCGCAATTAAGTTCACGGCAAGGAATGATCTACCTTCCAAGCAGAACAGGAAGCACACGTTCCAAAGCACCACATTTTGACATTTGGTACCTTCACATGCCGTAACGGTTGTCCAGGAAAGGAGCCTATAGACCAATAGCATGCTATGTAAAAGGAAACCACACCTTGAAAAACGTGTGCATAGAAAATGCTCCAGAAATATGGGTGCAATTGTACAGAGCAACTTGGAGGTGGACAAAGGGGAAGATATAATTCGTTTCCCCTCCCAATTTTTGCGGGGGAATCCAAAGCAAACCCACATACGCACTTCGAGGGGAAGAGTGGTATAAATATATCCAATGGTGGACACCAATCTCAGATCCATTGAGGGGATCTCAATTCATTGATAACACTGGGCAACAATTTTTTACTTTTTGAATGTTGTCTAGATTTCTACGACTGATTTAGGGTATTTTTGCACTGCTGAATCAGGAAATGGCATCCGTTCCTCTCCATCAGGTCAGGTTTTCTGTAAATTGAATGGTGGGCATTGATAAAGGTAAGTACACATAAATTGCATGTTGCTTCACCATTTTTCAAACTTCAGGGCTTGAACTTCTGTTTCTTGGAACTCCTGGAATGCTCAGCGGCACGGAGGTCTCTCTTCAGAGTCCAACAGTAGTCAGCCATCATGACTGCGTCCCAGCAACCCTGATACCTGGTCTCCATCTCTTTCATGTCCTGATGGAATCTCTCCCCCTGCTCGTCACTCATTGAACCCAGGTTCTCAGGAAACGGGTCCATATGTGAAAATAGGTAGTGCATCTTGATGCTCATGTTGCAGCCCAGGTTTCTGAAAGCAGCATGTTGTTGACAAGTTCTGCGTAGTTTCTGGCCTTATTGTTGCCAAGAAAGTTCTTCACTACCAGAACAAATGCCTTCCATGCTTCCAGTTCCACTTCGTTCATTGAGTTTCCGAACTCTGGATCTCTGATGAGCTGACGGATCTGAGGACCGTCAAAGATGCCAGCTTTCAACTTCTCCATGGTCAATCCTGGAAAAGCCTGGCACAAGTAAATGAAGCAGTCACCATCCTTGTCCAGAGCCTTGGTGAACTGCTTGATTAAGCCAAGCTTGATGTGCAGCGGTGGGAAGAGTATTCTGTCTCTGTCCACCAGAGGGTCGTTGATGACGTTCCTTTCTTTGCAAGGCACCAATTCCTCCTGCACAGGCCAGTCCTTCTTCGTGTAATGCTGAGCACGGTCCCTACTATCCCACATGCACAGAAAACATGGGTACTTGGTGAAGCCAGACTGTTGTCCCAACAAAAAGTTCACCATCTTCAGGTCAACACAAATAAACCACTTATGCTGATCATAACCAATTTTCTCCAGCACATACTTCACTGCTTCATAGTTCTCCTTCAGTGTACTCGAGTGAGCCAGGGGTATAGAGGCAAACTGGTTGCCGTTGTGTAGCAGAACACATTTCAGTGATCGCTTGCTGCTGTCAATGAACAGTCTCCAATCTTTGGGTTCGTACTGTGGCACTCCAAGCTTGAGCAGAAGCTGCGCAATATCTGCACAGTACACCAAGTCCTTCTCTTCCAAGAAAAAACGGAGGTACTCTTGATGCCTGTTGCGGAAGAAGCTGATGCGAGCACTGTCACAGAGGAGGTTTTTTCCCTTCAATCTGGATACCAACAGTTCGGCAGAGTCCTTTGACAAGCTGAGGATGCAAACTAGATCATTCAACTCCTTTTGGGAAAATGGATGTGGAGCATCATCTTCAAGAACCACTCCTTCTTCTTCATGTCCTTCAACACTGGAGGCATCTTCGTCACTAATGTCAGGAAGTTCTCCGAAGATAGGCACTGGAATTTCATCACAATGAGCTACAGGATGACGTGCTGATTGAAGATCAGGATACTTCGTGGGGTGGCTGCCCCATTAACTTAGTTTTGATCCCCCAACTTTATGCTTTGCTGCACCAATTTATGGAAAATTTCGAGGTTTTATGACTTCAAACTGATCCCTTTTCGACATAATCACCCAGAACTATCGGACCTGAATACTTCTTGTCATTAAAATAATCATTTCCAATCAAAACAATTATTTGACAAGGCATTTTACCCCCACCAACTTCTTCTAAAATGCTCCACACAAGCATACATGTGAACAAAAACGTAAAAAAAGACATGTGGCCATAGCTCAAAAACTTGACCTGATTGAGCAAAACCAATGTGATTTTTGGATTCAGCGCATCAGATTTGTCCTAAATCAGCTGAAAAAACTCAGACAACAAATTTGTTGTTGACCAGTGTAACTAAAAAAATCCCTGCCCAAACCCAAAACACCACCTCTTTATTTTGTACATATCAACACGTGGAGCATGTGGCCTTTTCTACTCGGAGGGATGAGAATTTTATGAACCAGCAGCTGACACCAGTGTTTCCCTCTCCATTTAACAGTAAGTTGCACAACACTGTCTTGCTCAGGCTGGGTGTGAAGTTTGCTGCAATACCAATATAATTGTCTATTTCTTAGGTTCAAGAGCTGGAAGTACAGACCAGGAGGGGAATTTCAAACCCCTCTTTCCATGCTGCAGCAATCAGGTTGGCAGATGTATCTCCACCAATCTCCTCCCCCACACATCCCAACGTTCCTTTGTGTACCCTGATTTCTAAGAGCTTTTCAGAAGGCCTATTTAAAACTGAAAACAGGTTGATCTCTCATTTTGTTCCTAATGTGAGCCAGGTTTTCTTTTGTACTTCTTAACACTTTCCCCCCAGTCCTACCTTTGCTCAAAACACTTAATGGGGCATCACTGGGGACAGGGCCTGGCGGATTCTCGCTATCGACAGCATCCAGAAGATGGGGGAAGAAAGGATATCGGAAAGCTGCAGAATGGTAAGCTGGTCCTTCCATGCTCTCCCTCTCAAAGCCACCCTCTTGGTCATGTAGCAGGCAGAATTCTGTCAAACAGAAAGGGCTTGACTGAGTTATCCAGAAAGACTTTGGAAACACAGCAACAAAAAATTACCCAGAAGATGCCTTTTGATTACATGTTAGCCTGCCAAACACACACATACGCCAAACTATTCTTCCTGTGCACCTGAACTTTTAGAGAGAAAAAGAAAATTGCTAAATTACTGCCCCGCAAGTCTTTAACTGGTTGGGAAGGAGGGCTACACAATCGTAGCTAATTAGCAAGTTTGCTAAAACATGGTATGTTTATTTTACAGCTCCTCAAAGATATAAATGAGAATTGGATCCAAGTACCATGTTTAAATTTTTTTAACTAGTGAAGGTTGCCATGAGAAACATTTCCCCCCTGTCATGTTACGGTAAATACCACATCACACCACGAGACCCACAGTTATGTGAAAGAGATTGTATCTAACTGTCCATTTACTCGGCTGTCCATTCATCAAAATACACATTTGCTAATAGAAGCAAACTACTAGGATGAATACCGTTAACAGTTTTTCTGCTGTCACCCAAAGGAACTTAAGTCCTAGCGATTCAGGATTCATACTCCCTCTTTGTCCCATCTGTACAGAAAGACAGTGGAATGAAAACCTAAATATTGTGTGGCTTGCTATCATTAAGTACCATTCCCATAGGATGGGCTACTTGACTACACACCTTTGGGTTAAGTTTGCTCTGCGTGGCCCACACAGAAATATGTGCAGATTTGCTTTTGACAAAGGATGGAACTGGTTAGATTTGGATCTGGCTCCACCACTCCCCCTAGTGGACATCAGGCCGCACATACAGCCCAGCCAGGAAAGGACTTTGAGTTAAGGAAGTTTTTCCTGACTTTTCAGAGAACTCTTATGGAATCTTGAAGAGGCAGCAGCTAAACAACCCGCCCCTTTCTATTCAAGGTGTGATCTTGTTTGAAAAAGAGAGGGGGGGGGCGAGCGCTTTTGAATATCACAACCAATTCACTCTATGCTTTATAAGCTTTTAGAAAATACATATAGCAGTCAGATTGCAGCACTCTCATTTTGCAGAAGGAAAAACTAAAATAATATTATATGCTTTGTTTCTGGATGCAGCCGCACCATACATTTAAAGCACATTGCCTCTTCCAAAGATTCCTGTAGTTTGCCCCAGCACCCTCAACAAACTATGGTTTCGAGGATTCTCTGGGGGCTGGAGGTGGAAGCCATGCTCTTTTAATTTGTAGTGTGGATGGGAACTTTCTAAAAGAGTGGGAGTGGTTTTTGGAGGCCCTCTACTTCAGTGATGGCCAGACTTGGCCCTCCAGCTGTTTTGGGACTACAACTCCCATCATCCCTAGCTAACAGGACCAGTGGTCAGAGATGATGGGAATTGTAGTCCCAAAACAGCTGGAGGGCCAAGTTTGGCCATCACTGCTCTAGTTCAACTCCTTCCTCTGAAAAAATTCAAGAGCTAGAAGATCCCTCGACAGATGATAGATTTCTACTGGCTCTGTTTAAAGACCCCTAGTGAGGGAGAGTCCATCATTCATCTAGGTACCTGATTCCATGTCAATTGCGTAGAAAACAAATTCTCAGACAGAGGGCCTTCTCGGTAGTGGCGCCCACCCTGTGGAACACCCTCCCTTCAGATGTGAAGGAAATAAGCAGTTATCCTATCTTTAAAAGACATCTGAAGGCAGCCCTGTTTAGGGACATTTTTAATATTTAATGCTGTACTGTTTTTAACATTTGATTGGGAGCCGCCCAGAGTGGCTGGGGAGACTCAGCCAGATGGGCGGCGTATAAATAATAAATTATTATTATATTGTTATTATTATCATCAGAGCCAGAGTTAACAACATGGATATTTTGAGAAACGGATCTATGAGAAAATGGACAAGATTTCACTTTCCCCAGCACTCTTGCAAAACTGTAATGAAATCTGCATGAAGAGAACAGCAGACTTAAGGATAAATGTGAGACGGGAGGAGCAATGCTAACTGTCAACTTCACAGCCCATGTTCAGAATTTAAATATAACTGTTCCACATCCATATCCCTTCTCACTGAATTGAGGACGTGTATAAAAAGGGAAATACAAACAGAGCACCAGGAAAGAAGCATTTCCATCAAAGATAAAAAGGCCGCGGCCACGCAAACCTCTGTGCTGGAGAATGAGATGAAGGAAGCAATTGTTTGTGGAGCTGTTGGCATATTAAAAACCCTTTGAGACCCAGGCAAGCAACACGGCAAGATGGGGGGGGGGGAGGAGAGCAATACAAATTAAAGCTATTCCCAAGAGTAATGAGACTCCACCATGGCGCTTCTTGTGCCTCTGTTAAAGCTAATAAGAGCTGGCTGCGAACATTGGAAAGAAGAGATATTGGTAACACTATTGAATTAACTTCTGTTCCCAGGGCAATCTTATCTAATAATGTCCCAAGTGAGTAAGTCTGTCTGGAAGCCTGCCTTATCCTTCTGAACTCCAGGATCAGGCAGGAGGAAAAGATATCTTCATAAGCCAGATAGGAAGCAGCGAGGAGTAAGTGGCATCTGGACCTGTGATCCAGATCTGCACCATACAGAAAGCAAATTTAAAACTTATTGCCTAACCAAGAATTCTGGGAACTGCAATTTACCTCTCTCAGAGCTACAGTTCCCAGGACCTTTAACAAACCACAGTTCCCAATATTCTTTTTCTTAGGGGCAACGACGAAATGTGCTTTAAATGTAGAGTGTACATACAGCCGAAGGATCTCCCCCCAAATATTAATGGGGACAAACCATATCATAGCTGGTCAACTGTCCAATATTCACAGCTATGTGATATCAGTGGCTGTTAGAGCACTGCCCTTCCCACTCTTCCTAAAGCCTATTTGCATGATTACAATTCCCTAATTCTAGCTGGCAAAAAGGCACTGTGTGTTCCATGCTGGCAAAGCCACGAAGAAATATGGGCTGTGGTTTGCTAAGAGTTATAAAGAGCCACATGTGCTACCAATACTACCAGATGCATTTCCAGAAAGAGCACTGGAAATGAAGGAAAACATAGAAGCATAAAGCAAAGCAGCCCCTTGTGAGCAGATACAAGCTACCCTGAAATTATGTGGCAAGGATTTACTTCTACCCCACTTCGATATATCAATTTGCAACCAGAGGCTCACTGTGGATGCAAAGTGAGCAAGAATCTGAGATGGGGACCGTAAGTGAGCTGAGACTGTGTTCATACACATTCTGGCCATTTGGAGGACATCTTAATGGGCAGGGCTACAGAGAGGTAAACTCACTGTGAAATTTAGCAAAGAGAAGAAGTATTCCAAGAGCATCGCAGAAGAATAAAGGAGATGATATACCAAGGGTACAGATGGTGCTAATCCAGAACTCTAGACTTGGTCCTTTTTGCAATTCAATGGGAAGAAACAGAATACAGTGGTAATAATAATAATAATAATAAATTTTATTTATATCCCGCCCTCCCCAGCCAAAGCCAGGCTCAGGGCGGCTAACAACAAACAAATAATCAAACAATCAAATAATCAACATTCTAAAAACATTTCATTATAAAATTAATTAAAATCAAATTAATGGCAACCGTTAAGCAAAGTTCTGTGCAGGTTGCCGGAGGTGGGAGTCAGGCTGGGCCCTGACCAAAGGCCTGGTGGAACAACTCTGTCTTGCAGGCCCTGCGGAAAGATGTCAGGTCCCGCAGGGCCCTAGTCTCTTGTGACAGAGCGTTCCACCAGATTGGAGCCGCAGCCGAGAAAGCCCTGGCTCTAGTTGAGGCCAGCCTAACCTCTCTGAGGCCTGGGACCTTCAGGATGTTTTTATTTGCAGACCGTAGGTTCCTCTGTGGGGCATACCAGGAGAGGCGGTCCCGTAGGTACGAGGGTCCTAGGCCGTATAGGGCTTTAAAGGTTAAAACCAGCACCTTAAACCTGATCCTGTACTCCACCGGGAGCCAGTGCAGCTGGTATAGTACCGGATGAATGTGGTCTCGCAGCGAAGACCCCATAAGGAGTCTCGCCGCGGCATTCTGCACCCGCTGGAGTTTCTGGGTCAGTCTCAAGGGCAGCCCCACGTAGAGCGAGTTACAATAATCCAGTCTGGAGGTGACCGTCGCGTGGATCACAGTGGCTAGGTCAGGGCGAGAGAGATAAGGGGCCAACTGCTTAGCTTGGCGGAGATGAAAAATGCCGCCTTTGTTATAGCTGTAATCTGCGCCTCCATAGAGAGGGAGGTGTCGAAGATTACACCCAAACTCTTAACGGACGGTGCTGGCACTAATTGCACCCCCGCAAGAGATGGGAGTTGCCCCCCCAATCCCATATCGTCCCGTCCCAGCCAGAGGACCTCTGTCTTCGAAGGATTTAACTTCAACCGGCTTCCGCGTAACCATCCAGCCACAGCTTCCAAACATCTGGTCAGTGTGTCTGGGGCCGAGTCAGGATGGCCATCCATCAACAGATAGAGTTGGGTGTCATCGGCATACTGATGGCAACCCAGCCCAAAACTCCGGACAAGCTGGGCGAGGGGCGCATAAAGATGTTAAAAGCATCGGGAGAGTATCGCACCCTGAGGCACTCCACACACCAAGGAGTGGCGGGATGACAATGCCCCCCCAAGCGCCACCCTCTGTCCCCCGACCGGAGAGAAACGAGCGCAGCCATTGAAGGACTGTGCCCTGGATCCCCACGTCGGCAAGGCGGTGGTCCAGGAGTTCGTGATCAACCATGTCGAAGGCTGCTGACAGGTCTAGAAGAATCAGCAGCCCCGACCCGCCTCGATCCAGCTGCCTGCGGAGATCATCTGTTAGGGCGACCAGAGCCGTCTCGGTCCCATGACCAGCGCGGAAGCCAGACTGGAATGGATCCAGAGCCGATGTTTCATCCAGAAACCTACCAAGGTTTCTGGTTACATACACTTCAGGTTACATACGCTTCAGGTTACAAACTCCACTAACCCAGAAATAGTGCTTCAGGTTAAGAACTTTGCTTCAGGATGAGAACAGAAATCGGGCTCTGGCATCACGGCAGCAGCAGGAGGCCCCATTAGCTAAATTGGTGCTTCAGGTTAAGAACAGTTTCAGGTTAAGAACGGACCTCTGGAACGAATTATTTAACCCGAGGTACCACTGTATGGAAAACTGATCGAGCATCAAGCATGCAATAATCCCTTGCGATTTGCTGCCATAAAACATTACTACACAAGTCAATAAAACTTTTATGGGCCCAATTTGAAGGGAGTTATTCTTTGCTCAAGTTGCTGGGCACCAAGGAAAGAGATCAGGAACGCCCTTCTGCTATAGCATATTCTCCCTGAATAGTGGAAACAGCTTGCCTTGCAGCATCTACGTTCCCATGCTGACATACTTATTTCACTAGCTCCTGTGGGAGGAGTGACTAACTGGGTATTAGAGGAAATATGCTTTGCTTGGTGACACACTTCGTTCACTGGGCCTCCCCACATGAGGTAGGGTTGTGGACTCTTGTTCTATAGCAGACTCCACATAAAAGACCCCACATAAAAACATAATAAAACACCAGAACTTTCCCTATACATAAATTGAGATAGTGGAGACATCCATCTTATATGACGCCTGAGAGATAAGATCACCAAATACCAAAAAGGGCAGGGCAGCAACGAAGAGGGCAGAAGTTAATAAACCCAGGGGTGTTGCACTTGTTATCTCGATCAAACAAACCATTCCAATAGGGAGAAGATATAGAGGCTGGAAATGTTACTATTTTATCATTAATGTTCATGCTTAGTTGTCATCTTAAGATCTGTGCATACACACAAGCACTCTATCAAATTATATCCATAGTGTTAAAATTTATATGTGGAGATGAACCAGAATATCTTGATAACTACAGCAACAATAATATCTGCTCCATTCTCTTATATCAGCCAAATAAAACTCCTATGCTACCACCCATGAACACTGCAAACAAATGAGGTGCTTGAAGGCTTTGCATTTAACCTGCCCCTCAGATGGATCTTTTCACTGGCCTTTTGCCAATGTCAAATGAGTTCCAGGCAAGCCTATAAGACACTCTTGCACTGCTGAGAAGGATGAGCAAGTGGAAGAGGGTAATAAATGGTAGAAAAGAAATTCTGTCTGAAATCACTGCATACTAGATACCCAGCAGGCAAGGGTCAATTCAGGCATCAGGTCCTTCAAACATCAGTTTGGCCCAGTGAACTTATATGGACACATATAAGTCTGAGGCACTGCAGGTCACCAGCTCTGGAGGGCCGTAATGAGGAAACCTTTGATTCCTCTCACTGGTTCAGGGATGGGGAAGGTCTTGCCCACAGGCCAAACTGTGCCTGCCCACAAAGCCATTTTGGGCAAGTCACACCTGCTCACCCATCCTACACCTATAAAGCCCCCTTGGGCAGCTTCTGAAGTGCCCAACCACCACTTGGTTGTTGGGAGCTTCTAAAGCATTGCACAAAGCAGAATTGGCCAGGGAGGTCAATCCTGCATGGTTCGGGTTAACCCAGTGTTAAGTAGGATAGAAAACTCTGCTAAAATGAAGTTCTCCCCTTTGTTTCAAGCAGTGGTTTCAACGCAATCCCCATCCTGAATCCTGCTCAGTTTGAATGTGCTGTGAAGTCCTCAAGTTGGGGCTTCGAAGCACCTTCACAAGTAGTAAAGTGATGCTAAAATAGCTTTTTCCTTCCTTGTATCAGAACAGCAGCAGTGGCTAAAATGAAGGGAAAGACCTTCATTATAGCCACACCTTGCTGCATGCAAGGTGCTTCGAAGTCCTGACTTTGGAACGTCAAAGTGCCAAACCACCTGACACCATTATGAGAGCCAGCCCACCCACGGGGCAAGGTGGTAGGTTGATCTTCCTTCTCCTCCCGTTGTTCCTGATGTAGATCTTCCCTGATAGGGAGAACGCCATTCTGGGGTCTGCCTCAGGTACCCAAATGTCTTGGGCCACCCCTGACCATTATGATGTCAGTTGATTGACAGGTGGGTGGTCCCACCCATTTGACAAATTGGTTCCCCTGCACTAGTCAGATCATTTTTTTTGCAGGTCACATAAGGCAACCCTTACTGGGTGTCTACTGCAAAGCTGTGAATTTCCCTTTCAAGAACTCCTTTAACTGTATCCTGCCTGATGCTTTGAGTCCCGTGGGAGGTTTGGGAGGCAGAGGCAGTGAACAGAGTGGAAGAAGTTTTCTCTGCCTCCATTTTTGTGTTGAACATCCATAAATTGCCGAAACATCCACCAAAAATTACACAAAACCCTGCAGGGTGCTTATGAAGTACTATTGAGGTTCAGCAGGAGGGGAATGATTGAAAAGAAGGCTAGGAGAAACTCTACTGTGAAAGCAGATGGTGTATGAGCAACAATGGATTATAGCAGCTGAATGAGTTAGCAAAAGAACAAGACCGACTCTGACAGATGGATCTGTTGGGGAGTAAGACTCTTGTGTCACTAATACGTTTGCTCATTTATGATAACAGACAGACTCTTTTGTAATACACCCAAGACAACACACTGTGGACAGAGTCCCTCTTAAATGTAAAAGTGCATTTTCAAATTCAGCAAAGGCAAGAATGGCTTTAAGCAACTGTGTACACTTCCAAATCCTTGTATTGTTTCCCCCCTCTAACTCTACTCAAAAGTTATCGGACAGTGAACAACTTGATTGACTGTATCATGTCCTAATCCTAGCAAATATGCATCGCTCATCAGGCTACAGAGGCTGGTAATGCTGCTCAAGGGAAGAAGATGAACATATTACTTACCAAATTGTCCGTCACGCTTTACATAAAGTTCTATTACACCATAAGCAATAGCTGTGGGAGCAGGGATCTCCAAGATCACATTAGAATCCTTTATCACATTCCCATTTTCACTCACTGATACCTGAGGGAGATATTAATCCGCTCTTTAATTTACACTGGCTTAATTCAGTGCCACTAATAACTTGCAGACAAAATGAATGTTAAGATAAACAACATACTTAGTTATGTAGCACTACAAAAAAACAACAACCACAAAAAAGGCTCTCTCCATCCTTTCTAAGCCAGTTACAAAAGTTGATGAAACAGAAAACGAAAATGTGTTCTTTTTCACAGGGTGCAGATGTTACAGAATTTGTTTCCACAAGGTTGACCACAAGTAGTTGCTGGTGCCCATTAGAGAAGCCTTACGTGAAACCAGCAACAAGGACAGGCAGAGCTCTGCCTGATGCAGAAGAAAGAGGGTAGGCAGATGAGGAATGTCAGAGGGCAAGCTGAGTTTGGCAGGACAGTGCCCCCTTTGTCCTAATATACCAACCTCTGCTAGTTGGCTGTGCCCAAAAAAGCTTAAATTGGTTTTTAAACCATTATTGGAATTGGCCACAGGTCTACCATAAGAATGATCCTCCATGGCTATATATTGATCGTCCAGCAATAGAGGCAGTATATAACTTTCTGCTTACCAGGGTACCAGAGACACAGCCATGTGGGACCATCTCTGTAACACTGCTTGTGAGCTTCTACACCGCTGACCAGAGCAGTAGACTTAATAGGACTTCAGTCCAATGCAAGTGTTTTGTATTGTTAGCCTGAGTTTGTGACATAGGCTTGGCAAAGCACCTCTATGCTGATATATAGCTTCCAACCTGGACAGGAATATTTCCACACGGAGAAGATGGTGCGCCATTTTTGCAGTGTCTTAAGTACACGTTTAGGAAAAGCATCCTGACAAACGTCCCTCAGATCGCTCAGGGTTCACTCTTTTAAAAGAGCCGTCTCGAAATCTTAATCTGGAGCAGATTCAGAGGCAGAGGCCAGCATCACTGGGCACCTGGGTTCAAAGCTTTGTAAGAGACCAGCTACTGACTTCCTGAGCTTCGTGGCCCTGATGCTCCTCTTCCTTTCTTTGGCTGCCTCCCTTCTCCAAGCAGGGCGAGAATAAAGCAATGCTTTCCACTTGCTTTGCACTCTCCCTCTGGGTGGTCATGCAGATTGCACCAAGAAGGAGAGGGCAAGTAAAGGGCAGTGGCAAGGTGGAGATGGGTGCAGAAAGCAGAGCCTGTTGGAGGTATCTTGCCCAAAGGCACCCCCAGCTAGCACTGCTCTAGAGTAATCCTGCCATAGGGAAATGATTTTTTCTTTTCACAGACACCAATATTCTGAAACACCTGCCAGCAGAAAGTAGTGGGGCTGGGGTGTGGGGGGTGAGCAGGCACAAACATGTATACAGAACTTTAGTTCTATGAAGCCATGTAATTTTTAGTAAGCAGACCAAAGGATGTGGAACCTGTGGTTTCCTTGGATGTTGTTGGGACTCCAGCTTCCCCAGCCCCAGCCATCAGGACCCAAGGTTACAGATGGTGGGGGGTAGTGGTCCAAAAGACTCTGGAGGGCCAAAGGTTTTCCCACCCCTGATTAGACTTAGGGGACAATCCATAAGGAGCTTCCCCAGCATGTGCCGAAATAAAACGAGGAAATTAAAGGCATGTATTATTGCAAAGCTTTCCTTGCAACTGAGCTTCCGTAGGAGAATGTCCCACAGAGCTGAACCTCGGCATGTGGAATCACTGCATACTTGTGAAGAACTGTTCAGAAGCAGGAAAGCTACAGGGGCCTATAACAGCACAGATAATCTTAAGACGCTAAATGGAACATGTCACAGTTTACTTTAGGAAAACACAGTCAAACTGCAACTTATGCAGGGGTTATGTTCCGGGGATTGTGCATAAAGCCAAAATTGTGTATCGTCAAAACAACCCTGGAATGTATCCCGTGCAAGCATCCCTACCTTTTTGAAGTTGGTGCGCCGAGCAGATCTTGCCCCACGCAAGGTGCTTTCCGCCTTGCTCACTGGGCTCTGGGGAGGTTTTTGCCATATCTTGCAGGGCTATCTGAGATCTTGTGACAGCCTCCCAGAGTCCACACAAGAGCTTCCCAAAGCCTGGCAAGCCATTCTGAGAGTTCTTCAGCTCTCTGCCCTGCGTGCATTTATTTTGTACAATTTCAGCTGGCCAGCCGCCAAGTACGTAAAGCTGAAATCACTCAAGTTAAATGTGTGCATGGTGCAATTCAACAGTACGTATCTATAATGAACTGCATTCAATTTTTTTCCAGTTCTTACCTTGATAACTTTTGTCTTTATCCCCACCATACTAGCCATTTTTTCTTCTGTCTGAATATGTTCAGATATTAAACATTTCTGGGTTGTTACTATTCTTTTTGTCAGGATACAAAGAACTTCATGCTTTCTTTCAAGCATTTGTTGCAGCAATGTATTGTGCAGATTAACAGCCCTGAAGAAGGAGTATGAAACAGACAAAAATTGCTACCCAGGAAAAAAAGTATCTTTATTAACTACATCAGGTGTAGTCAACCTTTTTATACCTACCGCCCACTAATGCATCTTTCTTGATGGTAAAAATCTCCTTACTGCCCATCAGTGCTCGATGGAAGGAGGATTCAGCTTGTGTTGTAGAATTCCCTACCACCCACCCAGAATCCTGAAACGCCCACTAGTGGTCGGTAGGGACCAGGTTGACAACCCATGAACTACGTGCAGAGCACTGATCTGTAAGAGGCTGATAAAGTGTTCATTCTTTGGTGGCAAATTGCAAACCAGAGAGGCACAAACAAGAGTTTTGCAAGCAGATGTTCCTTGCTAGTCTGGTAAATCAATCTGAGGATGCAGTTCCATAGCTGGGGCATCACCTGATACCTGGCAGCCAGCCACGTCATGTGAGCAAGCAGGGGCATTCACAAGAAGAACCTCTGATGAAAGTCTCAACAAGGCTGGTTTCTATGGGAGCAGGCAATCCTTTCAAAAATCTAATGGTATTAATAGGTAATCATGTCCCAATGTGCCAAGAGAATGGGAAAAAATATTTCCCCAAAGAAGATTGTAGACTTCCTTAATAATCTCCAGAGAGCAGGATTCATTATAGTCAAAGAAACCTGTTAATGGCACACTGTTAAGCTAATAACGTCAATTGCAGCAAGCTTTTACAAGCTAGCTATTACAGTGCCTAGAAAATGCATCCTAATATCAATTAACAGGTAAATCTAGGAGGATAGCAATTAAAGAGATATTCATTCTTCTGCACGGTTAAGTGCAAAAGTTCTTGCTCCTTCCTCTGTTTCAAGGAGACTCAATACCTGAACTAGATGTTACATGCAAACATTTGTAACAAATCCCAGATGGTCCTCCAAGGAAAAGCCACTTAAGGAGGTTGTATTTGAAGCAGAAGGGTTGTTTACACAGGTGAGGAGAAGGACCGAATACTCAGTCCTTTCACTACCCCCTTTTGTTGTTGTTGTTGCTACCTACTGCCCTGCTCTGTGCGATTCCAAATACGCATTCTCTGCATGGGATTCCAAACACGTTGCTGTTGTCTCTCTTCTTAAAGGTTGTATAAATACTATTTATAATCTATAGTATTTTGTTGTTGTTGTTGTTTAGTCGTTTAGTTGTGTCCGACTCTTCATGGCTGCATGGACCAGAGCACACTAGGCCCTCCTGTCTTCCACTGCCTCCCGCAGTTTGGTCAAACTCATGCTGGTAGCTTTGAGAACACTGTCCAACCGTCTCGTCCTTTGTCGTCCCCTTCTCCTTGTGCCCTCAATCTTTCCCAACATCAGGGTCTTTTCCAGGGAGTCTTCTCTTTTCATGAGGTGGCCAAAATATTGGAGCCTCAGCTTCAGAATCTGTCCTTTGGGGCTGATTTCCTTAAGAATGGATACGTTTGATCTTCTTGCAGTCCATGGGACTCTCAGGAGTTTCCTCCAGCACCATAATTCAAAAGCATCAATTCTTCGGCGACCAGCCTTCTTTATGGTCCAGTTCTCACTTCTCACTTCTATTGGGAAAGCCATAGCTTTAATTATACGGACCTTTGTTGGCAAAGTGATGTCTCTGCTTTTTAAGATGCTGTCTATAGTATACACTCTACCTATTCCCTCTTGACTTTACCTAACTGACATACATCAGTAAATAAGTCTATATGACTAATCAACACCAAGGATAATTCATTCTACGGCTATTCAATTCCATAGGAAGCAGTAGGTTTCTACAGATGTTGATCAGGAGTAGCACAAATATACACAAAGGAGTTGGGGGTGGAAAGAATTACTGTTTTGGTGAAAAAAATCCCCATAGCATATAGTTATGAAATTGCAAAGGGGTTTGAACTCTGAATCTTGTTTCTTGTCTCTCCTCAGTGTGCTGGAGCAATAAACCACCACCTAATTCCCTCTACCCAAAACACCGCCTGCAATTGTATAAAGCCAAGTTTTATCCCCTCGGAAGGGAGCTAACTAGACCAGCACACACTAATCTAATCCTCTGTCACATTCCACCAAGCAGAGCCCCATGTTAGTTTGTCTATTAATCCAATTCAAAATACAGCTTTCCAGTGGATTAATTTCAGGCATGCTTACAAAGCACGACCCGTACTATAAAGCTTCAGTTTGGCCCAACAGCTTACCGGGTTGTGGCACTACCTTGTTCTGTATCTTCCTCAATTAAAAACCATTTAAAAGCCACACCCAGTTGGGTGGTTACTTAGCTCACTGCAATTATGGAAAGATCAGTAAAGGCACCAACGATCATGCTACCGTAATTATGATGGCATAAGGTTTTTGGGTTTTTAAGGTTTTATGTGCTAGAAGACCCTTTGTTGCCTTTGCCATAACAGACTAACTCAGCTAATAAAAATATTTTATTTTGTATCCCACCCATCTGACTGGGTTGCCTCAGCCACTCTGCACAGCTTCCAACATAATATACAGCAGAGCTTTCCAAACTTTCCATGTTGGTGTCACACTTTTTAGACATGCATCATTTCGCGACATAGTCAGTTTTACTAGCAAACTGGAGGTTAAACTAACCCCTTCCCAGCCCCAGAAGAAGTGCGGAGAGCATTCGTGCAACGCACCTACACACTACAGCCAACACTCTAACATGTCACAACAAGCATTTTGGAAATCTCTGATGTACAGAACCCCAACAACACCACAACAGAACAGCACACATTAAAAGTGTCCTGAAATAATAATAATTACCCCTTAGAAGTTATGGACATTTGAAAAAAAAATGAGAGAAGCAATGTCATGGTTTAGTCCATTGGTAGAATTACTATATTTTTCCATGTATAAGACGATGCTTTTTGCAGAAAAAAATTAGGCAAAAATTGGGTGTCGCCTTATACATGGAAAGTGAATGCAGAGGGGGATGTGTGATTAATGGCAGCAGCAAGCAGGAGATTGGCAGCAGCGATTGGGCAGGTGATTGGTGGCTGTGGTGAGGTGGGCAGGTGATTGGCAGTTACAGCAAGTGGGTGGGTGGGCTGTTGGTGGAGGCGAGTGGGCAGACAATTGGTGGCTGCGGCGAGTTGTGCAATTGGCAGTGGCTGTGGCAAGCGATCAGCAGTGGTGGGCAGATGGGTGAGCGACTTGTGGAAGTGACCTCCCCCACCCCCACCCCAAAAAGCTAAATAACTTAATTTCTTAATTTTGGGTTAAAAAAATAGGGGTCGTCTTATACATGGGGGCATCTTATACACAGAAAAATACGGTAGCTTGAAACTTTGTCATTACATAGCTTACCTTGAGAGCTTCCATCAGAGCAAAATGGCAAAACATATTGCAAAGTCAGTTAATTCCGATTTTAAGTATGCAGATTGTTTCATAACAAATAAATACTTATTATATATATAAAAATTCACAATTTTGGAAAGTACTGTGGAAATGTTGCACCTTCAACTACATTGCCTTAATAATAAGTGCATTCCAAAATATATATATAATAATAACTTCTCAAGGATAACTGCTTTGAAGCTGAATACCTACTTTCCCTTGACATCCTTCATAAGCTTCTGTAAGTCAGCTTCTTGCTTTTTCAGATTTCCAAATGACGACTGGCTTTCCACAACACCTCTTCCTCCAGCTCCTAGATTAATCGTTCCAAATGAAGTTTCAATGTTTCCTTTGACATAGTCTTCAAACTTGCCCTCGTACTTCACAAAATCAGACTCCACAACCACTTGGAAAACAAGCAAAAGCATAGAAGTAGCTTAGCCACCAAAACATTAGATTGGAAACACAAGAAGAAATCATAGAATGCTATAATTCTATGATTCTAAGTTCTGCTAAAGTTGCTTCATCCTGACTGCACCTAATGATGAAGTGGACTATAGCTCACAGAAACTTGCACCACAATAAATCTTATATGTCTGCGAGGCATCACAAGACTCTGCTATCCCCAATGTTATTTAATATATGGGAACATTGGGAGTGAAGCGCCATCAGTATTATATTTAGTATTATTTGTGTGTGTGTGTCAACAGGACTTTTCAATTGGATGAATATTATGTGATTGGCCATTTCCTTGTAATTTTTTTGCTTTCCCATTTTTCTTGTGTTTCCTGTGGGTTTTATATTTGCTGTACATGTTTTCTATAAAGTTATTGGTATATACATATTTTTATCAATAAGCAAATACATATAAAAATGCTGTGGGTTTTTCTTCTGAAACAGACTTACTCCTCTAAAAGTTACCAGCTTGAGGATGTGTATCTGAAATACAGAAAAGCCTGATAGCCACTTAAGAACATCAGTGCAATAAAATTCCATTTGTGTTTGCATTGGAAAATTTATTAGTATCTTATATATACTTTAAAAGGACATGTTAAAATGCATTAACATGGCAACATCTGCCTTTAAAAAGGTAAAGGGACCCCTGACCATTAGGTCCAGTTGTGGCCGACTCTGGGGTTGCGGCACTCATCTCGCTTTACTGGTCGAGGGAGCCGGCATACAGCTTCCGGGTCATGTGGCCAGCATGACTAAGCTGCTTCTGGTGAACCAGAGCACGGAAACGCCATTTACCTTCCCGCTGGAGCGGTACCTATTTATATACTTGCACTTTGACGTGCTTTCAAACTGCTAGGTTGGCAGGAGCAGGGACCGAGCAACGGGAGCTCACCCCGTTGCGGGGATTCGAACCGCCAACCTTCTGATCAGCAAGTCCTAGACTCTGTGGTTTAACCCACAGTGTCACCCGTGTCCCTAACATCTGTCTTTACGAAACTGAATATTTAAAAGTTTTCAAAAATTAAAGCGGGCAAATCTTCTGCAGTCTGATTTGAAATACTTTTTTTATTAACGGCTTGGACTTTATACTTTCTTATCTCCTGTGGCAACGTGTAACTAATTTTACCTGGTTTTATGGGTTCATCTTTAGCAAGCACATCATTCAATGTGACTGATAAGAGATGATACTTGGGTTTCTGCCAGCACCAGGTTTTCTTCTTCTTTGTCACTATGTTCAGGAACTGTAATTTGTCCAAGTTATTGAGCTGAGATACGGGGATCAAGTCTCCTCCACAGTCAATTTCTCTCACAAAATTCTTCGTTGCTTTTGCAAACATCCTGGTTTTGTTTTCACTTTCTTAAATACCTGAAAGGGTAAAATCAAGACATGAATTGAGATGGCTGCAGGCATGGATAGGTGATTTCCTGGGGAAATTTTAATTGCAACAGTGCAGGTATACTGCAATATATGAGAAAGGAAAAAAGTTGCTTCCCTAGGTGATGTTTTTTACCTCCATTGCCAGTATCAAAGATTACACTACAGGTGTTACCTTGGGCCCTATTGGGAGCAAGGGTGGGATACAAATTTAACCAATAAATAAATAATGTTGCGAATTGTACTGATGTTGTATGTTGCAAGGCTTTATATTGTTAATTTCTGGTTTTAAATATTTATGTATGTTCTACACTGGGACCTTTGAATAAACAGCAGACTACAAATGGTCACAATAAACGAAAAACAATATGTGCACATGTAAATTCTTACTTTTCATTCCAAAAAACATATTCTTGATGACTGGGAAAGGAGTTTCTGCTTAAATAAACCTATTTTAAAGCGAAAGTGTCCATTTCATACATAAGCACTCTTTATATCTGATAGGGTGTGTATGCTTGGGTGCCACTACCAAGTACAAACTTCCATGCAGCAAGAAGAATGATTGCACAAAGGACAGAGTGCCTATCAAGCAAGCCGTGACTCCTAATCTTAGGGTTGTGGGTTCGAGCCCCACGTTGGGTAAAAGATTCCAGCATTGCAGGGGGTTGGACTAGATGATCCTTGTGGTCCCTTCCAACTCTACAATTCTATGATTCTATATGGGAAATATTTTGGAACATTCAGGGGAAAGAACAGAGCCCCAAACCACCAACATCTGTAAAGCATTTGCGAATACATTTCTGTAAAGTAGTTTGAAATTTGTTTTATCCAATTTGTAAACAACTTATATTAATGTAACTGCCAGTTATAATTTATGTGCACAACTGTGAGTTTAATTGATGAATCTGCCGTTTTTATACAACCACAATTTGACTGGAACATGTGACTAAATACTGAACCAAGCAAGCCGCAAGGCAGCATGTATTGGAACAGGCAACATATAATCCTTAAAACTGGAACTAATTAGTTTTAACTAATGTAGCAAACAACTCGCTTTGCTGAAGACACAACATGTGTCTTTGTAACACAAAAAGTGTCAGATGCAAGTGCCAGACCTCCTTGACAGACTAGTGGTCTAGATTCGATTCTAAGCAAAAATATTAAGAGATAGTTTTCAGCTAAAAAGAGTTCTTCAGAGTGCCAGAAGTGAAGTAGAAATGTCATCCAATTATCCCTTGTTCTTTCTCATACTAGAAAGACATCAGGGCTGACTCAGATATAAAGTGCTTGGGAGTTTCCCTGTAGATACAGTGGTACCTCAGGCTAAGAACTTAATTTGTTCTGGAGGTCCATTCTTAACCTGAAACTGTTCTTAACCTGAAGCACCACTTTAGCTAATGGGGCGTCCTGCTGCTGCCGCACCGCCAGAGCATGATTTCTGTTCTCATCCTGAAGCAAAGTTCTTAACCTGAAGCACTATTTCTGGGTTAGCAGAGTCTGTAACCTGAAGAATATGTAACCTGAGGTAGCACTGTACTTATAAGAAGGATAAAGAGGAGATTACAACAAAGGTACAGTTTACCTGTACAGATTACAGTGGTATCTCAGGTTATACAGACATCCAGAACGAATTAAGTTCTTAACCCGAGGTACCACTGTATATAGACACTCCCACAGTCAGAGTTCAGGCAAAAAAATTTTTTGTTCCTGCACTGGTCAGCTAGAATTCCTAAAGAAGAACATAAAATGAAAGCCTCTCTCTCAGACTCTGGCCGTGATTTTTCTATATATTCCTTTGAGGTTACATAAAAGTGATTTTTTTTTAAAAAAAAAAAAGTCAAAGTATTTCCTGCCCCATCCCTTTTAAGGGTTTCTTCTTTTAAGAAAAGTTTGGTAATCCTCAGAACAACTAGCTATTTACAACCAGTGTTTTCTAAAACTGGAAATTAAAGATTCCCCCACACCAAAATTCATGCATGTAGCAATGGGCAAGCTATTAATTTTTATCTCTATTTTGGTAGGCAAGTAACTGTTGTGAAATGAACTGAATAGCTGCAGCACATTGACAACAAATGGATGGGGGGGGAGGTTCCTTTCTGACAGGGTTCTTCTGACAGAGATGAGATTTATTAAAAAGCATGCTATTTGCCAAACATTAATAGCATGATAGTTATTTAACTGTCATAAATCAAAACACCTAACTTCTCTGAATTTAAATGAAGCGTGAAGCAAATGTTCTTTTCTGAACTGTAGCATGTAAGATCTACTGCCTAAATCCAAGTTTTGAAATTTAATCATTTTTAAAACATTTTTAAAATCATTTAAAAAAATATAATGTGAGTAAACACCATCACCTTCATTCAAAACAGATTCAGGCCAGCAGATGGATAGTTTTTCTAGAACAGGGCCTGCATTAGACTGTGATAAAGTGGGGCAGGGCATTCGGCATCTCAGCTAAAGACTCTTGTGGAATGGAGAATGCTTTTTGCTCTACATGGTTGGCACTCCCTGCTCTAATCATCTGTTTCGGGCGGAAGACCAATTCCAAATACACCCCCGCCCAAATGTCTGATCAGCGCTGCCAAAGCTAGCAGTGCCAACCATCTGTTTTGTGGAGGAACCCTTGTGTGCAGGAATGAATATCCAAGCTGCTGCACTAGAATATTTCTGCGTGGGAATTATAGTGAAAGTCTGCCCCACCCTCAACAATCATTTGGGCTTTCCAGATATAATTCTAACACACACTAAACTACTTGCTAAAGGAAGGCTGGAAATTCCTTACGACGATGACGACTACTACTACTACTACTACCACCACCATTATTTCAATCTATATGCACTTGCTCAGGATGGCAAACACATAAATAATGTCAGCACGAGGCCCTCAGCTGTAGCTCACAATGGTCAGTTGGGTATATTAATGGGGGAGCAGTGTTAGAAACGCTGATATGTAAGCCAGGCACCAAATGGCTCCTTAAACCAGGGTTAAAAAGGGACCCTTGACCATTAGGTCCAGTCATGGCCGACTCTGGGGTTGCGACGCCCATCTCGCTTTATTGGCCGAGGGAACCGGCGTGCAGCTTCCTGGTCATGTGGCCAGCATGACTAAGCCACTTCTGGCGAACCAGAGCAGTGCACAGAAACGCCGTTTACCTTCCCGCCAGAGCAGTACCTATTTATCTACTTGTACTTTGATGTGCTTTCGAACTGTTAGGTTGGCTGGAGCTGGGACTGAGCAACGGGAGCTCACCCCATCGCGGGGATTTGAACCGTGACCTTCTGATCGGCAAGTCCTAGGCTCTGTGGTATAACCCACAGCACCACCCGCGTCCCTAAAACCAGGGTTACAAGTGGCCAAAAAGGAATGTCTAGTTGCTGTTTGCGGGCCAGACAGCTCGAAGGTTCTATTTTTCAATATGATCTTTTGGTTGCTGAAATTCGTTCTGATCGTGCAGACAAAATATCACAGATAGAATTCTACAGGATGTGTTGTTAGTATGTGAAAACAGACAAGATCCAAGGATCCCCAGGCACGCACCTCCAGGTGGTGATGTCAGGCGTCATCCTGGCACCTGAGCATCTTCACTTGGTTGCAAGTGGCCAATAGCCAATTGCAAAATGCACCTGACAAATTTCGACAATCTTTCCTGTATCCTGGTCCCAAGCTGTATAGGACTTTATACACCAAAACCTAAACTTCGTCTACTTGCTAACTAGCAGAGGAATTATTTCAGCAATGACGTACTAAGGCAGTGACCAGTGAGCAGCTGAACTTCCGTAGTTTGCAGTAGCTGCCATTTCCAAACCAACGTCAGGAGGAGCCCCACACAGAGCACATTGCAGTAATCCTGGAGTTTAGCAGCACACAGGCAACAGTGGACAGTGAATGCGGTCCAGAAATGACTGCAGCTGTCTTACCAATTGAAGCTGGTAAAAGGCACTCCTTTTACCATTGAGGTTCCCTGGGTCTCTAGAAGCAAAGATGGACACAGGAGCACCCCAGACTACAAACCTGCTATTGCAGGGTGAGTATGACCCCATCCAAAGCAGGCAACTGACCAGTTATCTGGACTTGAGGATCACCAACACACTATGCCTCCGTCTTGCCAGGATTCAGAGTCAAGTTTGTTGGCCCTCATCCAGTTCACCACCACTCCCAACAGCTTCATATAGATGTTAATCAATATTGGGTACATGATGGTACCTTGATGCACCCCACAGCACTACTGCTAAAAGACGATCACCCAATAATTTGACCCTGGAAATAAGATTGTGGCTGCTGTAAAGCAGTGCCTCCAAAAACCATTTCACTAAGTCAATTCCAACTTTCACTTAAAAACATGTCTGTCCGTCCCCAAAAAATTACTAATTTAAATTAAATTCTACCTTTAAAAAAACACAAGACACATAATCTTACTGCAAGGAAGACTATATTTGTCCATTCGGCCTAGTATTGTCAACTCTGATTCACTAGGCCAGGCATAGGCAAACTCGGCCCTCCAGATGTTTTGGGACTACAGCTCCCACCATCCCTGACCACTGGTCCTGCTAGCTAGGGATGATGGGAGTTGTAGTCCCAAAACATCTGGAGGGCCAAGTTTGCCTGTGCCTTGCACTAGACCAAGGTCTCAGGGAGAGTGTACTTCACTTCACCAGCTGCCAGGTGGTTTTAAATGGAGAGGCCAGGATTTCAAACCCTTTGCACTCTACTATGGAGTTGTAGTCCCTTCCAAGAGCACATACCAACTAAACTCAAATATTTTTTATTTCAGTGGGAGAATTGTATGGGTACCAAATTCCCCATTATAATGGAAAGTGGTTAGTCATCAGTAGGTTGTGCCCACATTTTTGAGTTAAAATTATATCTTTTAAATGCAAACAAAGTAAGTTGTGGGCAGATCCACACCATACATTAAAAGTGTATTCGATGCACATTTAAAGTACATTGCTTTTCCCCTAATCCTGGGAACTGTAGTTACTCTCTTTGCAGCATCCATAACAAACTACAGTTCCCAGGATGCCTTGCATTCTCCTTATTTTAAAATGCAGTGGAGGGCCCTGGATATGTTCTTCCAAGTCAAACATAGGAACAATTCACATAACTATTTTGAAGTTGCAATACCCTTGTGTGATGGCCTCGTACTTTTTATTTTCACACAGGGAGCCATTTGTTCAAAATTCCCTACAGCTGAAAAGCTGCAGTAGTCCTGAATGAAATAACTGTTTTTTAATCGACGTAATACACTCGTGCTCCTAGGAACAGTTTATTTTTCACACAAACTGCTCCTTATTTTCAGAGGTGAAAATGAAGTGGTCAAGACATCACATGAACTTTACTGCACCCCAAAAATAAATGTATGAATTGGTTCCAAATTTTACAGACATTTCAAATGATTTGCACAGTGAGAGAAGGCTTTAACAGATGAAGACTTCTCTCATTTTGAATGGTAGAACTGTAAAGTTGGAAGGGGCCCATCTAGTTCAACCCTCCAATGTCACTGCTAAACAATCACAGCTAAAGAATCTTTGATAGATGGTCATCCAAACACTTTTTAAAAACCTCAAATGAAGGAGAGTCCACCTTACCTGGGAATAAGCCCCATTGGACTAAGTGGAGCTTACTTTTGAGTAATCATATGTAGGATCTTGTGGCGCAGGGGAGGAGAGGATAGTAAAACACTTATCCAAGTCCCAGTAATGCCAGCCAAACTGCTAAACTTAAAAATGTGGTAACAAGTGATTGAAACCTACCAATACTTAATGCAGTTGCATTTATAAGGAAACCTGAAGTGGAAATGCATTGATGGCAGAAGACAAAAGAAAGACTAATCAGAGCAGAGTATATTCTTGGGCAATTGTAATGAAAACTGCACCCACAACTTCAGTCATGAAACTCACCTGGTAACTTTGGGGCTGTCACTATCTCTCAGACCTCACTGTGTCGTTGTGAAGAACAAACGCGGAGTGAATGAAATGCAAAGAGAGAAATTAACTTGGCCAAGAAAGGCAACAGATACCGGTAAGTATTTAAATAAACAAAACTGTGTTTGAGCTTCTTGAAGAAAGGCAGGATACAGATAAATGTAAATCGTTTACATCACTGCTATACAGTTATATGTGGGGAAGAGGCCAACACTGTTGTGTGGCTACAAACCATGTGTGAAAAATCAGCATGGCTGTGTATAAATAAGACCCATGAAAACATATCACTGGTATACAATATGTGGGTGGAAGAGGGAATGGCGCATGTGTGTGTGAAGGTTGGTGGGGTTTTTTTACAGCAATTCTATTTTAGGAGTGTGTATAAAAGGGTGAAGCAACTCAATATGGAATATAGTATATAGTGTCCATAGGGCACAAAAAATAAGTTTTTAAACTAGCTAAAACACTTTTAAATGATTTTAGGGGTGCCGTGACATTATAGAATTATGTATAGTCGAGAGAACATGGATAAAGAGGATCCTCCTCTTCCTCTTTCAATACTAGAGTGTTGCGGGGTGAGTAGCAGACAGGATGAAATTACATCACAGAAGTTCCAGGAAAGACAAAGGGAAGTACCGGTAGCTCTTCAGAGTATTCATAATTAATATTGGGAATTGAGCATTGCATGATGTGGCAATGGCTGCTGGCCTTGGATGACTTTAAAAGGAAATGGAAAGCCCAAAAGCAAGTTTATCAATGGCTACTGCAACATGATCTGGAGACACGCGAGGCCACCAGTTCGGTGAAGCTAAACCAGTCTGTGTACAGTACCGTAGCTACTGGGACTAGCTGGGTTTTGTGCCCCAGATGAAGTCTCCATAAGGTTGCCATTGAGGCTTCCATCCTGTGTGTGTGTGTGTGTGTGTGTGTGTGTACACAAATGCATGTGGGGGGAGGGGACAGGTGCCAAGCTGAACCCAGGTGAAATAAAGTCTAGTTTTGGCCCTGCTGTGAAGGTTAATGCCCGGATGGGTGACCACCTGGGAACCACACAAACACTACCTCAGGGGATAATAATGCTGATGATTTTATTATTTGTACCCTGCCCATCGGGGTTGGCTCCATGGCAGAAGATAGGCAAGAAAATAAGAGGAAAACAAACAATGTATTAGCCAATATTACTCATCAGGTGTTGGGCAGCAAACAAGGAGGGAACATAAGAAGAGCTTGCTGGATGAGTCCGGCATCCCGTCCCCACGGTGGCCAACCAGGTGCTTGAGGGAAAAGTGCAAGCAGGATTTGAGCACAAACGAGACCCCTCGCGCCTCCTGTGGTTTCCAGCCACTGGTCTTCAGAGGCACGGCTGCCTCTGGCCGTGGAGGCGGAGTCTAGCCATTGTGGCCAGTAATGGTCATCTATAGCCGTCTCCTCCACTGCTGGCTTTCTACCTGCTTGTGGACTTCCCTTGCCTGGCCACTTGTGGGGAACTGGAGGTTGCAGCGTGAAGCCCCTTGACCTGGGAGGAAGGCTTCCCTCTGAGGAGACAAGGTCCAAGGGCTGCAGTCTCAGCAGCCTTGCCCTTCAAACGGTGGGGCTCTTTTGCGTTCTTCTTGCGCGAGCCCTGAGGAACCTGAGGTGCGGGAGAGACGGACCCACGTCCAGAATTGGTGGTCGTTTTCCTTTTTTTAAGGCAAGGCTTTCGAAGGAGGGCTGTGGGGCGTTACGCGAAGGGAGCACAGGAGAGAAAGCAAGGCAGAACTCCGCGAGCGACAGAAGAGGCGAAGCGGAGGAGAAGCTGTGGAGACTTTTCGCGCGGAGGAGGGCCCTTTACTCACGGCTGCTCCGCGTTCGCCCGCGCGCCGCCGCTCGCGAACCCGACGTCTGCGCGACCCTCTTCCGCGCAGCTGGACTGCAACTCATTGTTTGCGCCTGCCTATCACTCAGGCCGCGACGCCCAGTCCGGCGGGGGCCACGCCCTCCCCCCGCCCCGCCCAGTATGCCGCTGGCTAGGAAAAGGGAAGAGCGCGTGGAAGGACAAAGGGCGGGCCTAGAGATAGGGAAAGGGTAGATTTGCTCCGATTTCTTGGGGTTAACTAAGGCTACTTCCTGCGATGGTAAATATTAAATGGGGGGGGGGAGAGAGAGAGGCTGGCATTTGATGGCAACAAGATGCGCTGTAAAAGATGCGCACGTTTGAGGCGCGCCCATTCTACAATAAACACCCATTAGGAAGCACCCTAAAAGTAGTTGTCAGTCTGGCCAGCATGGAACGGGAAGGGGCTTCTCATATGCGAGGGAGAGTAAAATACTCAAATGATGTTAAAAGCAATCCTAACACTCCTGTTTGACCTCGAATAGTGACAATGGTTCCCTGAATCCACAATTAACCTATTGCAGTTAAATTGTTAGTAATCAAAGTGCCTACTCTGCATGTATTTCAACAGGCACAGACTGTACGTTTTGCATTTCAGTCTTAAGGAGTGGCTTTCAGTAGAACATGCAGCTGCTGCCCCTATCCACATGTGGTAGAGATCATGCATAGCCCCTATGGACCCAATGCCTATGTGATGATTTACTGTATTGATAAACAATCTCTAAACTGCACCAGAAGAAATGCAATTTTGTCCAAGTGAAGACAGATACCTTTGATGCTTTTCACACCAACAATTTATTAACAATAACTATACTAACTCAAACTATAGCAGGATTAAAATATCTTTATTTGGCATATAGCTATAAATATTTTAATATGGTTCATCAAAATTTAAAATGTCAAACATGAAAGCTCTCCAGCACTCAAATAGGTTATTGTTACACCACACTGGACTTCTGCTATTCAAACTCATCCTGCAAAGAGAATATTAGATGAATAGGTTTTTAAAAAATATATTCTAAGCATTTATACAAAAAAAAGTCCACTTCAACCAATAAACACCTAGATTAAGCAGCTGTTGTGATTCCCACCCCCCACCCCACCCCCCAAAAAATATACTGGGTTTTATCAACTTAAGTCATATGACATTTGAAATCAATGGATTTAAGTTAGTCATATGCATTGATTTCAGAAGGTTTACTCTGAGTATGAGCTACTTGGATACAATTCACTATTTGTATTTACTGACTAATTTTAATAGTTGGATAAATAGGCATCAAGGGGGAATACATAAAATATAAGTACAATAAACTATAGTGAATAAAATGTGAAATACTCAATCCTGTGTTTGCTTCATATTGTTAATATAGGTGAGGACTCTTCTACAGGCAGTGACAAGCAGAACAGAAACAAAGAAACACTGCAAGTACAAGATTCCAGCTTGCCGCCACCACAGGAAGTTGCAAAAACAGCTAAATTTTCAAGCTGACTGGTATGGCTGTAAAAAGTGGGCAGATCAGATTTTAGATTAAAGAAATTGTTCGGCAGAGAATCAGCATGACTTTCTATGTCCAATGTGTTGGATTTAAGGTATAAGAATTGCACAGCAGCTGCCCACCTAGCCCCAGACACTTTGCTTACCTGTGATAATGAGTCTTCAACAACATAGCTAAATCGGGGGAAATAATAACAGATCAGGTTCATAATCTGTGATGTGGTCCACCACTTTATGACGGCAATCCTATACACACTCGCTGGAGAGTCAATCTTGAATTCCAGATTGTGAATTGTGTTGTATGGAACATGCAACTGTGAACTACAGTCTGCCAATCCCTTTAAGGTTGTAGGAGTCTTCAGGACGATGAGGTGAAAGGTGGAAAGTGGGAGTGGTAAGAGGTGTCCTGTTCTCCTATTCAGGTCAGAGCACACTTGTGGCCATGTAAGGATTGGTGCAAAATCCTTAAGGCCTCAACATTTAGCTGGTTTTGGATGCCCCAAACCACAATAGCTACACTGTATCATCACATTATTGTCAGTAAAGTTGCCTGTCCACAGCGACCATTCTCTGACCTGAATATGAAAGTCTCAGCAATTTTGCCAAGCTAAGTCAGTGGGTAGCAACTTGTCCTTAAAATCCACCAAGGATAATCTTTGTCACCCTCACGGAAAATCCAAAGAGTTACTATTCGCAAAGTACTTGAATTATTTAGTGAAACCCTCGCTTCATTAATTTTAAGTACACAGAGAATCAAATTAATGTTTTAAAGAAGAATTAATTTTTCACTGTATGATACCTAGAGCCATCTTCTCCAGTCTGAGTTTCAACAGTTCTGTGGGATGGAATAAAAGCAAAATTAACCTTCAAGTGAGTGAGTTTTATCATGACTACAGCAGGAGGAAAGATTTAATCTTTCTTCCTCATATACCACAGTCCCCAAATGAACAAGGGGTCAATCCTGCAGTTATAGTACAATCCTATACATATCAAACCAGAATTAAGTCCTGTTGAGGCATACTATCAGGTAAATTGGTATAGGATTGCAGCCTATACCAATTTCATATCTGATATGATTCTAAACATTTCATTGTTGAAGTTTGTTACACATTCTTTACATCAAAAGAGTGCATTGTCTTGGTTATTATTTACCACGCCCTAAATAGCATGGGGTCAAGCTGCTTGACTCTCTCCTCTAATGTGAACTAGCCTATCATTTAAGATCAGCTGTTTTACCCACGTCTGGGTGAAACTTGGCTCCCTGGTGCCCTTGGCAAGGAGCTGTATCAGTGCTCCCCCGCTCTGTCCCTTGTGCCCTTGCCTCATCCGGCCACCCAGAGCAGCAAAGGAGTGGCCCTGGAAGTGTACAGTCAGGCAAGCAGGCTGACTTCACTCTATGCCTGGGCCCTTGGCAGGAGCCAATCTAACCACCCCTGCCTCTTGCATGTGTTCTAAGACAAAATTGATGACCGTATGCAAGAGGCCTTTCTCTGTGGTGGTACCTCATATGTGGAAATCCCTGCTCAATAAGTTAGGTTGTAGTCATATATTTATATCCCACCAGCATTGAAAACACTCTTTTTTAAAGCAATATATTGTTGCTGGTTCTATGTTAGTGCTGTTCCTTATGTCATTTTTTGCTAATGTTTTAATTTGATTATTTGTATCTTAACGGTTGAATCACTTTTGGCTTTTGTACTTCTTAGCTGATTTGACTGACTGCTTTTTGAAGGAAAAAAAGCAGGTGATACAATTCTGAAAATAATAAAAAATACTTGGCCTTTGGTGCCTCTATATTTACACTCTGAAGAATTGTAGAGTAGCATTTGGCAACCCCTCGTGTTTAGGTACTTCGAGGAACTGGCATTGGCAACAGAGGCCTCTTAAGAAACTTATTTTGATGTTATTGTTCATTAAACAAGAACTAATCAAATGAGATAAGTAATTGCTATAGCAAATGGTTATATAAAATGCCTCAAGAAGCTGGTAAGCACTGATGTCAGTCAGCCAAAACAAATAAATGTAGTGATTCTGTATCCCACATAGTCATAAATGTGCATCTACTTCATAGGAGAATGTGAAACTGCATGTACCCTGCCATTACCTGGAATGGTGTTTAAATAGAAGCTGTGTTATTTTCAGGTTCTTTAACCATTCCCTTTTAGTTAATAAATATTCCAGTAGAATATGCTAGTGCATTTGTACATACACACTCTTCACTATGCGAAAGTGGCAAATGCGTAGCATGCTTCTAAACAGGGATCATCTTAGTCAAACTAGCATTAATTCCTTGGGAAAACTCCGCCAGGGATATGTCTCTCACATACAAGCAATTTCAAAACAAACTAAATTATGCAGTTGCCCTTACCTCTTCTCCAGCACAAAAGCACCCTCTGTCTGAGTGCTGTGGATATTCAAATGAAAATCTTATCATTTAAAAAGTCACAGATATTGATTTACATGTAAAAAACTAGCAGATAGTTTATTCAGGTACATAGCTCAAGGGGAAAAGAGCTCAAAGGGAAAAGGCATTTTCTAATTAAAACTGTGTTTCAATTAGGCACATATGAAAAATATGTCCACAGACAAGTGAGAACTCACTGAATATTTTTTTATAGTCTTTTGCTAAGCAGTGTGGCTGCAGAATTTTAGCTAAAATAACTGAATTTTAAAGAAAATATATTACCAGACTTCATACACAGTCAATCACTTAGAACAACTTTCTGTAAGTAGATAATGGGGTGAAAAAGTCAAGCCCTCACCTGGCATGTTTTCTAGGTTCACTTAGAATTCTTTTATCTGTAAAATTGAATATTATGTTATACACATGCACATCTGGGAATCTTTCAATATCTCTTTGCTTGGTCTAACAGTCTAAAACTTGCTGTATCAGCCAGCAAGTGCATAAGATGGAGGATACATCTAGCATCTAACATTAGAAAAGATGGAAATAATTCCAGGAATCTTAACCAGTGCCAAAGACTTTATTTTATTTATTAAATTTGTTAGTCACTTTATCTTGCCCTAGACAAGATATATAATGGTGGCACCAAGCAAGCCTCCTTGAGGAAAGCATTCCACAGACAGGAAGCCACTGCAGAAAAGGATCATTCTTGTGTTGCCACCTTCTGGAGGGACACACAAGGAAAGACTCTCCTCCTGCAAGAGAGGGGAGTGGTTGTGGAATGTTAAAAGGCAAGCCAGGAACCAGGCAGCCTCCCACTCACCTGGCTGGCCTACGCCCACAGGCAGGCACCCAACCAGGTGCCTGCGAGGGGGCGTGTTTAGCAGCCCAAACTGCTGCGGCACCAGCCTTCCGGCCTCACTTTTCGTCGTCCCGTCGCGAGTCATCAGCTAGGAGTCATCACAGGGAAGAGCCACGAGGTTTTGAGTCGGGGGGGGGGTGTCTGTGTGTGTGGAGGCTGCCTGGTTCCTGGCTTGCCTTTTAACTTTAGGAGGCTTGCGTGCGCTCATTGCTTTACTGCTTTTTAAAACCCAGGCATCCAGGTTTGCCTTGCTGTGTCCTCTTTTCCGTGTAAAAACCTACATTTAACCTTCTATTTCCCCCCACTCCTCGTGCTTGATTTGTTTGTGCGGTCTGAGTGCGAATTAACTTTCTTAAGCTGCAGCTTGTTCCCTTGCCCAGCACGTGCCCCCAGCAAGGTCTGAGTGTGAGTGTGGCTCCGTCTTTCTTTCTCCCTCGTCTCCTCGCTGTTCTTCCCCTGCCTCTGCCTTGGTGGCTGTGCGTTTTTATTTAATTTTTGGCCAGGGCACTTGTACGTTTTCCCCTCTATTGCCCTTGCCTGTCCAATTGTATGGCTGGTCTGCGTGACTGAGTGGGTTTGCCTTACATTTTAATTTGTTGGCCAGGGTGCTGGTGCGTTTTCCCCCTCCATTGTCCTTGAGAGCCTGGATAGCTCAGTTGGTTAGAGCATGGTGCTGATAATGCCAAGGTTGCAAGTTCGATCCCTGTATGGGACAGCTGAATATTTCTGCATTGCTTGGGTTGGACTAGATGATCCTCAGGGTTCCTTTTCCTGTTCCTCTCTAATTTTAAGTCGTGTGTGTGTGTGTGCTTGCAGCGTGTGTTTGTGCCTGCCGTTTATTGATTTATTACTCTTCTAGCGTGGGTTTAATTTACCCTGCCACCCCTTCCATTGGTACCACTTAAATCGGGAGCCCCCTGTAAAATTTTAAAGGCTGCCGGGGCTTGGAATAGACTGTGCGCTTAAACCTCACCCCTCTTGGTTTCTCTAAGCCACACCCCCCCCCCTTCGCTTGATGTTTGGGGGAAGAAATAAGGCAGGGCTTGGGGTGGACAATTCAGGGTTTCTGATCAGGGAACCATTCCTCAGCACTGCACGTTTATAAGTTTAGAACCTTTGAAGGTGTGCCTTTGCCTGGTTCTTGTCATTGGCTTCACTTGCCAGTATAGGCTCCCTAAAGAAAACCACTTTTAAACAACAACAACAAAAAAGGTTTCGGCTTATAGTACCTTACTGAAAAGTCCAGGTTAACCCACGGTTTATATTTCCACTTCATTTTGGCTCACTGTAAAGGACAGCTATTTTCCTTTTCTTCAAAAACTTTTCCTTGCCCGGCATGTTCATTTTACTCCCCCCTCTTGTGGAGGGACACACAAGGAACATCCTCAGATGACGATCACAGGGTCCAGGTTAGCTCATATGAGGAGAGGCAGTCCTTGAGGTATTGCGGTCCCGAGCCATTTAAGGCCCTATAAGTCAAAACCAACACTCTGAATTGGGCCGAGAAAGTAACTGATGCCCAGTTCAGTCAGGCTAGGATTGGTGTTATATGTTCAAACTGTGTTGCCACTGGCTAATGAATTCTGCACCAGCTGAAGTTTCTAAACTGCCTTCAGAAGCTGCCCCACGTATAACACATTGCAATGATCTAACCTAGAGGTAACCAGAGCATATAATTTAGGTTACCCCTGTCCCGATAGGGGCGTAGCTGGGGTACCAGCTGAAGCCGATGGAAGGCACTGATCGCCACTGAGGCCACCTGGGTCTCAAGTGACAGCAGTGGATCTAGCCGTACCTCTAACCTGCATATCTGCTCCTTCAGAGGGACTGTTTAGAGACATTTTTAATGTGTGATGTATTATTCTGTTTTTAATATGTTGGGAGCCATCCAGAGTGGCTGGGGAGGCCCAGCCGGATGGGTGGGGGTATTAATAATAATAATAATAATAATAATAATAATATATTACTACTACTACTACTACTACTGTAACTCACTGTAGTTCAGAATCAAGGTTTAGCCTTCATATCATATGAAGGTTCAGTTTGAATTTCCCCTCTTATTGCGGATTACAATGGGTCAAAATATTTAGTACAGTAATGTGAAATTTTGGCACCTTACACAGTAGGATTACTAGGAAGGGCATAGAGACTAACATAAAAGTAAGCAGATGTATAATAAACATCAATGTCCTTTACAGCCACTAAAACAACATACCTTGGCTGTTGAGAAGCTCAGACTCTTCATACTAAAAAAGAAAGACACAATCTAACTGATGTTTCAGCAAACCAAGCAAAACGTCTTTTTAATGAAAAGTGTAATGGAAAGTGATATATGACATGTCACTCCCCCAGTCTTTCCAATCCTAATTTTATTTGTTTATTAGATTGTGGAAGGGTTTTGTTTTGTTTTTTGCAGGACACCCTTCAGTAAAAAATCATACACCTACAAAACTATTAGGATGGCATACAATAACAAAACATAAAAATATCACTATCCATGTATGAACACACATACACAAAGCAGAAAAAAATCAGCATAAAAATTCAGCAGATTGCATATAATAAGCCAAGAACGAATGTTGCATTTGGAGAATTAAACTTCAAAACATTTTCTAATACTGTATCTGTAAAGAGCAACAAATGTATATAATTCATGGCCAGGGCTTCTGCCGTTCTCTAGATTCAACAAGCTAAAAGTAGCCATGATTAAGTACTATGGAAAGTCCATAGTTATTATTACTTGCTCCCTTGCTTTTAATGGGTTACTTTAGCTAGATTGGGCCAGTCTATTGGCTGTATCCAATGCTCCAGCTCCAGTGGGGCAAGGAATTTTCATGCAAACAAGGGAACCTTCTTTCCCTTTCCTGCCCTCTGTGCACTCTCAAAATTAGGTCGGGAGACCTTCTGGAGCAGATTTGGGGAGAGGGGCAAGGAGAGAAGAGCAAACAGAAGTCTTATCGCATCAATGGAACTCTGATGGCACAGCAATGGATACAACCCAATGACTTGATATTTATGTACCAGGTACCACTTTTTCAGAAGCGTATATACCACCCCTGAAATAATTTATACTCACCCAGAAGTTTGTGACATTCAAGTAATTTGATATCTCACCCGAAAGCCTCTCAATCTCACTTTGAAAGTAAATCAGAATACAAGCACAAATTCATATTCATATGTTTACATTTAAAAGCTACTCTTTATCATGTGACGGATGCTAACCAAAATGGTTAGCAAATATAAAATGTGCATTCACAAGCTGCTAGCCTAATGGTGGAGGCTGACAGACCACAAGCCTGTGTATGTGTGATCTTTCTGTTCTGAAATGCACAGAAGTTCTATGATGTTGTTCATTGTCAGTGTTATCCCACACAGTTCCATACATTTCCCTGTCACTTATCACAAAAAATCCAGAGTATTTTTTTGTTTTTTTGGGGGGAGGTGGTTGTTGTGCAAGAATGCTAAATTTACTTCAACTGTGCAACCTAAATTTCCAGGTGTACTGAATCATATCCACAAAATAGTGGAAGTTTAGATACGACCATAGTCTGTTGTTTAAAATGTTGTGTTAACATATCATGTCTTACTTTTCATATTCTTCTTTCTTTAGGGCCCAATCTAAGAAGAAAGAAAAATATAATTCTGCTCCTTGCAAGTGGAATTTCAGTTGCTATTTTAAGATAAAAGTACCCCTCCCAACATGGTATTGCAATAATCGCTACAAATGTTACCTGTTCTCTTACCCACAAACCACCTACTCTTTGAAACCTACTTACTTGTTTGAATATATCTTCATCCTTATCGCCTTATTGCCTATCACAAAATAAAATATGTTGCTTCCCTAAGAATACTCCTCAATGGGTTTACTTTTGTAAATACATACCTTTTGTTTTATAACGCAGCCGGGAGTTCTAATGTGGAAAAGAATTAGAACAGTATTAGATCAAAATATTTACATACTATTTTATCTATTTTAAATATTTTAAGCCACTTCCTTTAAGAGGAAAAACTCACCAAGGCCACATACAACTAAAATACAATACAGTAAAACAAAATAATTAACCACTAAAAATCAACAAGCATCCCATCCCACAAAGTACAGTAAATAACTACAACAAAAGCCATCCACAGATCAGTTAAAACAGTTAAAAAAGCATCAGTCTTGCGGCTCCTCAATGGCCAAGGAGTGGAATAGTAGCTCCCCAACACCACCTTCTATGGCTGCTTATCCAGGAAGGACTGGAAGAATAACATGCATCCTAAATTCAATCCATATAAACAACTTAGAAGGATGACATCTTCAATGACTTGAAGTGTTACTGAGAGGTCCAAAAGAACTAACAGGGTAGCACTTTCTGCATCTATTTCCCAGCAGAAGCCATCCACCAGCATGACCAAATCTGCTTCCATCTCCAAAGCAGACTGGAATAATCCAAAAGTACCTGAAGTCGAGAAGCCACATGCTCCAACATCTTGCCCAAAACCGGCAGATTTGAGGTGTAGGATATATTTCCTCTTAGATCAAGGGTTCCAAAACTGTGGTCCATGGACCATCAGTAGTCCACGAGCTTCATTCAGGTGGTGTGTGGCATGTTAATTGATTTGTAGTTGAAAACAGTACATGGCACATTGAACAACATATTCATTTTGATTTTTAATTGATTTTTTAATTTTTCTTATTTTTTGTTGTATTACAATTTGGATTTTATGGAATTCAAATTGTAATACACTAAAATACAATATGTAAGAAATAAAAGCAATTAAAATGCAATTAAAAATCAGACAGCACTTGGCACAATGGCTACAACAGGCAGAAAAGTCATTAAGTGGTCCGCCAAGTACCTCAGCTATTTTCAAGAGGTCTGTTGGGTGGGGGATTGGGAACTACTGCCTTAGATCCTATGAACTGGCATAAATTACCTCTGTAGCTAAAATTTAATTCAGAAGTCAAGCAAGGGATTATTTCTGGCCACCAAACCCATGCCATCAAATGGAGTAAAGTTCTGATTGAGACAACCACCTCCAATCCTGACACTGAAGCATAGGCACAGGCTTTAAGCCAGCCATAAATGTATATAAAATGCCAAATAGGTACCGCATTTTTTAGCTTCCTATTTTCTGTTCTCAGAGCATCAATCTCCTGGACCTAAACAAACAAACAAAGACACAACCAAACAAAACATTATTGTTGCAATCCAAGTAACATATCTCAAAGCTCAGGTTTGCTTTTCTCAGATAAGTGTTGCATTTCCAAAGGCCTTAATGGTTGCTCTTTGCTTTATACGTGGAATTTGGCAGTTCCAAACTTGCTTCTGACATATTCTGAGAAACATCCACTGCTTAGGCTTTCAACTGATATATAGGTACATGTGACCAAGCATGTAGATTATTATTATCTTTTTTTTTTTTTTGCAGGCACTTAAATATTTTTATTTTTTTTAACTAAATTCTGAATAAGTTGTGGAATAATTTAGGTTGCAACACTAGCCCCCCTTACTTGGGAGTTAGCTCCATTTAATTCAACAGGACTTGCTTGTGAGTAGACATGGTTAGGATTGCTTTAAGTAGCAATGTTGCTTAATTTGTTTAGCATTGGCCATAGCCTTCCAAAACAGACACAATCCATTTCCCCCAAAGTCCAAATTTTATGGCAGCTTTAAAATGTGGCCCATTGACTCTTTACCTCAAGGAAGCCATAGGCAGCTCCAAGGGCTCAGTTTGAGCCAGGATTCATGAGCACACAGTCCTAGACTATGTGGTACAATAATAGTGTCTCAGAGTATACGCCAAACGTATTATGCTAATAATGGAGTAACTGCATGTACAGTAAAAGCCAGTGGGTGAAAGTTCTTGGCAGAATCTACATTTTGAAAGGGGATGTAAGTGGGCTTTACCAACTATTTCAAAGAAGACACTCTCTAGGTTGTATCCAGTGTTACTTTTACTCAGAGTAGACCCATTGAAATTAACAGACATTATTAACTTAGGCATCTACTCTGAGCAGATATAACCCTCTCTCACACAACACAAAGACACAGGGAAAATTAAAGGGCACCCATAAAATTAAGCATTGCTCCATAAGACATTCCTTACCTGCATATACACAGTTTTCATTTTCATGGGCAAGATTTGTTTCATAAATTACTTACAGATTGGCTGCTGTCCAAAAAGGTGCAGATTTCATGTACAAGCCTCTTTCTCTGATCCTTGTTTTTTCTTAAATAAAAAAATCCATTTTTATAATGAATTTTAATTTTCATACAATTTAATTTTCAAAAGTCACATCAATCTTTCAAATGGGAGTACTTACAAAATCTGCAGATAGGTTTCATTTTTCACTAGCATCTGCTCACTATTTTCTATGGTTAAACATGCAGAGATGGTAGGTTATACTACCACAAACAGGTAATTAGAGACAAATATATTTGTGTCTGTACTACTTGCTTACATAAGTTAGCTCATCACTGCATCTGCATATAATACTGAATATATTAACCCCCACTCAGATCTATGAGATAGAGTGGAGTTTACAAGATAAAAACATTTAAGAATATCAGTGAGGGCAAAGTGCTAATAAAGAATTAAATTTGTGGGAATGGGGGCAAAATGTCATGGAAGGAGGCCAGGATGTTAAGAAACAGTTGCAGAATGTTGATGATTAGCATGATGAGAAATTACCAGCATGAATCAGACCATTTTATGCCAAATACAATTGAAATTCAGAAGCTCTGCTTGCAGAAAATTGCAAAGGGACGTGCTCGGTTTGATGCACAATACTTCCTGTGGGGGGGAAGAATGTCATCTATTTGATTAATTCTGTTCTACAGTGTATTTCAGTTTATTGTATCTGCCAGTTTTGATACTAGTTGCTTTGCCATTTTCAAATAATAATACACACACACCTTAGCGATTTTATGGAACCAGGTCATATGGATCATTTTGCAAGTTCCTTTGGAACATGATCATTCAATGTTACATTTATTTCTGTGAAAAATTTATAGACCGCCATTAAGAAGAGATTCTAGGGCAGTTTACATACAGAGAGCCCTTTCCTTAAATTATCATATCTGGAAGAACCAACACTTGGAATACATTTCCACTCACTATCAGGATCAATAGATTTTAAAATAGGAAGACAGATTGCAGGATGGACCTTTATAGCTGAGCAGCAATTATCCCTCATCTCCAGAGACTGTACAGTGCGGCCCATCATTTGCAGAAGTAGCATGTGGTACTGTCTTAGATTGTTCTACTTCAAAATGCAGGAAAATGACAAAAATCTGATAATTTCCCTGCATAAAGCATACATGGAATGTTTTATGGCGAGGCTAAAACTCTGGTCCCTAATGCACTAGTTTTTCACATGCAGTGAGGTGCTAACATGGGGTATCATTCAAATCTGTATCGCAAATGGTTCCACTCAGAATAGACTTTCAGAATGTGCTCTTTCTCTGCATCTTGTGAAATTGGGTCATAGAGGTCAAAAGTGTCTGATATTAATATGAAACCCCAATTGTGAATGACTTTGAGACACCTAGTTAACCACCATTAGCAGACTTGTTATTGTGCTGCTGTTGCTGCTGTTGTGTTAATAGATCACTGCCATGGGCCAGTATGTTCTAAATACAATATTTTCAGATAGACTTACAATTCCTTATCACTCAGTCAAATTTATTTGCTAAAAGCTATTGATCATCACAAAAATACAGTGTTAGTTGAGGTACATTTTAGCATAACCAGTCCCTAGCACACTGGAACCCATGCTGTAAAATGAAATTTTGTTTAATCTGTTGTGCTCTTAAAGGAAATGTAGAAACCTTAGATGTAGTATATCCATCAGCAAGTGCAATTTTTCTTCCTACCATTCAAAAAGGAAATTCTGAAGATTCACACTGAGAAATCTATCCCTAGGACAATTATGCATGGAGTAATAAATACATACTTAACAGTATTTTCCACCTCTCCCTGGCCACAAATAACTAAAGAGGGCAGCTCGGGGTGCCCTGCACACAGTGCGTCTTCCAAATAAGATCTCTTTTACAGAAATCCTTCACAATACCTGGCAACAGGCTTAAGGGTTACCCAAGGGGAGCTTTAAAAGATGCCTATAAATGAGAAGATATCATACACACAAATAAAATAGCTCTTAAAATTATTGCCAGAGCTGTTAATCAACTAGCAAAACCCTCACCACAGTACAATTCTATGTTTATAAACACTCTTTGCTTGCAACAGTGGCCCTTCTTATGGTGAATATACATGGAACAACAGATATTATCTGATGGTATCACATTTTGCCCTGCAAAAGTACCTTCCACTGGGACATAACTAGAGTGGAGAAATCAACCATTTTAAGAAATTAACAGTTCATGATGCATATCTGATCACTTTAGTATTCACCATACTAAAAAGTAGCATTAAATAAGTCTCTCTTACCTTGTTTCTCAAGTAGTGGCATTTTAAAAGAAAAACCTGGAACCAGGAATAAACATGACGCCATCAGGTCAAACCTGATAAGACACAACCTACAGCTAAAGACTATTATTGTTCACACATCTTGCAATCCTTAAAATGCTTGCAAGATGTGTAGGAGCATTGATACCCTAATTTATATATAGTCAAGTCAAGTTATTAACTGCACTTGGAGGGGGGGGGTGGAATAGCAACTTTATAACTAAGCTGAACAATGGGCAGTGAGCAACAAAGAAGAAGAAACTATCTCCATGTACAGAATCCGGATTAGATATCAGATAACATTGTCTCTGTATATGGTGATACAATTACAAAAAGGTCACAGCCCCATGCACTCTGCGAATTAATCTGGAATAAATCCCTCTCCCCTCATTTACAATCACTAATTTCAGTTGTGAACCGCCCTAAGCTCTACTGATGAAGGGAGGTATACAAATTTAATAAATAAACCCCTACTTCACCATCAATAAGCACGCATCGAAAGTGGGGGGGGGGGAGGAGAGAACTTTGCCTTAAATTTAGTATACTGCTTTGTCACTTATAACAATAATTTCATTATATATACACTCCACACACCAGGCTGAGTTGCCCCAACCACTCTTCATGCCGGCTGCCTTGGAGGCCTGTTGGCAGGTGGCAAGTTGGGGCTGAAACCTTTTAAATCCATAAAGGTGAGGTGAATTGAATGAGGTATCATATGCCCTTCTCCCCAGCTCCGGGAAAGTGAGGGGAGAATCATTTCATGTACCTCAGGGTGTTTTCTTCTTTTGGGGGCGGGGGCGTAAAAATGCAGCCCCATTTAGACTTAAGGATTTCAAACCCCCCATATATATATATATATATATATATATATAGTTTTCCATTTTAACAATCCAACAAAATCCTCATTAAAACATTCCAAATTATAATACAATAAAAAAGCCAAATTGTATGCCAAATTATGTATCTCTGCGTGACTTCCCATGCTCTAAAGTTCGGGGAGTGATGATCTCATATTGTACTGCATTCCTTAATGGATTTTACCCTTTTTGCTTAAACAAGCCCCTATTGATAAAGTTAATAAGGGGAAATCCATGCGTTATAATAATAATAAATTTCCTCTCACCCTCCATATCCCCCTACCACCCTCTATTTCGAAAGCTCTCTCTGCCTTTCTGAAAGTGTCTTGTAAAATAAAATAAGGGGACCACAAAAATAAAGAAGGGGACCATGAGGTGAAAGAGCGCGGATTAGCTGCTGCTATTATTCCCTTCCACCCACCCGGACAGAGTCTCGCTCTCTCTTTGCCCCGCCCACCAGCTTCTCCACGGCGCCTTCCCGCGCCTCTCAAGCCAGAGGTGCGCATGCGCGCGGGGCGGAGCAGGTCCAGGCGAGCGTTAAAAGCCCGTTAGTAGCCGGGCGGGGGAGGGACGTCTGGCTCCAACGGTCTCGCTGGGGCTCACGCGCTGTCATACCAACTGCGCACGCGCAGCCACGCACCTGGGCAGCGGGGTTTCCTAGGTCAGTCCGTGGGGAAGTCCTGTTGAAATCCGTGCCGCCTTACCTGCCACTGAAAATCGTTGGGGATTTGGACTGGTAGATTTGAACGGACTACGAGTTAGATCACAAATGCCTGAATCACAAGCGCCCTTGGAATTATTATCTTCTTCTTCCCGAATGTTTGGAAGGAAAAAACAACAAAACCCTCTTGATATTCATTTCTTTGTAAAGGAATCACCCCCAAAGGAATCTCTCTTACTTGCACCTCAGATATACAGTACAACCAATGGTTTTTTTCCCCTTAAAAAAAATGTTTAGGGGTACTCGCATTTCGACTCAAGAAAATTACCATTTTATAGTTGAGATCGGGGGAAATAAATACAGTAAATGGACAAAAGTACAAAATTCACAAAATTTTTAGGGGTATGCGTCCCCCCAGAAAAAAAAGCACTGGATACATACAACCCAATGGGTTTTGTTGTTTCAGCATTCCAGGAAGGTTTAGCTAAAGAAATAACTTCAATGGACTATGATAATACAGTAATGAGAGATTTGGTAGAGAGGTTGCTTGGCTGCAAGATCTACTCATGAACAAATTCAGAATTTTGTGTCAGTTATTTATTTCAGCCACCAGGTGTCATAGTCCAAGAGGCCAATTTACCAAAGTAATATCTACCAGCTATTGCAACAGATGGGCCTTTTTTGCTCATGTATACAAAAAGTATGAATCCTTGCAGAAAGTTGTGGGCATATAGTATAGATAGAGGGACCCCTCCCCAAAGAATTTCAGAAATGATGTACACGGCTTAAACTTAACACAGTTATGCAGGATCATTTTTTCTGTACAATAACTATTTAAGTGAGAGGGAACAACACTGGAACAGATTTGTATTTTTGTACAACTCACATTCATGAGGGAATTATTTTGCAGGATGAGTATTGTGCCTGTGAGCAAGAGACACCACAGGGCACACAAATACAGAGATAATATAGTTGCACCTTTATAATCTAAGTGGTTACCACCTGCATGTTATGTGGATCAAACATAAATTGATCTCTCATTTCTTGACTGTTCACTTTTGTGAATTTCAGATAAAATTTGAACAATAGTCCCTGATATATCTTAAAAGATTTGCCTCAGCAGTACTTTGTTAAGAGCCATCTGGCCTCATTCATGTTTTATTAAGAACCATCTGGATCTGTATTTTTCCAACACTTGCTGCCTTAGGGCTTAGTCATAAAAAAGATTTTTTAAAAAACCACCCGATAAAGCATTGTTTCATGCATGTTATGTTACCATGTAACTTGACTTCAGTATAAATATTTGCTTTAGATGATGTTGAATGTCAAACATGCTTCCTTTCCCAGCTCCCCACCCCAATTAAAAACCAACCCCAAATAATCCAGGGGTATTTTTCAACCTAGCTAAAGGCCCCCAGTGAGCTGCACTCTTGAAAATCCATTTGTCAATTTGGCTTTCACTGATTTCTCACTTTATCCTTGCTTATATTGGTTGCAACCAGCCTGCGTTAGTTGTGCTTCGCTTCCATTGAAATCAGTGGGACTTACCAAGTCATGTATAGCTTGTTCCATTAAACTTGGATGCCACTGGAATCAATGGAACAAATAATGATTTAACAAACCCTCTTAAATTAAACAGGAATTGAGTTCGTCTGAATCCAGCTCAAAGTTTCTCAACCAGTCCCTAGAACCACGATCAGCCATCCCACCTGCAACTGTAAGATAGCTTTGTTCACATTGCTTTTCAAGATTTTTTCCTCCACTTTCCCAGGCAGTCATGGGATTCTTCTTTCTGAGCAATGGTGTTGCTTCTGGGATTCCCTGACTCCAGTCAGCTGCAGCATGGGATGCATAAGGAATCCTAGTGCACTTATATTCTTGCCCTGGAGATGATGAGCAGAGCAGGGATCACTGATTCCTGAGGTCTCCTTGCCTATCAGCGGATCGCCCAAGCCAAACAGCAGCTGCTTGACCTATCTTCTGAAGGCAGGAGAACAGGACAACAGCAAGCTCTCCTAGGGAGTTTTACAGACCAGATGCTACCTCAAGTATGTTGCATTGAAGGATCTGTGTCTTCACTAAAAGTGGGAGCCAGTAATTTCTCCCCAATGAAATCTGATTCTATTACTTGGGCTAGGTCTCCTCACTTCTTCCAAAGGGCATAGATTGTTGTTTAAAATTTGAATGCACCCTTCAGATCTCTCTCAACTCACTAGTGTACCTTGACCCCTAACTTGGGAGCTGCTGATCTAAGGATTGCTGCCAGAGTTTCTGTAACATTAGTAATGATTCCCAAATGAGCTTGTAACTCAGGTGAATGAAGACTGACTTGGGATTGAATTACTTTCAGGCTGCCATGGTGCTCATTTTTAACTCTCAATATAGAATACACTCCAATGATCTACCATATACTTGACTCTTGCCCCACCAAAAACTGCATAATTTTAACGTCATTCATTTCTTCTTCTACAAAAGCAATACACTTTTTGTGATTTCTGGTGACATCTAGTGGCTACTTATGGACATTCAAAAAATATAATATTTTAATAGCACTGCAGGCCAGGCATAAGCCAAAGCCAACCTGGAAGCAATCTGCAAAGTATCTGGCATTTGCAGCCCCTTCATAGGTTATGCCTGCCTCTGGAATATTCTAAAAGGTTTGGGTCTCAAACTTTTAAGGAATGCTTCTTCCCATATCAACCTGCTTGTGCACCAAGATCAGCAGAGGAGACCCTTTTCCATGTTTCATCTGTTAGAGCTGCCATATGTCTGCATTCTCCAGGATATTATTGGGACTTCAAAGGCAGAAATGACATCCAAGGGGCGACTTCCAAAAGGTGGCTCTTTGGCCTGGAAAATAAAAGCTCAACAATTTAGAGGTCTTCCTAAAAGAAGCTCAACAACTTTCGGGGTGCCTTCCTGAATGCCCTGCCTGTATTCTTTTAAGCACCAACTCAATAATGTTTCACTTTACTAGGTATTTTAGAGCATGATATTTTTAGCACACTGAATAGTTTTATTCTTGTTCATCTTATGTTATCACTGAATTGTGTTGTAATGATGTCATGTTTCTGTAGTTTGAAGTTTCCTTTAAATGCTACAGTTCACATCCTGTAATTTAATGCGATCCTAGAAGCCATTTTTGGATGAAAGTTGGCTTACTTTTTTTTTTAAAGTTAATGCCCCTTGTTACATACAGTACAGTACATATCAGTTTGCATAATGTATTTTTCCCTCAGGGGTGAGGGAAAGAGAATGAGCCATGCAAAACTCTGATGCCCCACTGTCATCTCCAAAAATCTTATTCAGCCACCCTTATGGAGATTTTAACAAGCATCACCCAAACAGTTTTAAAGCATATCAGTGCTGGAAACTTGGATTCTGAAATTCTCTGAAAACTGAATTTTGCACCACTCTTCCACAGGTTAATCCCTTAATGCTTTTGGTAGTGATCTTGCCTTTTCCAACCATAGGAATTATGTTTCTTTTACCAGATGTATGTAGTGAAGGGGCTAAGAGACTACAGTATATATCATCAAACTCCTAGTTCAAACGTGGCCTCTGCCTTGAGCTCACTAGATGGCCTTAGATCAGGGGTCAGCAAACTTTTTCAGCAGGGGGCTGGTCCACTGTCCCTCAGACCTTGTGGGGGGCTGGACTATATTTTTTGGGGTGGGGTGGGGTGTAAATGAACGAATTCCTATGCCCCACAAATAACCCAAAGATGCATTTTAAATAAAAGGACACATTCTACTCATGTAAAAACACGCTGATTCCCAGACCATCCACAGGCCGGATTTAGAAGGCGATTGGGCCGGATCCGGCCCCCGGGCCTTAGGTTGCCTACCCATGCCTTAGATGAGCCATATGGGGTGTTTTAAGTGTTCTGGGCTGGGGTGTTGCTTGTTCTTCCTCTATTTCACTGATCTGAACTCTATTATTCAGTGCCGTAGTGTACAATTTAGGTGATGAGCCTGCTGGATAGGATGTCTATGTAAGTGATATAGGCATACTTAACATGGTCCTTATAAAAACGATAAGATATGGCTGTTATAAAAACTACAAGAAAATGTATATGTAATTCTTTGAACACTGTCAAAGGGTTAAATAAATGGCAGATATTTTATTACCCTACAGTTTTGAAATGAATAGGGAGAAATACAGTAGCATGATCTCTCAACTTTATTTTGGGATATGGCAGCATGTCAAAGTTGCTGCCAAGCTGACAGCAGAGCAAGCAAAATAGCAAACTTGTACTCTGTCCACTAGCAATATGTTCACCATCTTTTGTTGCTTTAAACCCAGAGGTTCTCATAAAACAAAACACGCACACACATAAAAGAGGACGGTTGTTTCTGGTAGCACCTTAATCATTGTTTTTAAAGCTCGTTTCCAGTTCATGTCATTTTTACATCATACAGATAAAACCAATAACACACAAAAAAGTTTCAGGATGCAGTAAACACCTCTGAGCTGCAGGTCACATGAAGAGACATCACTGACCATCCTTGTGTGCTTCAAATTGCCCACTTTGGCAATTTGGGAGACTGGCATAGGGGAAAGTTGTTGCACAGTAAACTATTGGTAAAGGAGGAAGGTGGGGCAATGGAGGATGTAGGGAGTGGCTAAATGTAATCCTGAAGACATTTTTTTATATCACTGAGGCAATTTTCTTGGTGCTGGCACCGCAATACTTTGTCCAGCAAGAGCTGTGCCATGTGATCTTTGGCTCAATACGGTCAACCCTTCAGGCACAAACAGAATTCCAGATCACCACAGGAAGCACAGAAGATGGACAGAGATGAGAGAAGCACATTTTTGCATGCAGCGTGAAAATTGGGTGTGGCAGCCTGGCCAGTTTGTAATGGTTTCCATCTGTCAAGGAGCCTACTAGGTGCCATCTTAGGTAAGTGGTGGTGAACCTTTTAGAGACCGAGTGCCCAAATTGCAACCCAAAACCCACTTATTTATCACAAAGTGCCAACATGGCAATTTATGCTCTATGTCCAAGACTAAGAATTTGGGGACTCAAATTTTAGAGAATGGGGGGAGATGGCTCAGAGTTGTTGAGCTTTTTTGGGGGGGAAGATTGCCCAAAGTTGTTGGGCTTTTTTTGGGGGGGGATGGCACAGCGTTCTGCAGTTTTTTTTTTAAGGGAAGAATACAGAAAATCACCTCTTAGAAACACTGAAATCCCTCACGTCAACACAGCCAGCATGCGCCTGCCCATTCACCAACAGCAGATCGCCAGCTGATTGGCGGGTGTGCAACTCCTCCCAATGCCGCTGCGGTCGAAGCATTTCCGGCTCACAGAAGTGGGGGGCACGCAACATCCACCAATGACCCTGTGGCTGGAACACACTCTAGGGAGCATTTCCCACCAGCACTGGTGTGTGTGTGGGGGGGAGCAGCTGGTCACTTTGTCTGCTGGGGCGATGGCACACATGCCCACAGATGGCTCTGAGTGCCCACTCTGGCACGATTGCCATAGGTTCACCACCACTGTCTTAGGTTGATCTATTTGTTCTGGATTATGGAGACTGGGAACAGTGAGCAGACCAGAAGCTCCATTAATAGCAGTCTATTTCCCCAGAGTTGCTTATCTAAGGAATAAAACGAACAGAAGTGTCTCATTTGAAGGGCCTGCTTACCTGGGCCTGCAGACTGAGCAAGTTCTAGTGTGCGTCATATTCGGGGTTTCTTTCCAACTTAATTAAGCCTGTGTGCATTCTTACACTCCATGAAATCTGTATTTTTTCTGATCTGTGCTGTGGCATGGGATTTCTATGGCATGTTCTTTCATTTGCCTCATTAATCTGGAGAGCGCGCAGATGTTACAGCAAACCGTTGAGGATTTTTGCCTGGCAAAATGTACAATGGTGATATCCTGGGGCGAGTATAAATATGATGCATCAGGCTTCCAACTGTCTACTTGGAAGGCAGACTGCAATGGAATTTTAAAAACCGCAACACAAAACACCAGGATGTGTGATGGTATTTGAGATGTAAAATTTATTAACATCTAACTAAACTAGTTACAGGGGATCAAATACATAATATGTTACACAGTAAGATGAGCCAGAACTTTTATAGCAAGTTCATGGTATAAAAAGAAAAAACAAAGAAAACTGGAAGACAATAATATTGCAACAGTGAAAACACCCATTGTATAATGATACAGTCCATCAGCAGGTTAAAGTAAGTACCTTCCCAATCCAAATGAGATTATCATTTGAACAATGAAATATTTGTAGCAATCAAGCGTTCATGTGAAGTAGAGTAACCTCTGAACAGTAACTTGAAAACCAAAATGTTAAAGGATCATCCTAGTTTCTACTGAAGGAGGCCAGGATTGTTGTTGGTTTTTGTGTGTGTTTTTTTTGCAAGGAGTCTAACAAGATCGTGTGAAAAAAATCAAAACAATATTAAAGAATTTGGAAATATATTAATGTGGCAGCTAAATAGGGAGAAAAGTAGAGAAGAGCGATAGCTTTATTGTCCTTAGATTTAGGTGAAAAAATAGTTGCTTTAAGTAAAAAAAGATATGCAGTAACACTGATTATGTTTTATTGACAAGAGAAAGCTAGCTTATTTTCCTTCTTTATTTCCCAAAGAGCTTCAGTATGGAGAGAGACCATCCAATCCACCTTCTTCACAGCACCCTAAACTGTTATTTTTCTCCTTCCAACTACTTCAGACGGTTTAGAGAATACAAGAAATTCCCTTATATATTTTTCCCAAACAAAAACAACTTTCACTGTTCTGTATATTTATGTATTATAGGGTAACAGAGAACAGAAAAAAATGTAGACCAGTAGAAAAAGCAGCTAATTTTACTCATCCAATATATCAAATCTGCACCAGCCCCAAACTGAGGAGATTCTGTGCTTGGTACATTTGAACCAAGCATAGAATGAACATGACGAAAGAATGACAAAGGTGGAACAATTAAATTCAAAAATAAGAGTTGGGATAGATGGATACATGATTGCACCCCACCTGATTGTAGCCATGGTCAGTTAGCATACCCCAGACAAGGTTACCAATGATATGGTCTTATCCTGGCGCTAGGGTGCCCTATTTCTCAAAAGGGAACCCTCTATTTGAAGGACTGTCAGATTCAAGTCTGGTTTATAGATTTAGGAACCACAAGAAGGGAGAGCAGAGAAGACCTTGAAGTTGCTCATCAACGATTAATACCTGGACAGCAGGATAGCTCACCTGGTCACAGTCTTCTCCACTATAAGATGTACTGACTTTCTAATTAAATTATAGTACTTATTTCTAAATTTGCATAACCAAATCTGTATCATCTTTAAACTCGTTCCTTTAGTGATGCAATGCAATGGTGGTTCTGCCCGGAGCAAGCTAGAGTAATTCTGGCCCTGGATAGTTGCTTCAACTTGTCCTGCCCCAGCAAACATTTTGCAGAGAAAGTTCCTTTGGATCCAACCTCATATACTTGTACGTATGTTATTATTGGCTCCTTCCTTGATTTCCTTCCACTGGCAGGTGAAAACTGTTTTATTCCTCCAGTTCTTTTGGGAATTGACTGCATATAAGGAAACGGCTCTCAATAGTGTGATGTACTGTGTCCCCTCCTCCCACTGCCTGCATTTTAATGGATACAGTTTCAACATAGTTTAACTGCTTTTTAACCATAACCTTTAATATGTTTTTAGCTATATGTGTGCTTCATTTGTATTTAATTTTTGTGATTCCCAGTTATGGGAGAAAGGTGGGATATATATAGTGCTAATAATAATAATAATAATAATAATAATAATAATGGTATCTAGATGTATGTTTAATTGATAAGATACTAAGGGTGCTTCCAGATGGTAGTTTGTGGTATCAAAAACAGAAAAGAACTCAAAAAAACCCAAAACAACCTTAGCACCCTAATAGAATAGTCTGAAGCTTCCACCACTGGTTTGGTGCTTCATTGCTTCTTAAATTGTAGTGCCCAGAATCGGACACAGTATTCCAGGTGTGGTCTGACCACAGCAGAAGAGAGTGCTGCTAATACTTTCCTTGATCTGCTGTTCCTCCTGCACCAATGCTGCAAATCAGTGTGGAGCAGCTGAAACCAGCAAGGAAACAGACAGTCCTGCCAGTGCCAGAGTGCAGTTGTCAGGTACCTGACAGAAACCTTCCACTTGTAAGTGCCCTCAAATAATATCAGATATGTATAGAATGAGTTGGTATGGATATTCAGCCAGGTCCCAGCAATTGCTGAAGCAATTGCCTTTCCTCTTTCATGGCACGTAAATCATGCAGGTTTACACCTAATTACACCTTTAGAGTGAATTACAGTAATCGAATTGTTTAGGTGGTGATTGCAGGTAATAATATGAACATGCAAAATTTCAGTGGAGTGGGACCAGTCCAATTACATAACTGGATCCGAAGGGTTAAGACAACACAAAGTGATGTGTGCATGCCCTTGCACCACACTTGAGTATCCTCCCCCAAATATTGGAAAATCAGGCTGCCTAATATCCAGAATTACGTACTATGGTGGTGGTGATCATTGGCATATTTACCTGCCACATTTTGCTCTAGTGAGGTGGGCTGGTAATTCCTCTTACCATATGCATATACTCAGGAGAATAAGAGGTGATCAGGGTGGAAATATTTAAAAGATCACAAAAATACGTGATTAAACCCTTAATTTCAATTGCTGCATTCATGGGCTCGGCCCTCCCTTGAAAAAGAAAAGCTATGGGTTTTGCAGAAGATTGGATGATGTGTGTGTAAAAGGTGAAATTACGGCCCTGTGCCAATGTGATAAAGGTCAGATGAAATGATGGTAAGCTATCTGTCATAAGTGATGCAATGTGTGTGATGAACTGGCCATATGCCTGTTTCATCATGCATCCAGTTCCCCATTCTATATATGTGAAATCGAGAAAACAGCGAAATGAACATGGTGACCCACAGGGTTTGCAAATCTTTCTTTTTAAAAACCAAAACAAAATCTAGCAAACAAAAATTGAAGCAATGCACAGAGCAATGCTCCTTTTCAAATTGGAGCCTAGAGTTCTATCCCAGCATTAACTGACTAATGCATGCATTACGGTAAGCTCTTGGCTCATGAACAATGATTGCATCTGTTTCTTTAAAAGCTGCATTAAATGTTTTGGGTTTTTTTTTAACTGCATTTCAACTGTACAAAGCAATAAAAGACAAAAGGAAACAAGTGTTTCCAAGGACAGCAGCAGCTAAGCATCCAAAGCAGTAACATTTCTGAAAGTGCAAGGCAAAATTAAATACCTAAGTATTAACTGACTGTAAGCACGGAATATGATTTATGCCAAAGATGATATACAAATAAATGGATTGTAAATGAAAGAGTGAATGTGTCCAAAAATGGAACAAACTTTGTCTGGAAAATAATTACTTTTTTTTAGAAGGAATTGTCCCAAAGAAAATTACAAGTTACAAGAAATCTCAATTAGTGCAAAAAATATATAATGTGTGATATTGTCAAATAGTGAGACACTGCAAGTAAATTGCTATGCGGATGGAAGGGTGTGGGGAAGAAAAGTTAGAATAACTGTCATTGCTTTATATGAATGAAAAACTAGGTATGTTATCTCCATATTGATCTAGGGTCCCAAATTCACATTGGGACTCTAGTATAGGAGGGGGGGCATTACCGGTTACCAGATGTCCCCGTTTCCCGGGGAAAGTCCCCGGATTTATAAATCAGTCCCCTGACAAAATCAATCTATTTAGTAGGGAGTTGAAAAGTGTCCCCAGATTCATTGATAAAAATCTGGTAACCTTATTTACCTCGTTCTCCATAATCCTAATCTGAACTGCCCACACCAGCACCTTGCCTATAAAAAAAGAGTTTCCATTGAGATGAATGAGAACATTTTTTTCTTATGCACATCGCTGGTGTGGACCGCCCAGATCCTAACCAGGACTGTAGCAGGGGGCAACGGCTTGAACCCTCCATGCTAAGGTCCCAGCTCAGAGCCTGCACCCCACACTACCAATTTGTATAAAAAAAAACACCACCATTGCAGTTAAGGGCACAAATATGGGGCCAACATAGTGCCTAGTTAGACCCTGAGTGTTTAATGAGGCAGCAAGCAATTGTTGTGCTGAGTGATAGACATGATATTATTGTAATGGATAATCTTATAAATAAATAAACGGAGAAGTTATTAACTGATGTCTGAGGGGTCCCCCCCCCCTCCTTCAGATGGAAAGTTTATAAAGTTTTGCTAAAATTTGGTTTCCCTTGAAACTGCTTAGGCATATATAAATGGGAGAGTCCAGAAGGTCATTAACGTTTTCTATTTCGCCACTCCATCAATGTGCATCTGCAGAACAAACTGGTTAACTATGTTAGCTTTAGTTTTGCATGGTGGTGTGCTTGTGCCGTTGCGAACGCTCGTCCTCATGCATCTTGTGTCTAGCTAAATTAGTTGTGATCTAGTTGTGCACTATACAGTATGCAGGAAAAAACCTGCCTGAATCTGTTCGCTTATTAGAAGGAACAGCTCTAAACCAGGTGGGACAAAATGCTTGTATGGAGCTGCTCCCTTTGCCATAAGTGATTTGGGGCAGCTCACGCAGGGAAAAGCTCCGTAAGCATATTCAAATTGATGTATTTTACTTCTGTTCACAGCACTTGGATGCAAGACATGTACTACATACTAAGATGAAGAAAGAATGCTTTACTAATTTACAGAAAGTACCATTCAACACTGTAACCCAGGACCACTCTCCCATCAGTTTGTAGGCAATGGACCTGAAAGCTTATAGAAGTATGTGTTTCAGACTCTAATTTTCTGCACACACGTTTCCTGTTTAGCATGATATTATATTAAAACTGTGATTTAACAAAAGAAAAACAAACAAGACTGCCACCTACATTCCAAAGTGCTGTTTTGTCTACTTTGGATTCCTTCTTCAACATGCTAAAGATGCTCATGAAGATATTAGAATACATAGAGAGGATATAGGAAAAACATAACCATTTTAGTGCAAGACAAATATTTACCTTAAAACACTAAACAGGTAAAGGAAGATCATATATTCCATACATTGTATCTAAGGCAGATGGTTTTTTTTTTAATAATACAAGATAATAAATGTGCTGCTCAGAAGAGGTAGAAAATACCGAAATCTTATTTCAGAAAACACCTGTCTCTTAACCACAATTAGGTACTTTGCAAATAGTTAAAAAGGAGGGCTTTTAAAAAAATTGTCTAGCAGGATCTTTTTATTAAAAACAAACCAGAATAGTGAAATAAAGAGTCCATGCTCTGTAAAGATATTGCCAGCCCCAAAGAAAACCGTGTTTCTTTTCCATTTGGTCATTTTTTTTTACCCACAAGCTCTGTTTAGGACTACCACTAAATTGCATTTAACCAAATGGTACTTTCGAGGAAAAGGTAGCTGCTCGCAACTAACAGCTTTTCTATTGGATTTTAATACGAATTAAGCCATCACTAACTTTGGTTGGACTGTGCCTCAAAAGTTCAGTCTACACAGCATGATTCATATACGCCAACTGTACAAATCTGGGACACGTTCCACTTGGAACTTCCACTGTGCGAGCCCTGCTGAAGTCTGCAGTGGTCCAGCTTCCGTAAAGGTCAACAAGGCATAAGAGAAGTTCCTAGGTGTCTGTGTCCTTTTGCTTGCTTGTAAGGCAGTAGAACCATCAATGCTACTACCGCTTAGTACTACTTTCTTGGAATAGGTTAGCTAATGGAGTAAAAAGAACAGGAGCGATCCAGACCGCCAGCAGGCTGCAACGGAAGGGCTACTAAACAGAGCAGTGAAGACCGACCGCTGCATCCCAGAGCCCAATGGCAGCTAGGGTAGGGTCAACAACCATTTTGCTTCCTTATTATACCAGCTCCAGGCTGGTACAGCAGAGAGGCCCAGATTGGGCCCGTTTCCACAAGTAACTGGTGGCTGGACTGGCTGAGGATCCAAGCGATCCTTAGCTTACGTAGCTCTGCTCCCGATTTGGGGATATATAGCAGCTACTGCCAGCAGGGATTCCACAGGAGTGCCTTCTGCTCATCCACAGTTGAGGTGGGTGCAGCTAGCCGCTCCATGGTAGCAGTGCCCAGCACAGCTAGGCAGAACTGGGTGAAGAAACATCTCCATCTCATCCAACCCGATTGGTGGTATTATGCATTGCTCTGCCCATGTGCTCAAAAACAAAGCAAATCCAAACCACAAAAAAAGATTCCAAAAAGATCAGTAACTGAGATGGAATCTCAGGCAAGAGACAGAAACACACTCACTCCGGCTTTGGTTAGCTTACTGACATCTTGGGGGGTGGAATCAGCTGCCTCCATTCAGTTACTGTAGTGCGGCTGAAGGTTCCTGGCCAATACTGTTTATCACAGAACTCAATAAGGCATTAAATCTGAACTTGCATTATCCTTTGGAAAAAATAGTGTTAAAGCTTCTCTCCTCCCCACCCCCCCTTTCAGAGATAACATTCAACAATCATTTATTAAATATATATGTCAAGAAAATTAGAGTTTTTTGTACATTCAAATAAATCATGGTTACTATCAAAATAGCAAAAGACAAACAGAATAACGCAAATGTGTCAAAAATCTAAATCAAGCAGGAGTCTAGAAGGTTATGGTGATACGCAGCATTTCCATTCTTATAATCAGAGAAACAGCAGCTATAATGTCCTTTTCGTTTGTTTTTGTTTTTTCACCATAAGACAGCATTATCCACCTTGGAAAAGCCAGGGTTTTTTCTAAGTTCTAGATAAGTTCCATTGCTGACCCAGGAGTCATCTTCAGATTTCCTGTCAAACAATCAACAGAGCTTTTTTTTATTTTCCTGTGAAACATGCATGTTTTATGCCACTCAGTGTGGCATTCATATTCCTCCCACACCCCATTTAATCCTCAGAACCACCCTGCAAAGTAAGACTAGACATCTAACCAGCTTCAGGTTGAGTGAGGATTTTAACTGACATTTCCCTGGTCTGAGTCTGACATTTCACACACTCAGCAGTGGCTAATGATGAATAATTATGCTTCTCTAAAAGTGGTAGCAGTTGGCAGATCAAGCTATATTGGCAAAACTGAACTCCTGGGCACAGCTGCCACCGGAGATTTCAGAAGCATGGGAACCGGCTGCAAGTGTAACCCTATCCAGAGCAAGAGAACCATCCACTTCCAGATCAATTGGACCTTTCACACTGCACACTTTGCCACATCTGCTTCAGTTTATTAATCTCACTGGATCCCACACTATATCTCAAATACATTTAAGACATACAATGCTTCACCTGGAATACTGAAATTAGGTATGGGTTTGTATATGCTGATAAGGTCAAGGTAAAGGGACCCCTGACCATTAGGTTCAGTCGTGACTGACTCTGGGGTTGCGGCGCTCATCTTGTTTTACTGGCCAAGGGAGCCGGCGTATAGCTTCCGGGTCATGTGGCCAGCATGACTAAGCCGCTTCTGGCGAACCAGAGCAGCGCACGGAAACGCCATTTACCTTCCCGCCGAAGCAGTACCTATTTATCTACTTGCACTTTGAGTTGCTTTTGAACTGCTAGGTTGGCAGGAGCACGGACTGAGCAACGGGAGCTCACCCCGTCGCAGGGATTTGAACAGCTGACCTTCTGATCGGCGAGTCCTAGGCTCTGTGGTTTAAACCACAACGCCACCCGCATCCATATGCTGATGATACTTTGTCCCAAATCCCTTTCCCCAGAGGTTTCATGTAGATACTGAAAAGCACAGGGGATAAGACTGAATCTTGTGGCACACCACAGAATAAACCTCATGAGGTGGAACAGTAATCCCCTATGATCACCTTCTGATAGCTAGAACTGAAACCACCATCACAGTACAGTGGTACATCCGAATCCATTCCAGAAGTCTGTTCTGGAAGTCCGTTCGACTTCCAAAACGTTCGGAAACCAAGGCGCGGCTTCCGATTGGCTGCAGGAAGCTCCTGCAGCCAATCGAAAGCTGCGGAAGTTGCACCCGACGTTCAGGTTCCAAAGAACGTTTGCAAACCGGAACACTCACTTCCGGGCTTGCGGTGTTTGGGAGCCAAAATGTTCAACTTGCAAGGCATTCGGGATCCAAGGTACAACTGTATGCCAACTCCCAAACTAGCTAGGCAACTCAAAAATGCTATCCTGTGTGGCAGTGATGAGGAACCAACGTTTCTGGAGGAAAAACCCATGAGTAGGATATTGGGAGCTGTGTCCTGAACCTTGAGCTGTTATTCAACTCCATCTCCAATCAGCTTCAGCCAACATGGCCAAGGGTCATGAACGACTGGAGTTGTAGTCCAACAACATCTAGAGAGCCACAGGATTTCCCATTTATTCCTTGGTTCCTCACTTCTCGCAACATGTTTCCGTGTTAGCTTCCAGCCACCCCACTGCAAGAAAACAATTTCTTTGGTTTTCCTAGCCCATTGTTTTAGCCACAAGACATAAATAAAATTATGGCTTTAGCAATTAGGTAAGTATTCTGAGAAATGAATTATGAAGCGGGATCTTGTGAATCACTTTCTGTGCCACTCTGCTAGCATATTTGCAGACATTTCAGCAAAGAAATCTGCTATGTTAAAAAAGTACCTGAAAAATCTAGGCTGATGCTCCATATTGTTTTCTTCTAGAACTTTCCGCCGCTCTCTCTGTAGCTGCTCAATCCTTTGTTTTTGCATTTCTGCTCCTTCAATATTCCCTTCCTCTAGGAGCCTGCCATAAGCAACGATAAAAGAACAAAGCATTGTTGGCATTTTATTTTGTGGCTCCCTTAGCTTAGTATCTGCAAACCGTGAAGTAGCTAGAGCTTTTAACCAACAACCAGATCATTCCCCCAGGCTACAGATTGGGAAAAACAACCAGTGAACTGATTCCAGAACTCAACAAAAAATGGGAGGGAAGGGACCCTAACATCTCTACTCCCTTTTTGTCTTTCCCAAAAAACTGACCAGTAAGAACTGATTTTCCTTGATGATGGGCACAACCCATGCACATCCTGCCTCTGAAGGGTACAAGATAATAAGTGCTGCCTCAGTATGTATTCAGCTATAGGAAACTTAATTTTTTTATACAAAAAATAAATAAATACCTTTGGTCTGGTCTAAATCGGGTATCAGTAGATGGTAACAGAGGCCTAGTGAGCGGGTCCAATTCATTTAATTCTAATGCAAACTGTGTGAAACCATACCACTGTTCATAATCTTTTGGCATTGGATCTGCAAATAAAAATGGATTTGATTATTTTCTCCAGCCCAAATCTATTCATAATTTCATGACTTAAGAGCAATGATTACATACATCATATCTGTGGCAACACCCCAGTCTCTGAACTCCCTCCATAGGGATGTTTGTCAGGCAAAATTGGTTATGGTAATTTAGACATCAAGAGGACTTCCTACAAGTTTTTAAAATTAACAACAATGGATGTGTCTCTGTGGTTTTATTCTATGCCACTTTTTTTACCCATTTTTATTTTTGTTTTCCATTCCCGTTTTGTTTTCAACTGCTCTGCTTTGGTTTAAAGATAACCCTTAACCATGGATGTAGTTGAACTATTTGCCATGGTTGAGCATTATCTGCATATGGCCATTGTCTTAAATGTGGCCTATCTAGACAGTCATTTATAGTGAATTATTATGGATTTATCCATTACAAGACTCCATCCATAGTATATAGCATGGTAAAGAACTAAAGTAAAATGTACTGAAACTTAAGATTGTGGCAGGTGGCAGTCAATAGATGAGCATAGGTAGGGAGTGCAAATGCTTTATATGTGTATAAAAATAAAATGGTTGATTGGTCACTAACTTGCTCTCCAGATGCACTTTGGCGAAGATGGTGTTTCGCAGTATATATTCTCATGCCATTTCCCAAAAATGCGATGCACTACTTTCCCATTTTTGTCCAAAACATTTCCTTCAATCTCATGTACATTGTGATTCCAGTATTTTGTCTGGAGATAAAATGAGCAAAACCAAAATCACTTCAAAAGATCAGGAAAAAATTGTGAATTAGGTTGCTCCTATAGATATGCCAAGAAATGACTATGTCAGCTTACAACCTCAGGATATTATTCAACATCCTCATTGCCCAGGAAATTCTGCTAGTAAACTTACTGACTTTTTAAATGAAATGGCACGGGCTCTTGAGAACATCCAATGTAATTTTAATATTACCTTTACAAAAGTAAGTTTGCAGAGACAGCTGTGGTCATTCAGATTCTTGATTATGATCTCCCCGTAGTGTTCTATCCACCGCTGTCCACTTAATATATTATGAATGCAAGATGTCACCTTATTCCATTCATAATGGTCGTTATAGCTAGAAGAAAACAGAGGACTGTCATTTCATGTTGTAATAAAGTATTAGTTAACAAAATCAATGGTTTTACTTAAAACGTTCATCTCAAACACCCTGAATATCCAATTTTGATTCCTTTCAAGAAAAGCAGAGACAAAGCAAAGGGAGAAAATATCTCACCGAGATAGAAAACTTGCACTTGGGGATAGCAAATTTACCGGTATTTATCTTATTTAGAAAAATTTATATACCACTTGATTCTAAGAAAACCTGGTTTGCAAAAATATAAAACATTAAATTTCTCAATAAAAACAGAATAGGTATTTTTAAAAATCCAAAAGATTAATAAAATCAACAGATGCTAAAAGAGGTAAAATATGTGGCTCTGAATTGCCTTTTGAAGCATCTGAATTTTATTGTATTCCTGGAGGAATCCTCCTTAGAATTGACTCATGCTTGTGTCAGTGCAGGAGCACAGGGAATGGCAGTGCAAGTGGGCAGTGGGGTTATGATGAAGGTCACAACGTGTTCGCGTGTTGGGGGTTGTGGTATGTGCTGCCCACAACAGTTTCTTAGATTTCCAATTGTGCACATGGTTAGCGACTGCACCTCCTAATCATTACAGCACACTGCCATACACATAAAGGAATAGGCATTGAACATGGCATCCACACGGTGGCGCTCTCAGCAAATATTGGGAGTGCTAGCAGAATTTCCCCTTCGGAACTCAACTGCATACACAACCCCTTATTTTGCATGTACTTGCTGCCATAAGCTTTGACAACTTTTCAACAGCTGCACAGATCTTCACCATACCAATGAGAAATGGCCTTCCTCAATAAACCTTAATAAAGTGCATTTATAGTTTTCATCAAAATTGGAAAGAAATATACGATAAGCCTGTTTAAAAAAGGGTGAATGGGTCAATTTGTAGCCATTTTAAAACTGATAAACCTGTTGCAATCAGATCAGTCTGAATTTGCCACATTCACAAACTTTGATCATGGGATGATAAATTTTAAGCTGTTGGCTCAACAGGTAAAATTTTTATAAGCGACAGAATGTTGAGCCCATAATGGTATGTCCCAGGTTCAGTCCAAAGGTATCCCTAGTTAAAAGAATTTCTGATAGCAGGTGTCTTGTATACATGTTATGCACATAATTCTCTCTCTATGGCATCATATGATTTGCTCGGTTATGGAAAGTGAAAAAATATGGAGATTTTTGTGCTAAAGGAGTTTTGACAACCCCAGAGCTGCAAAACGTGAACTACAGCCCGCATACAATTATAGAACTTACGCTGGCAAAATTACATGTGTTGTACCAACTGGCACGATTTCCATGGATTTCCCCCAGAATTTGTTTTTCCATCTGATATCTGAAATTTTTAAAAAATAAATCAATTAAAAAGTCAGTAATAAACTAAGTACATCCTTAACACCAAACACATATTGCTATTGTTGAGCTGAATTGTTTACTAAGGGTTTTACTTTAAGCCTGAGACCATCAATAAATTGACAAAGGTATCAAACAGTGGCTGTGTTTGAATGTCATGCTAAACCATAGTTTAGCGGTATGTGAGCAATCACACTAAACATGGAGTTCATGGATTCTCTCTTATGCTCCCAGTTACCCATGATGATGACTTTGGAAGCTTTTGTGTTCACTTTTAGTTAACTACAGCTTGGTGCAGCCCTGAAACTGTGGCTGACAATAACAATGGTTACTTTAAACAAGAAGCTTCAGAAACCATGGTTGGAAGTGACCTGTTTGAAATGAATCATAACTAAAGCGAACCACACAGACAACACAACTGACCATGGTTCAACCAAATCTGAACAAGCCACACTAAAGGAGGAGAGAGGAGTACATGAGCCTGAAATTTGCCACGGCTCATTCACTTTGCACAAAACTATGGCCAGTATACATTCCATTGCTCATTTACAGATTTGCAGTCAGATGTAACTCTATAGTGAAATCTCGTATTTCACTACCGTAATATCACAGCTCCTAAGCTTCAAATGGTGCTGAATATAACCAGGACAAAACTCAGCCTGGTGACTAATAGTTATACTGACTTAAGATGCTTAAAGCAAACATATCGTGATTCCTAAATCATGGCAGTTCGTATAACCACAGCATATTTTGCTAGATGCTTTAATTTTTCCTCTTTGGAGATTGGAACCGGACTCTTGTTTTAGACAATGAAGTCATCTGAAACATTTATGACAAGCAGAGAATACAATACTTCAGTGTCTTGAGTAGTGGAGGTTTCCAGAAGACTTAAGCATAAGCCAGCTGTCCTTGCATTCGTTTCCCTGAGTGCAACCCACTCAGTGCTGCTCAAATGTAAACTCAATAGGGCTTAGTGTGTAGCAGTTTAACTGTGCCCTTGCTTTCAATTCAAATGTTTGGAGAAACGGGCAAGAATTTGTTTTCCTATTGGCTTGTTCAAAAAATGTTGTATTATTACATTGTTTCTGTGTGTTTTTAAAAAGACACACACACACACAAAAAAAAACCACTTATACAGTGGTACCTCGGGTTAAGTACTTAATTCGTTCCAGAGGTATGTTCTTAACCTGAAATTGTTCTTAACCTGAAGCACCACTTTAGCTAATGGGGCCTCCTGCTGCCGCCGCGCCGCCGGAACACGTTTTCTGTTCTCATCCTGAAACAAAGTTCTTAACCTGAAGCACTATTTCTGGGTTAGTGGAGTCTGTAACCTGAAGCGTATGTAACCCGAGGTACCACTGTATATGCTATTATTGTAGAGTAGTATTGATACCACAGACCAGTTTCAAGTCTATGGTAGCAAGATGATATCAATTGCCTTGTGTGCCCAGCTACAGAGTCCCCTTGCTCTGATGCACTCGACTAGAGAAGGCTAAATGAATGAACACTACAAATGTGATGCTCCCGGCCGACTGCGCTGCTGCAAGCAGGGCCAGCCGAGATAAATAGGTGGGAAGTGGACCTGAGTGAAGCCTGCTTCAGCCAGGTCTGCTCCCCAAGACCTGCCCGCCTGAGATGCCACAGATTGGCCTATTTGAATTGAGGGTCCTCGCGGGAACCCATGGACCCCAGCACCATACGAGGGGACGCAGCAACGGCCGCAAAGATGGCGTCGTGCAGCGAGGGGACCTGGGTGGTGCCACAACCACCGCTTACTGGGAAGGCGGTAAGCAGCCATTTCTAAAACAACACCCTCCTCCAAACTGGCTACATCAAGCTGTCTCAATTACAGATGGTTCACTAAATCCTAAGGTCCAAGGATCTTCACCAACCTTATGTCCTCCAGATGTTCTAGGCTACAACTTCCATCAGCCCCAGCCATTATCGCTGATGGGAGCTACAGCCCAGAACATCTGGAAGACACCATGCTGGTGAAGGCTGCTTGAGGTTAGCCAAGGTTGAGGATACATATGTTTGTTATGTCAATGTCTATGCTTCCCCATAATGCCTACAAAGAGATGCTTTGGCACAGCCAGCACAACATCTGAAGCTGCCCTAACATCTGCCACTAATGTTTGAGCTTATAGATTTCCTTCATATTCAAGTCAAAACCAGAGAGAATAAGCTAAAAAATTACCTTGCCAAAACACAAAGTTATCAGATTCAGCATGACATGCAGATATAGGTGGGTGGTGACTGACCTAAGAGGAAGGGAAAAGTTACCGTTACAGCTACAGGTTTTTGGTTTTTTAAATGACTTCCATTCCTCTCTCATGAATTATTTTAATAGTTTCATTTTATTTTAAGCACAGCACTGACCACAAGAGGGAGCTTGTGATAGCAAAACCAGCGTTGGATATGGAGAACGAAACATTTTTTAAAAAACGTTTTAGAAAAACAACCCAGAAGAGCAGGTGTAAAGCGATTAACACTAATTTGTTAATGAGGACTGTTATTTTTTAAAATAAATAATAAAAACAAATAAATGTCGGTATATAAACTGTCTTAAATCAAGTCACTTGCAAAGAAATAAAATCCAAAAAAATAAAATAAATCCAAAAATAAAATAAAATAAAGATGCAGGGAAACACAAATAACAAAAGAAGGCAGTTGAACGTCAAGTTTGGTTTCCGGTCAGAGCTATTGTTAGAGAGTGTTATTTTGTACACGATAAGGATCAGGCCTGAGAAAAAGTGAAGTATTTCCTGTTGAGTAATAATGTGCCCTTCTGAAGTTCATTTCTGTCTCACCTTAGAGAAATATAGTCTCTAGACTGAGAAGTGTTTAATCGGGTTGGAGTGGTTTACGGAAATTTGCTACAGATTTAAATAACGGAAAAGAAACAGTACGATTTCTGAGCTACAAGAAATAGCAACCAAGCTCAGCATAAAGTAACCATACAAGCTAACATAACCATCTATTTATACTGTAGTCATTTAAAATATAATTAATTTTGCTTTTCACTTTAAAGTGGAGCCTGTGCTGTTTTGTATCAAGTTTATGTATAGTTACTGCCAGGAAACTAAGGGATATAATTCACTTGGCATCTGGATACACAGGGCAGTGGTAAAAGTAAAATATTTTAGCGAGTGTAAAGAAAACACTAAAGTGCAAGGCACCCACTCTAAAATATATGGATTTGGAGGTGGTTTCTCAAAGTAACCACGCTATTCCACAGCTTTCAACAATCTCAGTTCAAGTTATGTATGCATGCAAAAGTCAACTGAAGCAATTCAGTATAAAATTAACCTCCTGCCACATAATCAGAACTAGCAAATTTTTCAGCCTGGACCACAACAGAAAAGTACCTGTTCAGCAAAAAACTGAAAGCCTTTATCTTCTCGGATACATTCGTAGGTTTCTCCAAGCACAGGATTAAAAGGCTTACTTCCAGCTCTGTAGTAACTGGATGCATAAGCAGACACGGCAAAAGCAGCCACATATACCTACAAACAGAAGACATCATATTATGTTGGTCATTAATAAAGGGGTATGTGTCATGTCTTGCTGCATTTTGATTTTTTAAAAAACTGATTTTTGGGGGGAGGATGTTCTGATCTCACACTGACTGCAGACACCATTTTCTCTCTACTTTGCAATTTTAATATTTGCAGATATGTTTCCTGCAATCTGGAACAATATCTTTAGCATGGGAACATGACTCAGTATTTACAGAATGACACTAAAGTTCCTGAATTGCAATAGACTTTAAGAAGAAAACAAAAATTAAATGGCTGTTTTGAACTAAATTCCATTGCAATGAATAAAACGACTACTTGATTTTTATTATGGTTTCATTCTCATTAAAAGCACAATAAGCATCTCCAGATCAATTCATAGAAATAGCAGAGGTAGACTCCCATGACAAACCATGTCAAAGCTCCATCGAGGGCAGATGGAGTTGTCAGCGTGAATTTTTCTGAATGGCAGCCAGAATGTCTGCTTCATGTACAGAATGAAAGGGGCGCAAAAACAGTTTATTGTGCTTTTCATGGGGGGTCCAGGCACCCTGCAATCATAACACCACCAAATAGCTTCCAGAAGGCAAATACAAAGAAACAGAGGGAGGGGAAGGAGCAGAGGCAGGCACACAGACGCAGTCTCAGATTGCTTGGGCAAAGCCCTGGAGAGGAGGTAAAGGACCCCTGACCATTAAGTCCAGTTGCGGATGACTCTGGGGTTGTGGCGTGCATCTTGTTTTACTGGCCGAGGGAGCCGGCGTTTGTCTGCAGACAGCTTCCGGGTCATGTAGCCAGCATGACTAAACCACTTCTGGCGAACCAGAGCAGCGCACAGAAACGCCGTTTACCTTCCTGCCGGAGCGGTACCTATTTATCTACTTGCACTTGACGTGCTTTTGAACTGCTAGGTGGGCAGGAGCTGGGACCGAGCTCACCCTGTCACGGGGATTCGAACCGCCAGCCTTCCGATCAGTAAGCCCTAGGCTCAGTGGTTTAGACCACAGTGCCACCTGCGGACAAAGAAAACTGTGGGAAGGCAGGAATCTCCAGTCTCTGCAACTGCTTCATAGGGGCAAGACCTACCGAAGAAGAGTTCCTGTGCTCATCTCCTGTTTCTTCTGGTCAAGCGTTAACTCCACTTACTTGGTGTGATTTACTGTTGGCCAGCTTGCTCCTGACAGCTGATGCACGAACCATTATATACCTGTGGACATGCAAAAGAGAACTCACTTTCCTTCTAGAGCTGCCGAGGGACCCAATTTCCTCTTACCATCCTCTCAAACAGGTTGGGCGTACGTGCCGCTTTATCCAACAATTCGCTGTACTCCAATTCCTCGCAGAGGCGCTGCAAAGTGTTCAGCGGTTCGTTCAGCTCCACTGGCATGGCCACCTTGGAGAGGTCTTTCCCGATGTTGTTCCGCAAAATGTTCCAGAGGCTGATGTTACTAGTGTTGGGACACGGAGCCGGCAGACACGTCCTCCGCTTAGAATGGCATTCCAAGCTGTCGTCGGGAACACTGTCTAGAAGACAGAGGCCAGGATTAAATTTGGCAACATCCCATGGTTAATATCCACACTTTTGCAGTTGTAGCAAAACACAAAGAGGCTTCCTTTCAACACAGTCCTGAAGAGGATGTAGGTTATGGCTTGCCCAAGACCAACCAGCAAAGTTTCATAACTGTGCAGGAATTTGAGACTCCTCAGCCATTGCACCAAATTGGCTCTCTATTCCCCCCATCTGTTTCCCTGAAACTAAATTGCTCCCCATTTTAAGCAAGTGTTTAATTTTGCCTGAATTGGGAAGATCATCTCTGTGTACTGAAGTAGGAAATTAGTTTTTAAATTCCAGCACCAACGATGCGCAACGTGGGACCAGTGCAGCTAATTGCCAGTCCAGAACCATGGAGAAGAATCCCAAAGGTGCCATATGTTTTATCAGCTACACTTTTTTAAAAACAACAACAACACCCTGCCACATTTTAAGCAGGACTTTTTATTCCAGGGAAAGCATATATGTTTGATAGGTATGGACCGTTCTGTTTGTTCTGCCTCCTTTGTGAAGAAAGAGAAAACAACAACCAGTAAATGTAGTGCATAAGAGCCAACTCCTTTTGGCCCCCCACCCATAAAATATTTGAGGGGGCCGGCCCTCCCCAAAGTTGTGTTAGAATTCCTGATCTATGATTGCAGTCATGGGATTTCTGTCTTTCACATGATGGTATATGTTTTGACTCCACAGAGTGGGAAGTGACGGAAACAGGATGTTTGTATTACTGTGTTCTGTGAAGTGGGACTATTGTCCCTTGTTCTTTTTCTCTTTGCTGTCTGATGCTAGAGGGAGCTATGTTGCAGTGCTCCGTGTGTGTTTATATGTAAATAAAGTAGATTAGCCAAAATGCTGAGTTGCTGAGGTCTGTCACGCAAGGTGCACAAACTCTGCAGATCCCTAAGTGTGCCGGTGTCAGTTGGCATCGGTTGTTGTGATGTTTGGACTGAAGAAAGCTTATGAAGCTCCCAAACGATCGACCAGGAGGAAGGGAACATGCCAGTCGGGCATGTGTCTCTGCTAGAGTCCTACTCAAGTGTAGGCTGAACTCCTGACAAGTTGATGGGTATTGCCATTAAAATGTTGTGTGTCTGCCAAGCCTTGTGATCCATCATGGGGGGGGGGGGCTTACCTGCCCCGCCATATTTTATTGCAGTTGGCACCTCTCGATCAAGCGGAAGGGGAAAGAAATATCACTTCAGCAAGAGCACAGCCTGGAATGGAAACACCTGGGCCTTGTGTGACAAAAGTGGGTAACTGCTGCATGCTTACTGGACTAAGGCCTTGGGGCACAATCCATCCCCACTTAAGTGCTGTGCGTTTGGAAGCAATGTCATGGGAGTCAATGGAGCTATGTTCCTCCCCACACCTTCTTTGACCTTGTGTGCTGCAGCGCATCAGGCCATTACTAGGGATGAAGGATTTGTGTACAGGCTCCAAAGCCTATACAGAGGGGATGGGAAAGGGAGGGCAAGAACCTCTGAGCTCTGTGGTTCTTGTTTTTATTCATATTATGTATTTTGCGCATTTGTATTGTGATTTCATGTTGTGAACCGCCCTGAGACCTGCGGGTATATGGTGGTATTATATTATTATTATTATTATTATTATTATTATTATTATTATTTCCAGGTGGTTTCTCCTACATGGGGAGAGATCACTGTGTGCCATTTCACTGTTGCAAAAATAATCCTTTAAAAGGAAACACAATCCTGAACGTGTCTGCATCTTCATTTCTGCACTGCAAGTTTCTGGTAAAGAGAAAGCAGAAACCCTCAGGACAGACCACAAAGAAATTTGTAACTCCTACCGAGGGTTTGCCTTTCATTCTCTATGTCGTTACTTAGGTTGTCTTCAGAGATGTTATCACTCACATCACTTGCGTATGAATCATCATCAGATACCTGAGGCGGAAGGAAATATGCTTTCATTCTGATTAAAAGGAACATGCAGAACACCACCACAGTATTTGGGAAACTGAAAAAGTGGATAAAAAGAGGCCATGAAGTTTGAAATGGATATTGCAACGACAAAACCCTGCTGTTAGGGACTCTACTTGTGTGTGTCAGGAGCAAAACAAAAGCCTAAATACACATCCCAATGCTTAATACCCACCCACCCACAAATCTTTGTAACATTTGTCAGACAGACACAGGGCAAATAATATTTGAACATATGTTTTTTTAAAAAACAAAACAAAACAACCTTCATGGTAACATCTATAAGCAGCATTTCCTGCAAGCCCCTCCTCTCCCCTTTTCAAACTGCTTTTTAAACCTAGCAGTGGTAAATAATTGTGTATTCTGAATAGTACATAACATGTCGCTTGCTGCCCTGGGTTTGCAATTAGTGTGCCGAGACGGTAAAGGTCAAACAGCTTTGAAACAAGCGACATGAGACCATTGCTTCCGACGCCGGTGCCCAGACCTCATTTTCTGAAGAGCTGGCAGACAGCAAGACTTCCTGAGCATCAAAAAACTCGGTGAGCGAATCTGTTATAGACAGCCGACTTTCGTTGGAAAGCTGGTGAACTAGACCCCTGTTCTCGTCGTCCGAGTTTTCCTGCAAATGAGAGACGGAAAAGAGACTTGAGCGAAAGTGTCATTGTTAAGTGCAGAACACAGAGGGAGTTGCCCTATGTCGACATTGACTGTCAGAGACTCTCAGGGGTCGCATCTCGGACCTTCTGCATTCAAAGTGGATGCCCTACCCTTGAGTTTCAGCCCCAAAGATACCAAAAGCCACATACAATGGTACCTTGGGTTCTCAAACTTAATCCGTTCTGGAAGTCCGTTCCAAAACCAAAGCGTTCCAACTATGCGCTTTCCCATAGAAAGTAATGCAAAATGGATTAATCTGTCCCAGACTTTTAAAAGCAACCCCTAAAACAGCAATTTAACATGAATTTTACTATCTAACGAGACCACTGATCCATAAAATGAAAGCAATAAAAAATGTACTGCAGTCACACAATCAGTCAATAGCTGAACTGGGTCCCACACAGTCACAAAAACAAAAAGGCAAAATAAATAGCAAAAACAGACAGGCCTCAGTGTAACACTCAAATTGGAAGCGTAACACTCAAAACAGAGCACATTCGGCTTCCGGAAAAAGTTCGCAAACTGGAACACTTACTTCCAGGATTGCAGTGTTTGGGTTCCAAGTTGTTTGAGTACCGAGGCATTTGAGAACCAAGGTACCACTGTACTATTTGCTCAAACAAGCTTATAGGGTGAGCAGAGGAAGCAAGGCAGCCCCAGCATTCTGCCACACTTCATAGGGTTCCATTTACTTTGTTTAAAAGTGCTGCTTGCTGCTTGTGGGGTCCACTAATGATCTGGCAGAAGACACATTTCCCTATATGTAAAATCAAGCATAATAAAAAGAATGGCAGATGTGAACAGAGTATCCACTGTCACCGCAACCACAGAGAAACATGGATTGGGGATCATTCAGACGGAAATTCCCAGGTGTCAAAAAAAGGTTATTTACGTATGCTACTACTGTGGCCTGTGTTTTGTCAGCCCCAAAACGGAAAACGAGTGAGGTCCCAACTAAAGAAGAACGGCAACTTAAGTTGATGGAATATGTGCAGCTGGCGGACTTAACGTATAGAATAAGAGAACAAGAAGAACATAAGGGAATATTGGAAAATGTTTACTGAATATATGGGGGAAATTGTGTACACCTGAAAACGTTGGCAGCATTAAGATAAATTCAACAGTGTAAATAAGTTTTGAGGGATGTAATAATGGAATATGTAAAATATGCAGGGATTTATGATATGCAGAATGAACCATGGAAAGAGAAGAAGGGAAGTCACTGATATCTGAAGGATGTTTAAATGTGTATTCTAAATTGTAAAACAGAAAATTAAATGAAGATTATCTATCTATCTATGAGAGAAATGCAGAGAAATTGGGAAGGGAAGAGAAACCCCATGTCGCCAAACCTCATATGGGAAGAAAAAAAACCAGTGACCAGGAGCCTTGTTACTGAAAAACTGAAGTACAGGCTGCAAAACAGGGGTAGCTAATCTGTTGCTCTCCAGATGATGTGGGGCTCCAATTCACATCAGTCTCAGCTAGCATTGCCAAAGGCCAGCATCTGGAAAGTAGCACCTTGGATACTCCCTTCAGTAAAAAGAACTGAGGGCAGCATGCACTTTAGAAAGGACACAAGAAGCAAAAGCACAGAAGGATTCAGCAAAATGTCAAATAAAGGCAGGCATCATGTACTTCTTATAATTCTTTTCCGCCCTCACATCTTGTTTTGCACTGCCTGAAAGACAGTTGCTAGAACACTCCTTATCAGTTTGTTCTTCCCCACAATAAATCAACAGGCTTAAGCTCTAAGATCACTTTCAAGCTATTACTACTGGTTTTTTTTTTATTTAATGGATGAGACACAGTCATACGTACGGCAAGTTTGGATGGAAGAGTTAAAGCAGATTGTGCAACAAACCTGCTTTGAGAAATGGGGCTTTTTGTGTTAAGTTAGTGGGAATGTGCATTGGGAAGTATGAGGAAACAATTGCTTGATGCAAATGTCCTACAAACTCCCCACAAGCAAATCAGAACAAATGCTTGATAAACAAGAGGCTCTGAATAACTTTCTGCACGTCCCTTGTGAAAATAAAGCAGGACAGGAAAGTGGTAGTGCCCCCGACACTTCATCAAATCAAGCTAATTGCTTTGTTTCACAAAACAAAAAGAAAAAAAAGGGAGCGAGCGAGCTCCCATTTTAATCATTTTTTAAAAACCTTTTCCTGTTGTCCACCACAGAGAATTTGGCAGGTGTATCAATACCCCTCAATACACTTGTGTTGACTTGTCAAAATGCAACATCAGCAAGCATGGCCGATGGTTGGGTATGATGGGAGCTGTAATCCAAAAACATTTGCACGGGGAAGGCTACTTCATAATTTCATTTTACACAGACTTGAGGTGGGTAAAATCTGGGCAATCTTTCTGTGCCAGTGAAAGGTTCTTTAACCTCCCAAGGCATCTGGCAGAGGCTCCTTCCAACTCTACAATTCTGTGGGCCATTTACAGATTTTGATTGGGAAGTAAGCAGCACACTTGGCTAATCGAAACTGACGTCCTTAGCTTATCCACAAGCTTATCTGTAATGTGTTTTTTCTATTAAAAAAGGCATTTACAAGAGTGTTTTCCACTCAACAGCTTTGCTGCTTTAGTTCTGATAATTTGGTCACTTAACTATCAAGAGCTATTCGATGTGTCAGGCCTTGGCACTACACATATTTTTAAAATAACTCATTAAAGTCAACACTCGCCTCCATGAGCCTTAGCTACATCACTGATAGTTTTTTGTGGGCTTTCAAGTAAGTTACTAGGATTCTTAGATTTGGCCTTATGCAAGAGAAGCTCAGCATCAATAAGTAAGAAAGTAAATAGGTAAAGGACCCCTGGACAGTTAAGTCCCGTCAAAGGCAACAACCAGGTTGCGGCGCTCATCTCGCTTTCAGGCCAAGGGAGCTGGTGTTTGTCCACAGACAGCTTTCTGGGTCATGTGGCCAGCATGACTAAACCGCTTCTGGAGCAATGGAACACTGTGACGGAAACCAGAGTGCACGGAAACTCTGTTTACCTTCCCGCTGCAGTGGTACCTATTTATCTACTTGCACTAGTGTGCTTTTGAACTGCTAGGTTTACCTTTATCAATAAATACACCATGATGGACCAAAGCATTCATGAAAGGAGAAGAGGTGCTGTTACCAAAGTAGGATGGGTAAAAACATATGTTTCTTGTTCGTTTGACAATGTCTAAAGCTTAATATGGTTCTATTTAATGGAAAAATCAATCAACCAATAGATTTGGTGTAATGCAATACATAGCAGTTACAGCCACGATTATGCCATATAAAACATCACTACAACTCTTCATTTTTCCATTTCTTCACGGTTTGTGACCCAAAGGTTCTGGGGAAGGTATCCATATGCAGTGGTGCCTCGCAAGACGAAATTAATTCGTTCTGCGAGTTTTTTCGTCTTGCGAATTTTTCGTCTTGCGAAGTCGCAACTGCACCTCTTCAAGCAATGCACTCTGGGTATTAATGGTTTTAAGGAAAAGGAAACAAACTTGCAAGACGTTTTCGTCTTGCAAAGCAAGCCCATAGGGAAATTCGTCTTGCAAAGCAACTCAAAAAACGAAAAACTATTTCGTCTTGCGAGTTTTTCGTCGTGCGAGGCATTCGTCTTGCGAGGCACCACTGTGTTAGTATAGCCCATCTGTTAACAAAAAAAACAAACACACAACTCCCAATATTAAACCTCAGCCCCATCGTGTAAAAAACAGAGAGGGAAGAAAGGAAGTTCGCAAATAGTAAGAGCTTGTCACTTTATAACTTAGATGGTTAACAGTCCTGAACCAGAAGATTTTACAGAGCTAATGGAAGATCAGCAGACCAGTACTGCCCTACCAGTGCAAGGGAAACTTCCTTGGCAGATGAGGCTTATTTCCTGAAGCTCTCTGCTTTCAACAAAGCTCAGTGGCGGTGCACAAGTTAAGCCACTGCCAGTTCAAAACTGATGGGAGGCTAAAGTCCTGACACTGCACCTAAGAACACAGCTTGGCCGTTCCTGCAGCTCAAGGAAGACAACTAATCTTTAGCAATCAGAAATATACGGTTGTGAAGGATAATTCACCAACAACATTCCATCCAAAGCAGATCAATTGCATCTCTTGAAACTGAAAAATCAATGCATCCTCAAAACCCATTTTGCAAAACCTGGGTTTGGAATATCGTATTACAAACTCTAATATAAATATAATGTCATATGGTTCAGCTGCAAAATGAAATACATCCAGACCAAGGACGGGCTAAAGTTTACAGGCTTCTCTAAAAGCATTGTCTCTTCAAATGTCTTTTCCAGGCATGCATTATGAAAATAACGGATAAAAAAACCCAGCCACTGTTGGTAACATCTTTTAATTCTAAACTGTGAACTCCCGCTTCTTCCCCTCCAGCCTCACTGCAACCCCAATACCTAAGGACCGTCTCTTTTCCTGCTTAGACTATCTGAGACACACCTTTTGCTGTGTCCAAAATAAGTATGGAGAATGGGTGACTACAGAGTATGCCTTCTCTGTCTTTTCAATGAGCTTCCCAGATAGGAATGCTCCTATCCCAGATAGGAGTCTACTTTACTATGATTTCAGGGCTGCGTAAAAATGTTTTTAGCGTCCTGGGCAGCTTCAGTGATATTGTTATTACAGTCACTCAATCCCTGACCTTCTCAGGTAGGGCTGGGAAAGACTCCTGCTGGAGAGCAGCTACCAGTCAGTGTAGACAACAGTGAACTACACGGACCATTGGTCTGACTCTGTATGTGGCAGTTTCCTATGTTAATATGTTTTATCATGCTTCGGTGTATTAAAAATATTGTACAGTGGTACCTCAGGTTACATACGCTTCAGGTTACAGACTCTACTAACCCAGAAACAGTGCTTCAGGTTAAGAACTTTGCTTCAGAAAGTTTCAGGTTAAGTATGGTCCTCTGGAACGAATTAAGTTCTTAACCCCAGGTACCACTGTACATCATTTTGATACTTCTTTTTTTTTTTTAAGTATAAATTGATAGGTAAAGGTAAAGGGACCCCTGACCATTAGGTCCAGTCATGGCCGAGTCTGGGGTTGCGGCGCTCATCTTGCTTTATTGGCCGAGGGAGCCGGCGTACAGCTTCTGGGTCATGTGGCCAGCATGACTAAGCTGCTTCTGGCGAACCAGAGCAGTGCACGGAAACGCCGTTTACCTTCCCACCAGAAGGTAGTACCTTGCACTTTGACATGCTTTTGAACTGCTAGGTTGGCAGCAGCAGGGACCGAGCAACGGGAGCTCACCCCGTCGCGGGGATTCAAACCGCCGACCTTCTGATCGGCAAGTCCTAGGCTCTGTGGTTTAACCCACAGTGCCACCCGTGTCCCATAAATTGATATACAAGTCTAATAAATCAAATCACGTGTTCAGAACTGGTGAAGTCTATGCACATCATCCTGATCAACAATCAGAGCAGGTTCTGGAATTGCTACTTTGATGACAACATCACACAGACAGCCCCTAAAAAGTGAGCAAACAGTTGTTCTCCTGCCTGTTTCTTTTGAACATTCACAAACGCCGGCTTAAAATAAAATAAAATGGAACAGTAGCAGAGTTTCTGCAAATGAAGAAGTTAGTGCAAATCCTTCCATCTTTTTTAAACTTCTCATCAGGTTGAGCCCTATTTTCCACCTCTCTTCTTTTCACACACCTCCATTATAATTCTTTATAGATAGTGATGTTTTAAGAAGATGTGTTTAGTTTTCAAAAGATTTTAAAATTTGCACAAAATCAAAGAAGCATTTTGGCACGAATCTAAAAATATATATATTTAAAGAATTAACTCACAGCTAAAACTGTGCCCTTGCGTGTATTTTTATCCCGCCCCCCCAAAAAATACGGTTATGTTATGCCTACTACTGTGGACAGAACGTAGTGGGGGTGTAAGAACACACAAAGCATGATATTCAGAGTGTGCAAAAGATGCCCATGGGAAGCCCACAAGCTGAACCTAAGCAAAATGGTAATCCCGTCCCTGTCATTTCCAGCAAACAGTATTCAAAGACATCCTGCCTCTGAGGTACACCGTAGCCACTACTGCCAGCAGCCATTAGGGCTAGCACCATTGATCGTTTTGTCCTCCATGAATTTGTATGATCCTCTTTTAAAACCATCTATCTATGTTGGCGGCTGTCACAGCCCTTGCATGCATTCTCTGCTGCCTCTTGTGAATGTGGTGTTATTGTGAGTCTCTGTGTTATCAGCGAAAAAAGTACATAGGAAGCACTACTGACCCAGCACTACGTGCCAACAAGGTCATTAATTTTTGATCTTGCCTCCCTTCCAAGTCATAACACGGTACGTTCCAGAGTTTAATCGCGAGGTGCTCACCGGCACCACCTGTTTACTCAAAATGTCAGTCAATGTTAAATCAGCCTACCAATTTCTATCTGGCTTCTCAAAAAGTATTACATGAGATCAGACTAAGTTATTGTGCTAGTCAAAATTTAGAGAGCGTGTTGTAAGTAATACAGCCCCGCTTCCTTCATTAAAATAGCCGCTATCTACCTGCTATGATTTATAAATATATTTCTGTTCAGCTTTATGGAAATCGCAGTTGCAAGTGCCAGAGAGACGTTCAAGCAAAGAGGTAAACTTGGCTACTGGCTGGGAGACTCTGAAGCTCCAGCGATGCTTTGTGATTTCACCTTATTCTTCCAAATATCAAGAACCTGGCAGGATGCTGGCGCATTGGCATATTATAGCACTTTCCCCCCCAGTAGCTTTTGAGAGATGTGCTTTTCAGGCTGATGAGCAGTGTTAAAATATTCTACTTCGGCTATTTACAAAACAGAATGCAAGTTGTGTCTCATGACACGCGAGGTGTGTGTGTGAGCGCACACGCAAAAGCTGTAATGGAAGGAACTATAGAAAACTAGTTAGAGACACAAAACTGTTCAGCGACACCAAAGAAAACGACAGGACAACTTTTGCTAACAAAACTCTAGCAGCGGAAGGGCAGCAACTTGGCTGTCAGCAAAAAGCACCGAAAACATGCTTGGAAATAAAACTGTTCTATGGGAAGTATGCACAATAATTCATGTCACAACAGATGAGTCATAAGCACAGGAAAAGGAGCAGCTGAATGGGGTGGAAAAAAGAAGCAGGGTATTGGTTGGGCTGAGGTGGGGGAGAGAAGCAGCAAGCAGCTTTGCAGAAGGACAGGGAATCTATACCCACCTTTGCCAAACCAGGGCAGAAAAATCTATACCCACCTTTGCCAAATCAGGGCTGGATTTTGCATTAGCTGCTGAATCAAGAAGCACAGATTCGGCATGTATTCTGCGTAACCGGTCTTTAAGATCTGTGTTTTGTGCTATGGCCTGAAATGTTTAAGACAAAAAAAAAAAAAAGTACATTTGGGCTATTAAGGTGTCTCAGCTGATCTTATATGGTTGCCTTTATGGTTCAAAACACAGACAGTTTAGTGCTCTAAAAATATTTGAAAGGGGGGAAAAAACAACCCCACATGTTTCTTTATGGGTCTTTTTGCACCGTCAATTAATTCAAAGAGTTTCTCCTTTCCTCTAAAGTAAAGAGTAGATTTAGGTGACGGGAAGTTGCACTTTAGCTGCTTAGAAACTTACTGTGCTACATATTTTATACTAATTTCTAGACACAAAAAGTGTGGTTAACATTGGGCTTAAGCGAAACTATTGTATTCCTATTGCACACTGTAACATTTAAAGTGGTTCTTGTGTGCTCTGTCTCACCTGAAGACATTGAAATTCGCCTTTGGAATGTACGAAGGTAGGAGACATAGCAAGTGACTTCAGATAAGGCCCTTCATTAGATACTTGGTAAATACACACACACATTTTTCTGGGTTATATCTTCGTCTCAAACCATTGCAACACCCATTTCCTCACATTCATTTGCTTCCTTAGAATGGAATATGACTAACTACTTTGGAATTTACATTGGCTATTTATTTTCTACACAGGGTTCTCTGTTACAGATCAGCACACACCAAATAACCAAACATCTACCAGTGAGCACTTACCGTGCTTTGCATTAGAAAACTGTAATGGGCATTATAGCATCTGGGTGAAAATGCCACTTACAAGGTTACTTTTCTCCTGTCAATCTTCAAATTTAGACCAGTTAAAGGAGACCGGAGAAGACAATGGGTTAAAAGCATGAGGCCAACTAATATCTAAACCAGCCCTGCTTCTATAGAAAAGTTCTAGTGGCCTTGGCATGTAGCCAAACCCATTACAAAGCCTGTGAAAGACAGGAAAAGCACTCTCAGATGGTAATAACGAACTGACATTAAAGCTGATTTATGAATAACCAGGGCAAGATCAAACATGCCTCTTCAGCAAGTGGGAGTAAACACTTGCTTTCGTCAAACAGAATAGGTTTTTTAGGGCAAGCATGACGAATCACTTGAGAATTTATATTTTTAAATTATTCTACTTAGCTTTAAAAAGAAAGAAAGACATATTTTGAATGAAACTAAGGGCTCACCCACACTTCTGCTTCTGGACAAGTAGCGTTAACTCAGCTGGCTAGAGATTAATGCTGATCATGCCAAGGTTGTGGGTTTGATCCCCGTACAGGGCAGCTGCATATTCCTGCATTGCAGGGGGTTGGACTAGATGATCATCGGGGTCCCTTTCTACTCTAGGATTCTATGAGCCAATGTAGTTCTATGAGTAGGTACAAGCGGTTTTGACTTTCCCCCAGAAAGCCTGCTCTTTAGTGCTAAATCGAAACCAACAGCAACCCACAGAAAACCCGGTTGCCATTTGCTCCGATTCAACGAAAAACCACTTTGTCCCCAGAATGGCAAATGTCCTGAGATCTTCAGAGCTAGGATGATACCTCAACTTGATGGAAAAGTTGAAAACATCTGAATTTTCCAAGTGTGTATGTCTGCCCCTCCTTTATTGATAAAATCAGGTGAGGCAAAAATTGGTTAATTAAGACTTTTGCTCTGATCTTTAAGGGGTCATTTCGAGCCCAAATGCATCTAGATAAAAAGGTACCAGTTCCCTTTAGGATTGGAGCTTAACTGTAATATCAAGTTGTTGTTTTTAAAAATAAGCCCGATCCCTGGATTTTCATTGGTACTCCAGTGCATGAGGAGGTCAAGTTTAATCCTACTTGATGAAAAGTGACCCATGTGCTGCAAGAGGCAATGGAAAAAACTCCCACTGGCACTAGGAAGACTTTTCCCCTTCAGACTCACTGCCACAACAGGATCACATTGGCAGGGTCCTGGCTGGGGAGAGAAGGGTTAAACCTTTTCTCCCTGGGCACTAGTCCTGATGCAAATCACTCCTCCCCCACAGATTAAATTTTTTAAAAAACCAACCTGTTTCAGCTGCAAGCTATGCTATTAACCAATGTGTAGTCCTAAAATCCCCTGGGCTCTCAAGTTGGTCAGTTTAGGACCTGGCAACCTTAAATGGCCCATTAATGTGGTCTGATCTATATTCAGCTACAGACTAATCTTAGCTCAGGGGAAATGTGTCAGGGGCTGGATCCCAGGGTGGAGTCAAATGTGGGCATCTCTCACATTCACAAGCACCATCCCTATCAATCTGTCTCAACAAGAACACCCCCTTGATCCACCATCTACTCCTGTGGTTCCCAACGTGGGGCACACGCCCCACAGGGGGGCAATTTGAGAATGAGTTATTAACAGTTAATGGCCTTTTAGGCTTCCTCCATGTGAATAGGAGTTCACTTTTTGAATAATAAGAATTATATGTCACTGGGGTGGGGGTAGGAATCAGGATTTTAGAGATGTTTAAGTGGGGCATGGCCAAAAAAAGGTTGGGAATCCTTGATCTACTCAGTCTCCTTTATGCACACACACACAATTCTCTGTCTGTCTGTCTCTCTGTGCATCTATCCATCCATCCATCCATCCAACTAGCCATCCATGTACCTTCATACCTACTTACCTAAACACACAAAATACACACACTGCAATTGGAGTTTTTCCACCAGTGCACATAACAGATCCAGAATGATCCCCAGGCCTTGCATTGGCAAAAAGGGAATTGAGCTGTGGGATCCCTTTCATCATGGGGTTGTTTTTTGACAATGCAAATCCGCAGGCGTGGGGCCCCCCTAATCTGGACTGAGATCCTAGCAGAGAGGAAAGGTTTAGAGCCCTTCTATCACCTACCTCAGCTTCCCAATCCACATCTGGTTTACTACTACTACTACTACTACTACTACTATTATGCCCCTGCTTTTCCTTTCTCTCAGTAGCCCGAAGGGAGTTGAGTCCTGGTGGCTGGGTGGAAAGCATTCTACTCACGGGTCAGAGGATCCCCATCCTGTCTCCATATTTTATTTTATTTTTGAGATAGTTGGAGATGCTCCATACTCTTCTCAAGATAATAAATTTTACTCTTTCGTCCATTCTATCTCATGTCCCATCGTTAGGCACTTTTACATATACAGAATGAAATTTCAAAGGAACTCGATGTTGCTATTAAAGAAGCGGCAAAGGAAAATGCCATGGCATTTATTGTTTCAGGCTTTTAATAACCTTAGATGTCAACAAGAAGCTATGAATGTGGAGGCAATGCTGAAGCCCTCCTTTAACACTTGTAAATCAAGATACCGCATTCTTCTATCAATACCCGCCCCTGCCCCCCAGACACACACAATTTAAAATATGTTTTAAAATCTGTCAAAACTGTCCAGCAGTAAACAGGGACTTTAGCTCCCTGGCTGGTGCCAGTTCTATTTACTGAACTGTGATAGTTCTTTGGGGAGAAAGAGCTCGAAGTACACCTAACATTTACCAGAGTATTAGAATTATTGAGCGCCCAACACGAAACCCAACACACTCCATTTCCCTGAGAAAATCACAGCCCTTCCTTCTGCGGCCTTCGAAACCAGTCAGTAGTTAAGGGGGGTGGGTCTCCTTCCCTACGCCGGTACTCCAAGCATCCATTTCTCATCAGGCATCAAATCTTTCCTATGTGGCTGGGAATAATGCCAGAGGACCACTTTCATTAACTGCTTTTGAATTGTATCCTCTCATTCCTGGGGGCATTTGGCAGGGTCAACCGTGTTTACACCTTTTTTGCCAAGCACTTCCTCCACAGCATTTCCTGGAGACTTTTAGCTATAGTCAATATTTCTTCTAGGAATACATCCAGGTGTTTCAAGGCCATTTCTTGTCTGTGACTTGTCAGACCAAACACTGTCTGCATGTGTTTACATGGCCAAAAAACAAGCTGCAATAAGGCGCGTTCAGCAGCTTGAAACAGTATTCCAAGGCCTGTTTTGGACTCCCAAACCATTTCGGAGGTAAACCATTGTTTACAGTAACTGATCTGGTCGCACTGACAAGCTATAGCTACTATGAACCAAGGAGAAAGGAGAGAATAGGAGTGTGTATGTTTGTGTGCAGGGTAGAGTGTTCAGGATCAGCACCAACAGGTATCTGGCAAGGTTTCCAGTTACTACTGTCTCAATAATGGCAGACTTTGTTTGTGAAAGAGTAAGAGAAGGAAGAATACAATACTCTTTTCTGAGATAAGAAAGAAAAGGAAGGTGCTCATCTTCCCTCCCATTATGTTTGGACAGAGAAAAGCAAACCAACGAAATCTGCTTGACCGAGTGTCTTAAATAGACAGCACCAAACACCAAGTGTTAAAACATTCAGGAAAAATATGTAGTATGAAACAACATTTACTGGTAGGACTTCATCACTGTGCCTCGTGGCTGTGAATTCGGTTAAGTTACATGATGTGTTGCAGGAAAAAATGTCTGCAGTATTGCTTCATAACACTGCCTGAACTCATTTTTCTTGCGCAGAAAGGCGCAGGAGAGAGGAAATAACTCCAGAGCATGTCCAACAGCAACAAACGGCAGGGAAGAGAGTGATAACTGCTCGGGGTTCGAAATCCACCCATGCCTTGTGCCTGCTTTGTTGTCCGGAGAATATTCTCACCTCACATCACTAGTTGTCCTAGGGCCTAGGCAAATCATATCTAGTTCCACGCTCACTGTTGCTCCTCTCTGCAGACATAATGCCCCTGATCTTGGAAGCTCAATTTAGTTATTATGGCTGATAGAATCTACCTATGGGTGGAGATTTTAGTAGAGAGGCTTTTGATAAGACGGAGCAGAAAGAAGTTTCTTAAGAAGTCTGTGTGGGACTTGCAGCATTCCTGCTTTGGGGGGAGAAACCATCTGCCACTGACAACCCCTGTGCATTTTGCTGGTTCAGGCACAAATACCAGCTTGCCAAGGCTGGGCAGAGCTGAAAGGAGAAACAGGCAGCTGAAAGGTTGTACTTCCAACAGAGTTCCGTAAAATATGGCTGAATAGTTTGGCACTCAGCCTGAGTTTTTATTCTAGGAAAAATCCCCGAACACATTTTTAAAGCTCTTCACAAAAGCCAAGGTATTGTATCCAGAACAAGAGTGTACAGCAATCAAGAGCTGCAGGATGCAGAATATTTAAGCCAGACAAACGGGACGCAGCATTAGTGCACGATTACTGTGCCGTGAATTTAATAGTACTGTGTTTTTAAATGATTTTATAACTCCATTTCGTGGGACCTTTGGAGAACAGTAATCTTCCTGTACATACAGTAACACTTTTATGCACTCTATGGCTGTTTTTATTCTAGAAAGCGAGTAAAATTTTAATGTTGCTTGTTGCCGTTTTCTCATCCATCTTTACAAAAGTCAGTGGCTAAAATGGCTAAGAAACTGAACTTGAACTAGTGCTAGGAAGTGATGCTCTCCGATTCATGCCTGGCCTATAAATGCGGCAGCATAAAGAGGGAATAAGAGTCATGAAGTGGTAGATGGACAGCATCCTTTCAGATAGGGAGTGCTATCTTTTAAAAAATGTTCTTCTTCTCTGCACAACCATATACAAGCCAGCAGAAAACTAGAGGACTGGTCTAGAACCCCTTTTCCTGATGTACTTGGTTTTTTTATTTGCTTCAATGACATACCTAAGGGGAGCATGAAAAAGGGCCCACCCCCTTCAAGCTGGATCTACAGGATCCTACCAGTTCATCCTGCTCCATGCAGAGGCCTAAGGTGCAGATAAATCCAAATGCTTGCAACCTTAAAAGTGTTCAGAAAGCAACTACCAAATGAGCAGTAGCTGCCACTCTGCATCTACTCCAGCTGAATATGCATTTCTGTCAAGTTAACCGGTCCTTGATTCATTCCTGCCTTCCAACTACAAGTGCATGCCATATGTTCTAACCTAGGAGAGCAGCAGATGCCGTTCTTTCCCCTGTCAAAGCTAACAACCCTTAACCTGATGACTCACATCACAGGCAGCCCAAGCAGAAGGTATTCTGAAGCCAAACTTCACTGCTAATCACTTCGAGATGCCTCCTGGGAAGAAAGCCACGCACGTAATAAAAATACATAAAACGGTAAGTCATCTTCTCATATTCCCCAGGTCTCAGGCTGGTTTCCAACGCAGGACCTAAGCTGTAAGCCAACATCGTAGGTTTGCCAAGAGAACAGAGCAAGGAGAGCAGGTGAATGCTGGAATGTCATAGAGCATCCAAGGAAGAAGAGTAATCCGGTTTTTAAGCTCCAGCTTGTTTAGCGGCAGTAGCATCAAGTTAGCAAAAACCTTGCCTGATTTTGTTATCACAAAAAGAAAGATAGCGATTTTGTTATCACAAAAAGAAAGATAGTGTGAAATGCATTCTACCCACACATAGCATTGCAGACACGGCACATACTAAAAAAATTCACAATAAAAGTAAAACAGCCTTTTAAAGCCCTAAATGGCCTCGGTCCTGTATACCTGAAGGAGCGTCTCCACCCCCATCATCCAGTGAGGTCCAGTGCTGAGGGCCTTCTGGCAGTTCCCTCGTTGCGAGAAGTGAGGTTACAGGGAACCAGGCAGAGGGCCTTCTCAGTAGTGGAATCTGCCCTGTGGAACGCCCTCCCAGCAGATGTCAAGGCAATAAACAACTATTTTACTTTTAAAAGACAACTGTTTAGGGAAGTTTTTAATGTCTGATGCTGTATTGTTTTTAATATTCGGTTGGAAGCCACCCAGAGTGGCTGGGGAAACCCAGCCAGATGGGCAGGGTATAAATAATAAATTATTATTATATTATTATTTTAAAAATGAACTACACCTACATGGACTTTGAGAAATACTCAGTTTAATCTGTTGTTGACTAATTCCCCACAATTTCTAAAAACTACTTTATAGGTACTGAGCAAGTTTATTAATATTTATACAATGCCCACATATTGCTTGCCTAGAGTCTTTTGAGTTATAGGGGGCCTCTAGTGCTCAATGCAGAAAATCCAGAGTTTGCGTATCCTCCATAATCCAGCCTCTGCATGAAGACTGTGGAAGAGTGAGCAAGAGCCCACTACCCATCTTGGTCATGGGCCCTATTGCCGAACTACATCTGTCAAGTAAGAAACTAATGCTGAGAAATCCATCACTGATACACCTGGTGTCAGGGAGGAGAAGGAGAACTCCGAACCTAAACCTCGACTTGCTTTGCAGCTATACTCATTGGTGAGAAAGGCTTTGGGAGCAAACCCCAAGGAAAAATCCCTACCCATTGCCTTGTGGGATATTTTGGGGAGACAAAAGGGTTAAGGAGTAAACCCTACACAAATCTAGAGTGAAGTCCCTAAGACGGTTGGATGGTGCCTTGTGCGTCTCCTTCTTCCAACTCCTATAGCCAAGTTGATGCCAAATGTATTGCTCTGCTTTCCTTTGGCCCACAAGCGAGGCTGGGGAGGGGTGTGTGTCTTGCCATCTGGACAGCCCAGGACCTCCATACACTCTGCCCAGGCATGTGCTCACTTCAGTGCTGCTAACACAGCAAAAACAATGCTGGAAGCAGCAGTTATGAGTAACTAGTCTCTGCAGCCACAACAGGCGCTGTGATTCTCCAGCAGTTTAACCTCACCCCTGGAGGTGAAGTCCAATGTCTCTCGAGACAGACGGATTCCAACAATGGACATACTTGGTTTCGTCTACTTTAACCCCCCAAAAATCTCTCTGTGTATTACAAAGCTGCCTTGAGTTCTGTCACCTGATCCCATGGCCCAGAAAAATAGCAGACTCAGCCAAGAAGCAGAGCACACACCAGAGCTATGCAGATAGTTCTCAGTATCTCTCAATGAACTATATAAAGCAAAGAAAAAAGGGCTAAAATCAGAGCGTGTTGGGAACACACTCTGGACATAATCAGATTCATGTCTCAAGTAGCCCTTATTGTTGCTTTCAACTACTCTACTTCTCATTCCGCCATGTAGCAGAAAGGCTATCGTTCATTCCCATGAGGAAAAAGGAAAGCACTTGGGACGCAACATTGCTGAAGATGCAAGACCTGCTCACACGATGTGTAGAGGAGTCTTTCCCAACCAGGTACCCTCAAGTTGTTTTGGACCACAACTCCCATGATCCTCAACTATTAGCTGTGCCAGCATGATTTATGGTCCAAAATATCTCAAGGACCCCAAGTTGGGGAAGGTTGGTTTAGGGATTTGCAACATAAATATGTATGTGCAGCACACAGACAAACATCGTGTCTCCTTTGAACACCCCTTAGACATACAACGTTGTTCATATGCAACCTGGCATTCCAATGATGGACAACTCATGACCGAAAGAAATGAATATGCACACATCAAAAGGTTCAGGACACGAAAGGCGCCTCATGCATTCGATGGCATTCCATCGGTCTCATTTCAGTGAGTTGTAAACACAGGCAAAGATCAAACCAAGACGAGATAAGCAAGTGATTTATGAGGCATGCCTCTGAACATCAGAGCAATCGATATGGGTCACTTACAGATGATAAGGCATTCTTCAGTCCAGCTATTTGCGCAGATGGAGATGAGGCTGAATCATGTTCAAACATCTGCTGCAGCTTCTCTCTCTCCGTCGAGATCGTACTGAAAGCCGACTTTAAGGTGAAGTACACTATAGAAAATAGTCAAAGTTACAGAAACGACACAAGGGCAAAATGTGTGCAGAAGAGCAGCTGGAGAGACAAACACAGCACGGCAAACAGTGAAAATGAAAACATTTCTGTTGCTGATTTCATAAATACAAAGCAAAGTGCTTTGCAAGATTTTAATGTAAAAGGGGTTGGGGAAATACAGATTCATAAAATAAACACACACACACCAAATCCACAATGTAATGCAACTGTGGGCAATGATTATGATTATTTGCTCATGACCAGATAAGCCTTGTATTTAATTACTCACTTGGCAGCTTTAATGAATTTCATGCAGGTGAGTGAGCAGGCTGGCAGAGAAGCAACAGATCGCTCCAGCCCACCAGCCTGTTCCCTCGGTGGTCAATAGGGAAATGCAAGAGCTGACACAAGAGACAGAGCAATCCATCCCTCCTTTGCCTGAGCAATTGGTAGCTCAAGTTTCCATGCTGGCTAGAGAAGAGATGGTTTTCCGTCTTCTATGGACAGTATGGAAATGCAATCTACTATTCATTTATCTTGCTGCTTTGCACAATTTTCAAAACAGCGGGAAACCCACAATTAAAAAACCTCAGAGCATGAGAAGAGCTCTCTCTGCTGGATCAGACCAAAGGCCCATCTAGTCCAGCACAAGATGACAGCCTATGGGAAGCCTGGAAGCAGGACCTGGGTGCAACAGTGCTTTCACCCCTTGTGAATCCCAGCAACTGATTTACAGAGGCCTGCTTCCCCTGACACACCACTAGGCACGAGGCTTCTTAGCAGGCTACTAGAAGCCCTGCAGCTTAGTAACTTTTCTGGGCTTGTTTGCAAGGCTTCTCTACTGATCTAATAACTTTTGTATCTGTATTTGGCACTATATTTGGAGTTATCCCACTCTATCCTCTGTGGGATAGGGTTAAGCTGAGATATCGCAGCCGAGTGGGGATTGGAGCCTAGGTCCAACACAAACTGCTGCACCAGGCTGCTTCTCAGCAATATAAAAAGCAATAAGCACCTAAACGGAAATGAGTTTAAAGAGCACTGATCTTTGGTGCCTTCCTTTTCTAAACAACAGAATACAAATGAACAGCAAGTAAGGAATGCAAAGCTCAGGGTTAGGTTAGTTATTTTCATGTTATGTACATCTGCAGCCTTGAGCAAAAAATAACTTGACATGTTATCACTGCAAGATACCAGGAAATATGTAACACCAGCTAATGGTGGACCTGCGTGACGTAACTACCCACTGCTTAATTGTAACCTCGTCATTGGGCACTTTTCCCAGCTGAAGTCAATGTTCAAAGTCACCATGTAATGACAGCTACAGGGCTCTAGGTCACAGTTTCAGTCCTTATATGAATGTGTTAACCTGAATCCTTTGTAAGAGGGACAGACTACAAATGTATACTAACGACGATACAGGGAGGGATGGCGGCAGGAGGAACCAAGATACCTCTGAGGCATGGCTTCTCTGGGTGCATAATTAAGTATTTCATCATTATGCTGATGACAAGTAAAGGTAAAGGACCCCTGGACGGTTAAGTCCAGCCAAAGGCGACTATGAGGTGCGACAATCATCTCGCTTTCAGGCCGAGGGAGCCGGCGTTTGTCCACAGACAGCTTTCTGGGTCATGTGGCCAACATGATTAAACTGCTTCTCGTGCAACGGAACACCATGACCGAAACTAGAGCGCACAGAAACGCCGTTTACCTTCCTGCCACAGTGGTACCTATTTTTCTACTTGCACTGGCATGCTTTCAAACTTCTAGGTTGGCAGGAGCTGGGGCAGAGCAATGGGAGCTCACTCCGTTGCGAGGATTTGAACCACCAACCTTCCAATCGGCAAGCCCGAGAGGCTCAGTGGTTTAGACCACAGCGCCACCCATGTTCCCCTATGCCGGGATAGCTCAATTGGTAGAGCATGAGACTCTCGATCTCTAGGTGGTGGTTCTGAGTCCCATGTTGGGGGGAAATATTCCTGCACTGCAGGGAGTTGGACTTGATGATCCTTGGGGGTCCCTTCCAACTCTACAGTTCTGTGATTCTGCACAAACACAGCTTCACCACCTAACCCTGAGCAAAGACTGAACTAAATAATGGATTTAATCATACAAAGCAACATGGGGATTTAAAGCAGCTTCAAAAAGCCAGAGTTTTACCTACAAAAAAGATGGTGTGAGGTGGAAAAGGTTGCGGAATATTTTCTGTGATTAATGAAATGGTGTTGTTTTTTTAAAATCCTTTTTATAAAAGACTTGAATAATTATCTCTGTCATTTCCAAGGTTCCCTTTCCCTTTTCAACTAGAACACTGTTAAAATGAATACAGATGGTACGATTTAGCAGACATACTAATAACGTGTGAGCTGCTGGTTTATTTATTAATCTCGCAAAAGGGCTGACTAGTGCCAGCTTGAGCTGGCCTCATAGCGCCTTAAAATGATTTCCCCCCCTCTCTTCGGCATCCACTAAAAATAGGTTACTACCATAGCAACCCCCTTACATCACAAATGCCAACTCTAAAATTCAGGAAGCTACGTTCAACATCTGTACACATAAACCAGATGCAATATGCAGCTGCATTTTCAGATAAAGGCTTTCACAACTGATCTTCAGGCTAGAAGATTCCCTAGACTTACATAAACAGTTCAAAAATGGATTAGATTGCCACAAATATTCATGAGGGGTGTTGGATGAGGGCCAGCTTCAGAGAATGATGATGAATGGGGAGGGTTTGCAAAACGGACCTGAGCGTTCTTTTCTAGATGCCTCCTTAATATGTGCACATAAAGTTATGCATTAATTCAGATAAGACTGAAAGAAACAGTAATTAGTCTGGTTCAAGCTGTTCAAAAGAAGGTCCAAAGCTCAAATCACAATGCCATACTTCGATAACTCTTTCATTGTGCAAGAGGCATTTTAAAAGCAACTGAATTCTTACAACATTAACTGCACATCACTTTTTTACTGGATTTCTCACAAACCCCACCACTAACTTCCATGTTGTTGGGTTTTTTTAAAAAAAATTGTCCCATTTACCTTTGTGTGCTATGTGACACAAGTCCTCTTGCATTTTAGAGAATTCCGATGTTGTTTCGGAACCATTAGAGTAAATTTTCTCTTCGCCAAAATCTAATGTGGATAAATTGGGGTTGGAAGCATGCAGTCTCAATGGAGCAGAAAGAACAGTTGGTACCTATAAGGAGCACACACCGGCGGTGCGATATTAGTACAAAAGGTTCCAGGTTGCCAGCAACTTACATTCAAGATTCAGAAAGGAAGGGAAAGACATTGATCTGAAGCAGACCATTGCCACTTGCAAACCAGAAGAACCCCCCGTCCCCTACTGCACCCACATTTTACGCCACAGATTTGTCCTTGTAGCTTACCCAAACCCTTAGTTAAGGGTTTTGAAGTTTCGCTTGAGCATTTCAAGTGGTGCTCTTCATCTCTGCACCTTCCGCATTGAAGCTTTCCTTCCTGCTGTTTCTCTTCTCACTTCAGATTGCTCAGAAAATCGATGCTGAGCTCCTCTCTTCCCATTAAGTTATCCCCTCTATCCTGAACCCTCTGCTCCAGTTTCCTTCCCTAGACCTCACCCTGAAAACTCTCCTGCTCCCTATTCACAATTATAGTTCCTTCACTTGCTCACTCTAGTCTACCCAGAGTCATTTGCCAACAATTTCCTTCTGCCTCCTTTGCCTGGGAACTTCCTTATTCCTTGAACACCATCACTTTCTCCTCCCTCAATACCCACATTTTCAAGCAAAACCATGGTTGAACAATCCCAGTATCACTGGGAACGACGGCTATACCACGCCTCGCTTTCCCCTTTACTTAACCTCACTACTTATTTACCACCCCTTGAGCTCTTCCTTCCCTTCTCCTTATTTCTTGATTTAACAAAATTTATTCCCCACTTCACAAGCAGATGCCCACAGCAGCTTACAATTGAAACATGAAATGCCAAGCCATGTGCTTGGGCCTAATGCGATCCTTTCTATGTTCTTTACAGACTCTTTGCAAAAGAACCCCATGAAAGCCCAAATGTTATATTCTTAGCAAAAACAACATTAAATAAATGTAAGTACTGTGGGATTTGCTTGTGCATGGGGGGGGGGGGGACCTGAGGTTAATTTGAGGCCATGCCAATACCCATCACAAATGTCAATTAACTCGTGGTTAAAAGGTGATTACAGAGTACACCATTCAACTCTCTTTTCTGGTCCAGGATTCAATCCTCCCCTCCTCTGTCAATCTATGCAAACCCCCCCCCCCCCAGTTAAACTGTCTCCTTTCCTAGCTTTATTCAAGCTTCCTGCTCTCTTTCAGAAAGTCCCCACCTAAGCTGCGGAGGAAGTTGTCAATCACTCACCTGAAAGGATGTGCTCATGCTCCTCATTAAATGCCTTGCTGAATTCAGAGGATTGGAGGTATGGGGAAGGAAAAGGTAAGGGGTGGTGGGATTGCTAGGCTGGAGTACGGACATGGCAGAAAGCGCATTGGCCAGTATATTAGGGGGGTGGTATTTGACCGGTCAAGAACATAAAAAAAATGAAACAAAAACATAAAACTTGGTCAATTGACTGGCCAAATAATAGACAAGCATTTAAACACGTATGCTATAAAGAGAATTTGCTAGTTGCCCAAAGAACTAGGGGACCTCCCAGAAGCTTTATAGAGCACTATGAAAGAACACTCGAAGCCCTTCCTCCCCACAGGAAATGCAAACAATTCAAAGGAATAATGGCTTATGAAACTGATGGACTAGGCTGAAACGGCAAAATTAACTGCCAAACTAAGAGGACATCATGACTAAGGAGGAATTGGGACTATCTATCAAAGTATCACCCAGACATGAAGTTGCGGGCAGGATTTGAAATATAAGCAGTGGATTCTCGAAAGACCTAATGATAGTGAAGTTTAGATAATAAAAACAGATCTATTGTTGTGCAATGGTGTGTGGGTCTGGTCCCACCTGCTACTGGAATGTCCTCTTCCCCCAACAGACTGCCATGGGGTGATGAGGATCTTGGCCTGAAAAGGTTTCTTCATCCCTGTGCTACAGGGTCAGTTTCTGGCTAGCCGGTAAGCTTAGACCAGTGTCTCTTCCATGAGGACTGTTTGTGTATGTTTCCTTGATGCTTCCCATCCTGAAGCATGAGTTCCTGTTCAAATATGGCTGTGGTTACAATATGTGACTAGTAGGAGAAGCTCGCTCATGCTGCTCAAAAGTGAGGGAGAAGGCAGGAAGTCAAGGAACAGTTGTTCCAAAAAGTGAGGAGTGGACTCGCATGCGCAGCCCTGATTCCTTCAGGGCTCCACAGCAAGGGACTCTCACTGTTTGTATTGCTGTCAGATGACACTGGGATGCAACAGAAAGCTGTTAGTCACTCAGGGTGCTCCTAACATGTTTGACTGCAGCCAATTAATCGTATTTGACCAATCAATTGACCAGCATGACAACCCTACCCTCATCTGCGTCAGACCAATACTAGCCTAGTTCCCCTACCCCAAAATGAATACAGCTTTCTAAGGCTTAAGAAACCACTACCAGATATTCTTTAATGGGAAATGCTTGGCATTGGCGTGAGATACTATGCATGCAAATTGTGTACTCTTACGACTGCGCTACCCCTTTCACCCTTCTGCAGCCCCCTGTAAACTCAGCAACCCAAATAAATGTGCATTCTCCAGATGGATGGAGCCAATCTTGGATATAAATGTTATTTATTATGCTGTCAAAAGTTCAGCGAACGAAAGGCTCAATAGATTAGTGAATGCAGCACCCTCTGCTTATATCACACCAGCAGAACGGAATCACCATCTGTCACCGAGAGCAATTACTAAGACCATCAATTATATTGGAGAAAATGAGTTTTCACCAGATCATCCACACTACATTTTTAGGATAAGCCTGGAAGGGGATGGGTGAAGAGAGGCTGGTTACCTGCAACATTCCTTTCGCATCTTTACTAAGACCTCGGGAACGCCACCTCCTGTGTGTTCTTTTTTCCTTTTTAGGACTTTCAAAGGGGATGCCCTTTAGAACAGCACACGGGAAAGAGAAGAACGGCATTTATCACAAATCTAGGAAGAAAGCTGACACGAGCTAGCAGCATGACCGAACAGAGGTAGCAATTTCCACAACTAACCTGCATGGCATTTATGGCGGGCGCTGAGTATGTCCTGTGGAGAACTTCCATGCTTTGCAGAAGCTGGCTCATTTCCAGCAGATAGTTATGACAGTGGGAGAGGTCTGTTGGGAAGAAAGAAACGATTTTCAGTGCTTTGTAAAAGAGAGGGGGAGGGGAGGGGAGGAAGAGGTTACCTACCCCTCCATTTATCTAGTGTATGCACAAAGTATCTTTCAGCAGAACTCTAATGGTAACTGATTACTAGGTAATTCAGAAGATTATGAGGGATGTGTCTGGCTGTCAGTTACATTCTGATTCTGTGGTTACTCGCCCAGGATTTGTTGAAACAGCTATTAAAAGTGAAGCTTACGAATAGGCGGGTAGGATTTTAGCACACACAAAACAGTGGAGCAAAAACGTACCACCTATGAAATATATGATCCATGTTTAAAAGGGCTGTGTCAGGGGTCTGCGTTCAGGGGAGGGGGGAGAGACAGGAACGTACAGACAGCCTCCTCCTCTGTTGAGCAGCTGCATTTTGTCAGAGTCTGGGGAGGGGGAGCCTTCAGGAGACACGGATGACAAAAGGGGGGGACGAGGCAAAGGCTCAGTCAGGCGGAGGGACACTACTCCCAGGGAAGTGGATGTGCCTCTTCTGTCGCATAGTTTTCGCCAGGGAATTTCACGTAAGGAAAAGAGGAGGTTTACCCGGGCTTTTATGCTGGAGGGCAAACAGGAAGAAGGCACTTCCGGAATCTGTTAGCGATTAAGGCAGACATGGTTTTTGGACTTCTGCACTGTTCATAAGTTTTGCACTCAATAAAACCTGTAAAGACAGGCCGGAGTCCTGGCTGTTATCTTTGTGAGCAACCACACTCTCACCTCACAGGTTGCATTAAGGTTTCCAGGGAGAAAAGGGTTTAAGCAGCATCTTTGAGCATAAGGCAGGAATCTCAGCTAAGCATGCCTGACAGATGGCCATCCAACCTCTACTTTAAAACCTTCAAGGAAGGAGAGTCCACCGCCTTCAGAGGGAGTCCTGGCCCTCCTTTATTCCATTTCTTTAGGCTAATAGCACCATAAAGCATTATTCGCCTTGTAATTATTAGCTTCCTCGAGGGACTGGATGAGATTGTCTAATTCTTAATACACAGCTAAGTTAGCACTCTCTTACAAGAATGTGACTTGAAACAGCCCTATCAAAAACCGAAGCAGTAAAACTGAGTGAGGTATAAACAAGACTGGAGAAGATGTTCCACATAAACTAGGCTCTGGGGGCTAGTCTTTCTTGAACGGTTGGATTTCTCCCTCCCTCTCCATCCACACCAAAAAACCCCCAAACAAACCCATACACACTCCATTAGAAAACAGAGGCTAGGAGAAAAAGGTATTTTAAAGGTAGCTCACATGCCTGACCCAGTTGCTTTCTCAAGGAGAGCTCCTGGGAGAGTTTTGGGTAGGAAAGCAGAGAGGAACACATAACAGAAGATGCCAGTATGCTGGCAGTACTCAGAAGCGAGGAAGACCCCAGTCACAGGAAGGAAAATGGAGTATACCCCAAAGTACATAGGAAAAGGATTTATTAGGCTCAGTGTGTTTTGGAACAAATCTTTTTTTCAGGGGCATTCTAATCGTCCTCCATCTGTTCTTCTCAAACCAAGGAAGGGCTGTAGCTCCGTGGCTTGACTCACTATAAGGCTGCTGCCTATGTTCCTAATCTGCTCTGAAACCAAGTTTCAGTTCCTATGCACCTGCACGTCCTCTCTGCCTTTCTCCCCATGCTGAGAGTACTCAACCGCACGTTCCTCATTCCTTCCTAGCCTAAAAAGGACACTAGCAGCAAACAGAGCTTGTTTGTTTTTAAAAAAAGAAGTGAGGAGTCCTGCAGCTGGGGTGAGCAGGAGCATAATGCTAGGACAATGATTTACACCCGGGTCGGGGCACCTCTTGCTCTGCAGTTCTCACCAACCCTGATCATTAGCTATGGTGCCTAACTTATGTTTTGTAACACCTCTGACAATATCACCTTTAGCCCAAGGAACTCCAGCCCAAAGGCTGTAAAGGAACCAACCCCCCACCCCCATTTTCACTCCAGGGGGTGCACACACACACACACACACACTTTACACATCTTTCCACCACCCATCTATGTCCCACCTAGGAACAAGTTATTTCAAACTCTCCATTTGAACTTCAGTCACCTGTTATTTGGAGTCCAGTCCTTTTTATAGGCTGAAGCAATTGACAAGGCAGGTGATAGGCTCTTGAAATGGAGAGAAGAAGAGTTTGGATTTGATATCCCGCCTTTTAAACACGTATTTAAACACGTATCCCCTTCAGGAGTCTCAAAGCGGCTAACATTCTCCTTTCCCTTCCTCCCCCACAACAAACACCCTGTGGGGTGAGTGTGGCTGAGAGACTTCAGAGAAGTGTGACTAGCCCAAGGTCACCCAGCAGCTGCATGTGGAGGAGCGGAGACGTGAACCCGGTCCCCCAGATTACGAGACTACCGCTCTTAACCACTACACCACACTGGCTCTCAGAGGAGGAGAAGTAACCCTAACTTCAGAGTCACATGGTCTATTGTCAACGCTTGCTTTAAAAATTGCTTTCCGAGACTTTAAGGCAGATGTTGCATCAGGACAGAGAACCATGAAGAACGTCCTGCAAACGCTAAGTAACTTAGAAGACTTAATTTCTACTAGAGAAAAGTTACCTTTTGAACATCTTTCCATATCCTCCGAAGACTGCAGCCAAGGTGGGATCCTTGAGTCATTGTTTGAGCAGGAGAATGACAAACTACTTCCAGTCTGCAATGAATTCTGCTGAGTCATGCTGCCTCGCTGTTGCGTGGAAACAGGATTACATCATCAATAAAAAATATTCCAGTAAGGGGAGAAATACTTTGCATGGTTTGTTACGGTGAATGACACTTAAAAGCAAGTACAGATATTTAACTTCAGGCGTGAAAGGCTTTGCAAAAGCAATTTCCCCAAATATTAAAGCAGGAATGGGAAACCTGGGGCGGGGGCTGATGGGAGTTGGAGTCCAACACCTGGGCAGCCACAGGTTCTCCATCCCTGAAGTAAAACTCAACCTGCACCACTGCTAGTCTGCAGGTTGGCTGAAAGATAAAGTACACTCAGAGGCCCTGTCCCACTAAAATTACTGAATTTCAAGCTAAATTCTTACATACTAATAAAGACCCATTAATGCTGTCAGTTCCACAAGCCAAAAATGCAAATACTTCCCAACTGCTTCACCATTGACATTTCCTGTCAATGGCCATCAGGCTATTATGGACATTTGGGCAAAGAAAATCCATGGTCTGTCAGGAAGTCAACTGGACAGCCCTGGTGAAGACAGTTTCTCTACCTAAATGACCAGGTTGTTGCCAGGAACAACAGGAAGTGAGGAAAGTGAACAACAAGAATGAGATGGGCTATAGTGCACTTTGTAGCCTACCAAACATCACAGAACAAGGCTAGCCAAATTGGTGTGTTCCAGATGTTCTGCACTCCAACTCTCATCAGTTTCAATCAGCTAGGACAATGGGAAGGGATGATGGGAGTTGTAGTCTGACAATATCTGAAGGGCACCATGTTGCTTATCCATATAAATACTCATCAGGTCACACAGCACATAAAGAGAGCATGAAAAGTGGCCCTTTCTTCAGTTAATGTAAACGTAAACTGTGCTGCTTAGTATCAATTGACTTGGATGAAGCTTTGTTTTGATTTCTTTACGTTTTATTTTGAAGCCACCAAATTCCCAAATCGTCACAAAACACTCAACTTTTGTTGACATTCATTCTTTACCTCCACTGGTACTGGAAAAAGAATGAGCACTACAGTGGTTTTTTGAAAGGAACATATTGCGTTTATTCCTCAAATATCAGCTCTATTCCTTGTTTTATTCTGCACACAGAGGTCAGACCAAATTAAGCCCCAAGGGAAGCCCATCATGTCATTCCTGCGGTTTCTACCTTTCTGCTTGCCGTGGATTCCAGAAAGCCAGTTACGGAGTCTGTAACAGAAGCTGATGCTGGAAAGAAATGGTTGTTGATGTCATGCGGAAACATGGAAATTTCATTTTGACGATACATTCTATGATGGCGTAGCTTTGCTACCCATTCATCAAAGACTTCCTGAGATTTTGCCTAGAGGAAAACAAGAGTTATAAAAACAAGAGTTATATTTTTCCACATTACTACTACCCAGCATAAGTGGGATGAAAGAGCTCATTTATCTCCCCTCAATTGGTTCAAAGTCCTTACTAAATGAATAATTCTGCAGTCCAGGACTGCTTTGCCACCTGGTAAACCTACATAGGAAGCAACCTGCTGGGCCACACCTAGCAAGGCCCAACTAGTCTAGCATTCTGTTCTCACAGCGGCCAGAAACAGGACATGAGTGCAACACCAGTCTTCCTACACCACTCCTTTGAACCGAATGACAGAGGAGGTTTTGCTGCAGTAGATGGAAGGGAATTATCCTAGTGAGGTCCTGGTAACTTGTTTCTACTTCTCAACCTAGTGATGCAGGGGATGCTGAGCTGCAGGAAGGACGAAAGGCAGCGAACACAGTGCTCTATGGTAGCAAACAGGGCCTGGCCCAGGCATCTACAGAACAAAGGGAAAGCTATAGGCTAAGTGTAAAAACCAAAGGGTGACACAGAGACCATGGGCAGCCTGTCCTGTTCCAAATAACCAATCAGACCAGCAAACCAAAGTTAAAGTAGCAACGGATTCTGCACAATAATACTCAGCTCCTATTGCATTTCTTTTTGAGTTTGCCATATATGCAAGTTGTATTCTGTACTGATCAACACAAATTCTTTGAACCGAAGTTAGAGTCTGAAGTTCCCGGGCAGCAATTTGGATCCCAAGTCCAACTTAATTATATAAGTTTGTTGTTGTTGTTGTTTAGTCGTTTAGTCGTGTCCGACTCTTCGTGACCCCATGGACCAGAGCACGCCAGGCACTCCTATCTTCCACTGCCTCCCGCAGTTTGGTCAGACTCATGTTTATAATGATTTAAAACATATTAAATACATCACACTCTAGTCACGCATAAAACAAAAACAAATCAATGTCTGTCTTAAGGCAGAGTTTCTTATATGCACCCCCCATCAGCCAATTTTGTCTTCTATGGCTTGTGACTCAGTTGCGGCTCCACTTCAAATCATTATTCCTTTTCTGTGGGTTCATCTGGAGCCAACGCTAAATACAAATTCCAGCTTCAGCTTCTATCCCCCAGGGTTGCTCTGATCAAAAGGCTTTTAAGAAATACCCTACAGCTAAAAATTGATAACATAAAGTTAAACTGTATATGTATCTTTGAAAGCAGAGTACTGAACACCATGGGAAAACAGCAGTGGCAACTGCAGAAGCGTGATTTCCCTTAGCTACACACATATTACTGACAGGCAAAAGAGGTTCTAGTTCACTCAGTCCAATCACCCCTCCGAAGATTAAAAGCAGATCTTGTGTAACTCTGATTTTTTGACGCACCGTGCTGCAGCAGACTACACTATGCCCATATCCTTTGATATATAACATCCTTTGATATTAACATGCAAAATCACGATCGTTCACACTGAAAAGCATATAATAAGCTTTAGCCTATTAATAATATATCTTTGGCACTATTACATACTTAAAATGTATATTAAGCATCAAAATAATATTAAGTAGTTAAAACTATGCTGTTCTTCAAACTTTCTTCCCATGTGTGGGAATTCAAGTTAAACTATTGCTTTCAAAGCCATATACGACACCTTCGGTTCAAGCTTAGAGTAAGATATGACCTTGCAGCAAGTTGAGAGTAAGATTGCATTTTAAGCGAACTGGGCAAAATAGGGCAAAATATAGCAAATTCAACAGGATTCTGGGGAAACAGATGGAGATCTCTAGGTTGAATGCAATCTTTTCCAGCACCAGAACGACACTCTGATATTACTTAACAACAGGATTACCTTTAAATGATAAATGTGCTCTTCTGTATCCAAATCTATACATTTTGTTGACTTCTTCACAGACATCACCGAAAGCCCAACGTCTATACACCCATGCAGCTTCCCTCGCGCTATCTGTCAAGAGTCATTAAAAATAACTATTTCAATTCAGGGAGAGGACAGCAAAAAAACCCCACAAAAAAACCCCGACTTTCAGGATTACCTCTTTCTGCCTACTGATATCCTTTCAAACAATCACTGATTTCTTTCACAAAAACCTAAGCAGACATCAAATTAATTCACGCAACGTTTGCACAATGTGTCTTTGAGGTACTTACGTCAGCTGGGCTCTTTGCATACTTCAAAATCCCTTTATCCAGAAAGAAGCATCTCTGTAATGCAAAGAAAACTCTTTTAGTTAGGAAGCGTAAGACAGTGCGACTGTTCCTTGAGGAGCTGTAATACTCCTTCACCCAGCCTTTCAACAAGGGCACCAGACTAAGAGACTTAAATGTTAATGGGAACAAACAACAATGACAGATGTCCTCACCTTGTGCCAACCTTTCAGAGGCCATTTCCTCTTTTTCAGCAGGTAGCCTTCCTGTTTCGGTGGTTCCTGCGTGTAATTCATGGCTCCCCGTAGTCCTTCTACAATTTCCCAGCTGTCCTGTTCAGAAACAAGGCCCAGAATATATAACAGTGTATTTTTTCTCCTTCGTCAAATGAGAGGACAGTGACAAAAGCAGCAACTTTAACATGCTAACAGCAGGCCAAAATCCCAACAAAGTAAATTTTATGTGAAAATAGTTTTGGAAAACTGCTACAATGATTTATATGGAAACTCAGCCAGGGGGACTCGAGGAAGTCACCCAACAATGTTAACAAAAGTGGAATTATTACAGTTAGGATAAATGTTTGTTTGTTTTTTGATGTTTTCTTTCTATTTGTTTGTTATAAATTTGGAAAACTAATAAAACAAATTTTGGAAAAAAAAAATCCCAACCCAAGCAGACTGGGGTCACTTGGGTTTAAGATGGCTGCCCCACTGGGCTTCCAGATTGAGTGCAGCTAATTCAGTCTAAATGGGCTGTGAGCTGAACTGCCATTATGGACAGAATACTAAAAGGTGCATATAAATCCATTTGTTTGGAGCAGTCTTTGCCAACCTGGTGTTCTGAATTCCCATCTACCAGCATGCCAAGTAAATTAAACACTTTTTAATATGCAACAGCTGCATTCAGATGAAACAATAAACTATATTGAATGGTTATGGGAGCAAGTCTAAGTAAGCCTTGGAATAGGGCATGCCCCCTTCCTTTTACTCCTCAGGCACAACCAGGAGGGAAAGTTTGGAAGTTTTTGCTTCTGTTTTCACTTCTGCGCAGTTCAGTGAAATGTGAGAACTTGTGGGTCTTTCTGCACTTACTCTTTGTGGTGGTCTAGTTCAGGTATAGGCAAACTCGGCCCTCCGGATGTTTTGGGACTACAATTCCCATCATCCCTGCCCACTGATCCTGTTAGCTAGGGATCATGGGAGTTCTAGTCCCAAAACATCTGAAGGGCCGAGTTTGCCTATGCCTGGTCGAGTTGCTGTTTGGTCCAATGTTTTTAAGAGTGAATTTGTAGCCGATAGTCTGCACCTTTGGCCACATGTTGCTGTTATTAGAAAGGTACAAGTAAAGAATTTCTTTCTACAATAGTAGGTTGTACCTGAACTGAAAAAAGTTCTGTGGCTCCAGTCACACCTCTTATGTACTCTCTTATTCCTCTGGTAAATGTCAGAATTATGAACATGTCCAAGGAATATCACTTTTGTGGCTCTTTTTTTGTATTTAATTCACGGTGTTCTGGAATTCTAATAGTATAGCAGATAAGAAGAGGAACTATTGTGTCTGGTGAACCTAGTTATTGTGAGGAATATTGTCCGCAGCTAATTTTTGCTGTCATGGGCAAAACTCTGAATCATTATCACCATCTCAGTCTGCAATCTCTCTCCTCTGAACTGAGCTCGCAAACTGACAGCTTGCACCGTCATAAGGAAGTGGAGTGAAACAGATGTTTCACAAACCATGCTCACCAACCTTACCTCCACACAAAAACTGGGGCAATACTTGTACACAAATGGAAACTATTAAGAATCGTAGGTCAGAAGAAAAAAGTGGTCTTTGTTCCAGAACACTAGATGAATAATAATGTCATGTGGCAGTGTGCTAAAAAATCTGGAGAAAACAGAAATTATACCTCTATAACTGCAGAAAAACCCCTGTGTCTAATCTAGTTATGGTCTATTAAAACGGAAATTGTTTTAATGGACCATGATTAAGACTAACCATGGTTTGTCCAAATCCAGACATTCTCCAAGTTCATAATGGTAAACTGTGGTTTGTCAAAAAAAGAAGAAGCAAAAGCTTCTGATCTGCCTTTCGTAGTTGTACCATAGAAAGAGAGCCTGCAACCCTAAAGCTCCCAGGCTCATTTCCATAATGAATGTACACAGACACAGTATCATGAAGTACATTAATACAGCAATACACAGGAATATTTTTAATGTTTTTATCAATACAACAACAATGATCATTGTATGCTCTCATGGTAGTGTGAATATTCCATACTAAACTACCTTTTGTAATCTCATCCGCTCCTACTATATGTGATATTTTGTGCCCAGAAGATCCTTGTAAATTTTTGAATGTTTATTACCCATTTCCCTTCCCCCATTTCTGAATAATGAAAGAGAGATTTTAACAACAAAGCCTAAAATGCTCTGTTGCCTCAAATGAAATATGCATGCAGAAAAGTAACTGCTTATTCCACATTTTAGAGCTGCAAAACGCGTATGACAACATTCAGAGCCCAGATCAAACCCAACAAATGAGAAAGCAATGAGCAACAGGAGTTACTGAACTGATCACATTTCAAATTGGCAACAAAGTTTGCGGAAACGTCAGTGGAATAACTCCTACAAGTTAAAAATTAGTCATTTGAAACCATCTCAACCCGGGCAAACGGTCCATTTTTAAAATATCATTTATTTGCTGTAGCATTTTAACACTGCAAACCACTGTATATAAATGCATTAAGAAGTAGTAACAAAAGAATGCTAACATTAATTTCACAAGATAGGAGGGAACATATTCATCATGGAAAACAGGGACAAATCACTGAAAGTGGCTGGGAAACAGCAAGGCCAAAGGCAAATCCCCCTCGGCCACCTGTCCTTGCCTTCTTCAAAATTGTAATTTAATCTTGCAAAGGATTTGATAAAGTGAAATGAAATGGGACAAATGCTTTGTTTGGAGTTCATGAGCGTCAGAGAATCTCAGGCCTGAAGGCCCAGTCCCCACGAGAGAGGCAGATAGGTCTCCTGGAAGGGAGCTTCCTAGGATGGGTTAAAGGGGAATAGGAAACATTTCCATTCCAGGAGCTGCCATGTATGAGGGACACAAACCTTTTAAAAGCCAGGAAGACCTCAACATTTTGAGCAACATGGGTTCCACTGTCTGAAGTCTAACCTTTTAACAATGCCTTTGAGAAACCCCTGTAATCTCACTAGGTTGCCTGGGCCAGCAGAACAGCCTGTGAGCAGCAAATTAAAAACAAAGAACAGCGAGAACGGCTTCGCATCCGAAACATGTTCCTGGGAGACTGTTTTCTCATTTTTGCGCTTTTATAGTCTGGCGCAGGTACCAGAGCACAAAACAGATCCTCACATCTTCTGTAGGGAATGGTGCATGTACACTTAAAATCAGGGCTTTCCTCAGCGAAATTGCAAAGAATGGCTTTGCGCAGGGGCGAAAGTAGCAATATAAATGCATGCATTTTCAACGGACAGGAGGGTATGGCTGTCAGATACCTGTGCCAGAAAACAAAATGAACATGTGGGACGAGGCCCTCAGGAATAAATGGCTATAGTTCAGAGAGGGACGTTTTGGCTTCCCCATCCACTATTTTGCTGTGGAAGGAGGGAAAAGGGGGAAAAAAGACTACAACTCAAGAGTCTTTGTGGATGCTTGAAGGTTCATATTTCATCAGATTTCCTGCCAATGAGCCTTTTCATTAAAACTGACAATACCTAATTAAAATGGGACTGAGGGGGCAGATTACCAATTCTCAGCAGACAAAAGATATGGCGCCTGTCACTTGGAGCCTGAAGTATCAGTCACCACAGAGGCAAAAGATATCTAGGTGTCTGAAAACATGCGTTATATAGAGCAGAAGAGGACTATTATAAAAGTAGATCTGTCCTTTAATGAATGAAAGAAAGAAAGAAAGAAAGAAAGAAAGAAAGAAAGAAAGTCACAAAACTAAGCTCCATTTCAGTTAAAGATAGAGTTGTTCTGCATGAAAGTACCGTATTTTTCGCTCTATAAGACGCACCAGACCACAAGACGCACCTAGTTTTTGGAGGAGGAAAACAAGAAAAAAATATTCTGAATCTCAGAAGCCAGAACAGCAAGAGGCATCGCTGCGCAGTGAAAGCAGCAATCCCTCTTGCTGTTCTGGCTTTTGGGATAGCTGCGCAGCCTGCATTCGCTCCATAAGACGCACACACATTTCCCCTTACTTTTTAGGAGGGAAAAAGTGAGTCTTATAGAGCAAAAAATACGGTATTCTCTTGAAACCTAAAATTCCGCAGTTAAAGACTGACTTCAGGCCAAATGATGCATGATCTTAACAGGGTAGTTCTATCCTTGAGTGCAAGATTTTGCACACACATATACAATGATTCCCTTTCTCACTAAGCATTTAAATCAGTGTCATATCATGTTAAACAATGCTCCCCCACCATAAAACATCATGGGAACAGAAATTTTTTAAGGTTGATGTAAGTTGCAGGGAGACCTCTATTCCTCTCAGAGAGCTACAATTCCCAGAGTAGTTTAAAAATCAATCCCTTTTCTGGGAGGACTCTGGCAACCAGCTCGCTGAAGGGAATAGAGGTCTCCTAACATTTTCCCACATAAATATATAATATTTAGACTAGGACCAGTTTACGAAACCTGTCATTACCTGTACAACAACTGAATACATTAAAAAGAGCACAATTGCACCAAATTGTTTGTTGTGGGAATAGAAGTGCTTCACTGTTTACATGGATTTCTCCGTTAAAATTAGCCAATATGATGCATTATAAATTGCCTCTTCAGATTTTGAGTTCAGCTACTAGCCGAGTGCCCCATACAATCGATTTAATCGCACGCTGAATACAATGGATCTAATTGCTGCTACTAGGCAGCAAGACTGTCGGAATATCTGCAGGTATTCCTGGCTCCTGGATGCAAGATAGTGGAAATGGTGCCACACATCCCAGGTGAAGGATCAGAAAATCAAAACCCTGTCATTAAAAATATTCATTTAGCAGCATGTGGGATTCTAGGACAACAAGTAAGGTTCATGAAATAGATACTAGCACTTCACGATGAGGATTTCAGTTCATGTCAGATTTCTGCCGGGAAAATTATCATCTTGCAATATGCAATTTGTGGCCAGTTCACATCCCAGACACATATCTAATCACAGCCCAACATTATACAACCTCTGGAAACGTCAGGCTGAAGCCCAGAGGAAAGTAAACATTGCTCCAGCCTTTCTTCTTTCAAATACCATAGCCTCTTCTTTGAAACACCAGGATCACCACCGGCCTTCTGCTCCCTTCACCATGCATATTTGATGTATTAGGAGACAGAACAGATACCATATGAATAATTCTATAATTGCAACACCCAGTCAGTCCAATGCTGGACCAGAATGACCAAACTGTATTGTTGTTATAAGGAAACACTACAAACTGTTGAAATTATTTCCTGCCATGAGACGAGCTGACGGCCCAAAAAGGTGATGGCCAGAAACTCAGATGGCTTTTAAAAGGATTGTACAAATTAATGGATAACACATCTATCAATGCTCTTTAGTCATTATAATTAAGGTGGAACGTTCATGTACTGAAGGATGCTGGGAGCCAGCCCATTCCCCATATTATCTCCATCATGTCCTATGTGTTAGCTTATGTAGGCATTTAGCCATAGAGACAGAATGCTAGACAAGATGGATTGCTGGAGTGATCTAGTAAGACAATTATAGCCCATTTCTAAAAGCCCTGGATGCTAAAATGATATTAAATGCAAAAAGCTAGAAGCCACCCATTTTCCAATGCACAGTATGCATACTGTGTAGAAGCCATATCGAAAGAATGAAGCGATGAACCAGAATAACTATCAGACTGAAATTTGTTCTTATAGCTCCTTGAACGTACCAGATGACAGCGCCAGACTTCTGTCTAGAATAAAACGCAGTCTGTTGTAGTGAATATTTGCAAGCGCCAAAAATAGAAAGCATCTTTGCGGGGGAAGACAGGGTTTTACATCAGCAGCACCAACATTTGCTACGGTTCATAAAATTGGCACAAATGATTTTAAATTTAAATTTTCTTTTTTACTCCCACCAGAGCCATTGCTACACTTTCTCTTTGGTACCACACGTGACCCAAATATTCTCAATATTGTTCTTTTTTGTCATTAGTATACACTCTTAAGCATCTATGCCTGTAAGAACACTTACTTGGAACTCACTGGGATTTAGTTTTGAAGAAAAGGGCACAGGACTGATTTGCTACTTTCCATTCTGCAGCTTAGCAAAGTCACTGACTCTTAAATTCAGAATACAGGGGCAGTAGCAAATATTGCCTTGCATTAGTAGCTACTGTTACAGTGAACTACAATAAAGAAATGGAATCCACCGTCAGAGTCTTCCAAGTGATACAAAAAGTTTAGTCACCATGATGGGGGCAGAAGCCAGATTTGGTTTTATGAGTAGCCAAGGTGGAAGGGGGGGAAAGGTAATAAATGGGGACCCAAACAGTAATAATTCAAACAGGGTCTTGCTCCCTTCCAGTATCCTGCCAACAGTAATTCCTCCAATTCACATCTAGCACATTTCTGGAATATAAAAACATCAGCAGACAGCCACAATCCTTGAATGTTGCAAGGTAAGAATTCTCCCCAGACAAAACACCTAACACAATAAAGCTAAAGAGGTCTGCAAGTTAAGCTGAAATAAATCCCAGCGTAACCAGATGCGAATCCCCTGGGTTTCATATTTACAGTCCAGACAGCGTTAAAGTTCTATAAAAAATCTAAAGCAGATCGAGAGATACTCCAGTTACAAAAGATGAGGCTGCTGAAGAGGCCAGAGACTGTCTTGGCTCTGAGTCCTGGAAGACCTGCTCCCTGCCTTGCAGGCCTTTTCCCACCTGACCAGGGAGGGACTGACTCCAACTACAAAAGCTGAGGCTCCTTAACAGACCATTGGGCTATTGTTGCCATTATTGATATTAATTTTTTGTCTCTTTATTTTAGATCTTATGACTTATGTGGAAATGGTTCGATTTGGTTGTGCACTTTTTGAGGTTTGCATTTATTGTTTATGTCTAATTCCATGTTTTATAGTATGTTGTAAGCCACCTTGAGCCTGGTTTTAACTTTGGAAAGGCGGCATACAAATAAAATGATTGCTTGCTTGCTTGTTTTGAGTGACAAGAAACAAACTCAGTAATTCACCTTCTATAGTAGGGGGGTGCATCTGTTTTGGATAAAGCCAAACACTGTACTGAAGAGGGTCATGTTGCAGGCATTTGGACTTCTGCTGAAGTGAAGCAGGTTGTATCTGAAGCAATCAGAAGCAAAGTGGGCCATGCCCAAAGCTTTGAATCAATTTCAGAACTTAGGATATTGGGCAGCTATCAAAACCCCAATATAGGAAGACATACATGGAGGCATGCGATGAAGAGGGGGAAAACGGTTGCACCTAAACAAATGATTGTAGGGAAGCCCAACACACAACATGAACCCCACTGCCCAAGGATCCTTGCTGGGGAGTTAGCTTTCCCCAGCTACAGCAATTTACAGGGATGTAGCCTGTATTTGGGACGCGGGTGGCGCTGTGGTTTAAAGTGAGTCTTATAGAGCAAAAAAATACTGTAAGTAAGAAGGCAGGCAGGTGTAGGCTGGTTGAGGTTGGTAAGGCAGTGCCCCATTTATCTCAATTGGCCAGCCTCAATGGCTACATGTGCATGGGCTTCTTCATTACAGACAACCACACTAAAATATGGATGTCTCCAGCAGAGACAGGCAGCATGGGGACCAGGAGTGCACCCCAACTCCCCAATAATCACGTGGTGCCCCCCTTCATCCAGACAACATAGGAAGGTGGTTAATAAAGTGACCAAATCCAACCGCAGACAGATTGGGCTTCAGCCAAGGATAGATCCCACATCCTGGTTGCCCTGGCAACCCTAACAGCAAAGATATATGCTTGCGCTCAACCACTGGAAAGGGATGCCTCGAAACATAAACAAAATGTCTGCCCACTTCCTGTTATCCCTTGAAGCTGTTTATACAGTCTTCTTCCACATAATCTGATTTACTTAATCTGATCAGCGGCACAGACAGTGTGAAAAAGTGGGAAATGTTCCCAGACAACTTGGCCGGTTAATAAGAAAGCAGAAAGTCCGGCTAAAACCAGTATTTGTATGTGCTTGAAGGGGGGGGGGCAACTACGCTAAATGGAACAGAAGAGGAAAAGTGCAACTCTTGCTAAATCTCTAAATATTCATAAATAAGGTGGGGTGGGCGGGTTCTTGCACTGATTTTGATTCAAAATTATATGTGTGTGTGTTTTTACTTTATAAACATTCAGAAATGTGTTTGAGAATCTCAGCTTTCACTTTAATATGAGATCTTTGTGCTCAGAATCTCCCTCTCTCTCTCTCTTTTAAGTAACAGATGCTGGGGGCAAACAAGAGTGAACTTATAAGCTTCCCAGAAGCATTTGGATGGCTAGCATTTAGAAACAAAACGCTGGATGATACAGATCTTTGGTTAATCCATCATACCTCTCCTCTTCTGCCTCTTTTGATTGTTAAAAAAGGTTCCAGTCCTTAGGATTGCAAGTGTGTGACCAAGTTCTGAACGTCCACTCAAGTGTGGATGTGTGGTAAAAGTGCCATGGATTTTAGCGGATCTTTACAACAAAAGCCAGTATCAGCATGCTCTTGGTTTTCTAAAGGAATTTGCAAGGGCCATGATAATATGAAACCATATTATCTGGAACCTGCAGGAGAGAAGATTGCTTTTTGCACTAACTCAGGTCCTGCTTGCAGGTTTCCCACAGGAAACGGGTTGGTCACAGAGAAAACAGGATGCTGGACTAGATGTGCCACTGGCCTGATCCAGCACGCTCTTATGTCCTTGCATAATCAACTTTCTTTAGCTGGTCTGCAATTATCTATACCATGCATACATAGCCAATTTTTTTATACGTCTCCGCTCAACCACACACAGCCTAAGAATGTGGCATCATGTTCTCTTTTATACAAATGAACTTTCTGGCACAATTGAAAATGAAATATTACTATTGAAATCCACGGGGGGGCGGGAACTAGCAGTGCCAATTAAAACATTACTGAAAGCCAGGTTGTGAACTTGGCCTGTTGTTTGAAACCAAGGCAGAACCAACTCACTACAGATCTACTCAACCCACATACTCAGAACACCAGCTTGGTCATGTGAATTAATCCTAAGTACCAGAAACAGTGAAAAAGGGCAAGCAATCAGGAAGTGAATCATCTGCAACAGGAGTGGGGAAACAGTGGTACCTCCAGAGGTTGTTGGACTACAACTCGCATCATCCCTGACCATTGGTCATACCAACAACAGCTGGAGGGCCACAGGTTTCCAACCTTGATCTATATTTCTACACAGATCTTGATCTATATTTTTCAATCAATGTGGTGTTAAACAAAGAAGAGTTGGGACTTGATATCCTGCCTTTCACTCCCCTTAAGGAGTCTCAAAGTGGCTAACAATCCCCTTTCCCTTCCTCTCCCACAGCAAACGTTCTGCGAGGTGAGTGAGGCTGAGAGACTTCAAAGAAGTATGACTAGTCTAAGGTCACCCAGCAGCTGCATGTGGAGGAGCGGGGAAGCGAACCCAGTTCACCAGATTATGTGTCTACCGCTCTTAACCACTACACCACACTGGGGATGATAAAAACACTTTAAATTTACCTGTCTACTCCCCTGCTTAGAGGAGCAGCTACTGGTACTTCTTGAAGGCGACAAGACTTTCTGAGACACACCAAGATTCTTTTCTTCAGTCATGGTCTCCGAAAGAGTTTCTTCTGTACCAATTCAACGACAAAACGAGAAGACATGGGAGAGAAAGGCAAGAGTCATCGCATCTCCAAATGCATTCCAGCGGCGCTCGTGGTGCTCAAAGGAAATTCCTAAAAAAGAAAGCAGAGCAGGAGGGTGAGGGGAGGAAAAGGAGACAACAGCACATTATCAATTTTAGTCAAGAGGAATTCCAACAACAATAAAGAGTTCACATTTTCAGCAATGCAACGTGACACCATTGCTATAAAATTAGCAAACCAATAAGCTATGAAGGGTACCATTCAAGACTTGATGAGTAGTATTGAAATAGGTCTCAAAAGAATGGGAAGACAGATGGACATGAAGTATTATTTAGTGTAATGTTCTACCTTTTTCGGAGGCATTCAAAAAGAAACTGAATAGGAACCAGGTAATATTAGGGATACATACAGCCTTTGATTACTGAGAAACAACCTGTTAACCCCACTTCTCGGACAGTTTATAGAAGTGGTCGGAAAATAAAGACTGGCAGGGTTTTCTTTCTTTTTCACTTTAAGGTTTATTACCTGCTGAAGTTTTAATTCTTGTACATTTCTTTATCATGAAATATCATTTTATCTTTTATTCACGAGCATCATTGAGAGAGCTTGCTCTGAAGGGGGGGGGAGAATTTAAATAATTAACAATAGAAAAATAATTTATATAGTGCCGGAGTGTATTTCATAACACTTCATATTGAGGCTTATCCATACTTTCCTCCACTCTTTCCAGGCATGGTCCGCAATTTAAAACTCCATGGCTGAGCATTCCTGGCCACACACACACACACACACACCCAAACTTTCCCCGCTTTAAAGAACATATTTTTTGTGGGAAAGCTCTGGAGCAAAAGAAAGGGCACTCAGACATAAAGCTTTAAAGGACAGACCATGTCTCAATAGTGCCGAGGAAAAGTTAAGCGTGGATAAGCCCTTGTTAATTGCAGCAAGCCCCACTGTGTTTATGCCCAAAGCTAAGATCTGAACCAGGGTCTTCAAACCCACATGCTTAAGCCAGTACACTATGTCAGCCCTTAACTATGTTTTAGTTATGGGGCAGAGATATGGGTGGGATGATTTGTGGGAACGCTTCCCAGCTCTTGGATCTGCCTGGATTCCATGTGCAGAGATGTTCAGGTGAGAGATTTGGACCTTCTGATGCAGGCATCCCCAAACTTGGCCCTTCAGATGTCTTGGGACTACAACTCCCATCATCCCTGACCACTGGTCCTGTTAGCTAGGGCTGATGGGAGTTGTAGTCCCAAAACATCTGGAGGGCCGAGTTTGGGGATGCCTGTCCTGATGCATCCATTCAGATACACAGAGCTCACAGACCATACCTCTACCAGAAGACAATACTTCTAGGACCACCTTATCTTTATAGGTGATCAGGTGAGTCATTTTCACCTTTTAAACACATCCAAGTTGTTGTTTAAAAATGTTGTGTTTTTTGCCCAATTATCGAAGCAGCACTTAAAGGTGTGGACATTTAAAAACCTGTCAGCTATGCATAGATAAACAACAGAAAATATCCACAGGAAATGATTAGAGAGCAATAACTGACCTCCATAGAGAAGGAGGCAAAGGTATTAACAATGTCAATAAGATTGGTGGAAAACCAATTTATGGAAATTGCCGCCCCGAAGAACACAACACCTTGAACTGCCGCACAATAGCAATCCCAGTGCATGATGAGGTCAGGTATTTAAGTAGGCATCTGTTGTCGAGTCTGGCAGAAAACAATATTTAATAGCAGCACTAAGGTGGTAGTCTGCATCGAGAACCTTGCTGGTAGTCCCAGTGACAATGTAGAAAACGTGAGCCAGAGTAACCATGGCAACAGATTCTTCCCACTTCACAAAAGCTAGACTAAAGGGCAACACCTTTCACAAACTCGAGGGTAAGAAAGTCTCTTACTGTACTATTACACAAAATATTGTATCATTCAACAGTGGTCAGAATACGTAATGTAATATGTAACATGTAATACATGGGGGAGGGTTCAGAATACTGATCAATATTTAACTTTGATCTTGTCCTCTTGGACTCTAGTAGTGCTGACAATATATAAGCTGACAATATATAAACAATCTAAGCAAAGCATTTCTTATGTCTTGCCAACAACTCTTTTCAGGATATGAAATCCAATCATTTTAATACCATGCACCAATGTCTAGTTTACAGATTATAGAGTTTGCTTTTTAAAAAATGCTCAGATACCAGCGCTGGAGTTTTTCCTGTTCTTAGTGTCTGCACAATGGCCACAGAATATGCTCTTGCTAAAATCAGGTTTTATGGTCTTATGCCTCATGCAGTGGGTTCTACTAACTTGCTCCCCAGACAACCCCAGTTCACCTTGGTTTTTTTGTCTGCAGCAAGTGTTGCATTACATGCCTGGCTAGTTGGTGCTGAATTAAGAACCATGGCTACATTTATTCACCCAAGCTGCCTGAGTGACAACATATGGCAAGGTCTGCTTCAGTGAATCCGGCGCCAGATCTGTCATCATTCCCTCCAACAGTGAACTCAGGTGGTTGAGTGCCAACAGCACTGGCGTCGAAATGTGGATTACTGAGAAACAAGGAAGAAAAAGCAGCATGTTCCGCTGAACCCCGAGGTATGAGGAAGTACAAAACATCTGAACACCTTCTGAAACAGTCCAGTGAAGATTGAGTATTGCTCATGCATTCCAGGGACCATGGAATGTTGGCAATTGGAAAAGAAAACCAACTGGTAAATAGAGATGAATGAATCGGCCTGCTTTAGCCTTACCACACCTTATAGGAGTCCAGCCATTGGGAAAGGGGAAAGAATGCAACTACAGTGGTGCCTCGCAAGACGAAATTAATTCGTTCCGCAAGTCTCTTCGTCTTGCGAGTTTTTCGTCTTGCGATGCACGGTTTCCCATAGGAATGCATTGAAAATCAATTAATGCGTTCCAGGGAAGCCGCCTTCAGACCAGGTCCGGGGACAGTCTGTCCCCGGACCTCTTCTGAAGGCTGGGGGGGGGGCAAGGGCCTTTCTTCCCACCCCCAGCATTTTAAAAAACCCCGGGACAGCGGAGGACTTCTCCGCTGTCCGGGCGATCTTAAAATGCTGGCGGGCGGCATTTTAAAATCACCCCGGGACAGCGGAGGACTTCTCCGCTGTCCGGGGCAATTTAAAGCCCCTGGGAAGGCAGGCAGGGGGACAAAGACTTTGCCCCCGCCAGCCTTCAGAAGAGGTCCTGGACCTCTTCTGAAGGCGGGCGGGCGAAAGTCTTGCTCCCCGCCTTCAAAAGCCCTCCGGGACAGGCAGGCAGGGGAGCAAAGACTTTCGCCCCCGCCCGCCTTCAGAAGGTCTTCCCTCCCCCGCCCGGCCGGAGCACCGTTCCGAAGCCGGGCGGCGGCGGGAGGTCTTCCCTCCCCGCCCGGCCGGGCACCGTTCCGAAGCCGGGCGGCGGCGGAGGTCTTCCCTCCCCCGCCCGGCCGGGCACCGTTCCGAAGCCGGGCAGAGCGGGAGGTCTTCCCTCCCCACCGCCCGGCCGGAGCACCGTTCCGAAGCCGGGCAGAGCGGAGGTCTTCCCTCCCCCCGCCCGGCCGGGCACCGTTCCGAAGCCGGGCGGCGGCGGAGGTCTTCCCTCCCCCGCCCGGCCCGGAGCACCGTTCCGAGCCGGGCGGCGGCGGCAGGTGTTCCCTCCCCCGCCCGGCCCGGGCACCGTTCCGAGCCGGGCGCGGCGGAGGTCTTCCCTCCCACCGCCCGGCCGGGCACCGTTCCCGAGCCGGGCGGCGGCGGAGGTGTTCCCTCCCCCCGCCCGGCCGGAGCACCGTTCCGAGCCGGGCGGCGGGGAGGTCTTCCCTCCCCACCGCCCGGCCGGGCACCGTTCCGAAGCCGGGCGGCGGCAGCGGCAGGTCTTCCCTCCCCCGCCCGGCCGGAGCACCGTTCCGAAGCCGGGCGGCGGGAGGTCTTCCTCCCCCCCGCCCGGCTACGGAGCACCGTCCCGATGCGGGGCGGCGGCAGGAGGTCTTCCCTCCCCCGCCCGGCCGGAGCACCGTTCCGAGCCGGGCGGCGGCGGAGGTCTTCCCTCCCCCGCCCGGCCGGGCACCGTTCCCGAAGCCGGGCGGCGGCGGCAGGTGTTCCCTCCCCCCGCCCGGCCGGAGCACCGTTCCGAAGCCGGGCGGCGGCGGCAGGTGTTCCCTCCCCCGCCCGGCCGGGCACCGTTCCGAGGCCGGGCGGCGGCGGCTAGGTGTTCCCTCCCCCCGCCCGGCTTCGGAGGAGCCTTCCGAGCCCGGCGGCGGCGGGAGGAGGTGTCCCCGCCCCGCCGCCAGGCTTCGGAGGAGGTCCGAGGACAGTGAGGAAGACGCGCTGCGCTTCCCCGCTGTCCCTGAGATTTCCCTATGGGCTGTCGTCTTGCGAAGCAAGCCCATAGGAAATTCGTTTATGAAGCGCCTCCAAAACGGAAAACCCTTTCGTCTAGCGGGTTTTCCGTCTTGCGAGGCGTTCGTCTTGCGGGGTACCACTGTACAAGATTTTGTTGAAGGCCCCATTTGTCTTCTTCCTATTCAGTGGGATATGGAAAGGAGAAGGCATCTCATTGTAAGTGCTGGGATCTAAACACTACATCGTTCTTCTATTTAAAAAACCAACAACATCTCAAGTGCCTTTGTGAATGGCTGCCAATAGCTTGTATGCAGCAACCAACATTTAAGAAGCACCACTGGGATATTTTAAAACTCTGCTATAAAGTTGCCTAATGTGGTTGCAATACGGTGGTACCTTGGTTGTCAAACTTAATCCGGAACACTTACTTCCGGGTTTGCAGTGTTCGGGAGCCGATTTGTTCGGGAGCCAAGCTGTTCGCCAACCAAGGTACCACTGTACTCAACAGCTGAAAAACTACAGACACCTGCAGTTATGCACTGATGCATCTGTATGGCCAGCTACGGATCTCTTGAATTGATTATTTTTGCCCAAGATCCTGACACCACGAGTCCAAGTGTGCAAAGGAATCGTGTGCCACGCTGGCTAACTGTTGCTAGTGAGTGGACAGGACTCTCTGGCATAGCCATATGTGCAGATCCGGAGCTTATTCTCGGTTAGCAGAATAAGGCTCTTCCATTATGATTCAAGGTTTACTTTTAAAGCACCAATTCCTCTCTTTTTAGAGGTTCTAAAAAGGAACTCTCCGTTTGTTCCCAAGAGCTCTTTTGGAAGAGCCAATCCTCTAATTACCTATTTCAACTGTCAAGGCCTGGTGAAACCCATTTCACTTTCTGTTACCATGAAACAGTACCTCCTGCATCAACAAAATTCAGCAGCATCTTCAGCTGCAAGAATTTAGTCTTGGGGCAGAGGTACAATCATGCTCTGCTGTCTGAATTTATTATTGCTTAGGCGTTTCATATGGGAAACTGCACAAATGCCTCCTAGAGGTTAATGAGCTCTGCCTTTCTATTTTCAACACTCTTTCTAATTGTTCTGAAAACAAGAAAGGGGGAGGGGGAAAACCACGCAGCAGAGAACTTTATAGCATAAAGCATCTCTCAGGATAAAGAAGGCAGACATATGCCTATGCAGGTGTTTCAGACAGTTCTTGAAATCATTAAGCAGCAGCAAGGCCACAGAATTCGCTCCAGAGAATTGTTTCAGCAATCTTCAAATTTCTGCTCCACACACTTTCAGTTTTCACCTGCATGTGACCACAAGTTCTTTACGGAAGCGGGTCATGTGATGTGGCAGGTTATTTGCATCATACTTCAAGTTTATTGAATGGTTGCGTTGGTTGGGGGTTTTTTTGTGGAGGGGGTCCTAATAAAATGTTCCTAATTGAAGCAGCATGCAAGTTGAAAAAACAGCAAAAATATCTGAACAGCTGCCACCCCCTCCCTGGTCGATACACTCAAGTTCCAAATATATCTAAAAATTTCAATAATTTCAACAAGACACAAACTATTTTGGTATGCCTTTGCATTCATGGTCACAATGCTTCACTGTTACAATCTGTTGTACTATTATTACATAGCAATGCGTGACTTCGCTCTCAGATCCTCTGAAAGAAATATTAGAGGGAAAAGCTGACGGTGGAGTTGCCATGGAGCAGTTATAATTTTTTGTTGTTGCTTAGCACTTTCTACAGCTCTTTAGAAATTATGGCTCATCTCTAACCCAGTAGTTATCCACTGTATTTTTAGAATATACAAAACTGTATCTATAAATACAACCTGCTTGATCATTCATGCAATTCTTCCTTAAATAACAAAGAAAACACACTCATTTTCAGGTCTTGTCTACACAGAGTATTTTAAGTAGCTAAAAGGAGAGTAGTAATGGATTCCCAACGTGACCAGCTCCAGGACATCCACAAAAATCAACTCAGTTATGTTCCATCAGGTTGCTCATTTCAAGATTTTGACAGAAGACCTCACAAGGACAAAGGAAACAAAATGGATTTCTCTCTCTTTAAATTAAAAAAAAAAATCATTTAAATGGGTTGGTTAGCAACACCACATTTTGTATTAGTTTACTTATAATCTATTAACAGCCCCTAAGCACCAGTTGACCAGCATTTCCTTCCCCCTCCCCTTTTAATTTTGTTATTCCTTAAATACCCTGGACACCCCACCCCCACCCTTTTGCCAGCCATATGGAATCTATTATGAAGAACTGATGAGCTTTCCCAAAATGCACCACACATCCCTAAGCAGGTAGGAAACTAAAAATAGAAATTCAAGTACAATTTGGCTACAACTGGTGTGTTCTGCTAGCATCTGCTCTTACCCTGGTCATTCCAAGCAACAGAGGAAAAACAGAACAGTCAAATTTTTATTTTTTAACCCCCTGTGTACTAGGATGTGCGTTTCTTCCCAGTAAACCAGGGCTGCAGAATCTCTCTTAGCCCAAGGTTTCCACATTCCCTTCCGAACAAAGTCTCGTGGTGGGTGGGGCCAAAGGGGAAAGTGGGTGGACTGGGGAAGGCTGCAGGCTACTGAGATGGCTTGCAGAATGAAAGGACACACAAAACCCCTCAGGACACCACACCTGTAAGGTAGGTGCAACCAAAATCCCACACACCCACTTATGAGAACTTCATTAAAAAAAAAAAAAAATCTCTCCCCTCTGATAATTTTTGAAGGCAATTTGTTTTCTTGTCGATTGATGCAGAATGGTTACAAAGAAAAGAAACTGCCAGAGAAATTTTCAGCATGGCACTAACTCATACATGGCTTCAGGTAATCCTAACGGCTTGATCGCCATGCTGCTCAGCTCATAATAAGAGCAGCTTATCAATCAGTGTGTGGGGTTCATCTGGATGCAAGGTCTTTTGAGTCCTAGAAATGACTGTCCGTCCCCCTCCCCCAGGACTCACAGGGAATAGTTCTACACCATAAGATTCCACGTTTCTATCACTGCTGAGTCTTGGCAACCGTTTGCAAGCTCTTTTTTGAAACAGCCATAGCTAAAGGTACAATATGCTTTTGAATTATGGTGCTGGAGGAGACTCTTGAGAGTCCCATGGACTGCAAGAAGATCAAATGTATCCATTCTTAAGGAAATCAGCCCTGAGTGCTCACTGGAAGGACAGATCCTGAAGCTGAGGCTCCAATACTTTGGCCACCTCATGAGAAGAGAAGACTCCCTGGAAAAGACCCTGATGTTGGGAAAGATGGAGGGCACAAGGAGAAGGGGACGACAGAGGACGAGATGGTTGGACAGTATTCTTGAAGCTACCAGCATGAGTTTGACCAAGTTGCGGGAGGCAGTAGAAGACAGAAGTGCCTGGAGTGCTCTGGTCCATGGGGTGATGAAGAGTCGGACACCACTAAACGACTAAACAACAACAACATAGGTACAATGATCATCCTCGTATGCCTTTCTTGCCCCACAGGCTCAGAAATTCCCCATCCACCCTGAGTCTCTGTGCTACTTGCTGCCTTACTTCCTTAAGCAGAAAGTTCTCTTTGGCTGTGTTGGGTTCTCTCCCCAGGAACAAGAGCATTAGCTGCATCCGTCATCCCTTCCAGTTACAAATGCATGTCTCTTTTGTTGCTGCCATTCTGCTCCTTTGGTCCACAGTCTCCTCTCTTGTTGGGCCCAATCATTCCTTCTTGATGCCTCAGTCTACTACTCCGCACAGCAACCTCATCTTTCATCTTGCTTTAACTCGGAGAGTCTCTGGCCCTCTTGATGTTGTTGGAATCCAAATTCTATTGGCCTGCACGACCAACAGTCAATGATGATGGGAGTTGTAATTCAGCAACACCTGGAGGACCAGAGATTCCCCATTATCAGGTTCCATGCCTCTGCTAGCCTACTGGAACCCATCCTGCCTTACCATCTCCTCCTGTGCCGATTTCATCTTCAGTTTCTCTGCCTGAGATACCTAACAGCGAAATGTGAGCAGTCCGTGCTGCTTGCATCCTGCAATGGGTTTCCTTACCAGCTTATCAGATTGTACTCATCCTTGCAGTGCGTCTAAGTTAGCACAACTGCCAGAAGGTGCTTTTATACAGCTTAGACTGAGGAAGAACGGCTTGTGCGTTGCAAACGCAACCATCTGCCCCCATTAACCTCCAATACATTCCACAGTCATAAAAATAACTTGCTTGGATTTTCGAAACATAGCTTGTCCATTTCCGATTCACACCCTAAACAAAGTGAGCTTCCCCATTGGGCTGATAGCGTTCATACATCACTCTTCTTTGAGCAAGCATGCTTCTTCAAAACACACAAATGCTGCCTTTCAGACTTGAAGAGTGTCAATTTGAAAACACTTGAACAAAGTGATCAGCCCTTTCTCTTATTTAGTGCATGGCTGTTATGTCCTTTTGCTAGGGCTCTTAAATATTTTATAGCCTGCTGTCCTCCCTTGTTAATCTGAAAGGCATAAAAGCTCAGGTATCATCACTTTCCAGTACTAATTGGATTCTGGAATCCAGACAGAGACAATATGGCAGACCGACTTACAAATGAATTAGCTGCCATTTATTGATAGGCAAACACATTGCACTCCAGCGCATGTTTCCTTGATTTTTAAATGAAAAGCAAGCTTTGGGAGGGACAATGCTGAGGAGTGGAGACATGGGAGTAGCCAGGATTCTTTTTTTGGGGGGGGGAGGCCTGGGGGGGGGAGAACCTCAGTTTGCTATGTTTTTTATTGAATTTTATTGATTGGGGTGGGGAGGCAGCTGACCCCCCCCTGCCTCCCCTGGCTACGCCCATGAGGGGAGTGGCAACTAGAGCATTGGGGAGTGGGGGATGACAACTTGGGAGTGATCTGGATGGGTAAAACAGAAGCAGGCAAAGGGAGGGGGTAAGGCAAGCACTACCACCCCTAGCCAATTCTTTGCTCAAAATGACTCTCACTAAAAAGCTGTTTTTCATTTAAAAGAAAACAGAAACCAGAGCAGCTACTGGATCTTTGTTTCACAAATTTCCGTGGGCATATTCTTTGCCCCTTGTAGCAAGAGAAAACTTTCAGATTTTGCTAGGTGTACGAAATAAATAAATAACGCAGAAGAGGGCAAGCATACCCCCTGCAGTTGCATTCAAAGCTAGAAGGCTGCAGATAGTTTGCACATCCAAGAGTGACCTGTGAAGTCAGTATTTTGGACCTTGCGTCTGCCACAGGCTGCATTCAGCCAACCATATTTCAGCACAATAAGCCAAGATGTGCATAAGCCATTGTGCCTTCAGGCCCCATCTCTCCTCAGTGTGCTGGGTAACCCAGGAAGTTTTCATTAACCATAGTTTCCCATAGCGCCTGAGTGAGTGAGTAAGCATGCATAGCATGGGTGGCCAAGCCACGAGTGACAACATGGCCACCAAGCCACAGAAAGTGGCCTCCCAGTCCCCACAGCTTTATATTTCCATTTGGCTGGGAGATAAATCTCTAAAGGGCAGACAAGAGTGCTTTATCTGCCCGTCACAGGGGGATCTTTTATCTCCATCTCAGCGCAAAGCACCACAGCGCAAAGATTAGAGACAAAACATTCCAACTGCTCTTGTGGAGCAAAAGGCAGCATTTGCCCCCAGCTCAACGATGGAGTGGGGATGGGTGGAAACTCTGCATTTTACTTTGACAGGTCCTGTAGTGAAGAGTAATTCTATCCCTAAAAGTTAAAGGGACCCCTGACCGTTAGGTCCAGTCGCAGACGACTCTGGGGTTGCGGCGCTCATCTCGCTTTATTGGCCGAGGGAGCCGGCGTACAGCTTCCGGGTCATGTGGCCAGCATGACTAAGCCGCTTCTGGCGAACCACAGCAACGCACAGAAACGCCATTTACCTTCCCGCCGGAGCGGTACCTACTTATCTACTTGCACTTTGACGTGCTTTCAAACTGCTAGGTTGGCAGGAGCTGGGAAAGAGCAATGGGAGCTCACCCCATCACGGGGATTCAAACTGCTGGGGTGGGGGCTGGAAATGATGGTTTTGTGGGCGCAAGGTGTGTGAAAGACGGGGAGAACGATGTGTGACTGCAGTGTCCATAGATTGCCTATAATGCTGCTATGTGGTCTTGGAGAGATGGATGACTGTCAATACTGTCCTTTGGATGAAACAGATTAGCTACTACTGGTGTATAGGACCCATACTGAAGGCAGCCCTGCATTTGGAAGTTTTTAATGTTTGACGTTTTATTATGTTTTTGTATGTGTTGGAAGCCACCCGGAGGGACTGGAGCAACCCAGTCGGATGGGCGGGGTATAAATATGATGATGATGATGATGATGGTGGAAGGAGTAGGGAACTGGTTGCTCTCCAGATGTTCCTGGACTCCAACTCCATTCAACCCTGACTCAATGCAAGCTAAAGTTGATTGGAAATGGGAGTTCAACAATTTCAAGGAGCTGTCCATGAGCCAGGTCATCCACCAGGCAGGCATACACACAGAAGACTCAGGATGCAATTACAGTGGTACCTCGGGTTACAGACGCTTCAGGTTACAGACTCTGCTAACCCAGAAATAGTACCTCGGGTTAAGAACTTTGCTTCAGGATAAGAACAGAAATTGGGCTCCGGCGGCATGGCAGCAGCAGGAGGCCCCATTAGCTAAAGTGGTGCTTCAGGTTAAGAACAGTTTCAGGTTAAGAACAGACCTCCGGAACGAATTAAGTTCTTAGCTCAAGGTACCACTGTAGCTTTTTATTAGCAGGAAAAAAACAAGACTGCAGTGTCCTTGGTTTGTCTTAACTCAACAAAGGCGTTACTGAAACTAAGCTCCGGGCATTCCCTTTCCTTCTAGCCTCTCACTCTGGATCCCTCCCAAGCAGACTGTGTTGAGCAAGTGGGCTCCTCGTCTGGTCCTGGACGCATTGCTCAGCAACGTGCAGGACCCTCCTGGAGCTGGGGGTCAGAGCGGGAGGAGAGACAGCAGGAGTGAGACTGTCCACATATACAGAGTGACTCTCAGCTTCTAATCATGTCCTAGAGGACCCTCCTTCTCCTGACTCCCCCTTGATCACTCAAGTCTCCTGCTTCTATCAGCTCCCAGCTCATCCCTTCTGCCGACTGCTCCTTGATGTCCTACCACCAGGCTCCGGGCTCTAGGGTGTCGTCTTTGGAGTCCTCCCTGGGGGGCTCTTGGGCTGGCAGCTCCATCACTCCTCCTCATCCAGCCTGTCCCTGACAAACAATATCTGGAGAGCCACAGGTTAGCTGTTGCTGCTCCAGGGGTTTCCCCCAAAGGGTTCACGGAGAAGGTAGAGTTTTAGAATGCATTCCTCTAGGATAAAATCATAGTGCATGAATGATGCAGCAGCCAAACTTGAGAGCCCTTGCTGAGTACATGCTTAGTTCTTCCAGTGCATTCTTTTGTGTTTCTCTTGAATGTCAGCCACACAGGTAAGCCGAAAGCTTTTTACCAGCTCCCAAATTTTTTGTCTGGCTCAGTCCTCCCCACCATGGCACACGGAATAATGGAGCTGGCTACTCAGAGGAGCTTTGCTGTTCTCGGGTGGGGAACTAATTACAGGGCCGCATTATCTCATTTTTCTACTTGCCAATACACTCAACGTGTAATGCAGTCCCTTTTGAAAAAGGAACAGCATGTGGTTAATGCTATAAATTCTGGCATTCGTAAGCATGGAACACTCTTGGCATCAATTTGCAAATACATTTATCTGTCTTTTATGAGGATATTATCTCTTGATCAGTTTTAGTTCTCCTTCCCATGCCTAATAAGGAGAAAAGAAAGCTGTCAGTAACACAGCACAGAGATTCCACAGATTTATGCTTGTCTAACAAGCCACAACATTACTCATCCCTACAGCAGACTGAATAGGTATTCATTATAGTGCAATTTACTGACACAAAACTGTGCTAACAAGGAGTTAAGCTGAACTACTCCTCAAGAGAAACACTGCAAAGGGAATTCGGGGGAAAGCGGCTTCTGATTTGAGAAAGAAAGAATATAGTAGATTACCACTGGCAATTTACTCTTGCAAATTTATTTATCTTTAGGTGGCTGTGGAGATAATCTCCTTAATATTCACCAGACAAGCATTATTCAGGGATCTTTGATCTGGTTTGATTGGCTCCTAACCACTGGGTTTGGAAACGGAGGTAATTACTTGTTCACAGTTCTGCTGCAGAGTCTTCATAATTTTTATTCTCTTCTGAACCATTAAAGTGTAAGAAAGCATGACTGGCACCTCAGTGACTCCATGGCCAGAAACCATCTGCAACACTCGAGTACTCAGCAACGAAGTACAGATTTGTAATGAAAAACCTATCTGGAATATCCCAGGCAAAAACTGAAGACCAGTGCAGTCAAAGTTACCTAGCTATGACCTTCTCTTTCAGTACAGCTCACTCGCTGTGTCCTTGGGAGGATAATGTAGCAGCTGACTACTGCCTGAAGGAAGCATGCATATGAACTGAATCAACGCAACTTGACAGAAGGGAGGCAGAAGAGGTTCTACCACTGCAGTTTGGGCTCTGCTGCTTTAGTTTCAGCTACTGGAGTTCATATTGCAGCTCCTATCAACTTCACATCGGGTTGGACTACAATTTCCATCATCCCCCTCGCCACTGGCCACACTGCCTGTGGCAGATGGGAAGCAGCATTAGAAATTCGCCGGGGGCTAGGTGCATTTTGCACCTAGCTATTGACCACTCGCGAACAAGTGAAGATGCCAAGCCTGAGGCCTCCACCATCTGGAGATGCATGCCTGGGGATCCTTGGATCTTGACTGTTTTCACACACCAGCAATGCATCCTGTGGAATTCTCTCTGTGGTATTTTATCCGCACAATCAGACTGAATTTCAGGAACCAAAAAGCCATATTGAAATATACGACTTTCTGGCCCCAAAATGGCAAACTAGGCATTCCATTTTGGCGACTGTAACCCTGGTTTAAGGAGCTATTTGGTGTCTAGCTTATATATCTGAGTTTCTAGCACTGATGGGAGACGGAGTCCACAGTTTCCATACCCCATAACCTAGCACAGAGAGAATCATAGCTGTCAACCTTCCTTTTTTTGCGGGAAATTCCCTTATTCCAGCACCATTTCCTGCTGCTTCCCGCTACTATCCCGGATTGTTAGATATCCCGTAGACTGTCCCTGGGACAGGTGAGGCTGCTGATCCCTTATTTTCAAATCTGAAAGTTGACAGCTATGGAGAGAATTTGTAATGAAGTTTCTTTAAAGGCCTTAATCTCAACCCTTTCTGTGAGCTGGAAGTGCAAAGCCCTGTCCAGTCATTCTTAAGCGAATAACAAGTTGCGGGAGCCGGGAGTTGATTGGTATTCACTGATCCTACACCCCATTCACTTATCGAGGCAGCATGTCTACAAAGCAGAGCCTGATCTATGTATACAAGCCCTTCCAAAGATGTAGAACCCAGATTGATTTGGGTTCCACGTCATTTGGTGGGGGGCACATAGCAGAAACAGCAGGCTCATCTCTACACATGTTGCCCATGCCATCCACACGCTAGCAGTTACTGGGCATGGTCTCATTTCCACCTCTTGCAGAATGAGCTCATTACTCAACTTAAAGACTCAAATTAGCAGGAAAACTATAAACCGAAACTCGGTTCGCATGTAAGACAAAGTCAAATGCACGAGTGTGTGGGTTCCTAGAAGCTGTAACCAAGGTTTGATCTTGGTTCACAGCTCATGGTTTGTTTGGAGGAGACAAACCATGAGCCCAGGTTCAGACAACATGCTAAACCAAACCATGGATTAGCTTCATGTAACGTGGCGTCACAGACCCAGAAGAAAAGCACAGGGGCTGCCATCGCCTTTCCAGGAGCCCACATGCTCATGCTAGGCCATGGTTTGTCTTAGCAGTGCATCTGAACTGTGCCAGAGAATGGCTAAGAAAATGGACTTGTAAGTTCTCCTGTAGCCAACCTACTCAGAAGTATAGCTGCAGCTACGCAGTAGGAAATTGGATCGGAGGCCTCCAATTGAAACTAGTTGCCCACCAGGACTTATATACAAAGCAACTCGCTGATTTGGCAGCATGCCTAATTTTTCGACCATCTGGTCAAGAAGCAGCATAATAATATAATAAAATTTCATTTGCTCTAAACAAACAGTACTCCAGTTTATTAGAATATTTATATGTTTGTTACCCAGGAAATCTTTTTTTTAAAAAAACTGAACCATACCTGCTTGCCTGCTATCAACAGTTGCGATGAAAACAGTGCAGCTATTAAGACATCAATCCTGAACATGACTTACAGAGACTAAAGAAAGTTCATGCACCCTGTATTATGGTTAGGGTTGCTCAATCACATTGTGTTCCAGCAAGAATATTTCCATAGTAAAAACAGCTCCACTTAAATAGTGTTTTAAACTCTGTTTGCAACATGGACATTTTCACCCAGATATGTTTATTTATCAAAATGTCAAATAGCATGTTCTAATCCAGACATAGGCAAACTCCGGCCCTCCAGATGTTTGGGACTACAATTCCCATCATCCCTAGCTAACAGGACCAGTGGTCAGGGATGCTGGGAATTGTAGTCCCAAACATCTGGAGGGCCAGAGTTTGTCTATGTCTGTTCTAATCCCATTAAACCTGGATAATATTCCCAGCATTCTGTCTTGAGACAAACAGAAGACTTTGGTGTGTCCCCCCCCCCATCTTTACCAGGTTTTTTTGTCCTCCTCACATTATTGATTGCTTAATATCCATATTGAAGATGTGGCTTCCACAGCTCAAAAGCCTTCTCGCTACTCTGAGACTCGTAGTAGGGCCTAATAAAGGCATTGCCCTACTGTTGATTTTGAACTATTCCCCAATGGACTGACATAGCTGCCTACGATTTGGGCGTATTTAAAGGTTGGAAGTCTATGGTAAGATGTTCCGAATCTACACATTGACTCAGAACACCACTGCCTCCATACTGGTACAATGCACACGTCAGCAATTCGATTGTCTCAGGGATGCACTCTGAGGAAGAAGTGGGGAGGAGGTTCCCCCACCCCTTGTAAAATGGCCACTTGCAAGTCATTTCCTTCTCAGAGAGGAAGAATTGCCTCCTCTGCCCCATACACTTTCCAATTAATTTTCAGACATAAGACATAATCTTCACGGCCATTTATTCACAATAGTATCATCTACTGAAATGTCACTTCCTCTTCCTTGCACACAATTGAAGAGAAACACTGAGAAAGTACCTTCTCGCCCGGTCTACCTTCCTTTGCTGCTGTGTGACTCTCTCTTCCACCTCGTCTATCAGAACGAAGCGAGGAGGCAAGATCAGCTTTCATAATTTTTTATCTCCTTTCCTTGCAAGCTCATTTCTTTTGGGCAACAGCAGGGAGAGAAAGGAGGACACAGAGGTGAACGTGAGCGAACTTTTTTAAAAGGCAAAAATATTTAGCCAACCTTGCCCAGGTTGCCTCCTGCCAAATAGATTACTTGCTGGAAAATACTCTAGCCAAATTCTTAGCAGGCCACATTAACAGTGCAGTCCTATACAAACCTGCTAAAACTTCAGTCCCATGAGTTCAATGGGGTTTAGTCCCACATAAGTGATACAGGACTGCAGGCTAAATAGTCTTAATCACTTATAAGGAGACATCCTTCCATGCTAATCTGAGCAGCAAGCTAATGGGGACTACTTTCTCTGTCGTGTCTATCTAGAAATAATGAGCAACATCATTAAAGTAGTGCCAGTGTTTCAACAACAAAGCTAGGAAACCAGACTCCTTACCGAAAACATTACCAGGACCATGTGCAGATTTTACAGACATTTTGATTGTGCATTGGGACATCCCAGCGCAGACATACTGATAATTGGCTGAGCAGGCTGCCACCACCCATAATGGGGAGCCAAGGTTTCAGTCAGATCACTCCTGCTCTGCTCTTCCCCAGCAACAGGGAAACATACCAGGAAGGGGAGTAGCTTAGAATTACACCCAAACCTGGAATCATGGTTTCTTTTGTCCTAACAAACCAGAATCACTAGGCAGCCTTAAATCATGATTTGTTATTGGTTTATTGATCTGCGCTTTGCTAGGGTGAAATGAACTTTGATCCCGGGGGGTTGCTAAGCTAGCCCTTTCCTGATTGGTTTATCCCAGGGGTAGGGAACCTGAGGACTTCCTGCTGCTGGGCTACAACTCGGCTTGCTGACCATGCTGGCTGGGATTGATGGGAACTGGAGTTCAAGAGCATCTGCACTGCTACAAGTTCCATGCACCTGGTATATCCAGGAGAGAATCAGATCAGTAGCATGAAGCTTGTGCACATTATGATTCATTAAGCTTGCCTGCCATGGCGCTGCCAGGCAAGGAATGTCCAGAGTGAGGAAGTAACTGTTGACTGTTAAAAGTACACTTACAACTTAGAAAAAGCCATGTCCACCGACCCAACACCTTTCAGCTACTCCTATCCAATGAGGCAGTGGCAGCAACAGAGACCTGAGCTGCACACAAGCAGGTGAAAACCATGCCTGTGTGTAACCTATTTCTGCTGCTCCCTCTTCAATCCTCAACTGGTCCTAGGAGACAGTGGAGCAGGAGAGTTGGGAGCAGAAGGTAGATGTGTGGAAGCCTTTGACTCTACACCAGCCTGACCTATCACCTCTTCTTCAGGCTACAGGTCACTGATCCCTTCCTTCCAAGTTAGACTCCAGTCCCCTTTCTCCCGGTATAAGTATCCAGCCATCACTCACTCCAGCCAGCCCCTAACATTGCCATTGCATGCAAATGCAGCATTCTGAAGCTCGCAGGAAGCCAACTGAAATCTGCCGCGGCCGCTGAACTCAGAGACTTTGTGTGCTAAGAACTATATAAGCGATCTTTTAGCACAGGCTGTATATCCTGGGTCACAGGATGCATGTTCTGCTTGGAATAAAATACCACCAAGTATGACATTTACTCCCTCATAAACTTGATTAGGATTGCAGCCTCAAAACATCAACTCAGGGGCAAAAACAGGCTTCCATTCATCACCCAAGCTGCGGCCTCACAAGGAGGCCAAAATAAGCATTCAGAATTTTCAGCCACATTATTACACCTGTCATCATAGGATGCCTTTGTTTGCCAGTTTGGAAATCCATAATGCCACGAACAAGTAAATAAACTAAACCTCACCTTCCTGTGTGATAGGAACTTAAAAAGTTGCTAGTAGTCTCCTCTTCAATCAACCCCATCCCAAAAGTGCCCTTCTCATCTGCTACTGACTGTGGCCCATCCAACACTGAGCACTGAAAGCCGGGTAACAAGTATGCAAATCTCTTCTCTTTCATCCCTCCACTGGTCCCTGGCAGTTGACAGGCTAGGAAAGGGCAGAATAATGGCAAGGAGGAGGGCAATGAATTAAAAGTATTGTTTTGCAAGTCTATAAACGCTGTTCAGGACAGGACATGTTTTTATCCCCCAAATCTGATACACACTATTGGCAAGGACACACCCTGCCGCAGATTTAGTGCTGCAAAATCCCTATCCATCTTTGTGCGCTTTGGAATTTTTTTGGCAAATCCCTATGCCTTGCCCAGCTCCACCAAATGCTTTCTTTCAGCCAGTTGACAGTTTTCATAGCACTGTTGCCAACATTCAGGGGTGAGTAAACAGGAGTGTTCCTTTTGTTTTTAATCTTGCAGTCAAAGCAGGAAGATGGGAAAAGGGGGGGGGAATGTAATTCAGAGGAAGCATTGTACAAGAGACAGGGCTAAGGCATGAAGCAAGAAATTGTGGGTAGTGCGGGGGGGGGGGAATTAATGCGATTTAAGAAAGCACACTCCTCCCCTGAAATCTGTATTAGCTGTAATTATACCCTCTTGAGATTTTTTTTTATCCTCTTTGAATAAGAGTCATTGCTTGCAACACTCATTTTTTCTATGTACCAGCAGGATAACATGTTAAAGATCTGTAGTCCTGTATTCTGCTGTTAACAATTTTCACTTGATGGGTGGGCAACAGGTTTGTTATTACATAAAGTTATGTATGCACAATAACATACAAAGCATGTTCTCCCTTAAAAAATAATAATAATCTTAGAAACTGTAGTGTGTTAAGAATGCTGGGAATTATGCCTCTGCTAGGTGTACACTACAGTTCCCAAGATCCTTGGGTGTCAGCATGCTTTAAATGTATGTAGGTAGCCTAAAACTCAATAAATTAAAAGATACTGTGCACATTTTCAGCTCTGCAGTTATCTTCTTACAGGAAGCCTGTGCATTCAATAGGTAGCTTTCCAAATCTGTGACTGCAATAATTCAAAGTTCAGTTTCTAACAGTAAATTTGGATCTTCATCCAAATAGGAGGATCTCTATCTGAGAAGTGGGACACTGTTTTCAGGTTTATACTGGAAATATTTAGGTGAGGAGGAGTTGCAAGACAATGCCATCCTAAGAACCACTTTATTCTGGTCCCTTCTACATTCTAAAATGAAAGGAAGAGGAAAATGGTTATTGCTCGTTAACTGCTCTGCGGTCTTACTGAAGAGAGGTCCAGGAATATCCCCAAAAAGAAAATTTCAGTTGGGTACTTTTTATTTTGTCTTTCGTTTCCAACTTCTGGAAGCAATATAGCCAAAGCACAGCAAACCACAAACTCTTAACTGAAATGGGATTTTAAACTACGCTGCAAGAGCACTGGCACAACCAGCCACAGGCATGTAAAATACTTGTGTTCTCCTCCACCGCCAAGTACAGTTCTAGCCTTCGTTTATAGTCAGGAGTCTCAGGACAGAATGTTAGAATAGGCTTTGCCAGATTCCACACAGCACACAGGCATCATACATACTTTCCTAACAGAAAATAGATGGGTCTTTGGCATAAAAACCAGCTCCTTATCTTCAGACTTTTGAAACTCGGGAAAAACTGTGGAGTACCTGTGAGTCACCCAGGGTGAAAAATGTTTTTTTTAATTAACCTTCTCAGCTTGTGCCTCACCTCAGTCTGTTTCCAGTAATGATTGTGTTCCTGAACAGAGGTGATAGGTTCAATACCAACAACACAAAATGGATTGTTATTTGGGAAGGGCAATGGGAAAGATCTCCTTTCACCCGAGTAACATGGCTTTTGTATTATCACACACCTTTATTTTATTTTTTAAAAAAAGGCAAAGAAGCAAAGGTCCATATGAAAAAACTCAGAAATCAGAGTTGGGCTTCATATACCGTTGTATGAAAGATGCAGGATTTTGTAAACAGCCATTCAACGGCTATAAATGATGTTGCACAGGTGAAAGGATACAACTCCATCTCTACCTAGTAAACAAATCTAATTGGTATTAAAAATGGAAGAAAACATGGGCAAAGTAGGCTCACAACACAAAAACAAGCCACAGAAAAGCCTAGTGAAGGGAGATGTGTCAGACTTCCTTCCCTGTGTTCACAGAGACAGAACCAGACTTGTCTTTGTTGACTCACCGAAGTGAAGTCTATGGCTTATAGAAATACAAACCAGAAGGTCACAGCTCTTCATGTCCAGTATGAATATCACAGAGACATACTGTACATATTATCTGCCCTAGGAAAGCAGTGAAGGATATCAAAGTAAACCATTCCATATTATGAGGAAACACCAAAGGGCCCATAATTCCATCTCTAGACACTATTTTCCCAAAACATCTTTGCAAACCTGTGGATTTTAGTAAGTTTTTTTGTGTCATCAATAATGTACAGATGCTATGAATACATTCACATGGTTCGTATGAATGTATGAACTTATTAGGCACAGAAACTCACTGAATCCAAGTCCTAAGTAATCTCAAGTGTATATTCAGAGTAAAAAAAAAAGGTGTGTATTCATTGTCACTTACATCCAACTATTTCATTTTTAATATGCAGACCTCCTTCCTATCTTACCGTACCCAAGGCAGCTTACAGTATAGGGTTCCAGAAAACAATGAAGCTAACATGTTACTTCACATCTATAGACCTGTTTTCACCTCCAGTAAAGAAGCTACCTCACATCTTCACTAGTCTCACTAGAAACTCAGTTGAGGATTACTTCTCTTTAATTGTGGATTAAGGTGATGCTGCATACTGCGTTCACCAAATATCCACTGATGTTTCTTCTGACCATACACACACACACACACACACACACACACACACACACACATTTAAAGAGACAAAGCTGGTCTCTTTTCTGGAAGGGAAGGTGACAACATTAATCCCCTTTACTTGCCACACCTACAAAAGTTGCCAAACAAGTTCTCCAGTGCTAGTTTCACAGAAACTATAAGTTAGTCGAATATGGGAGCCAGTCTTAGGTTGTTTTGATATTCCAGTTAGGAGAGGAGAAGGAAGAAAAGGTGGCTTCCTCTTCCTCTTCTTATGCTCCCTTAGAATGGCTAGTGGAGAGTCCATGCACAGTGGTACCTGGGGTTAAGAACTTAACTCGTTCTGGAGGTCCGTTCTTAACCTGAAACTGTTCTTAACCTGAGACACCACTTTAGCTAATGGGGCCTCCCACTGCCGCTGTGCCGCCGCCGCACGGTTTCTGTTCTCATCCTGAAGCAAAGTTCTTAACCCGAGGTACTATTTCTGGGTTAGCAGAGTCTGTAACCTGAAGTGTCTGTAACCTGAAACGTCTGTAACCCGAGGTACCACTGTATCACCAATCACAAGGAAAATAGCACATCCTCAAACGGGGACCCAGCACACACATTTCCTCAAGATGATGATGCAATAAAACCATGAAGAACCCTACTGTCTTACAAATCTCATTTATCTTAATGGAAGAGAAATATTTTCAGGTTAAAACGCAAATTTTCTTAATCTGGATATATTCATCTTCCATTATTCTAATAGCAAATGCAGCTGGCAAGCACCGCTGCCAGGCTTGGACAGGTAACTCACAACTTGTGCACATTTAACTTTTGCGTGTTCAGCTTTATGCACTTGGCAAAAAGAAAATTAAAAAGGAGGCAGAAAGAAGGCGGGTGTCCGGGGGTGAAATACTTTGGCAATCCCACCCACCACTGAACCCAACGTGCTTTGACTGTACGTGATTTATGCTCTATCCCCGGAGCATAACCCTAGCGTAAGTTGAGAATTGCTTGTACAGAAAACAAGGGAACACTGAGGAAGAAGAGGGAAGTACCAGCATGCTTGGTGGAACCTCAAGGTTTGTAGAAGTACTTCTTTTGGGTGGGGGGGAAGGTAATTCCCCCTGCAAACAGCCCAAAGAGCAAGCCCGGTCCAAGGCTCATGCTCTAACCACTGCACCACATCAACCATGGGACAGCTCCAGTGGTTAAAGGACCTAGCCAAGTTAAGATGCCAGGGAAAAAGAGGGAAGTGCTCTCAGAGTTGGAGAAACGAAGGAACAACCTCCTTCCCCATACTTGCATTTTAACTCTATAACATACTGTACTATAAACCTATAGTTAAATTGCTATAATGAACTTGTTTCTTTTTCAACACAAGGGAATTTTAAAAGGAGGAACTATGACTGCGGTCCATTTGTGTGTAAAGAAAAGCTTTGTTCTTGCATCTTGGTGCTTTCAAAGAGCAGTCAAGTATCAGCATTAGCCATGCACTTATAAATTATACCTGCCGCTCACTACTATATTTCTAGGAGTCAATTAGGAAAACACTTAAGAATTGTGTCTGGGTTTCCCTCCCCATACGCACACATTTATTTATTTTTTTAAAAAGAAAGGAACTGATGCAATCAAGGAGTGTGCATTTTGTTTTGGGGCAAGGCAGAAGATAAGCTAATTTAAACCAAGGAGAAATATTATGACATACAAATAAGCTTCCTGGAATTGGGAAAGGATTTCACAAACCAGGCTGAGACTTAGGTGGACTTTGCTCTCCATTTCTACATGCTGTATAAGGTAGTTATTAAAAGCAGTTTGACCAATGAATTACTTAATAGGTTACCTGAAACCCATTAAAAAATTGCACAAACAAGACATTAACCTACATGGCAAGGCTTTGGAGTCTCGTTCGATATTGTCACTCTATGTCCTACGTTGGACTGATAATCTGATAATCTCATAATGCCAAATGTTATTCCTCTTGTAAAGTATTCCTCATCCATAACCCAAAGCACATTTTAAGATTAGCAATTTCTTCAGTAGCCATCTGTATTGATCAGCTGCTGAAATCCTCCTTTCCCCTAAGCTAAATTCATACTAACATTGTACTTCATTTCAACAGATCCTTAATTAACTTTTAGTCCAGGGTGACAAGGTGTCCTGTTTTACAGAGGGCACACCTCTCTCTGAAGAAGCGCTGCCTGGTTCAAGCCAGATTAAAATGTTTTTAAAAACCCGAAGCAGCTAAGCCTTGAGATTCTCACCAGAAGTTAGCACCTGGATAGCATAGAATTGTAGAGTTGGAAGGGACCACGAGGGTCATCTAGTCCAACCCCCTACAATGCAAGAATCTTTTGCCTAACGTGGGGCTCAAACCCACAACCCTGAGATTAAGAATCTCATGCTCTGCTGACTGAGCTATACAGGCAGATCAACTTTCTGCAACCTTCCTCACTATGGTAAAGTGTATGGCATTGCTATTTAAGTTATAGTAATCATCTCTAATTCTCATCAAAACATAGCCAAAGTTTCATGTAAATCTGTGCCATCTTTTTGTTTCTATGTAAATCACCTGTTTAGCACCTGCTCCTTTCCCTCTAGGAAGGAGGGAAGCCAGTTATGAACATATCTGAAGAAAAATATATGCCCCTAATCCTGAACCTTTTGTTCATGGCAATATTACCTGATGAAGGGATTTTATGCTGGCATCATTATTTTATAATAGAAATGAGGACCTGGAGAGTTCAGTTGGTTAGAGTGTGGTGCTGATAATGCCAAGGTTGCAGTTTCGATCCCCCTGTGGAATAGCTGCACATTCCTGCATTGCAGGGGATTACACTACAGATGACCCTCAAAGTCCCTTCAATTCCAAGATTCTACAAAAGCAGCACACAATGTGGGATGTTTCCAAGCGATCTAGATGAGAAATCTGCCGCAAGCAGAAATCCACTAGTGTGAACAATGACGATTTCTCCTAATTCCAAAACCCAACTTTCAGCTGCGCGCGACAAGCGTTGGTCTCTGTGCATGTTACATCTTCAAAAGGCCTGAGCTTGCTTACTTAGTACGATGAAATATAGCCTGGAGAGGAGAAATTTAATGGGAGACATAATTGCGGCCTTCAAATACCTGAAGGGCTGTGATGCAGAAGATGAAGCAGGCTTCTTCTCTGCTGCTTCAGAGGGCAGGAGCAGAGCTAATGGGTGGAAATTGAAGGGAAGCAGATCCCATTAGGAGAGACTGCAGACTGCCTCAAGAGGTAATGGGCTCTCTCTACCTGGAGAGAGTCATACAAGAGAGGCTGGACAACTATATGTCAAGGACACAGTAGCTGCAACACACACTCAATAAATAATAATAATAATAATAATAATAATAATTTATTTATACCCCGCCCACCTGGCTGGGTTTCCCCAGCCATTCTGGGCGGCTCCCAATCAAATATTATAAACACAATACAGATTAAACATTAAAAATTTCCCTAGAAGTTCCCTAAAAACTGCAGATCCATAACTGAAAAGAGGATTGGGCTAAATGACTTTCAAGGTCCCTTCCAACTCTTATGATTCTAGGCTTGGCGATGGGTTTGAAAATGTTATGGGCTGAAACTGTTCTCAAAAGCGGGCCTTTTAAATGAGTCCTTAGTGTACTTCCTCTGCTTCTTAAGTAGGAGGCTGAGGCAGAAGACCCTGGAAAAGGAACAGAAATGCACAGCTTTCGTATTTTTATATAGCCCAGTCTGCATGCAACCCATTTTGTAGCTGAAATGAGTTACTGAACTGAGTAGCACAGCACTACCACATCCTGGCATCACAAAAAGGCATTTCCCATCATATCAGTTGCCAGTTGGGAGAATGGGTATTTTCGTGTGTGTGATTTTGTGTGTGTGTGTGTGTGTGTGTGTGTGTGTGTGTGAGAGAGAGAGAGAGAGAGAGCACACACACTACTGTGTGACAGAAACTGCCTATGGCTGTTTTCTGTCTGTGAAGTGCTTTGCAAATTCCCTTGTTCCCCTTTGCTATCTGTCCGGTAAGTCGGTAAGTAGACAGAGACAACCCCCAGCCAGATTCATGAGTCTGTAGGAATTTGGGTATGGATCCTTCACAAACAATTGGAACATTTTTATCCAGCACCCTACATTGGCCAGCGTCTCTGACACATGAAAACACATGCGTGCACATACTAACAGTAGGAGGAAAGGTTAATAAATGTGCCCAAACAAGTTCGTTACCTGATGGCGAGAAGACTGCAAAACAGCCCCTGTTGCCAAAATGCATCCAACACTTGCTTACAGTGCAAACCCGAGTGTCTACTCAGAATTCAGTGAGGTTTTCTCCCAGGTAACTGGGGCTAGGCTAAGCCCCTTGCTCGTGCATGTGCAGGACTCTGCTAAAATCTAGCACACTGCTTCCAAGAGCAGCAACAGGTTGAACGACAAAAGGGAGAAGAAAGATGCTTATCTTAAAATTAATATTGTGTCCATTCAACAGCCAAGCGGATGGAGGACTGACCCAAAACCTCAAGAACATTATATACAAGGGTGAGCCTCCAAGATTAAGCCCAGTTTCGCAGGATGCAACCGTCCTTCCAAACCACGCCACCCAGGTAATCCTGGTTTCAGTAAATAAGGCATGTTTGCATAGCAATCAACATTGGGTAATGCAACACAACTATATTACCAGAAGCAAGATTACATCAAGTCACAAGAGGGAGATGCAATTTACCTTCTCTTTAAATAAATAAATAAAACATCGTACTAGACATCCATACTTTCAAGAAGGTTTCGAGTTTCCAATTAAGTACCAGAACATTTCCAACAGGGAGGAGGGAGAGCAGGTGGGTGGATAGATACAGCCATTGACCATGCAGCAATGTCAACATTACCTCGCTTCTGGTGAAATTGCCGCAACGCATTATATGCAGGGCTGCCTCTGAAGATGGTTCGGAAACTCCAGCTAGTGCAGAATTCGGCGGCAGTCTGATCCTGGCCCGACTGCACTGTCTGCCGATTAGTTTCTAGGCCCAGTTCAAACTTAATAAATAATAATAATAGCAAGGAGTAAGAAAACACTATGTATATAGATGTACTTGTGTACATACATACACTCAAGAAAAAACTAGATGGATAAAATTATGTCTAAACTGCACATAGGTGCCCTTTAAGGTAAAGGGACCCCTGACCATTAGGTCCAGTTGTGGCCGACTCGGGTTGCGGCGCTCATCTCGCTTTATTGGCCGAGGGAGCCGGCGTACAGCTTCCGGGTCATGTGACCAGCATGACTAAGCCGCTTCTGGCGAACCAGAGCAGCGCACGGAAACGCCGTTTACCTTCCCACCGGAGCGGTACCTATTTATCTACTTGCACTTTGACGTGCTTTTGAACTGCTAGGTTGGCAGGAGCAGGCACCGAGCAACGGGAGCTCACCCCGTCGCGGGGATTCAAACCGCCGACCTTCTGATCGGCAAGTCCTAGGCTCTGTGGTTTAACCCACAGCGCCACCTGCGTCCCAATAGGTGCCCTTGCTTCCCTGCTAAAACCATATCATCAGGCCTTTTTTCAGCTGGAACTCCCTGGAATTCAATTCTGGCACCTCTTAGGGGGGCACCAATGCCATTCTAAGAGAATGGGGAAGGTTTTCCTGGTGAGTTCCAGCACCTCTTTTTTTTTTCTAGAAAAATAGCACTGCACATCATGATATACTGAGAAGCAGCTTACTTAAATCTCAGCTAATAAAAATAAGCACTTTTAGATGTGCAAAATCCAAACTAAATGTATACAGTAGCTGGGATTTTATCTTCCTAATTGATTCTCTCTCTCCAGAAGCATGATGCACATGAGAGAATGAAGGTATCACCGACACTGATAGTTTTGCCATCACCACCCTATTTAATGTGATTCTGGAGAAGATGTCTGCTTGAAAGCTAAGTTTTTGTTTTTAAACAAGCTCTAAACTGAAATGTTTAAAACAAGGTGCCTGGCAGGACTGTCACAATATTGAGCGAAGTCAGCCATGATGTTCAGCACAAACTAAAGCTGTGAAACACATTAACGCATCTTAAAATTAATCAGAGTGCACACACAATGACACTCCCACAAATTTTACAGCCTATAAAATACAGGCAGATACTACCAACCAATCACTTTTATATTCTCTCTCCCTCTCCCTCCATCCCTGCCACGAGATGTCTCTTTATACAGCAGAGAGATGGTCTTTCATCAGACAAATGGGGGAACTCACCACCTCAATAAATAAAACTGAACTGCCAGACTAATTGTAAGTGGGAATGAGCAGTCCATCAATGTTGCCTCCCCTTTAAGATGTCAGCATTATTCTTCTTCAGCTGGCTATTCTGGCTCTGTGGAAAAACTAATGGGGGGATGGACTAGGGCAGAATTAAATAGTTTGCTAGAATTTGTCTGATACCCTTTGTAAAAGAAGATGGCTGCAAGGCAAACTTACCTGAGAGCAAGCACTAATTAACACGGCGGGATTCCTTCCAAGTAGGATGCTCACTTTCACATAGTTTATTTTTATTACCTCAAATATTTTAATGGGTTTTTTCATACAGTGGCCTAGGAGAATTCTTCCCTTTTCCTCTCTCCTTCTCATGCCAGAGATGCAACAGCAACACATACATCTGCAGACATAGGTATTCTGAAGTCCAGCTCCAAGGGCCTATTGCTGGTTCCCTCACTGCAAAAAGTGAAGTTACAGAAAACCAGGCAGAGCGCCTTCTTGGCAGTAGCACCCTCCTTATGGAACGCCCTCCCATCAGATGTCAAGGAAATAAACAACTATCTGACTTTTAGAAGACATCTGAAGGCAGCCCTGTATAGGGAAGTTTTTAAAGTTTTTATTGTGTTTTTAATACTGTTGGGAGCTGCCCAGAATGGCTGAGGCAACCCAGTCAGATGGGTGGCATATAAATAATAGAATTATTATTATTATTAAGCTTTAAAATGGTAATTGGTTAGATTTATCAACTAGCGTTCCTATCAGCTTTTAAGCAAGCATGAGCAGGCTCTTATGGTCAAAATAATTTGACTAGGACAGGACAATACTTGTTGCAAGAAAATCCTCTGGAGTGAAAACAATAAACCTGTTTTACTGAATCATAGCTGCCTCCTGAAATGCAGAGATGCCGCAAGCTAGCTTCTTTCTTGCATTTATGCATTCCTACAGTACAGTAATCCCTCAGAAACTGGAATTCATCTTTCAAGCTTAAAAACATAAAAGTGGCCTTGCTGGAGCAGACACAAGGCCTATGAAGTCCAGCACCCTATATCTTACAGTGGTCAATCAGATGCTTCTGAGAAACCTACAAGCAGGATGTGAGGACAATAATAACTCTCTCCTACTTCTGCTTCCCAGCATACCTGTATTAATAGGCACGGCATGTCTGATCTCGGAGGGGGCATACAGCCATCCAGCAGCCAAACTGTGGTTAGGCAACACAATTGCTTACGCCACAATTATATCTCAAGAACTTCTATAAACAGCCACATGCATTTCTCCAAATTATGCCCTTTCTTCAGTTAAAGGGGCAGCTGCTGGAGCTCACAAGAAAATACAAAACCTTTAGATACTGTTCCCACCTGAAGACAGTTGCTAAAGTTATTGTGCAAAAAGCTCAACCCTTGATCTCTCAAAAGTATACCAAAGGCATGCAAAGATCTCTAGCTGACCTCTCTCACACACAGGCAATACACTCGCAAGACGAATGCCTCGCAAGACGAAAGAGTTTTTCATTTTTTGAGTTGCTTCGCAAGACGAATTTCCCTATGGGCTTGCTTCGCAAGACGAAAAACGAAAACGTCTTGCAAGTTTGTTTCCTTTTTCTTAAAACCGTTAATACCCTATGGGAAACCGTGCTTCGCAAGACAAAAAATTCGCAAGATGAAAAAACTCGCAGAACGAATTAATTTCGTCTTGTGAGGCACCACTGTAAAACCTTGCCAAGACTTCCTAATTCAAGGCAGATCAGGCTTCAGCCACAGTAAGAGACTAACAATGCAATGTGCCTGCAGGCTGACAACTTGCCTTCTTCAACTGTTTAGAAGACAAGCAACCCTTTCCTATGTCAGCTTCTAAATCCACTATGCTGCTACAGTTTTGAGAATTCGAAAAGTCACTCAATCCAGGGACAGTCCACATATATATTGGCCTATTCCTAGCTCTTTTTCTTAATGGTGACACGGACCATTCATACTGTAAGAATAGTCTTCACAACTTGTGAGCAGGGCAGTGGGGTGGGGTGAAGACCAGCTACAACAATTAGCTGTAATGTTGTTCACTGATCCTGCTCAGGCTGCACAGAAAAAGCATTTTGGTTCCTGAAATTCATTTTGATGGTGCAGATAAAATATCGTGGATAGAATTCTACAGGATGTGTTGCTAGTGTGTGAAAACGGTCCAGATCCAATGATCCCCAGGCATGCACCTCCAAATGGTGGAGATGCTAGGTGCAATCCTGGCACCTAGCTAATTTCGAACACTGCCAGAGACATATGGCTTTGGATCATTGGCTTACCAGAGAATGTTGGCTTTACAGTGGCAGGGCAAACTGCCGTCGTGCCTCAGAAATCTAAGCAGCTCCAAAAAACTGGGCTGTAATTGACAACCCATTTACTCCAGAGCAGTTCAATTAAAGTCACTGGGATTGCACTAAACTAAGCGGCTGCAGATTGTTGCCTTAAGCACGTGCAGTTTAGGGAATATATCTATGGTGATATATTCAACGGAGAGTTTTCATTCAGAAGTTTTAGCTGCATTTCGAAGTGTAGCCACAAATTGAGGAGATGACCGCAAATTAAGGAAATACACACTGGCTGTTACGTTGCCTACCTCAAATGACAGATTTTCACTGCAGTTTATCTAATCACCGCTATTCCCGTGATTAAACATATCCCATAACCAAACACCTGGCTGGCAAGATAAAGACCAAGCAGATTTTAAAAGTAACAACTGCATTAACAAGAAGCAAGCTTACAGTTTAAATATAAACTATGTGCATTATGGAGGTGCCCTTCAGCTGCCAACCTCAGCCACGCAGGAGCTGATTTTCACAGCACCATCGCACAAGGACAAAGCAAATCACATGGGGACACATCATGGAAAAAGTGGGTCCCATGTACCCAAGGACCATAACTGAAGGGCACCTGAGAAAATGTACTTTATCAGCAAGCAAGTCCTGGAATCGTAAGACTGAAACACCAGGCTAGTTCTAGTCAAGTTCTCTGAGCTATGACAAATATTTGTGACGTGGTAGACTGGCTATGATTCAGACTTGGAAAGAGATTTGATACGCATCACACATCTAAAGCACATGACTTCCCCCAAAGAATCCTGGGAACTGTGTTTGTTAAGGGTGCTGGAGATCTGCAAGAGTTAAACTACGATTCCCAGGATTATTGGAGGGAAGCCATTTTCTTTCAATGTATGATAGGTATCAAATCAAGGGCTGGAGAACCACCTATCAAGGATGCTGAAACAGTGGGTTTTCTGCATCAGAAGGCTGCTGAGGTCTGTTCCAGGTCTATGACTGGAAACACCTGCTCAGCCATGAAGCTCACAGGGCAAAGTCACTATCTCTCACCCTACCTTAATCCAGTAGTCCTGTGAGCCGAGTTAATTTAAAAGGGAAGCTGAAGGAAGCATCCAAAAGCCTTTGGGAGTCTCCCTCATACACACACGTTTTAAGATCAGGGTGAAATTGGGGATTTAGAACAAAAGTGGGGAGACTCCAAAGGCTTTTGCAAGCCTCCGCCAACTCTCCGAGTTTGGGAATTTGGAAGGGAAGAGGTTTGCATGGGAAGTCTTTGAGAGTTTCGCCTACTCCCTTCTAAATTCCCAATCTCATGCTGATCTTTAATCTCCACTCGTCAACTGATGCCCAGAGATTTGATCCTGCTCCCTAGGCTGCATGATCCTGTTCCCTGCTGGGCAATGGGCAGAGCAGCAGATGCAAGATTAAACCCTGTCCTCTCATCCATCCATAGATATGTCAGCTGATAGATGGGTGAGTGTGGATTGGTAAAAACTGCCTGGCAGGCCAAACTGAACCCCCTGGCAAGCCAAGACTGGCTCGTGGGTCAGAGGTCCCTACCCCTGGCATAACTACTTGAATGCTACGGTCCTTGGAGGAATTATAGGATTCAAATGTTTGACTGAAGCAAAATCACCATGACCCTCAGTAGAATCAGAATCTGTCTATAGACTGAATACATAACCAAGTGTCACTCATGCTATCTTCCATTATAGCACCCTGAAAATGGACATTAAATATTGTGTATGTGTGTGTACATGCATATTCTCCTTAAAAATCCATTTATAGTATATGAATGTCATTCTTTTTGGACAACTGGGGTTGTTACAGTTGCTGTAAAAATCTAAATCATTTTCCATGACTCTCAGAAAGTATGCTTTCAAATTTTAAAAATACACACATCACAACATTCTATTTTTACACGTATTCTTGAAGCTTCAACTGAGGCAACAAAGCGTTGTTTTTATAACCAAAAAGACACATACATACACACACACCAACAACTCTTAAGTACTTACAAATAGTCTCTAATTTCCAAGCTGTTTCACAAAAGTGTTAGCAGAATGTGCTAAGCATTTTTTTAAAGAGACAAACCTCATCCATATTTCCTGTACTTTGAGAGTAGCCGGAAACCAAGGATTTACCACAGCTGCAAAATCCCCCCTGCCCAATCTCCTCTTCCTTGCATCCATTCGTATTGAGAGTAACAGGAGGTTTTATTGAGCAGTTTCTCAACCTACACACGTTGAAGCCTGCCAAGATACCACACAGCACCACAAAGCAGAAGCTGGGGCCATGAAAGACTGTATCCAAAAAACGGGTAATTTTTAACGGATGAAAAATGGCAGATTCATACAGCACTGGGACAAGTATGGCCTGAAATTACCGTATTTTTTCGTGTACAAGACTAGGTTTCCTCCCCCCCCCTAAAAATAATGTCAAAAATTAGGGGGCATCATACTCTGAGCCATCTCCTCACATTTTCTTAAATCTGAGTCCCCCAAAATAGGGGGCGCCTTATACATGGGGGCGTCTTATTTCCAGGTCTAAGACAAGGGGTGTAGTTCTCCTTCAGTGTTTCAGGTGCATCTTCACTTATCTAGGACACAATTTCACCGTTAAGCAGAGTAAGATATTCCCCTCAGGCAGTTGTTTGGGGTGTCAGAAAGGGCAGTGCACTGTTCGTTATTCAATTTATTATCGTCATCTTTTCTTGCCAAAGAAGCGGGGAAGGTGCTTGTGGGATTTTCAGCCTCAGGCACCAAAACAACTTCACTGGCCTTGGTGTGGCACAATTGCCAGCCCTACCTGAGGGAGCCTGAGGGCCATGATGAGGAAGAGAAGCACCTAGCACAGCCCAGTGAAGGAGATGGAGAACAGGTTGGAGAAAATGACCCAGCAGCCAACTTTTTTTAGAAAGTGTACAAGTGAAACCGGTAATGGAGAACAAGGTAAAAAAGACCTTGGCTATGCAAGGTTTTTCTACCTTGAGGTAGAAATGTGTCTGAGAACTTGAGTGGAGAGCCTTGGCCAAAATCAATAAAACAGAGCTCTTTGGCCAGTTACACTGCGCTGCTGAGCTTATATAGAAAACAAAAAATAAGAGAGTAAACCTGGTAATGTGGAGAATACTATAATTGGGGCGCTACTGTATTGGTTTCAGCATTAAATAGTTCCAAGCGCAACTAGAAATAGATTCAAGATCGCCACAGGCTTTATGCTTTGTTAAGTCATTGCTCATGCATTAAATCCAGAACTTAGTTTACAAAATCTGCTAAAATGCGGTGTAGTGTCAACAGCAGGATTTTTTTTCAGCCGGAACTCAGTTCCCGCACCTCTCGGGTGGGTGCCATTGCCATTATAAGAGAACAAGGTGAGTTCCAGCACCTCTTTTTCTAGAAAAATAGCACTGACTATCAGACTCTTCATTCTGAAAAGTTGTGGGCTAGCCATGAAAAGCACACAAGCATATGTGATATAATAAACAACAACAACAACATTTGTACCCCTGCTCATCTGACTGGGTTGCTCCAGCCACTCTGAACGGCTCCCAGCAGATACAAAAACATAATGAAACATTAAACATTAAAAACTTCCCTATACAGGGCTGCCTCCAGGTGTTACGCTACTACAACATCAAAATTCATCCAACTTGCAAGGAAAAGGCCTTGAATTAAGGAATTCAGAACCCAGTAATTTGTGATGCATAAACTGAGCTCATAGTCCTTCCACACATACACCCAATCCTGATTATTCCAAGCTTTTTTCATTTTAGTAGTATAATTTAGGGCAGGCGAAATGCTACTGCTGCTGCTGTTAAAGCCATCAGGGACCTAAAATCCTTGCCAGTCTACTACAGATCACCCAGAGCTCTGCCAGTAAATCCCAATCTACCTTCTATCCACCTTGGCTATATTCACCTCCCTCTCTGTTTTAAGATGTCACATTCCCACATGCATAGGGCTCTTCAGGAAGCCATTCAGTGAGGGATGCTAATTTCCCACAACTTCATATAGTTCATAATCCATAGCATGGGTAGGCAAACTAAGGCCCGGGGGCCGGATCCGGCCCAATCGCCTTCTAAATCCGGCCTGCGGACGGTCAGGGAATCAGTGTGTTTTTACATGAGTAGAATGTGTCCTTTTATTTAAAATGCATCTCTGGGTTATTTGTGGGGCATAGGAATTCGTTCACCCCCCAAAAAAATAATAATAATCTGGCCCCCCACAAGATCTGAGTGACAGTGGACCAGCCCCCTGCTGAAAAAGTTTGCTGACCCCTGATTCATAGCATGTGTGAGCCAACTACTTACAGGACAACCACCAGCACCCATTCTTTGTGAGCTGCAGATTTGAGGCAGGCAATTGTTTCCAAGGGCGCCAACTGCCAGGTATCCTGGCACCACTTTCTCTTGGTGCGGGGAGCAAATATTTAAAAATGATAGCGAGAAACAGTCTGGAACCATTGTGGGAATGGCTAATTGTAGTACACGGTTGCTACTAGCACCACTGCGGTTGGTGTCAAATTTTCAACACTAATAAGAACATCAGAAATGTTATTTCCGCTTCTCTCTCTATGAATGAGAAAAGAAACTGCAATTGAAAATGCTCAGAGTGAGTGTGTGTGTGTGTGTATGTATGAGAGAGAAAGAAATTCAGTGGGTGGAGTACAGGGCTTTTCTCATACCACCTGTACTTCTGAGGTGGTCCAAAGGAGTGTCCTTTCTTACATTCTACAAATCTCACTGTGGGTCTGCACTGTACGTCCTTCTTGGGTGCCCACACTCAGACCATTTATCTATATCAGTATTGTCAGTTCATCTATATCAGTATTGTCTACTCTGACTGGCAGTGCTTCTTCAGGTTTCAGACAGGGGGCTCTGCTTGCAGATGCCTGGGACCTTCTGCATGCAAAGCAGATGTTCTACCACTGAGCCCTTCCTCAACTGAAGCCCAAGAGAAGACATCATGAGGCAAATCCTCCATTAGAGATTGTTGGGCAATCAGGGAAGCTGCAGAGCGCTAGAGAAAGATGAACACACACATCAGCCAGCTCAAAAGCTACACCCTAAACAAATTCATGAAGTGCCCATGAAATGAAACAGAAAAATGGAAGCCCCATTTGCAGAAGAAGAAAACTTTTGAGATACCAGAGGACCAGTTTGGGCCTAGCATTAAAATTGCTAGTTGCTTGTTGACAGTTTGGCACCAATGTGTTTGCATCACTGCATGCAGAGGTACAGCAGTGACCATATTGTCCTGGCCATGAGCTCAGGCTGCTTTCTCTGAACCCAATAAACAGGAAATCAGTAGCACTGTGTCTAGAAGAATCTAGATTTAATTACTCCCCTCTCTTAAGAAGTGATCAAGAAAGGAGAAAGGAGAAATTTTCCATTGGTGCAAACTGGGCAGGGGGGGGGGTTAAAGAGGCCACAAGCTATTTTTGCAAAAGTGCAGATATTCTCAGGATCTCTGAGCTTACATTCAACAGCCAGCTGGTTGTCTATTGCCATTTCCAAGGCACACAGCAAGAAGGCAAGATTTGTGGTAGTTCCCTGCTGAAGAGCCTCCCAGAAATTCAGCCTTCAACCCCCAGATGTAGTAAGCAATACATGGTGAATGCATCAATTAATCCAGAATTATATGTTTCAGTGCACAAAGTATGTAAACTCTTACAATTAAACAAAACAAAACAAAAGAATTGTATTAAAAATCCTCAACATTGCAGTTCTTTTCAAGCTGCTACAGACATATTCTTGAAGGGATAAAAACAAATACAGGAACATCAAATACTGCTCTCTAACAGCACCACTGAGAATTGCAATAGATTTTATGAGAGATGACTAGACTGATGTTCAGAATCTGAATCGTTTCAGAGAATGCAAGCAAACTAGGACATCTGCTCATGCCTATTCAGGCTAATGAGTTTATTTCCAGTTAACGGCTAACAGGGGAACCATGCAGCTGCACTCTACATTTCAGAAGATCTGAGCTCATTTATGCTTGCTGCACAGCATCACAAAGAAAGATAAGAAAGCAATGATTAGGCTGCATCCAAATGGCAGTTTGAACCACAGTTGGATGTGGTTTACTGCTACTGCTTCTCATAAATACTACCAATGGGCCTGGAGAGTTCATGTTACAATACCCAGCTGGAAAGTGCCACCCTTATTGTGATCCTGATAGCCCCAGCGTATTATTTGGGGCAGCAGGAATCAGTATGGGGAACTCCTGTGTATCTTGCAGATGGCAGGGGCACTGAACTTCCAGCTTGATACTTTGAATGTCTTAATATGGAGCGACTCTTATTTAAATCATCCAGACCAGAGCCTCTCATGCAATCACCACAGACTCTCAAATTCTGTACAGGAAACCAGCTGCCCAACACCAAGCCTGCTGTGGGAGAAAATAGGTATTTTCTCGACACAGAGTGATATTACTGTATTGGTCTGAGATGCTGAGAACCACAGGAACTATACCAGTACAAAAAAAAAAACTCCTAAGAACTACGGAAATAATACAAGCTCTTTTGAAGGGCCAACTACCATCTGTGGAAAAAGTACTCAAGCTTTAAATCAATCCACAGAACTCTGCCAAAATAAAAAGTAGCAGACAGATATTGAGCAAAGACCTCTCTCAGAGATTTCTCTAATTTAGCTCAATACTGGAAGAAACAATGCAAGTATTTCTCATGCCACATATAACTTCACAGACAAATTATCAAGCTCTTAAAAAAAAAAAGAAACTCTTTTGCAAACCTTTCCAGCAACCAAGTGAAAAAATTGTGCACAGAATATAAGATGCACCTGAGTTTTGCAAGGTAGCATACAGCTCCCCAAACCTAGTAAGATACCTCCATTGGGTGAAGATGGGGAAAGGAAAGGGTAGGGATGCCCTTGCTGGACTGACCCAAAGAGTCTCCTGAACCCAGTACTGTATTCTGTCTCCCAGCAGTTAGCAGCCAGAAGCTAGTAGAAGCTCACAAAACAATAGTGTGAGTCCTTTTATTTGCATCACTAATCTTCCCAAACCAACTTGGCATACACCCTTCTCTTCCTCTCCTCCCCAGTGGCATATTTATGGCTAAAAGTGTCAATGCATGTAGTTATAAAACGAAGCTACATAACAGCTGAGCGTTCACACAAGCCAAATTGCAGAGGAAAACCAGAGAGGGGCAGAAAATAAGGAGCAGTAAATCGATATATGCAATTGGAAAGTTGCTTACTCTCCCGCCCCTCAAAGAAAACCCAGGGGGAAACTACATCAGAACAAGTAACAAGCTTTCTGGAAGCTCAGCCCTCTTCCTACCTGGGAAGTGACAGCGATCGCAAGCATCAGTCGGGCTATAAAGTAAGCTCTTCCGAGCCGCGGTTGTGCCCCCACCGCAGGCAGGGCTTGGAGGGAGCGAGATACAAGCGGCTTTTCCTCACCTCTGAGCAACCTGCCAAAGCACAGCCAGGAGTCAGAGAAGCCACTGACAGGCAGACAGCCGCGACAACGAAGCGGGCGGGAGCGACAAGCAAAAACATGCACCCTCTAAGCAGCTCTACCTGCCTGCTCCCTGCTACTCCCTTCGGCGGCGAGAAAAGGGCGGAGCCTCTCGGCCAGACCCAGCTTGGTTCCTCCCAGGGAGGTTCCGGAGAGGGCAAAGAAGCGTCTCGGTTGATTGACAGCGGCGCTGACCAAGGGGAATCTCCAGACGGATCAGCGCCAAGGCGGCGTTCGCTCGCGCTTTCGCGGGCAGCCGCCGGGTGTTTCCATGATGTCAGCGAGCAATGTTTCTCGGACAGGTACGAAGAGGAGATGCGGCGCGGGCGGGCGGGCCGGCACCAAGGAGAGCGAGTCGAGGCACCCGTCACCCTGGGGCAAGGCTTTCGCGTGCGATCGCAGTTCACCCGGATGAGCGGAGGCAAAGGTGCTTAACCCGAAAGGTGGGCTTAAACTGGCCAAGGCAAAGAGGCATGATTTAGAGTCGGGAGAACGGCTGCTTCCCTGTTACAGCACAGAGTCAGGATTTCAGTGCAACAAACTAATCCCGAACCAGCTTTACTGCACCTCTTCCTGAGCTTAGCGATTTACAGTTTCCATAATTACTTCGGATTTGCACCACAAAACGCATGCAATATTTCCCATTCTTTGCAGTGCGGCTCGGTCGGATGAACACACCATTCTAGAATAACCCCCGCTTCTGCAATCGCCCGTCCTGCCAAAGTGTGGGTGTCCCCCCCCCAAAAAAAAATGCCCATTTCGCCAGCGAGGAACGCACAGCACCATTAAAAACCATTCAAGCCGTCGTTCCGTGGCCGGGGACAGCGTCCGAAGAAAGCAAAAGCATTTTAAGTTAAGGAATATTTGCAACACACGAGCCCAGCTTTGAAAACTCAGCTGGAAAAGCTTGGAGGAAGCTGCTGCAAAGAAGCCCAAACCACTTCCACAACTTAGCTACAAGAACTCGCAGCCTGTACACATAATTAAAGCAGAGCCATGAAACCTTTAAGAAATAGCTATCATGAAACCATCCGAGTGAGAAATCAAACTCCACAAAGATTGCAGGACAGAATGCAAAATGCAGAAAGGCTCTCAAGATGAATACCTTGTTATTAATTTGCATATAGAAATTAAAAAGCTGGAAGCATCCCCAGGCATATTCAAACTGCCCCAGCCATAGATTTCAGAGTTGCGGACACTTGCCTCTCGAGAAGACTCCTTCCCTTCCCATTCTGTGAGTTCTCTCAATGCAGCGACAAAGGAAAGAGTCCGCCAGTCCCACCCAGATTCCGCCCAGGCGGCGGGTTTTACTGGCTGCTTTCAAGGAGGCGGGGTTTCGCCTTGCATTCTTCAAGTAATCTCATCCACGCCTTGGCACCATTCAGGGTTTGGGCTGACGAGGAGCCAACTGTGGCGCTTCTCGCCCCGGAAGAACAGACAGCTCATTAGGGCGCTGCCCCGTCAACACCCAGTTCTGGGCTGAGATGGGCTGCCACATTCCACTGCCGTATGCGAGGGACGCCGTTGGTTCCGATTAGAACACTTTCAGCCCCAACCGCGCAAAATAGAAACCCATTGCAATGTTAAAATTAGCAGGAGGTTTGGGGTTTGGGTTGTTTTTCGGAAAAGGAATCAAGCAGAGGGCGGCGAGGTATTTTTGCTACTGAAGATGCAAATATCCAAATGAAGGCTTTTCACAGCCTTTAACGTGGGCATTCTAAAAATATTACGTTTGCAGTTTGCGTGGGTGAAAGCAAAGAACGGATTGCATGCTACTCAAGCCACGCTGCTTACCGTTCTGAAAGCTACTGTTGAAAGTTCCTTCTATCTGTTTTTGCCCTGGTACAGTTAAAATGACATGGACCGTGCTTCCGGGTTAGGGTGCCGAAAACCAGGATAACGGTTCAAGAAAATAAAAGTAAGAAAATGCAGCTGTAATTATCGCAGAATTGACCTGCGGAACTCCTTGTCTCCAGCATTGCTACTGGACAATAATAGAATGGCCTCCAAAACAGAAATGACAATAAGCTCTGAAACCTAGTGAGGATTCTTAAAGAAGGTAATGGAGGATGAAACACATTTTCTCTCCCTGCATTCTTGGGAGGGATATTGACTACTTATCTGTGCTATTCTAAGTTTCTATAAGCACCAAAATCTGAATCAGTGGCCCTTAGAATGAAAAATATTTCTCGCCCATGCCCAATTGTAACTAAACCTAAGTACAGTGGTACCTCAGGTTAAGTACTTAATTCGTTCCGGAGGTCTGTTCTTAACCTGAAACTGTTCTTAACCTGAAGCACCACTTTAGCTAATGGGGCCTGCTGCTGCCACGCCGCCAGAGCACGATTTCTGTTCTCATCCTGAAGCAAAGTTCTTAACCCGAGGTACTATTTCTGGGTTAGCGGAATGTGTAACCTGAAGCGTATGTAACCTGAAGCGTATGTAACCCAAGGTACCACTGTATGCACAACCGAAATAGCCAATATTTCCCCTCCTGCTTCCCCCTGCCTCCCCCCCCCCCCCGCTGTAAATTATCATCTGTCAAGTTATAGATCTAAGCAACACACACACAAGGCACTGGCATCTACCTGATCCCAAGCATTTTGTGCCATCCATATCAGTGGGGCCTAGTTTTCTGCAGCATTCTTAAGAGTGGGTTGCAATGCATAGAATTCAGGATGAATACTATTTGCACTCCCTAGGGAATAGCGGATGCCTGGAAGGCACCATTTGCATACAGAGAAAAGGGAGATTCAGTTGTGCAGAGCACTACAATGGTCTTTGCTCCAGAGCCCTGACAATGAGGGGGATGGCTGACTAAGAGCAGAGATGTTAAGAGCAGCGAAGTGGGCTGGTTTAATTACTGCTAATTTCGAAGCATTTGCACAATGTCTTTTTATAGCCATACTCAAGGGCAAGGAGCTGCAGTGTCACTGTAGCAACTGGACTCTGACCCAAATGCTGAAACCAAGCAAAAAGGACACTTAAATAATAGTCACTCATTATTGTGGGACTTTAGCTATGCAGAACTATCAGAAACCAGTGGTAAGAAATGTGTAATTTGGTTAGAACAGTTACACACAGGAGGAAACTCAGGCATTGACTGCTTGCACCAGTATTCTGGAATCCATGCAAGTGCAGCTCCTGACATAATGCAAACTTTGATCCTCTAAATCACAGATTCAGCAGGAAATGAATCTACTGGGAGCAAAAGGGATGCTAATAGGAATATCCTTTAAGCCAGTATTTTTCAAACATTCTTTCTAGGAAGTGGTAGTTCTCTTTGATATGGCGTATGAGGCTGGTTTCTCCTGTTCTTCTTTTGACATGTTTCACAATATACTCATTCACCTTGCATTGAACTTTATCGCAGAACTTCAATGTCCCAAGAGCAGCGTTTATTTCCATTATAGAACCCCTTTCACTCAACATCAAAGCCATACAGAAAAGCAGGGCTTCCCCATCAGTTTCTCATGCCTGCTGTTCTTCAGAGCCCTGCTTATGCAGCTCTGAGGCCCAGTATTTTTGGTGTTGATGGAAGGAAACAACAAGATGCTCTTCACATCAAAGGAAATTTAGCATTCTTCCTTGCCCTCAGAAAAAGGAGGAAATATTGCATGGTGTCCAGCAAAATCAAACCACCAGTGCAATAATTTTTGGCTGTGCAAACGAACATCCTCTCCCTCTCCTCTCCCCACATGCCCCTCCCAATCTGTTTTGGGGGGTTCTCCTGACTCTCCGCAGTCAATTTTAATCAAACATTAAAAAAAACCTTCCCTATACAGTGGTACCTCGGGTTAAGAACTTAATTCGTTCTGGAGGTCCGTTCTTAACCTGAAACTGTTCTTAAACTGAAGCACCACTTTAGCTAATGGGGCCGCTGCACAATTTCTGTTCTCATCCTGAAGCAAAGTTCTTAACCCGAGGTAATATTTCTGGGTTAGCGGAGTCTGTAGCCTGAAGCATATGTAACCTGAAGTGTATGTAACCCAAGGTACCACTGTATAGAGCTGCTTTCAGATGGTTCGGGAGTTGGATAACTCCATACCGTCTAACATTTCTCTGATGAAAATAGGGACATCCTGGGGAAACACAGGACATTCCAGCATCAAATCAGAAACGGATGGCTTCTGCAAATGTAGGATTATCCCTGGAAAACAGAGACACTGAGTTGGATAACCACTCTTTCTAGAATGAAACTGCATTTCATTTTTCTTTCTAAACACAAGTGAACTAACTGATGGAATTGGATTGAGAACAAATATCATGATTCTGCAACTTACTGACAAGGGTCAAGCATGTTAGAAACTCCTGAGCAAGTAGGGACGGAGCCATGGTCAAAGTGGTCCAACAGGATGACTTCAGAAAAGCTGCTAGGCCCTGGAAGAAGGAGCAGAGAGGAGGGGAGCCCTGTTCCAGTTTTTCATCTGACATCCCAGTAGTGGAAGCTGACACCCAGAACCTGTTATAAGAATTGAGTGCAGCTGAGCTTTTGACTGTTGCCTCTGGCCTCTTGTCTGAACGAGAAGTCCCCATTATTCTTTGATAGTCATTATTGAATTACATTAGCTACAACATTAAATTGCAAGATCACAAAGGCAAATCGTTCTCCGAAATAAAAGCTAAGCTATCGCAACCATCTAAGCGCAGTTTGACTTTCATAAATTAGCATGTCATTTAACAGTCATGGTTTGTTTGATGGCACCAATTTACGGAGAGCCAGACATTGCTATGGAACTATCTAAACGGACCCAGTTCAAAGGGCTGGTTATGACCAAACAGTTTGGACATCCTAATTAGCACAATGGATCCCATGCTGTGACTGGGGTTGCCAGCTGAAATCTAGGACAGTAGAAAATGTATTATTGATCATTACTGTAAAAGTAGACCAGTATACCTAGGTAAAAGCATATCTATGTATACAATATCTACTATTATATACAGACACATATGAAGATACAGAGCCTTCTGTGTGTGTGTGTGTGTGTGTGTGTGTTGTGTGTGTATCTCCTATGATGTGTTGTGAAGACACATCATTTTCTGCATGGTAGGCTGCTGGGAAATCTATGCTGCCTGGATTTCCATACTATGAAAAGGGTTTTATATAAATGAAATAAATAATACGAACACATTTGAGGACAAAGCTGCATTTGTCCAAAACCCAAATGACCACTTCTTATAGGCAAAAACAACTTAAGGAAAAGGCATTTTGGAGAAGCGGAAATAAACCTTTCTCCTTCCTAACCCCTTTTTTCTTTTTTAAAATGGCTTTCTGTCCCGCACCCCCAATTCCTGGTACTTCTGGAAGGCTTCTAAATGCAAATTTACTTTCTCAGTCATGCACCCAGGAGAACATTGATGGCAGGAGAACGTTAAAGAAGTGAAGATGAATAAACATGCGTATATACGAGTGAGGCTGAGGGAACTTGGTATCCCTGGCTGGCCTGGTGAGGAAATAGTCTGAGCTGCTATAGGGCAGCTTCCTAGGTTCATTCATGAGTCTTTGCTGTCACGGTCCAGGATTCCAAGTCCTCACTCCTCACCTTCCTCCTCCCTGAACAACAATTGCCATCTAGATGGAAAGGCAGAAGTGAAAATATCAAAACGGTAAAACCCTCTATCTGTGCATAAGAATATTTTTGAGTGGGAAGAAAGCAATAATATTGCAAGTGAACCCTTCCAGAATCTAACAAGATCAACCAATATTGTGAACACAGATGCAAAAGCCTCCCACATGTTTCTGCCTCTAGCACAGTATGTGGGCAAGGAAAACAAAGAAGAGGCGAGAGGAAGATGGAAAGCTCTGACTTGCAGGCTCCGTGCAAGCTTGAGTGCCATTCATTAACCTAGGACCAAGCTGTCCATCATTACCCAAAACCAAGTAGCTGGCTTGGGTACCACTGTCAATCTGATCAGCCTCCTTCATCTGTAACTCCAGAACACGAGGCAGGCTAATTGGGAGCAAATGCAGAACGGTTTGATGCAAATCAGTTGCCTCACACAATATTTCTCATGCTCATATGCTCTTCCTGAGCACGAGATGTGTGTATCAATGTCTGTCTTGTTAGGTGTCAAATGAGCTGATTGCCCAACATGCCATGACAGCTTCTTTTGTCATTTTCCCCGCCACTCAGAAAAAGCTGATTGCTTTTGCAATGCAACAGTCTGAAGAGACAAAGAAACAGCAGCTCAGCATGGTGAGGCATATTCAGCTTCTTGAAAAGGCCAAATCAGACATAGAACCATAGAGTTGGAAGTACCTCAAGGGTCACCTAGTCCAAC